TGTGTGGCCAGATAGCAGAGACGACCCAGATCGCCCAGTAGAGCATAGCGCAAGGGCTGTACACCCGTGCGAGCCTCTGATGACCCAGCGAAGATGACGAGACACAGTCGCCCTGTAGAAGCCACTGCGCAATGAGTCATGGCGCTCTTTGACATGTGGAAAGGAACGACAGTCAGGTATAGTAGTAGCAGTCTGAACGCCCTTGAAAATGGGTCTTGTGTCCGAGTATAGGAGATAGTACATTCGTCTACACATACTTGGATATGGATGATCATGATCGTGGAAGAGATAGGGGGCCGACCAGCTATGAGTCGCCCTCGAGATGACAGGGAATCATTCTGTTGAGTCAGCGTAATTCTCGCTGTACGCGTTGCTCAATTCTGCATGGCGTTTTACACTCCGCTTCGCCACGCAACCAACGGATGAAACTGATGGTATGTTCAACATGCTCATGAATAGATAAACTATGCCACCAGATTCCAGGCGCTGAATGCTAAGAATACGGTCACGACGTTCCAGTACTGAACGTTTGAACGCCCGTCCTTGGCCACAGCGCTTCCTAATAAGGCTAGTTGACTCCACTCATGTGCCGTTCCGTGGATCCCAAATCATCCTCCAGCTATGGCTTAGAGTGGGATTGATAGTCGTAACGCTGCGAATAACTGTCAGAGCGGCATACAGTGCGACAGCATACATAGGAAGGCGTTCGCATCTGGAAATCGGTGCGAATCCGTCGTTTTCAGCAGCAACGTGACAGTCGTCGGGCCGCGTGAGCCAGCTCTATCATCTCCTCTGTAGATCCTGGGTAAATTGGGATCAGATTTGTCACTCACGATGCTCGTGTAGCTAGTGTGAGAACGAGACACGCACCTTGACATCTCCTGTCATCATGGCAGATTGAGATGAAAGTCGGCAACCCGATTGTTGATATAAATATGTTCTCGCTAGTAGAAACATGTTTGTATAGCTCGTTATGTGATCTGGTAGTTTATCAGGATGCGCGACTAGGATGCGAGGATAACATGCATGTTCCTGGGGCCGCTGAAATTGATGGTCGTCGGTACGCGGCTCAAAGTTATACAGGATGTCCGCTGTCCCCCAACGAACAGCAGAAAGGAGTATGACCACTTCTCGGATGGGCAGGGGCGTCACGGGTGCCTTCGCTCATTTTGCAATTGTGCTACACATACAGGCTACCGCGCGTGTCCTCTGGGCCAAGGGACATCGGCGGACAGTGTCTGACACAGGTACCTAGTCGGACCGCAGTTGGTTGTCATCGACGCAAACATCGCTCGTGACAGGATCTATGACAAACCTTATACGATTCCTTCAAGGTATTTCCGGGCCTAACCCTGAAGGTCAAGGTCAACAATGACAGCAGACAACATGCCGCTAGCGCTACGGCGACCCATACCAGTCAGTGTACGTAATCGAAGGACCTGTCAAAGTTTATGCGCAAACTATTGAACATTGCTGTGAGGCATTTTCTGTGCTTCTTGCGACCTATATCGGAGGATACGGCACCCTCGAGCGCCCTATCACTCGCCCAACGATACCACCAGACACTGGAGCACAACGTACGGGGAAATTACCCCCGGTGGCGTCCGGATATTGAGTTCATGGCGGGGAGAAGCCTCATGTCCGCACTGTAGAGGACGTCATGATTACCTATCAGATTAGACAGCGCGACGGAGATGATCTTCGTAGTTGGAACATACGACTCCCTGCTACTGTCTTGATGCTGCTTTTGAGATGATTGAGAAGAACACAGCAAGCAAAGACCGAGATCGATGGTCCACGGGAAGGACAAACAAGTCCAGGCAGCGAAAACGGAGAGGTGCGATCACGATCGAAGCGGAGGCATCTGGATTCGAGCCACTCGTCCTGTCGAGGCCTAGATCGAGATCATGTCAACGCACACAACCTTCATTTTGTAGCATCCCGGCGGCGAGAGTGTGACGTATTTGGCAGCCACCGAAGTCCACCGTCAGTTGTTCCCAGTCCATCTCCCACATCTATCCAATGTTTGAGCCTCGACTCAGACCTCTTCCGTCTACGAATGCTGCTCAGGGCAACATGATATCACCGCCTCCTCCCTCTCCCACGGCGCGTAGATTGTCAGGTCGTGCCCAGAGCGTGAGACCGTGTCGCACGCGCACCGTCTGCTGATAACGGCACCTTCCCAAGGCACACGTTCAGTGGGACAGTTGATTGCCTCCTGAATCCTCGCTCCCTCTTGCACCCCCATCCCTAGAACTGCCGTCTCAGGCGACGAGGCGCTAGCGTCAGTCATGCGCGTCGAGTAAGCTTCGCGAGCGCGATCGCCACGCCACAAGCGCCCACCCTACATATGACTCACCGACCATTATGTATCAATAGTATGACAACACATAAATCTACCAGCCAGTTTCCTGCGCATGCCTGCCATGGCTGCGGTTCAAATGCATGCGCTGCACGAATATGGTCAAGTCACCGAACTCACCGGTCAATAGATGTCGCCCCTGACATCGCCTATAGAACTGTCGACGTCGTGTACGTCATGGCGGCTTGCCGGGGTGCCTTCTTGGTTCTAGCATGTCCTATTTGATCAATCGTGCTCTCGACGCCTTTGGTGTCAAGACATTCGAAAGTCTCGTGCACTGCACAAGTCCGCGGCCTTGACTGTTTGCGCGAATTATGCGGCGCTCGTACCTCTAACGCCACTACAGACCCTTGCTTACGCGTCGAGAGTTCGTGACCTCGCGGTCGCTTGTTTTGATGAACCTTCCCAAGGAGGTTCGTTCCCTGTGTTGGAAAGGTCGCTAGTTAGCGTGTAGTCTGCATTGGACGCGCGTTCCACTACGATCTTCTAGTATTGCGCTAGCGGGTGGTTAGCAACCCAGAAACAACACAGACGCTGTTCTGCTCGCCTGCTTCGCGGAAGGGAGGATTATCCCAGTGCATTTGACCCCACGCGACTGTGCTTCCCTGCTTCATGCGACCGCCGACAAGGGCCTTCCGCACAAAAGGCATTATGATTGCTATCCGCGCCAGGCACGCGCGCGTGCCCCTTCCTCAGCTGCGAGGAAGCAGCTCGCACGAGGCTCCGGTCGGAGCAGCGTTGCCAGCATCGTCCACGGCACGGGACACGGATGCACACGCACACCGAAGAACCCAGAAGACTCGTTGACAGGTCTTGTCAAACGGCCGTCAACTTTGCGCTCACGTTAATGGAAAGGCGCCTCCCGCGAAGCTTTGGACCGCAATGTCAGTCCGGCGCCTTGGTTGGGTCGGGAACGCCGAGTTCCTTGAGCACCTGGATCGCCTGTGTGTCTTCAAAATCGGCGTGCCGCGTATTGCGTCTCCTGCTGGAAGGCTGTCCGATCGCATAACCTCTGCGCTATAGCATGACTGCGTAGGGGCAAAACATTTCCGCATCACCCCTCACAACAGGCGGTTGTCTGATCTGGAAGGCTGAACGCCGTGAGCGTAGTTTGCGCGGGGCGATGAGGAGTTCTTGTCACAGCTGGTCTCCACTCGAAGGCTCTGCAATAGATGTGAGAAGCCCTCCGCCGACGCCAGCGCACGCCACCTAGAAGCGCTGCGTAAGTATAATGTGACAGACAGCAAGCACTGAAGTGCCGACCTGCTTACCGTAACTGCCTGATTGCGGCACGTCACGTTATACAGCATCCGCAGCGCCGAGTTGCTGGAGTCCAGACACCGCAGTGGTTGGCTGCCCACAAAGGCTGGCCGATTTACGTCTCAGCGACGCCGGCAACTCAGCGACCGGCTTCACCGGGGCCGAAATCTATCTGGTCTGAGAACCCTGGAAGCCGGCAGGATACAACGCAGCCGTGCCACTAGACCCTTGCTCCGGTCCCCGAGCTGAGTCTTGCATCTCCAATCTGGGGCATAGTGGCACCACAGGGTGCACGTAGACAAAGTATGTTCGAGAGTCCTAGAGAGCTCTAGCGTCGCCGGTCGGATTATGATGCACGAGGTCCTAACGTTGTGGCGTGCGAATTGCGCCCGCGACGGCAACCTGTCGTCTGCGCAGAGAAAAAAGACATGAGAACAAGTACTGCTTCCGCTTGCGCCCATCGTTGGACAAGTCGAGATGCAGTACGTACCCAGAAACGCGCCCGACGTATGCTGCGCGCGGTGACAGGAGCGTCTGTGAGATGCCACGGAGGGTATCACATTCATCCTCGATACTAGTACTAACTGTACTTCCCGCTTGCATCAAGCGGCGCGAGAAATCGCGCCCGGGCGGTTCACACAGATGCCTACGGATTTGCAGGGCCATAGCTAGAGACGTCTTTGCCGGGCCGCTGATCACGACTTGTTAAGATGTTGATGAGCGATTGGTTTCTACACGCGTTGGTATGGACCCTGTGCAAGGTAGCCCTCGGAGATCGCTGTATTCCCAGCACTATGTGCAGAGGATCAAGATAGCGTTCCTGGTGTGAAGTTGAGAAGTGAGAGCGGGCGAAAGATAGCATTATACTCAACGCAGTCCGTTCGTAGATGACACACGCACTGGCAGCAACCGAATGGACTTCCAATAATATGATGCGCCCAGGTGCTGGTCCCTGAGAACCCTGACTCCTCCGCTTGAGACCTTTCCGTCACAAGCGCGCAAAGAATGGCATCAAAGAAGGCTGGAACTGTGGTGATCTCGCACGAAACCCTCTAGAAAATGGGCGCCTTGGCGACCTCCTGCGGAACGGCCAGTGCGACAAATTCGGCGAAGGTCTCGTAAGTTCCCCTGAGCTCGGATTGCTCATATGCCGGGAAAAACTAATGCTTACGATGCCTATGCTTTAGCGAGCGAGAACACCAATGAAAGGGTACAGGCAGATCACTCACCTACGCGGGTTGCTGGGAAGCTGGAGCATTGTCGGGGCTGTACGGCACCGCTGTGTGAACGCAACGCAGGATACGCCATAGACGTCGGAAGCGTTTGCGTGCTACAGGACATGCCGTGCGTACCGCAGAGGTATATGGGAGGTTCAGAGATGGCTGTGACGCAAAAGGTGCGCATTTGTAGTCCTGCGGAAAGTGAGCGTTCCTGACCTGAGAGGATAGCGGACAAGAGGGAATCCGGAAGGTCGCGAGCGGTCCTGGACGCCGAATTGGGATGCTGTGCTGGCAGGATACCCACTCCTGCAGCCGGACAACCGGAGCGCCCGACACCAGCGCCCTGAGAAAGGTACGCCGAATGACGCAGCGCGACAGGGCGTTAGTCCAGATATACCCAAGTACAGCCGTAGACCTCTGCTCTGCCGAAAAGAAGTGTAGGAGAGTTGCCAGATATCCGTGTGTTCCTGAACGATGCGACGGTCGAGAGCGTACCGTCGCCATCGGAGCTGTTAACCAACCTCACACAGAAGCAGCCCAGCCTGGCGGCAGAACTGCAGTGAGATGAAGGAAGAATTCTCTCGCAGGTCGCCATTCTCGTCTCGGATAAGATCGTTCGCGACCGAGCTTCTTCGAACGGTTTCATGTTAGAAGACTTTGGGGGGTTGCAATATAATTAGATAGGAACACACCGTGCGGGCGGGAGGGAGGTGGGGCACGGCTCAGATTGAGATAGAACATCTCTACCGAAATAAGTGGCTGATGGGGGGTCGTCATGCTCTTTGGAATACCGGAAGTGAATCCTCCTTTGAGCGTTGCTTGACCAAGTGTCTGATGATTCCTGTTTGAGTCATGCAAGCCCATATCACTGCGTGAAGCGCCATATTACGGTGGCCGGGGACATGCTGGGAATTTGCGTATTCCGCGCATATCACCCACGGATTCCCTAGTAAATCCCCCTTTGATGGGAATCTGGTGGGAACATGCACATTCTCTCCAGATTCCCTCAACATCCCCAACCGCTTGTGCAGATTTCTATTATAAGGGGGACTTGCCTGCCCAAAATTACTTATCCGTCCGCGATGACGTCGTCGTATGGTCCCATATCAACCTGCCATCGCGTCCACATCTTGACTTCGTACTTCTTGCATTCCCTCCGTATGCCTATCTTCCCCTTGGTACGTCCTGACCATTGACTCTCGGATGGCAGCTGATGTGTTAACATGCAGGTGTTCTCTCATAAATACATCTGCTGATCAGGGCAATAGTACGTCTCTAGTGTTGCGTGTGAAGTCCCAAAGTCTGATGGCTGCCGCATCTAGTAGGTTGTCCCGCGTTTATCGATTGTCCTTGATTAAGACTGTGAGTACCCAGTTTCAACGCTACAGTGTACTGCTAATCCTTTCTAAGCAGAACTCAAATATCGACATGGTGAGTGCATATATGCATGTATTGCGCGTGCCATCTCAGCTGTGTCTGATGTCCAATTGTAAGCCAGTATCGCTGTGCTGGCGGCTACGGGTATGATGTGATTGGGTTAGGGTTGATTGGGCCGGTCTGTATGATATATAGAGAAGTCCGGATGTAGCGTAGGAGAGTCGCCATTTGAATATATATTCATTTCGATCTAATTCAATCTGGCTGCCAATATCGGGACGAATACTAGGCGCCAAGCTGGGCACCAAAAATGGATATGAATAATAAGATACAAAATTGTATATCCCATTTGATCCCATGTTACGCAGGGTGCGGAATGTCTAAGTAATATGTGGGGAACATGGTCGGAATGTGAGGGGAAGGCAGTTAATACCATGACATCCTCTAAACCTGCGGAATGTGGTGGGAACACGCTGGGAATGTGGCGGTAATGTGCTCATCCTCTCCGTGTTCCCCAACCTCTGTAATCTGGCGCTTCACGCGGTGTATAGGTGTGATCCAGTTATAATGGACGTGGGAGGCATGAGGCATACTGGTCCCGCAACTGTGCCTTGGATGTCGCCTAGACTCGACGCACGCCGCGATATGGAGTAATAGACCGAGTAGGTGGAGATCATCGCTCCCTAACCTGATGCGGCGCCGCGCGAACTGACAGCCTCGCTCCGTACGGCTTGGCGCAAGGAGCTTTGGGCATGAACAATGAGGAATAACAGGGCCAAAGGCCATGACTGTCCAAACAGGGCGTACCTGCTGCCCTGTATGATACATCTTCCGGCGGAACAGCAGGGCGGAGCGAACACGAAGTCCCCTAGAGAACCTCAAGGGACGAAGAATCCGCCTAAAGAAGGTAAGAAGTTACTCGAGTTGGGCTGTGTCCTTGGCAAGCGTGCTGCGTCGTCTTCGTCACTATGCATTGACATATTGGGGAAGACACGCATTGGGGCTCCGATTCGGGTTCGCGAAGGGGGACTACGGGAGCGGAAGCGAGCAGCAAGCATAGAGGGCGCCGCGACTAGACCGCTCTGATTCGGAGCCGGGCCAACTTGGATCGGACCGCAACGAACGCTGCTACAAAATCGTGAAATCAGATCGTATGTACAGTACACTACCTCATAATGCATAGGATCGGTACCCCCATTCCCGTATGCATCATGGGACATTATGCATTATAAGACAGCCTATCAAGCGTGAAGCGACCGTTTGGTACCCATCCGGGGCCTCTGCGGCGATATGCATCATTAGATATGACCTCATGCAATATGAGTTAGTGTACTGTATTTGAGCGGACGATGTAGCAGAATGGAACAACATCGACTAGTTCACCGATATCTGCCCATTCACCCGCTGGACGCAAGGGGCGGCGTCGACAAGCAAGGTCAACGGGTGCCAGGATCAGCTTCCATTGCGCAAGAACGACATCGACCGTCCGTAAGTGGCAGTTTGACATACCAGACAGATATCCGTCCATCTTCAGAAGAACCCAGAAGCACATACAAGGGCCCCCGCGAACGTTATGTCAACGGGTACCGTGCCGCTGGCGCTGGCTTGGTGACGAGCTGGAGCTGGAGATCTAGAGACAGTCAGCGTGATGACAACGATCGTCCTAGCTCGCGCTACGGCAGCACATAGAACAAGATCAAATCGATCGGATGACGGGCTACAGAGAAGGCGGGTGGGTGGCATCGCAATTCACGGAGGCGCGCGCATGACGACTGTTTGTTGGAGCTAACTGAGTACGCACGTAGTACAGAGATGCACGCGGCTGCGGGTCGCTTTCAGCGCGCATACGATGCCATTTCCAGAAGAGCAAGAACAAACCGACAAATAACCAGCCGTCGTGCGTGCGTGCGAGTGCAGCCGAGTACCTCCGACGTTCCGCGAGCGAATCCCCCGGGCTGACGGAAGACGCTCGGGAGCAGTCTGGCCGCCAGGCTCTGAACGCATATGGATGAAGAGGGATACGAAATGGACTAGCATGGGACGTGCACATTACCCGCGGTCTCACGACGCTAGCCACCGGCCCTTCAGGACCACGTCCCGGGATGCGCACTCGCCATTTCGAGACAAATGCTGACCCAGTATTGTCCAATTTCGCGATACGTAGTGATTGGGTTATTGATGGAGGCGCCCCCGGCCATGCCTCGCTCAACGCCGAGGACGGTGGCCGGACCACAGCTGCGAGTCGGACTTGCCGCGAAGTCCGAACGCTAGGCTGCCTGATCATGGAGCCCAATGAGGCTAGGCGTCGCGCTTGTGAGTAAAGTCGCGGTGATGAACCTTGGTAAGCGCAGGCAAACTTATCATCGCTGCCATTAGATAAATAGAGTTCGCACCTGAATCGCGCGCAACACATCTTGACTCGTTGTGCGCTGCGTAGCGCGATGGCCATGCCATCCGTTTGTCACGCTGAGCGCGCGCAGGCGTCGTCTTGAGCGAAACTGTCATGGGCAGTGGGTGTTGTCACCAGGGTCGGGCCACCCTGGCCAATCAGAGACTCATTTTCTGAAGATCCAGAGCCCTGCCCCTGCACAGCTGCGAATATTTCGCGGGAGCCACTGCGCGCGAACGAATCACATGTACAAGCGTGCGCACATGTATATGAGTTCCCTGACGAGCAGGTGTGGAATCAGATGACACCGAGTTCACAACGCGCGACGGGGCACCTGATTTCATGTCCCTACGCCTTTGGACCCACGAATCCACGGCATCATGAGCTAAACTTCGCGACAGCAGGACGTCAGTGGAACTACATGGTGTCAAAGCGTCGAAGCGGTAACGACTGACCGCGGGAGGTGGCGTTCGGGCTCTTAAGCTGTCGACGCAGGGTCGATCGGGTCCCCCGAAGGTTGGACGACGGGCTCGCGAGAGCGCGGGAACGGACGTCATGCGGTTGCAGGGGATATAGATCGGGGTCCGGGATCGGGCGCACGGATTCGGGAGGACGCCACCTCGCGCTCTAGGTAAGTACGTCGGAGATCACGCAGCCGCTCGGTGGCAGGCGCGCGAACGTTATGATTCACGAAGGAGGAAGTGCACCGACGGATTGAACCCCATCCGAGCACACGGCGGGCGTAGTCGACGCAGCCCGTCGAGAGGTACGTGCACAGTCCGACCGGACACCGCGCGCCCCGCTCTACCCGAAACAGAGACGCGTCCCTGTGATAGTTTGTCGCGGTAGGAGGCCAGCCGTAGGTGCACACGCCACGCCCACAGACGTGCACGCCAGTCCTCGCAAGAGGACGCCCCAAGTGCGAGCGTCCGTGTCTCTCCGACCCGAGCTCCCATTCGGCTCCCTTATGATCGCGCGTCATCGCGTCATGCATGCTCGGAAGCCAGAAGTCCATATCGCGCGCAAGTGCACGCACAGTACTGCACGCGTGCACGATGCGCGCGCGGCCGGACGTTTGCGGTATCGCGATATCTCTGAGCCCTCTCGGTGCGCTGAGCCTGGGGGGCAAACGGTGCGCGGGCTTTCGAATGCGAGCTCATGCGTACGTACGTGTGCGCATGGGATAGCTGCGACGGCGATCATTGGCTTCTCGACCGCTTATGTCACCAGGGCGAGCTTGGAGGCTGGCCAGGACATACTTATCCGCACAGCGGGCCGCGAGCCTCGTGGCGGCGGAGAAAGAGGGAGAATCAGGGCAACGGTTGGACAGGCGCCTGATGGACCCTGGGATATATGGTCGCCAAACGCCAGCTGGCTGGCGACGCTGCGGGAGAACTGCTCTTCGCAGAAAGAACGCGTTGCACGGGTCGGTCGTTCTGTTCTGAGAGGGAAGCGCGGATAGAATGGAGGGGAACCTCGATCGTGGCAGATCCCGCTCGGGGGACGCGTACTCGCCATCGTCACAGTGATTCCTTGGAACGAAGGAACACAACAACCGGACAGCGCAGGAGAGAACCGGGCGCGGCGCAGAATGGGGAGACCGAGTGAGCCGGAGAATCCATCATCGTCGCCCCCAGAGCTACAGATCTTGGGGCCTCGTGTGTATGTGGGTCATAGCCTGAGCTTCTTTAATTGTGATACGAGACAGAGGGCGCGTCCCCTCCGTCTCTCACACACAGAGACATGATGAACACTTGTATGTATAGGATCCGGGCGGCGACTTGGGCGTGATGAGGCAGATGGACACGGGCGAAGCGGGTCGGGGCCAGTGTGACCACACCATTTGACTGCCTATGACTTGCGTCCGGGAGCTCGTGAGACGTCACCTTGGCAGAAGCGTCGCCGTGAGTCGCTGCTGGACCGCCACCCGGAGGCTGCATTCGCCGCTCGTGACTGCGGCGTTGTGCCCGCGCGCTGCAGTTGACGTTGACGACAGGAGCCGAGTGCGTCGCCGTTCGGGAGAAAGGCGTTTGGGTCGGACGAGGGCGCCTCGGGAGGATCGGTGGGGACGCGCGACGTCGGCCCACGGCACGCTCGACGCGGACGTAGCCTGTCGATTCGGCATCCGCTCGCTGGCAGCGGTGCTGTCACCGCGTCATTCTGCTCTCGAACCTTCGTGTTGGACGCGAAGCTCCGTCAGGCAGGGGCCACGTCCGATACCGATGCCGATACGCGTTCGGAGGCAAGAACAGGACACGACGTGTAACGGATCGGATCGCATGTCATCAATTAATTGCCACTGAATGCGAACTGCGAGTGCCCCGAGGCGATTACCGTCCGGATTGGGACAATCGGCAACGGGATGCCGGGACGCGAAGACGGAGCCGCGGGTTCGTTTGCTAGGGTGTGGGCGTTGGAAGGCTGCTGCGAGGAAGGATGGCTGTCGTCTCGCACTGGACCGGACGTTGGTCGGAGCTAGGGTAGGTGACAATGGGGGGTGCGGGCGTCCGCAGAGAGCCGTCGAGCGGGGCGAGGACGGGGATGGAAGGGGCGATGGAGGATAGCTGGACGTGATGGAGCGAAGACGGTTCTGGCTGTCTGCATAATGTTATCTGGCATGGGTGCGGACCGGAGCGAGGAGGCGGAGACGCGGAGGAAGGCAGCTGGGCGACTGCTGCGAGTGCCGAGGGCTTGGGACAAGCGAGGCGGGCGGACTGCAGGCGGATTGCGAGATGGGCAGAGAAGCAGGGCAAGGGAATGCGGCCAGATGAGGCAGGAGGGCGCCGATGTGGCGAGAACAAGTGCATTGAGGATCTGGCGGGAAATCGGAATCGAAAGATGGAGAGCGACAAAGATGCCGGCTGTCTCCCAGGGCACTTCTCCGACCCTCTGCGGGCGCGTCCCTCCGCCTGGAGCAGCCAGACGCCTGTCTCCGGACGAGGGCGACCTTCTCCCATCCCAACACTAGAGTTTGTTTCGCGCACCGCCCCGGCCCATAACAACGTTATTCGCCCAAAAGCCACGTCCGCCATGTCGCCAGTTTCCGTCCTTCCATCCCTCCATCCCATATAAACCCCGCCCTCAGCCCCTTCCTCTCCCCTTCTCACTCCCCAACACCTCTCGCGCGTTTCCTTGACGTCTACTCTGTACCCCGGCCCTCGCGCGCCTGACCACCCGCTGCATGTCTGCGACGGCCACATACCACCTTCGCCCAGTATCAACCATGACGCGCTCGGCGTCCCCCACCACCAGTACGTCCACCGCGAGCGATTGCAGTCCACCCCCTCTCGGCTCGCACCATCCACCCTCCAAGGCCATGTTGCCTCCTGCTTCCTCCAATTTCTCGCCCATTCCCACCTCGGCGCGCCCCCGTCGCCCGCTGTCGCCAACATCCCTCCGAGGTGAGCGCTCCGTCACGTTCGCTCTCTAACGTACTAACTGTCATTCCTCGCTCGCTGCCGTGCAGATGTTGACATCCCTCTGGACCCTGAACGCGCCTTCGCAGCACGCGGAAAATACCCCGTGCCCCCGACGGGACACGAGCTTATGGCGCTCTTCCCCCCGGCGCCTCCCATGATTCGCCTCGGGTCCACGAGCGGCTTCTTCGAGCGCGAAGAGCGCAAGTTCTTCGCGCAAGCGGGCAAGGAGATCGTCCGCGTCCGCCTCGAAATCGACTCCGCCCTGCCGCACACCTCGGGTGGAGGCGGCGGCGGCGGCGTGCCTCTCCCAAGTTCTATGACCTCGCCTCCCAATCCCCACGCCCGCCACGCCCGGACGCATTCACATGGACACCCGCCCCCTCCGCCCCTCCACCACGACCGCGCGCCGCCCCCGACCCATGCGCCTCTTGCCCCCCCTCCACCACCGCACGCGACGTCGCCGCGCTCGCACCTTCCGCCGAGCGCGTTCCCCGCACCTCCGCCGCCGGTGGGATCTCCCATGGGTCCCCCTCCGGTCCCTGCAGGACCAGCTCACCCTGGCTATCCCATCAGTCGCCCGCCCGACGTCGAGCGCAACCCCGGAGGTGGTAGCGAAGCGATGGTCGTGGAAGACGACGATGACGACAACGCGTGGCGGCGGCCGACGCCCCACAACGCGCGGCGACGCGCGGGGAAGCACACGCGGCGGGTGATCGTGAAGTAAGCTGCAGGGGGTGATATGTCGGGGCCCCGATCGTGCCCTTGGGAAGCCCGGCCGCGGGCTGAATGTGTGGCTGGGACTGCTCGATCTGGCGGGCGGTTTCCAGAACGTCTTGGGAAGAGAAGAAGCCACGCTGTACACTCCGCTATGGTTCCGAAAAGCACCGTGCTCTCGCAGCTCGCACCCCGCGCGCTGCTCAGTCAGCGACGGCAATGCGACCCGTTTATCGGTCTCTCCAAGCACCACCCCATCGCGTCCCTTCACCCTCCGTGCACCTCCTCCGGCTCTCGCGCCGATCGCCCTGTCCCGGTTCGATCCTCACATCACCGACTATGCAAATCATTTGCACCACGCTCGAGCCGCGTTGCAGCGGAGAGCTTCGCGCCAAACGCAGGATCTGTCAACACGTCCTCGGGCGACGCGATCGGACCGCACCGCAAAGGCGCGAAGTCTACGCAGACGCTGCATATAGCCCAATCGAGCACCGGCCTCGGGGCGTGGCCTGCTGTCGACGTTGTCGCGGCCGTGCTCGTGAAGCTCGACGCATAGATCATCCAGAAGCTCCTTGTAGCCACGCACCCCTTTCATGTACCGCCGCGGACCCACGCGTTCCTGCCTTCTCTGCGTGATGTATGTTATGCCACCCCTGCTAATGATGAACGATCGCGCATCGAAGCGTTCCATGACGTGACATGACATGACATACGCTGGGCGAGCAGTAAACCGCTGTGACACCCCGATCCTGATCGTACGCCACGAAACGAGAATGAGATGACATCCGTGCTGTACGTGCTCCCGGCGCCCACGTTCCTATCACTGCCGGAGCATTTCATAGTCGTAAGATGAAGTACCTGTGCGCGCAGGTGCGCTCCTGCTCATTCAAGTAGTGAGCATGGTAGAGCAGCTGCGAGAGGAGCGGACTTCAGCTCAGGGTGCCATTAACATGAAAACGTGGACACGCGTCGCAGTCAAACATTAAACGTACCCGGACAAGCTCACCTGAACCCCGACAATTAATCCGTCGACACGCGCCGCCGCTCGACGTGGACAACACGCTGATCAATGACGCCTCACACTTTCATACTCACACTTCAGTCTTCATGCGCATGCGCCATGAGGCCGCCGAATGCGGGACTCCGTGCGACCATACGTAGGTGCGCATGCATCATACAATCAGAGTTTAAGGTATTCCCTTTACGGTCGACACCTTCGAAACCGGGGACAAGAGGACCCCTAGCAACGGCTACAGGACCGGCACTGCTAACTCTCGGACCTCGAGGTTATGGCCATTAATATTGGCACATGGCCGTGACACGCCCCTATTCAGTTCGCGGGCACGATCGACGAGTTGTCGTCACTGCGATAGGACTCGCGACCGGACTCGGGCCATGCCAAACAGCGATCGTTCGCTTGGCTTGGCAGTAGGCTCGTCGAGATCTGCCCCCACCGGAAGGATGCGAGATCTTGCGGTAACAGTGAAGCACCACAGACGTGCAGGCTGCGCTGCTCGATGCTCAGGACCCCCGGAGCCGTGCACCCGAGTCTGACGGTGCCATACACCTACAACTGGCTGTACTTACTTAGGTACTTGCTGTACATACCAGAATCAGTGTTGATCGCGATCGGCGGCGCGCCAGATCGGGCAAGACGCGTGCGCGCTCCTACTTGGACGGCATGGCGATACGATAGCAGTGACCATGTAGCGAGCTGGCGGTGGTTGCGCAACGTTCCATTGGCTTCGGCTCGGAGTCGGGACGAACGCAGCTACCGGCGGGACGGAGCGGATGCTGCGTTTGCTCGCGCTGCTCAATCAATCAGGTGCGCATCGCGGCCGCGGCTATGCCTCCCTCGCGTTCATTTTGAGCGTTTGGGGATGACGGAGTGCTATGTAGAGGTATGTTGCTAGGACGGCATCGGAGCCTGCTTGCGAGGAGTCCGACGTTTGGTGTGTCCATGGAGTCACCTAAGAGAATATGTTTGTGTAGAGTGAATGTCGCCACTGGCAGCGAGGAGCAGCGTGGCCGGAGGTGAGTCCGTTGACTCCGAACCCCGGATCTCGATGTTGTCCAAGCGGGCACTGCGGGCTCAGATCCGGAGGATCGTCGACTCGCATGCTGAAGATGCGACGGCGGAACAAAGACGCACGAGCGTGAGCGGGCGATTGCTAGGATTGTCCAAATTGACAAACTGACGCACGATGGGCGATCCCGCGGATATGTCTCCTCGTAGAATATGAATACGCGCGCCGATGTCAATGTGGGCGGACGTGGACGATCGCCTCGTTTTTGTGCAGACACGTCTGTCCGACGGACGAGAGCTGGGAATATACCAGTGAATAATATAATCAAGAGCCCATACCAGGGACAAGAGCATACCGGGCCTTCTCCTGCAGACCGACGTCTTGTCCGCCCTTAGCACATGTACCTGGCCAATTTTGTTCCCTATCATCATGAGAGATATGCTGTCTAGCCTGCAGGGCTACCAAGGGCGCGGCCGGATATGACGTCCTGTACCAGGGCATGTGAAACCCGTCGCTATTTGCGTCCACATTGTTCTCGGAGCCGCCGAAGTGTGAGGCTTGCGGCCTGAGGGTTCAGATGCCTGAAAGGCCTGAGGCGGGCGCTTCCCGTGACCCACGCTTTCGTGGGCTTGCCACGGGAAGCACCCGCCAGAAGCCCGCCGTGATCGACCGTCCTCCCCCGTCTAGACGTTTCTTTATGAGCGCGAGAGATATCGCAGAACACCGCCAGGGGGAGCATTTGGACGCGCGGGTCAGAAATTCTGCAGGCCTTCCAGAGAGCGCAACGTTCGTCATCGCCCTCTCATTTGTTCGCACACCCGCCCAATCATGGAACTCAGCCGGCCACCAGCGACGCGTAACACGCCAGCCACGCTGTCCTATCTGCGCTCCGCGACCTCGGTATCAATGCGGACGCGTCCTAGCGCGACGAAGCGGGGTCCCGCATACTCCAGGGGGGGAGCGCGGGCGGACCCTATTCGGCTCGCGATCAAGCCAGCTCTTGAGGGCTCGAGCCGGCGCAATGGAGCCTTTGCTCGCCAAGGCTACTCGTAAACTCGTAATTGGGGCCCGCACGTGAGCACACGCCCTGAGCTCGAGCGATACGCGGGGGCAGATGGAGGACCTCGCGCCCGGGTGCCGGGAAGGGGATGCCAATGCGGGTGTTGCGCTGCTGCAATCGGACAGACAGCGAACCAGCGAACCGTGTCCGGAATCACATCGGCCTCGCGGACGCTGGGCCTGGAGGCTGAGTCTGAGCGCGAGCAAAGGTGCTCGCGTGTGGTACGCTCGCTCACCGGACACGGGGGTGCCTCTTGCGCCGGGTTGGCAGGGAGGCAGAGAGACCTCAAGGAGGGCGACGGCGTGCCGCGGCTGGAAGAGTTCGAGAGGGGCAGGCTGGAGACGAAAGCGGAGTAGGAGGGGTAGTTTCGGGATATTCTTATCGTGGGGCACGTATGACGGAAGGTCGTCTACCGAGATAGCGAGCCTGAGAGAGGGCCCAGAGGCCAGACCTGCGAACATGTTGCGGCGTTGAGATCGCTAACGTGAGGACGACGCGATCGAACCTCGAGGGTCTCGCCGCAATCGAGACGGACGCGAGGGGCAGGTGAGAGGCCGCGGGAGGAAGCTTTTCGGCAACAACGGAGGTTTGAGGGTCGCGATGGGGTCCCCGGAGAGTGCCTGAGATAACAGCAGCTTGTGTGCAAGGGAAGCGAGTGTGATGTGTGCCAGCGCAGGTCCTATCAAGTCAACACAGGAGCCCGAGCAGCTGTGTGCGGCGGGCTTCCCGCACGAATTTGATCGGTCTCGTACTTCTTCCGAACACAAAAGGGGACGCGCAAGCAGCGCTATAACACCGGATATGCAAACGTTTCTTCTGCATCCGCGCGACACATTGCCTTGTGTTACGTTGGCGCGAGTAAGGGTGTCTGTACGTCTGAGGAACGGATGGTCAGGCATTCCAGAATATTTGCTGCGCTGCGGCTGCTACGTGAATGGCATTCGCCACCAAGAAACGCAAGTCACCGCGCCTCGTGTAGACCTGCCTCCAGACAGGTCAGTATCGCCATCCGGAAGCTTTGCAGGTACGCACCTTGAGTTCAGAACCTAGACCATCGATGGTAGTACTCGAGCACATGCGGCAACCAATCCCGACCACTTCGGTCCGAATATCCCGTCTACATCAGGATAAACTATTGCCTATTACAACGTCATCTAGACGGCGCTAAAAGTACCGGAGCCACGACCAGCGAGCGGATGCGGAGGGAAGCGGGGAAAAGAAGCGACGAGAATGGGAAGCCTGGCAGCGATGCGTGGAAGTGCGCCACCGCAAGATACCGTGCCAATGGGCTCGGACGGCGGTGGAGCAAAAGGGATCCGGGAATGCGGAAAGGACCGTGGGCGAGTGGGAAAGGCTGAATTCCATGAAAGAAAGAAGGGCGGTGGGCGTGTTCGCGCTGCATCACTATGTCCATCATGCTTCGCCGCGTCCGAGAAAGACCGGCTGGATTGGGCTGCGGCGGCGTGTAGACGACGGCCGCGGTCTATCGGGAAGTGACCTAGAGTTGATAGAGTCATAGAACAACGAACATGACGGCGATTCGCATCGGAACACCGTTGACCGGGGTCAGTAGTTGCGGTGAGAACCACCTGCGTTTGAGTCCTTGTATGCTGAAGTGCGTAAGCTGGTGCTTCGACAGTACCAACTCCGTCCAGATCGTAAGTTTGCGAATTCATGCACGACGCACCATGGCACCAAAACTGCGATCGTTGCTGAGACTGACCTCCTGATACTGGACCGTTCCCACCCTAGCCTGATCTTCTCCTCTTCTCGCGACAAGCCGAGAGTGTAGCTGGACCAATAGCAGAACCGGATGGACAAGGATACTGAAGGGTCTGGCGTGCTTGAACGGCAATTATAACGAAGGAGAGCCAGGCCCATTACGATGGGACCACATACGACCTCGGAGCTGAAAACATCATCATGGCAGTGCAAGGTGCCAGAGACATATTGTGAGCTTGGTTTCGGGTGGTATCAGCCATGGGACTTACTGCTCGGATCGTCGGAGACGGTAGGGGCGCGAATGACATTGCTGCGAGATTATGAGCCTCCACAGTGCATGACATCTAGACAACCGGTTTGGGACACATGAAGGAGCCTCTGGAAGCGAGCTGAGGTGCGGCAAGTACTCAGCACAAACCATGTCAGCACTGCACTGAATGATCGAGAAACATACCACATACATCAGGAATTAATGATACCCAGTGGGTTGGGTGGCTGGGGGGCCGCGAAAGTCTTGAGCTTCTGGTCCAAATGGCGTTGCGAAGTGTACAGCCATAAAGCGAACAGAAATCGACATGATGAAGGCGCAGATGGCCACATCCCGAATATAACACTTGCATCGGCGCAGGGCGAGCACTAGGTGGCCGACAACGGGAGACGGCCGACCGCAGTACCAGCGATCGACACCCAGCGCTTGCTCGGGTCCGTGGTTATCACCGGAAACGCCATAAACCGGGAGCGAGGCCTACCACCTGACGTCAGTCCGTCGTTGGATATACAAGTCGTTAATCACCTAGGACCGGCGCACACGATCGACCTCGGCGGTCGGACTTGCCAATCTAGGTCTCTTGTTGGCTCGCTGCATTGTGCCGACGATGGGAAGGTAAGTAAGGGACAACAGCTCAGCTCGACTCAAAACGCGGCAAACCAACACTAATCCAGGCGATTTGGTAGATCTGGCACTTCGTCTTGATCTAATGCACCGGCTGAGCGAAGGAACGCCGACAAATTTGACGTGTTCCGGGTACGTATGGATCCACGCGCACCGGCTTCTGTCTTGCTGGGTCCTGGAAAGGCAGTTTCTTGATAGCTGTCCTCCGACACACGACGCAGTGCCATGGAACTCGGTAAGCTGTGCATGGCTTTGTTTAGTGTCTCATAAATTGCAGAGGCGCACGAAGGGAACATACATTGAGTTAAGCCGACTGCGATGCGAGACGCAAGGACCGCACGTCCGCCTGCGTGGCGAGCGAGCTACGGTCATTCATTGAACCGCGCATCGCACAGTTGGCAGACAGACGAACAGCAGATCGTTGCATCTGCGCTGTATGCAAGACCTTCCCTGCAGGTCTTGCGACAGCGGCCTACAGCTAGATGCACGGAGAATGGCGGAACAGTGCTCCTGGTGCACGAGCAATGCGTGAGTTTTCCTGTGTCACGATCACGGTAGGCTTTATCAGGCGCTATCGCACAAGACCAGGCGCTGTTTGAAAACCGAGAGTACGATACGTCAAACCGCTGCAAGAGTTCCGGTGAATTAACTTTGAAGTGCTGACAAGACAGGGGTGAAGCTTACATTGTCTACCATTCCCCTCACCATGAGGAAGCACACCACAGGAGAGCTCTAGCTGAGCACTGGGATCCCTAGGTGAAATATAGTCAGGTGGCTGTTACCGTCGTTGGTATATTGAGGTTGCGTCAGTATGAACCTGGAGCGCCGGCTATTCCACCATGGCGAGAAGGAAGACCGGCAGGACATTTAGTCTGCTACCAAAAGACTGTCGCATTCATCAGCCTGTTGACACGAAAAGTCCAAGAGGCAAGACGAGAGCGATCTGCAAGGAATGATAGTCTACCACCATGCAAGTGCACGAGTAAGCACTTGCTGGCATAATCTGAAGAGGACATAACGGCGCTGTTAATCGAACCCAGCGACGCCCAACTGCTGACATAATCGCAAGCATTCTGAAGTCAGCGCTAGCGCTAGCCGCTGTCTGGCATAACACACCTGGTGGTGCAAGCTAATCACCACCACCTGATTGTTTGCGCTGAATGCTCAGGGATCCACTTTGGAATGAGAACCTGGGTACTAGGAATTCACTTCACCAGGTACGAGGAGCTCAGACCGATTTTTGCTACGGGTCCAGTCTGGACTCACCTCGTTTTTGTCAACTCCTTCTTATGCTAGGAAATATCAAGTATCGAGTCAAAGAATTCCAAGGTTTCAAGAATGTTCAGGCCAAGCCGCTGTCAAGTCCCGAGGTCGCTAGAACTTCTCTCCTGTACCCGGGCCTCCCGGGTACTGACTCTCATCATGAAGTCCATTTCACAGAACACCAAGGCCTGACACGTGCATTCTCCTGCGGAGTTCTTCGACTCTTCGGAACCAGAAGTTGCCGTGAATAGCATGGGTTTAATAGCACCCCAGTAACGAGTCGGCGATGTCTACGGAGTATACACCGTGGTTGGCCTAGGCGGCTCTGGGGAGTGCGCACTCGCAGCGGGGGTGTTCCGCGCCCTCCCGCTTGCATTCCCCGAGTTGCTCGCGGGCATGATGGCCGCGGTCGGACCCTTCGTCCAGGATTCGGACGTCAAGGTCCTGTACAGCGTTGTGGACATCGCGGGGCTGAATGACCTCCTCTGTCCGATCCTCGAGAACGCAGCGGGCGCGGTCGCGGGCATGGTGAGAGCGTACCATGGGCCAATGAGCGAGAAACGCGTGCCGCCCTCTCCGCCTGGAGCGGAGAACGTGTGCAGGCGGGACAAGGGGAAGATTGATTGCGATGACGTGGTTGGGGTGATGATTTCTGCGGTGACCCACGCGCGGTCGCTCCTCGCCAGGCTCGATCGCACACAGACCATAAGTGTTCCGTGACAGGCGCAGGCGGACGAGTGATAGAGCGTCTAACGTCCAAGATTCTTCGACGGCGTCCTCGACCTCACGACAACAGAGCTCGCGGATGAGCTCGTAGGCGGGGTCCTCGCCACGTGTCCGCATCTACTCGACGTGGCCGAGCGCAAGGGCGTGCCCCAGGTCATTTCGCTGGGCGCTTTGGAGTTTGTATTCTTCGGGCCTATGAATACCGCCCCGAGTAAGTGGCAAACGCGTTGGAAGAAGTTGTGTCAACATGCCCCTGCGTCATGCTCATACGCACGACACGGGAGGAATGCGAGCAGTTCGGAGAGACCATCGCGAGGCAGTTGTGGGAGTCCGGTGCGAGGCTAGACGGCACGGAATTGAAGGTTCCGCGCGGAGGCGTGAGCGCATAGCGGCGTGAGCGGTGGCGCTCTTGAGGATCGAAAAAAAGCGGATGGTGTACTTTTCCATGGTTGACGATGGTCTGGCCGAAGGTGGAGGACGCAACAGGTAGTCTGGTTGGGATGCTGGGTCTGGACCCTGAAGTTACAGGTAATAGTGCGCAGGTACGATAAGATGACTTCCATATTCTTTGGACGAAGAGCATAGTTTTGTGACAATCAACGGCGAGCTGGTACTGAGATAGGAAAGACGGTGAGTAGAATTGATTGGGCTGGTCACTTCGCCTACGCTGCTGAAGAGCATCAATTTCTGTCGAGTGGGTCTCGGAAGCCCGGAAGGCACACTTTCGAGATTCTATGATATCTTCAGCGTGACTCGACTTCATGACGTGGGAAAGCTCGGTGAACGTACCTAACTCAGATCCTAATAAGTCGGCACTACGCCACAAGAAAGCGTCCCGGAAGCTACACGTGGAATAGAACGGGCTATGTGAATAAGTACAGGCACAGGTTCTGATATATATCTCGATACAAAACATTCCTATGACAACATTGCTATGCGAGTGCAGTGTGAAGAGAATCTTACACTGCTCCCGATTACGAGGGAAGGCGGATGTGGGTGTCGTGTAACAGTATCGGTGGGAATGTATGGGCTTGGGATGGGTGAAGGCAGGAGTGTAGTATGTAAACAGCGTAACGGCGAAACAGACGGAGGATAGCACGATACAACTGGAGACCCAAAAGACGTGGACGTGAACATGACGTGAACAGGACATGGATGCATCGGGAGACGTCGACTGACACGAAGAGTCCGTAGGAGCGAGTGTACGACGGAAGTCGAGCACAGAAGAGGGGAGGGGGTAGATGAGCAAACACTCAGTCCCAACCCTCCTCTGCGCTTCTCCTCACGAGGCGGCGGACCTTCTTCTTGTACCCTGTGACGGCCACGGAGATTCAGTACATGACTGCGAAAGCAAACACACTGGCATACCTTCGAAGTCGGTTCGAACTTCTTTCGCCGCATCCACATTAGCGGGACTGTCCAAATTTGGCTTGTCGGATGAAAGGAGGGAGATCACGCTGAGAAGCTGCAGGACGGTGGAATGTGAGCGACGGCCTAGAAGGGCACATTGGGGAACTAACAATCGACTCGACAGTGTGCACGGGCAGCCAACGCTCTCCGGATTCTTCATATCCATACTGATCTTCACCTGGTGGATGCTGGAACGATGCATAAGCCCAATGTGCCTGTTGTAGAGCATGCGAACGACTGACTAGGATCGAGATGCAAACGACGCCATCGGGGTAGACTGTGTAATGACGTAGGTAAAACGATGCAGGGACATGGATTGGGATGGACGCACTGTTAGGATGCCACATCGGTGTGATGAACTTCATCTTCGGAGGGTTCAGGGGGAAGTCTTCCGGGAAGCTCAGGCGAGCTTTGAAGAAGCCACCCTCGCTAATGAAGCGAGTCAGGACTACTTCCTGTGATATGATTAAATACGAGATGGTCGTACTATATGGTGTCCGGAGGGCTAACAGAAGACAGCATCGTTCAAATCTAGCCTGAAGAACTAGCCGCTAGGAGAGACGTACCCAATGATCATCACCTCCCACTCATAGAGGTTGTTGTCGTCGACAAGACCTGAAGCCGCGTACCATGATTCGAAAAAGGCATGCAACGTCGTACAGGATATCCATCATGCAGGTTCATCAGTGATTCGCTATATCCCGCGAAACCCGGACGGTCCGTACCTGCGGAAAAGCCTTCCAAGGGATGCTTGGTGAGTTCCGCGAGCTGACGCCGGAGTAGGAGAGTGTTGGAGGCCACATGGCCCGGAGCTCCAGACCTAGCAGACATTGTGCTGTGTTACTGCAGAGACGTGAGAGGAGGAGGATGCAGAAACGGCTGTGAGCGCGAGGATGGTGTGGGGATCGATGTAAGAGCGGAAGTTGGTATAGGCGCCCATGGATCTCGCAATTATGGCTTATATAACCCCACTTCAATTTTGTTTATCACAAGTCTTGCGCACCTTGATCCTCCTTGATCTCATTGTTATGCCAGCTTCATACGCTCCGGTTCTTTCGTAACCGCTGCTACTCAGTCCGCGCGAACATACCATAGTTCATAGCGGCTCAAGGTACACCTCAGGCCTTGATAGCTCTCCACGTATTGCTGAATCGATGCGACATAGCGGATTGGTCAGCACTCAAAAAACAAAGCGACCGACATATAAGAACTCCACGCGTAAAGCTCGAATTGTTGTACCTACCGATGGTCAAGACGACACAATCCATGTTTCTTGAGCTGGACATCTTTTCAAATGCTCCTCCCGCCTCCAACAAACGGCAAAAGATACTCAGGAACGGTTCAAGTGTAATACTGGAATTTAGGGAGGGACAACAGTCTCGGAAACTTTATCGATCAACGGTAGGTCTACTTGCTATGCGGTAGTAACGTGTCTAGCCTAGGACGCCCCAGTGGAAAACGAAGGTCGGTAGGCTGGTTCTACCCCGTGCAGAACAATCTACGTGCTCGGCTTGATAAATGAATAACCACTCGGTATCATCCTTCCCCGGGGCGTCAGATTGTACTTAAGAGTCTCTGCTCAGCAGGATGACGCGGCAACGCGCACAGACCAGCCCCAATGGTGTAGTAGCACCTCTCTCTTGACTGGTGTGCGCTCAGTGGACACCGGGGGGACATGGACAGCCTCCATAGACTCTAACGAATAGTCGAGCAAGATACGACTCAACAGCGCACATATGCTTATAAAAGGACTTGTCCTTGCATTTCCCTCCTGATTCCAGCTCTGTATACCCCGCTTTTCAAGATTTCTCTTCTCCTCGCCAATGCTGCGTGTATCTATCACGGTTTATTATCGCCTCGGTCGCCAACACGAGAGGGAGAACGGAACATAGGAGCTGGGTGTGCACAAGCTCATCACGGACGGGCCACACGTAATCGTACGCCGCCCGAGCTACATCGCCTCCGCCGTGATTGCGGCTCGGAACATCATCGTAATGACGATGGCGGGTCGTGGTACACGGAAGCGGGATTGCGAGGCACGCCTGCGGGGAAGTTGCTGGGGCATCCGTTGTTGGCGGTCGGGATCTACGTTGCATGAAACATGCTTTGTCGAGCCAATGGTGAGGAGGGGATGCTGAGGAAGGAGTTTACAGGACGATGGGACGCATGAGCCCCGAAGACGCCTTGCAAACCTGGTACCTTTCATTCACTCAGCAGAGTCCGGTAGATCAATGGGAATGGGAAGGTATTTCCGGTAAGCACAGTTTGGTGCCACATACCCAAGAGTCGTTGCTTAATAACACCGCGGCAGACTCCGTACGAGTGCAAGGTCCCATACCTTATCTTAGCAGACGATTGATAAGAGATGCACACGCGAGGATTGTCTACAACTTCGATTTTTTGCAGCTCCTGAACTACAAATGCATGTCTGAGCTGGGAGGTCGTGATGCAGATCTTCATTGCCTCTTGCGCAGCTTTCGAATTTCTGAGCCCATTTCCAGAGCGCGTCGCCCTTCGACCCACTGCATGGCCTCTGAACGACGAAAACGGATTGAGCTCATCCCGGCCGTCCCATGTACTATGTGATCAGCTAAATTAGACGCACCACCGTATGTCTTCGGCACTACAATCCTCTTCAGCGGGGGGCCGGTCTCCCGACACCAGGTGAACCTAAAGTCGTTCGTTCGTTGCTCTGTCCCTGTTTCGAGATCCACTACATCGGCGTGCACCCAGACGTGCTATGCGCCCTCTGAGACGTGAGTTCGGCTATAGCATGGCAGAAAGGTACGTACTACTAGTGCAGGATAGTCTTTTGATGAAGATGAATGCACAATGTTAGATGTGAGACGGAGGAGGGAGCCAATAGGGACAGGGCGAGCAAACGAGATGCCGTCAAGAGACACAAACGTTACGTGCCCACGCGTGAACAGACACGAGTTGGCAAACCCGAGCTCGTATGCGAGTCGCATTAGGTAGCCACCAAAGATCTTCTGATGCACGCTGTGGTGAAGAAGTGAGTCTTTCGCAGTTTGATCCGAACAGATTGGAAACATACTTTCGCTCCTGAGGGAACATCACCATTGTTTTCTCGAGACGGGTATCTCCCAGCCAGACCCTCTCCACATCCTCATTCAGGTTAGACGTCTTTTCCTCTTGTCCGTAATTGAGATACATAGAGTGTAGCTCTTGGGATTCGGACGCAGTAGGCGGAACACGGTCGAGAGAACGGTCTGCTTGCGTCTGCCGGCGACGCCTGTGGACTGGAGGTCCGTCAGTGAGGCCTCAACAACTACGAAGAGTCCGAGAACAATGAACCTTCTCCGATGTTGTACAACTGGCGATCTTCCTCCGTATCCAACAAGAGTGGGTTCACCGGCCTCGAACGGTGTGTGCGTCCATCCCTACATACCATGCAGAATCGACCTGGTATTCTAATAGTTGATGTCATACATTGTATGAGATATGGTTGAATGATACTTACCCACCATAATGGTCTGCTCGCGACCGTCCTTCTCCAAGGCTTCCATTCGTACTGCGACTTCCATCGAGCTCTTACCCGTATGGATGATCTGCCCGCTCAATCGCATGTCCCGCACAGGGTAGAGGGATGCAAGCATATCCAGCCTATCACGCATGTCAGCTGTAGTTTTCAGAGACTTATCGAAAGTCGGGTGGACCAGACCTCTCAACCGAGGCAGTGACGATATAGAAGCCAGCGTCCGGCGGCAACGCTGGAACCTTGGGACCCAGCACATGCTTATACGCAATACTGCCTGAGAGCGAGTCTAGGTGCTCCATAAGCAAGCCTGTCCTGATGCCTCCGGATGCGTTCGTGTGTCTGTCGAGCACTTCTGGAGATGAGGCAAATGGGAGCAGGATCTCGCAGTAGGAGTCTTGCATGCGTCTCGGTTCCAGAGCGTGCTTGAGTGCAGGGTTCGCTGTGTCTTGGACAGGCTCCCGCTGCTCTGTAATAGATAGCTTGCTCAGTGCCTCGGACCAGAGGCCTTTTGAGCGTACTGGGAGGAATCTGCCGGCCCAATGTCAGTTCAAATTGCGGGCGTGAACGTATGTTGGCGCCGTGTCCAAATAGCTTACGATTGATGGGCTGGGTCCGTGCGATCTCCTGCATCAACCCGGTCAGTGTCAAGTGCTGTGTCAGTTGCTTTAAACTTACGAAACGTTCTCAGCAATTTGTCCATAGTCGCTATGTTCTGCGTTTCTTCCACCGCACCGAGTTCGTACGAACGGTGTAAAGTCGCATCCAAGTTACGCATAGCAGCGCTACATCGGAAATCGCGCCCAATGGCAGGTGCTTTGTACTTGACCGCGAGACTTCTTCGCGCCGCAGAATACATAGCGACACGGCAGCGGAGAGTAGAGGCACGAACTTGAAAAGCGCCAGCTCGGAAGGTTCTCCGCGAATCGCCGGCTCTTCGAACACAAACCCGGTAAAATCGGATTTGGAGCCCGGCCGGTCCGTGAACGCTCATACACGAATCGTCCGAAGGCCGCACTGTGCAAAGTTCGGTCACGGTTGACACCTACTATAGTAATCCCGTCCAGCACTGTCCACCTCTTTGCGTGCGAGGTTTGTACTACAGCGTTAAGTACACCCCCGTGTGCGGCGAATGCGAACAATTGTTGCATGTTGCATCTTCGTCCGAGTCCCAGGACCTTATCAGAGACGTGCCGTCTTATCAAGCCACTGCTAAAAATGTTTGATAGTCCGCACGCAACAGTACTAGTGCTGGAAGTCCTCGTGAGTGATCGCTGTGGTCCCCGACGCTTTCTATTGGACGAACACAACTAATCCCTTGTTCCCATAGACATGACAGCTTGATAACACGCTGAAAGTGCTCAAGTAGGCCCTATTGTTATCATAGGATTGTCGGAGGTTGCTCCTGTCAGAACACCCTTCATGCGCCCGCCGCGTAGACACATGCACTCACATGGGCTCCTATCGACACCGGTCCTCTTGGTCCCAGCGTGAACAGTGCTAACTCCTCCCTGCCCTTTCTTCTGTTCTCTGCACCTTCTAGAGGCCAGCCCCACTCGAACCCTGAGACCAATACCATGGGTTGCCACGAAGCACTCAATAACGGAGACGTCGTCTACCTCGTTATCAGCTGTCTTACGCCGGAAATCGAGGATCGCGCACCCCAGTGGAAGCAAGAACGTCGCGAACGAAACAAAGCCCTGGCACGTTTTGCTTGCGTCTGTAAGAGCTTCCGTCTTCCGGCTTTGCAGATGCTCTGGCGGAGGCTGGAGAGCATGCTGCCTCTACTTCGTCTCTTTTCGGCGCTACGACATGTCAAAGCCGAGGATGGAGACAATGAAGTTGACCTGCACGTAAGTCAATATCCTACAGCGCGACGGAGCCCACAATGCTTATACATCAGTCTAGGTGCTTTCAGGCGAGATCCTCCCTCATGAGTGGGAGAGATTTCTCGTGTACGCACAATATGTCCGCACAGTTGATTCGGCGTCGCGTCCAGTGGGCTTTGCCGCGCAGACACGGATCGCTCCCTCGGTATGGAGCCACATGGGACGCCTCGCATGCGGCAACCCTCTTTTGCCCAATCTTCAAGAGCTCGGCTGGGTAGTCCCTTCGCCGCAGTGCACTGGGATCCTTCCGTTTCTCTCGCCGACCATTGCACAGCTCAACATCGTCTGTTTCGGGATTGACGGCGATGCCGCTGCGGACATCGAGCACGAATGGAACGTTGCGCTACAAGCCATACTGCCGACCGTCTTCTCCGTTGCTTGCCAGATCACCAGATTGACCATGACGACTGGTCAGATCGACTACTTTACACCTCATCTAGCCTCTCTCCGCTTCCTTCGCTATTTCCGCGCCACTAGGGTGAACATCCGGACCCTGCGCATTCTGGCCGCTCTTGAAGATCTCCAAGAACTTCACGTTGGCAATTTCGACACCGCGGACGAAGCCGTCATATCGTTCTCAGGATTTTTGCGACTACGGACTTTGATCATCTCCGAACACCCCTCCAGCAGCTCGGTCTACAACGCCTTTTCCTCTCAAGAACTCACCAAGCTGTACGTACTCGAATACCCCGGCGAGTATCGCCACGCCTTACCTGAAACCTGCGAAATTTGGGCACATCGCTTCCCGAGTCTGCAAGTTCTGTGCTTCTATATTTCTCGACACAGCGGCGATGACGCTTCGCAAGTGCGTCCACTCCGCGACGCTATTACTCCGCTATTCGCCCTATCGGATCTGCGTACCGTGGGGTTGGCCACTTGGCACACGGTGTTCTCGATCGATGATTCCGACATGGCGGCATGCTCGCAGGCGTGGCATCGCCTCGAGGCTCTGCGACTTAGCTTTCCCTTCGGCACGAGCGATGCGAGGATGGACTCGAACACCTGCCCCACCCCTTCCTCCTTGCTCGCCTTCGCTAAGAAATGTCCAGAACTCAAGGAACTCCGTATTCGACGCCTCAAGGTCAATCGCGACAATCTGCTGCATCTGAATACACTCACTTCTCATTGGAGCCACGGGCTGCGGTATCTTGACGTTGAGCATGTCGACGCCGATGATAACGTGGTGCCGGATCTCGCCCGATGGATCGTCCGTCTTTTCCCGCATCTCGTGCCTCAAGTCCGGAATCCAGACCAGAGCTGGAAACGAGTACTCGATGCAGTGAGGAAATGCCAGTCTGGGGATATATAGCAAGAGTGTTTCCGATCATGATGAAGTACTTCTACAGATGCGGATGCATAGTTTTAGGTGAGCCCCGCCTCATCACCGTAATCGAGTGCTCAGTGACTTTGCGGCAACTGAAATGTTTCTAGAGATCAACGGTCCAAGACGTTCGGAAAATGGGGGGAAGGGATGGGACATACAACGGCGAAGGATGCTTGTCTCGTTCGAGTGTACACTATGTGGCTACCTCAGATGTACCGGGTCAGCTTTAGTTGACGTGCTCATGATGGGGTATTTCCTTGATATGATACATCCGCATGGTTGCTACCTCGCTACCACTCAAACTGGGAGACGGCCACCAGGATGGGCAACGGGTATTCTGGAATCTATGCCCGTGAATGCATGGTCGCCGGGGAAGCAGCACCCGAGCTTCCAAAATGTTTGGGTCAAGCTAGGTCTCCTTCCTCATGGTGACTGGCTGAGTTGAATGTATTCTATGAATAGGTCGATGTCAACTGTAATCAGTTGTAACCTCAGCGTAATTTCAAGATTTAGATCAACATATTTGTGAGGAAGGCTTCATGAGAGCGGGTTAATTGGAAGAGGCGCTCAAGCCGTCGACATCCCGGCGAGCCGGAGTCTTGATGGTTCGCCACCAGTACTCTCGACTGGTAACACTTCTGCCCCTTGCAACGCTGCTACTTTTCTACAACCTCATTTCTGTGCAAACATCCCCGACATCCCTTCAGCCTTGTCGCATTCTAAGGCCGAAGTTATGGATCGCCATAACGCATTTGACAACGCCGACGTTGTCTACCTCATCCTCAGCTGTCTCGCCCCCGACATCGATGATTGTGAGCTCTGGGAATCAGAATCTCGCGCGCGGAGCAGGTCTCTTGCGCGATGCGCTCGCGTCTGCAGTAGCCTCCGTCTTCCAGCGTTGCAAGTCCTCTGGCGGAGGCTAGAGGACATGTTGCCTCTCCTTCGCCTCTTCTCTGGGCTACAGATAGTGGAAGCGAATGATATCAACGGCGGAGTCGCGCTCTACGTGAGTTTCATTACTGTACCTTTATGCGTCGAGACCTCCTGATACGGGACTTCAAGACGCTCACAAGCGAAATCTTACCACATGAGTGGGAGAATTATCGCGTGTACGCTGAGTACGTTCAAAAAGTGGACTCGATATTTCGTCCGGCGGGCTTTGCTGCCAAGACACGCATCGATCCCTCGGTTTGGATCCAGTTGGGACATCTCGCCTGTGGAAGCCCTCTCTTGCCGAACCTCCTTGAACTGGGCTGGGTCATCTTGTCACCGAAATGCACTGGGCTTTTGTTCTTCCTTTCACCCAACATAACACGCTTGGGCATCGTGTCTTTCGGGATCGATGAGGACGCTGTTCCGGACAATGATGATGAGTGGCAAGCTGTGTTGCAAGCTTTGCTCCCAACCACCTTTCAAGTTGCGTCTCGTATCACCAGGTTGACCATGGCGACCGGTCAGATCGACTACTTCTCTCCACACCTGTCGAACCTTCATTCGCTTCGTTGTTTTCGTGGCACCAAAGTCGATATCCGCACACTTCGCGCTCTTGCCTCCCTTACAGAACTTGAAGAGCTGTACGTTCACCGATTTGACACTACCGATGAGCCTCCGGTGTCGTTCTCCGGATTCCCGCGGCTGCGGGTCCTGATCATCGCAGAGCATCCCTCGAGCAATCTAGTCTATGACGCATTCGCTTAGCCGCAGCTCGAAGAACTTCTCATTCGTGAATATCCGGGCCATTATCCCCTCAATATCACCGATAGCTGCAAGATTTGGGCGCATCGCTTCCCATCTTTGCAGACCCTTTCCTTCTATATCTCTAAGGAAGACCATGACGGACCGCCTCGTTGGCGTCCGCTCCGCGATCCCGTGGCTCCACTTCTTGCTCTCCGGAACCTACGAATCGCGAAGCTCGCTACTTGGTACACAATGTTCTCTATCGACGACGCCGACATGACTGCGTTTGCACAAGCATGGCCTCGCCTCCAGTCTCTGCAACTCTGCTTCACTTTTGGCGGGTACGGTCCAGGCTCGCGCCCAATGCCCTCTCCTACCCCCTCCTCTCTACTCACGCTGGCCACGAGGTGCCCCGACCTCAAGGAGATTCGAATCAGACGTCTTACGGTTCTCCGGAATAGTTTGCCTCTCTTAGACGAACACTCTGTTCCGCGTCATCATGGTCTACAGCGTCTGGGCGTCCAGCATGGCAACCTTGAGGACGCTATGGTACCTGAGTTCGCGCGCTGGCTGGATCATCTGTTTCCCCGTCTCGTGCCCAAGGCGTTGAACCTGGACGAAAGTTGGATGCGAGTGTTGGATGCCGTCAAGATTTGCCAAGCAGAGCGGCTACAGCAACAACCCTTGCCGGAGTAGCAAAGCCTTTGCACACAATCGGTAGACTCCGTGGCGATCTGGCGCATTGTCTATCTCAATGCTACGACATACAGATATTCGGGCCGCCGACCCCGGAATTTTGCGAGAGAGAGGGGTACAGTCCTAAAGAAGGTATCACTGACGGGGAGGCCACTCGGTTCGTTGAGGCGTTCCCCTTGCGGCTATCACACGCGTAGATTGTCAAGTATGATCCTACAAACAACGCTATCAGCACTCACAGAGACCGTGTATCCACTGGGATGCTGGTTGACTGCCAATGCAAGACGAGCGTCAGGAAAGACGGGCCCTTGATGATCAGCACACGGATACGTCGTCTCGAGGTCAGAAGAGTGGTCTATGTCACTCAAAATCTCACTGCGAGCGAGAGCATCTTCCTTCGTACACCCAGGGTGGGGCGCGTGCAGTCTAGACAAGGGGTTGACGTCGACTGTCGTCAGTCGCGGTCCCTCTGGGCTGGGAATGAAGAACGTGAGGCGAGAGCAAAAGGGCAAGAAGTATCTCTGCTTGTGGACCTGATGTACCTGATTACGGAACTCGTCGTATTTGATCAGGACGCTCCCGTCAGGACCCCATTCGTGCCACTGCCGCGTGGAGGCGTTCATGACGCTTTGTACGCTGCTAGCACGCTCGACGTGGTGTCGGAACGTAGCGCGAGGAATTAGGAGAAGGACGCGATTGCTTTGACTAGTATTCGCGCGTCCCTTGCAGAAAATCATCAGTTGAAGGACGATGACCCGTTGGGCGAGATCCGGCCAGAACACTGCAGAGGGCGGAGAGGTCGGTGGAGTAGGAGCCCAGGACTCCGAGCTGTAGCGTGGTGACATAGCCTATAGGTTGTCCATCTTCCGTGGCAAAGCGGTAGATCGCGATAGCGTTGTTGCGTCCTTCTGTTGCTCGAAGTCGATTGGTCCCTCCCTATTCCGACCGTCACAGCAAAAAACGACGGATTGATGAATGTCATTGAGGCACCGTACGGACCGCGAACATCCTGTGTGTCGTTTGTTGAGAGCCACTGAGTCTGAGCACCAACAACGTACTAGCATCTCGCACCCCGTCATCCAGTTCCGAACTTGCAGGTAGGGTTCGAGCGTGTCGCCCCCATGCCACGGCATCTTCAAAGCAATGTATGAGCCATATACCTGGGCGCAGATGATCTCGAGCCAAGTCCCTCCTGTATGTGTCCCTGCAGGAGGAACCAATCATGTACTTTTTGCCGCAAGAGATGAGGTAGAGCACCGCCGCTCTCCGGTAAGAGAGGAGACAACATCATGCCGCTGGTCTGGGGAGAGCTAAGCCGACGAAGCGACGTGAACAGCACGCACTGGACATTCATAAGCGGAGCCCCCACGAGGTCCTGAGTGACGTCCACGGCGAGGATGCTGTTCTCCAGGTTCTGCGGCAGCGATATCGCCCAACGGCGAGCGTCGGTGTTCTCGGCGTGGGAGGGCGGCGAGTACAGTACGATCAACGAGCGTGCTGTGTCTGTCCACAGCTCATACGAGATCGAGCTGCCAAACGCGCAGCGGACGAGGTCCTCCGTTCGGCGGCTATACCGCATCCCGTCGTTCGCGGCCTCGCCCACTCGCCCGTGTAGCATGACAAGTCGCCCACGCACGACCGCCGGCTATACTCTCGCAGCTTCTGGAGCCGTTCTAAGGTTGTCAGCCCCGCAGTGGGTGGGCCGTCGATCATTCCGTTGATGGCCAATTCGATGCAGTACACTAGGCGTGTGTCTGTGTAGATTAGGGTCCTGAGGAACCGGCAAACCTAAACGTAGTACGACGTCAGGACGGGTATACGAAGACTGTACCCTATCGCTCACCCTTTTACACGTAAGGAGTGTGCGTGCATCGAGAAGACCGAGTAGGACAAGCAACACATCCTCCGGCAGACTGCAGAGTCCTCTGAGGTCGCCGCCATCTGCGCGATTCGAGGGTGGATATGTAGGTGCCTGTGCAGCAACTTTCAGTTTCGGGCCTGCCTCCAGTGGCTGGGACCGATTATGGTGAAGAGCCTTCGAAACGGCCGATCGCTCGAAGGAGCTCAGTCTTTTCATAGTTGTGAAGCCAAGGGGACTTCATTAGGGCTAGTCAAAGATGGCGATTCGGTGGACGATTCGAGGGAACGATTCGGGAGACGATTCGAGAAGGGGGGAATCCGCGATTCTGGCAGAATCGCGTCGAATCGCCGGTGCGAGTCTGGAGGAGCACCGCCCACCCGAATCGCGATTCTCTGCACTCGATTCCCTCAGCCCAACCTCGGATAAGCCCTCTTAAAATAGGTTATATGTCCAAATTTTATTGGGGTTTGTCTTAGCACGTCTTACGAGCGACCATGGCCCTACTGCAAGCTTGCCGCTTCTCTACTTTTATCAGAATTGCCGGTCTACAGATTCCCTCCACCTTGAAATGTCCGATCAGACCGAAAACCCTACTTTCAGAAAGTCTGGCCGTCTCACTTGGCAACCTTCTGCTGGCTCTGGCACGAAGACCGGGAATCAAGTGCGCCGTGTGTCTTGTTGATGAAATGGATATATTTTTTCTGAGGTCCCAAGAGCTGTAACGAAGCATAGTAGGGGGAAGAGCAACGCGGCACACGGAGAGGAACCATCACGCGAGGATTACCTGATTTTGATATCACAGACGCCCGAAGGCCTGACCGACCTGGAATCGACCCGTAGAAACGTGGGGTGGTCAAAGTGCCCACACGAATCCAGGACGATTCCCTTCGACAGAATCGCTGCAGAATCGCTCGACGAACCGTCCTCCGAACCGCCATCTTTGACTACCCCTATTGACGTGGTGAGAACCTGCACATGGCGGCCTTAGGTATCTGTTCAACCGTTGCAAACTGGACAGCGCTTACCTCAGGAATTCGGGGCAAGGCAACACCGCCCTTCAAACGACAGTGACCAAAAGCAATACCAGAAGATGCGTCGTGAAGCCCAAGTCTATTGCGATGGTATGCTATGACATGGCTCGTAACATAATTATTTTGCTCCGGGAATCAATAAAAACACAAAACAATGCGATGCGTATGCGTATAAATGCGTGTCACAGAACCCATCCATCACAGCTCGTCGTGCGACCTGCTGTACTCGTCGTCATCATCGCCCGCCGGGGCGCCACCACTGTAGAGCTTGCTCGTGATCGGGTTCACGACGGCCTGCACCTCCCCGAGCTTCTCCTCAAGCTCCTCTGCGGTCGCCGACTGGCCGTTCTCGTCGATCCAGTCTGTCGTCTCCTTGACCGCGTCGAGGATCGCCTTCTTGTCCTCGTCCTCAAGTTTGCCGCCGAGACCGTCCTGGTCGGCGAGCTGCGTCTTGAGGCCGTACACGAAGGACGAGAGGTGGTTAAGCGCCTCGATACGCTTCCGCTGAGCCTCGTCTTCCGCCGCGAACTCCTCTGCCTCCTTCACCATACGCTCGATCTCTTCAGGTGACAGACGGCCCTTTTCGTTCGTGATCGTGATCGACTCCGACTTACCGGTTCCCTTGTCCACCGCCGAGATCTTCATGATACCGTTGGCGTCGACTTCGAAGGTGACCTCAATCTGAGGGACACCCCGGGGTGCGGGAGGAATACCGGAGAGCTCGAACTTGCCGAGGAGGTTGTTGTCCTTCGTCAACGAACGCTCGCCCTCGTAGACTTGGATCAACACGGTCTGCTGGTTGTCGGCAGCCGTCGAGAAGCTAAGACAGCAATGTCAGCATCGCTCGCAAGCTACATGGAATCACGAGGACACTCACATCTGACTCTTGCGAGTGGGGATGACGGTGTTACGAGGGATGATCTTGGTCATGACACCACCGGTGGTCTCGATACCAAGAGTGAGGGCGTTGACGTCGACGAGGACGACGTCACCGAGGGACTCGTCGCCGGCAAGGATACCACCCTGGACGGCAGCACCGTACGCGACAGCCTCGTCGGGGTTGATACCCTTCGAGGGCTCCTTGCCAAAGTACTCCTTGAGGAGTTGCTGGACCTTGGGGATACGAGTCGAGCCACCGACGAGAACAATCTCGTCAATGTCCTCCTTCTTGAGGTTCGCGTCCTTGAGGACTTGCTCAACGGGCTTCATGGTCTTGCGGAAGAGGTCCATGTTGAGCTCTTCGAACTTGGCGCGGGTGAGCGTCTCGGAGAAGTCGTTGCCGTTCTCAAACGACTCGATCTCGATGCGAGTCGACTGCTGGGAAGACAGCGTACGCTTAGCCTTCTCGACCTCGCGCTTGAGCTTGCCCATAGCGCGGAGATTGGGGGTGACGTCGGTGCCAGTCTTCTTCTTGTACTGTTTGACGAGATAGTCGATGACACGGTTGTCGAAGTCCTCACCGCCAAGGTGAGTGTCACCGGCAGTAGCCAAAACCTCGAATACACCGTCGTCGATGGAAAGGAGAGAGACATCGAAAGTACCTCCACCGAGATCATAGACGATGATCTGTGACTCGCCACCCTTCTTGTCAAGACCGTAGGCGATGGCAGCTGCGGTGGGCTCGTTGATGATACGGAGGACCTGGAGACCGGCGATGACACCTGCATCCTTGGTAGCCTGACGCTGCGCGTCGTTGAAGTACGCGGGGACAGTGACGACGGCGTGCGAGACGGGACGGCCAAGGTAGGCCTCGGCAGTCTCCTTCATCTTGCCGAGAACCATGGCGGAGATCTCCTCGGGAGTCTGGGCAAAATGTTAGTACTTTGCAGGACTGATGATAGGAAGCTACGCACAAATTCACGGGTCTCACCGCGATATTTGACCTGGACGCTAGGCTTCCCGCTCTTGTTGACGACCTTGAACGGCCAGTGCTTCATGTCGCGAAGGATTTCAGGGTCATCGAACTTGCGACCAATAAGACGCTTGGCGTCGAAGATAGTGTTCTCCGGGTTGGAGTGGAACGCATTCTTCGCGCTGTCACCAACACTGCAAATGGAGGAATTGGTACGTGGGTCGAACGGCACAAGCGAGAAGACTTACAGTCGTTCCTCGTCCGAGAAGCTTACCCATGAGGGGGTGATACGGTGACCTTGGTCGTTCGCAATGATTTCAACACGTCCGCCGCGCTGTACACCAACGCAAGAGTATGTCGTTCCAAGATCTGAGGCGAGGTCAGGTCGCGAACACGTCTAAGAACACGTTGCTACTTACCGATACCAATCACCGGGCCATACTTGGCCTTGTCCTCATCGGCGTTCACGGAAATCGGGCATAAAAGAATGAGAGCGAGGAAAGCGAGGAAGACAAGGGACAGCGACGACAGCAGTCGTCGTAATTGTGTCCGCGTCGGTCGACGGGGGAGAGACATGGTGGACTGAGGGGAGAGAGGAGGGTGTTTGCGATCCCGCAAGCCGGTCGCGCGTATTTATTCCAGCACACTCGAACTCGCCACGTCAACACCTCAGCATAGACGCCGACCCCGGAAACCGCGCCTGCTGGGCAAGCGACTGACGTGGCCGAACCACCGACATCATGGGCGTTTGTACCGGCGTCTCACCCGAAACGGCAAATGAACCTATCTCGAATGGCCAAGAAGACGCCGAAATTTCCAGAAATGCAAAGCAGATGCACGGGGTCCTCCGCTGTTTCATCTCAAACGCTGCCACGTCGTCCATACGCTCCATCACCGGACTTCTCTGCCCCTGCACCGCTCGGACTTTTGTCGTACAGCGGTCATGCTGAGCACAACATTTCGCCGAGGGTCTTCTCAGCAGCATGGGCGACCACGTTAGTCTGACCGAGCGACACGTTTGGTGACAGATTCCTGGACGCTCGAGGGGATTGTGCGAAAACTATTGATCAGTCTGAACATTGCGCTAGGGCGTACATAATGCGCGCCCAGTTGATGACAGATGCTGACAAGGTGTAAGGAAGGTCCTGCATGAATGTGACGACCAACTGCTTCCGCAATGTACACTCATTCGTTCAGCAACTGTAGATCATGCGAAGTTCGGAGCATGGTCCCTACAATATTTGACTCCTTTCAAGAGAGAGCATGCACATTGATGTTAAATGCTTCTTCACCTTCACCAAAGAATTGTAAACCATCACTGGATGGCCTCTGCCGACGACGTTGCAGGTAGAAAGCACATGCCGAGGGGCTTTGCAGCGTGTAAGTCAATAGTGGGAGCGAGAAAGCAAGATACAAGCCAGAAACAAACCGTACAAGCAAAGTACCATTATCACGCGAACCCGGGAGATACTAGCGGTACACCAGTAATACAGGGAGATGAGTGGGGAGGGGTCCAATAAATACGCTGTACAACAACAAACGATGTGATCGCGAGTCATGACGAGGGAACCAAGGTAAAGTGATGAGAACGGACTGATAGGATCATAAGTTAATACTCAATCACCGCGAAGAAACTTCGTCATCGCTGTTGTAAGGAAGCGCGGGTATAGCGATGGTTCGCGCCGGGGCCATGAACCGGATCGGCAGCCGCTTCGGTACGAGCTTGGAGTCATCGTCCTCGTCGACCTCTGGTGGAGGAATAACCAGGACCAGCCGGAACGCATCCTTGCCATTGAGGTAGAAGCGGTATAGACGCTTCTGGCGGATAAATCCTAGAGACTCGTACAGCGATAACGCTGCCGAGTTATCGTACTCTGTCTCGAGTACCACCTGCGTTGCATGTAGTCAGCGGAGAGAAGACGAAGGGCGAGCATAACTCATGTATGCGCTACCTCTTCCACGCCATGCTTCTTCATGACCTCAATGGTTCGCCGGACGAGCGTGCTTGCTACGGTTCGATGAGCACGACGCCCAGGATACGAAGACGGAGGATACTGACCTATCCCTCTCTTTCGCCAGCTCTTATGTACACTTAGCATAGCGATGTAGCCTCTGTTCGAGACATCTCTGTGCATGCTCTGCTTGCAAACGACGACACCCACCGGGTCAGACGACTGACTCGGGTACGCCTAGATGTATGAAGACGCCGTCCACCGCGTAGGATTAGTCTCACGCCTCCTCTTCAATGAGCCGTAACCTACGAGGAACGCCAGATGCGGCCTACACGCTCGCACGTCAGCCAAGGTTCATGACGAAGTTCTTATAGAGAAGGAAGGACGTACCATTGCTGGAGGAAGTAGCGATAGGTGTAGATAACATACGGCTCACTCAGCTCATGCTGAACGAGTGCCATTATATGAGGTAATTCAGACTCGCCACTATACTGCCGATAGATTATGGTGTCCATTACGCGAGTGGTGCGGAGGAAGAGTAATAGGGCGCAGCGAGGATGATGGACGGTGGGGAGAAGCTGGCTGTCTGTCGTGGGATGGGGGAGGGATGCAGGCAGGACGCACGCAGGGCTCGGAGCCTGAGGTCGGGCCATGCACGCGACGCGCGACACGATGCACCTGCGGCACGCGTCTCTCGATGATGGCGCCTGCAGCGCGCACCGGGCGGCTTTCAACCTTGTTCCTGCTTCCTCCCTCCCTTCTGGCTTTCCTCCATTCTTTCTACTAATGGCTTCTGTCTCGCGCCTGCGGGAAGTCTTGTCTGCTGCGTTTAGTTTGAGGGGGCTTCCAAATGGCGAACAGGAGTTTTTCGAGGAGCTCATGGCTCACCGGTCACATCTAGTGAACCTGTACGATGTCGGACCACGAAATCCACAGGAGCAACGCGAGCTCGAGTCAGGTATGTTTGGACGGCCTTGCGCATATATGTTGCATATATAAACCTCTGTATAGGGAAAATCACGATCAATGGCCGTTCCGTCGCGGTGAACGCGGACTTCGCCAGACAAGCCATGTTCCTCTCACAGCAGCTGGAATGTTCAGAACGTTACGTCGCGGGCCTCCTCCAAGATGTCATGACCCACAACCCGAACCTCACACAAGAACAATGCATTGAGGCAGCGATCATGGAGTACCACACGCGGCGGCGGGAGTTGGCGGACTGCTTAGGCACGATCCTGCAGGCGGCTTCACGCGCGGAGGCGGGGGACGCGTCGCCACTCCACCAGCGAATAGAGATGTTCGTGCGGCAACAGCTGCTGCATCCGGGAGGACGTGCGGGTGCGGGGTTGTCGTTGGCGATGAAGCTGTTCCAGGAGATCCACAGCGTTGGGAACGCGCTGGCAAAGGCGCAGGCGGCGAGGCAGAATGCGAGGAGCGAGACGGTGGCGCCAACACAAGGTGAGTCGTATTGCGCATTCCACTCGATGCACATCTGGACGCGTTGGATAGGTCCAAACGCGGGGCTGGGTGCGGACATCCTGAACGCGCGGTGCGAGTCTTTGAAGTACGAACGGCGCACCCTTGCGGTGGCACTGTACCTCCTCGCAAGTATGGGACATGTCTCTTCCAAGGAGATACCCAAGATTGTCGACTGGCTCAGTGGAAACCCGCGCCACCCTATGGTGTACCACATCCTTCCGACTCTCATGGCCACTTTCGATATTGTGGACCCTGAGTCTCCCGGTGGCCAGGCTCGCAAAGCCTTGCTCGCGGATGGACAACTGGTGCCGGAGATGAAGCGTAAGCTGGACGTCACGAAGGACTGGCCAGAGCCTGGACTTAAGGCTACCATTCTTCTCAAGTGGACGCTGTTCCTCGCCTCGGCGCGTCGCGCGGATCCTGCCTTGGAGAACACGGATGGGTTCAAATCAGATGAGCTGGAGACGCAGATCTGGAACGCGGTCCAGGGTGACTGTTTCACTTACCTTGCGCGCACCCTTCTGCTCCTCCAGAAGAGGCAGACGGCGCATACGACCACCTCGTACGCCGCGTCTACTCTCACCATTACAGAGCAGGATTTGCAGCTCGAGTTGCCTACAGACGACTTTCGACCGGTCTTGCTTGATGCATGCGAGGTCCTAGTGCGTTCATTGATCACCCAGGCATCTTCTGAGCTGCGGAAGATCAAGCAGCGACAGGAAGACCTCTTGCTTGCGGGGGCTCGTGCCGACAGAACAAGGATATTTCGTTCCACGCACCCTCAAGGGACATCGCGCTCTGGAGCTGCTGAACAAGATAAACCCACAGCTTCTCCGCGTAATGACATGGCCATGCTCTTCTCCTTCATCGGGATGCTCTACAGTTTGCTCCCTCCTGAGCGCGCGCTTCACTTTTGGGGAGCAGGTACTGTCATTCCTGGGCAACGCTCCACTTACAGGGAGTACGTCGAGCTTAGCTCCGGGAAGCTGGCGGCATTCTTGCAATGGTCTATCTGGTCTACTCAAGCTCGTGATGTCGACGTATCCATGGCTCTCTTTGACATGCTGTCAGGCCTTGCGAACGGCCAACAGTGCAGTGAGCTCGCGTACAACTACCTCGTGCGTGGTGGTGGCGACGTTGTGCCCGGCGCCCCTTCCGCTTCGACGTCCTCTGCCCATTTCAACACCGGTCCTTCCGTGTCTTGGAGCTCCATCTTCTCGTTACTCGAGTCGTGGGCAGCAGCTGGCCAACCCCCTCGGACTAACACTCCCCAGCATATCGCGGGACCTCAGCAGGGTTATGGGGGCAGTCAGTACCACCAGTCGCCTCCTCCACCGTCGCGTCCGCAACAAGTCCAGCTTTCGCAGCAGGATGTGCTGCTAGCACAATCCTTCCTGCGTCTCTTGTCTGTCGTCGTCACGAACTCTATTCCCGCGCGCATCAACATCTCCAGCCATGGTCGATTCCGTGCCATCCCTACCATGGTCTCGCTGATCCCTCTTGGCCTTCCTCTTGAGCTGAAGGGTGCAGTCTTTGATACTCTTGCGGCATTCTGCGCTCCTGGTGCAGGCGCGGCCGGTGTGGAGATCTGTAAGTCCATTTGGACACTGATGGAGAGACTTGAAGTGATCAATGTCCGCATCGTTCACGGTGCTGGTTCTGGCCTCACTGTCGAACGGGGCGTCGAGTTGGAGCTGGACGAGGTAGAAGCCGTATACAAGTTGTACCCCTCTACAATTCCGTTCCTCAACCTCCTCGCTACTCTCATCCACACTTCCAAGCGCATCCCGTTGCGCGAGCGCGTGTCCGACCCTACACCCATCAACACCATCCCCGAGTCGCTAGGGGCGCCGTATCGGACCCCTGGTATCGGGCCTTTCGTGTCTTTCGTGGTCGACAACGTGTTTGCGCGTATCCCATCCCGGGAGTACATTCGTCCGTCGGATAGGTGGCGGATGAATGACCTCTGCCTCTGCTTCATCGAACGCGCACTCGCGAGCTTCGACCTCGAGTCCCTTGTCACGACCATCGAGGAGCTCCAACCCAGCAAGGAGGCAGTCGTGCACCTCGTGATACACCCCGGTTTCGAGTTGTTGAGGCGCCTTCTCACTGCGACTCCTCTCCAGGCCTCCATTTTGTCGTATCTGGTGGAAGGACTGGATGGCTTCGAGAAAGGACTGGCAGAGGAAGAGCCGTACTACCGTATGACTATCACCCGTGTTTTGAGGATCATCCACCGCGTCCTTGAAATCCAGGATATCTTCCTCGATGTCTTCCTGCCTCTTCTGGCCGAACTCAACGAACCTGCGATAACCGGCGACGTCCCCCCTGTCTCGTACTTCATCCGCTTCGATCAGGCCCTGTCCTTTACTCCCGACTATGTTCCTGCCGTTGCGGCGTACATCTGCTACCCTTCCTATCCCGAGCTCGTACTCCTCAGCGTCAAAATCATCACGGCGTTGGCCTCTTCCACTGCTTTAACCCAGTTGGCTCTTCTGATTGACCGCAGCAGTGAGTCAATTCGTATCCTCGAAGGCTACCTCCATGCCCTGGACACCCATGTTGCGGTCGATGTCGAAACAGCCGAAACGACTGCGGAACAGACAACAGGTGCTGGCGCGCCAGACGCGGAGGGGCCCTCTGACTTGCTCACCCAGGCGATCCGACTGACCATCCTGGACCTATTCATCCAGAACACGCATTCTGGCCGCCCTCATCCCAATGTTGCGCATTTCCTCCTCTTCGGTGCCGCCTCTCCGGACAAATCGATCCAAGATCCTCACGCACTCGGCGCGCGCCGCTCTTGTGTGCACGCGATTCTCGACCTGCTCAACTTCGGTGTACCCCGTTTGAAGGGCAAGGAGAGGAGGCAGACGCTTGGAGAACCGCTATTCATCACCCTCCCTGCGTTTGCTGAGCGCTGCTACCATGTCGTCTTCCAGCTTTGCCAGCATCCACGCACGTCGGAGCCTACGATGCGGTACCTCCGCACGCGCGAAGACTTCTTCTCGCGGCACCTCGCTGCGATCCCCTTCAAAGTTCCGGAGACTGAGCAGTCTCCCTTCATCGAAATCCAGTATAGCGATGGTTCCCGTGTGGTAACCACTGTCACCACAACGGCGTCCTTCCTCAAGCTCCGCTCTTGGATTCTCGACCTCGTCGCTTTGGATCTCCACGTTCTCACTAACAAGGGTCACCAGAAAAGTGTCTCAGAGCTGCTGGAGCTCATGTTCGGCAATGAGGAAGACTATCTCGAGGGTGCGCCCGAGCCGTGGGATGTACAATTGTTCAAGCCGTTCCGCGAGGTCGGCCAGTCTCATCTCAGGATGATTGAGCTGGTACAGTCTTTGGATTTCGACTGGTCGGATAGCCTGGTCGTCCAGCCTCAAAATCTCGAGTTCCTGGGGCAGCTGAACCTGCAGTCTTGCCTGCGTGTCGACGAGTCAGGCTGCGAGGTCGTGGATCGGACGGCTCTGCTGTCGCTTTTGACACTCGCCAAGAGGACGCTTCATCTCCAAGGCCGCGTTGCAACGAAGGCCCATGCGGATGCTCTGGAGGCCGAGACTAACTACATCCTAGAGAGCTGCGCAATCGAGAACCATAGGAGGAAGATCCGCTATGCCGCAGCCTCGGGCTACGAGTCGTGGCGTAGGCTGCTCGACATGGCACTGATGAAGTGCTTCGACCGTCTACCCTTCGACCGCCGAGAGAACATGCTCTTTGACCTGCTTCATGTTCTCCCCAACTCCCTTCGCTCTTCGAATATCCACGAGTCCACCGCGGTCCTCCTAGCGGAGACCATCTTGTCGGTTATCACGAAGCTGCGGGAGGACCGTCGTCACCAAGTCCTCATGCAAACGGCAGGAGGCGACGTCGAAGCCGGAGCACTTCCCACAGAGCGTCTGAACGTGCTCCTTCGAAGCGTTCTGGAATGCATCATGGATCACAATCGTATCGAGCTCGTCCGCGGTAACTTGTATGCTGCTCTGGTCAACTACTTGCACCTTGTTCTTCATGCAGAAGAAGTGGAAGGTCAAGGCGAAGACGCCTCGGGGGGTCTCTCGTCCTCCTTGTCGCCTCGAGACGAGCTCATCGAAAGTTTGTCCCTCGTCTCGGTCTCAGGCCAGCTTGGGCGGTCATCTTCCGCGGGAGCATCCCTAATCCAAGCCAGCATTGCGATCTTGAAGCCAGCTACGGAACGCCTGATTGCAATTGTCTCCCGCGATGCCATAGACGGCACAGAGGTCTGGAAGACGGTAGCGTTCATGCTGCTGGACTCCTTGGTTCGTCTGTCGCGGTGGGAGAAGCATTCGTCGACCCTAGCCGCACTAGCGCGGCAAGGTTTCTTAGCTGGGTTCGTACGTGGATTGAAGGAATCGGATCTCGTCTTGCAAGCCGTGCTTAAGCCTGATCCCGGTGAGTGTTGTTTCTTCTTTCATCCCCGCTATGTGACTGAGAAATCGACGAGCATAGATGACCTAAACCCTCTCTATGTCTATGAGGCCAAGATGTCGCTACTCGTTCGAATGGCCCAGACACGGCAAGGCGCAGAGCGACTCCTTGAGGCGCGTGTACTTCCCGTCCTCGGAGAGTGCGACTATCTCGACGCGCGGCCAGAGGCAGACCAGGCCTTCCTCGGTATGTACACCGATGTTAGTTCGTATACTTGGCTGGTTTACATCTGTGTACAGATCGCGACAATTTCCTTCCATCTGCAATTCAGCGCTACCACCAGCTTTTCTTGCCTGCGTTGCAACTAGTGAGCGGCATGCTGATCGCGTTGGGTCCCAAGCACACCACCGCCGCAAACCATGTAAGTGACTGATTCCCTTCCATCAATGCTACAAGACGGCTCATTGTCGATATAGGCCCTGCAATTCTTGTCGCAGCATCGGGACACAGCCGTTCTACTCTTGAAGAACGAAGTGGACGAGCTCTCAATCTCGATTCTGGAGGAGATGCGCCTTCTAGTTGCTTTGTGCAGCAGTGTGGTTCACCTTGTCCCGAGGACTGAGCTGGTGAGATTGTCTCCCTTCAGGTATGATTCGTGACCACTGCTGATGTTGTTACTGTAGCTTTCGAGCTCCGGCTTTGGAGCCCTACACGGTGCCATATCCAGCCTGGCTGCGAAGGTCTTGAGCGATCCCCATTGGACAGAAGCCGTCAAACCCCAAACTGACGCAGAGCTGGCTGATGCGAGCACTCAATCACTTGGTGGGCTCATCTTCCCCAGCGTTCTCCTCGATTGTGCTGAATAAATCCTGAATCCAGAGTACGCTCCTCAATCGAAATTCCGCGCCGCAGTCCACATCAAAGACGAACAGTTGAAGAATGCTATCATCTCATATCTCGGGACCGCGAGCGAATTTACAGAAGCCGACTTCACGTTGGTGTTCTCTCAAGCGATCACGACGCCCAAGCATGACGAGCGGCCGACTAGGTTTATTGGTGTGTTGTTCTCGTGTCGAGGATAATTGTAGCGTCAGAGATCTCCTGACTTCTTCCAACAGCCACAGTACCCAGTATCGGCGATGCAATCGAAGCCCTCGATGATCTTTGTCGCAACCTCGCGCAGGTCCTGATGCGCATAGTCGACCTCTCTGCCGAGCTCGCATCCAAGGACCACATCAGGGTGGACAATATCCAAGAGGTTCGTAATCTCCTTCCTAAGCTGGAGCTAGTCTGACATTGACCCCGCGCATCACATATGTTACATCATTGACCGTCGATCGATCATTACCGCCTATTCAGATCGTCCAAATCTCTGACCCGGCCCTTCTGGAGAATCTCGACATGCGGCAGAGACAGACTCTCGTCGGTCGCGAGCTCGCATCGTGGCGGGCCGGTGCTAAGAGGCGCTCGCTAGCTATACTAAGTAAGTGTGGTTCGCTGTGATAGAGACTTAGGCAGACACGCTAACATCTTCGCGTCGTAGACTCGTTGGAGATGCTACTCCTCCTGCTGTGGAGACACCTTGCGTTCTACTTGGAGGGCAAGCACATCAACAACCCAGATCTCAAGGGTGCTATTGCGCACACTATGCGACTCGCGTCTTCGCCGGATGTGGATACGCTTCGGACAGAGGTACAGCGTAGGCTCGTGCCCGTGCTGTCGGCGTTGCAATCACTCGACCTCGTAAGTTTTACCCAAGCTCGATTCGTAGTGACGGGACCTCACGCCTATGGTGTACAGAGCGAGGAGACGCTAGGAGCGGAATGGCGTTCGTACGAGAGCTACCGAACAGTCATGGCGCGTCGACTTGCGGATACGGCAGGGTTGGAGGAGGTTGAGGCCGAGCCGCGCAACGGCGACGCGCCGCAAAATGGGCTACTTGCATACTGATCCCAATCATGCCCACTCATCATGCATCATGTCTGACAACTTGGACTGTCTTCATGCTCTGATTCTTCACGTTCTTGCGATGGGATATATCACATCTTGTTCCGTGTTCACGACAGCAACAATTGTAAAATAAGTTATAATGTAGCGACAACCCAGCAAGCAGCGTCCGCGCTGAGTTCTCTTCTCTTTCGCTTCTTGTCAATGAGATTCGGCAGCATGCAAGAATGATCGAAAGCAGGAATGATTGAAGGATCCGTCTGAAGTGCATAACGTGTACAAATGTGCATACAAAAACAGGAAATATGCCAGTGAACCAGCAAGGAGCGGGTGCCAAGTGCATGGCTAGATGGGTAGTAGGCTACCGGCACCACGAAGGGCCATTTGACCGCCAAAGCGGAGAGTCTGCGTGCCTCCAGGGAAGTAGGCGGCGACGTACGAGACGAGAGCAACAACCTAGAGGAAGTATTCCGATTAACGCTATAGCGATGGGAGCTAACGGATGTGGACTAGCGGGCGTACTTGAACAATAGCACCAATAAGTGATCCAAGATACGAGTGAGCCTAGACGCCGCACTGAGTTTCGCGGGCATTGAGTAAGCATGGTTGTCTCTTACCCCTAGCGAAAAGTATAGTGTGAGTCCAAGACTTGCAAGGTATGTGACGGAGAACGGCAGGCGTTCTTTCGAGATGAGATGTTTGACGTGATTTATGGGTCCGACGAGGACCGAGAATCTACAGGGCAGTCGTGAAGCCTTCCTCGGCCAGACCATGCAAGCGTAAAACTCACCCAAACATCACCAGCAAACTCCCCAGACTACAATGATCACAAACGTGAGCTAACGCACGCAACATGGAACGGGCTGTTATACCTGAAGGCGAGGGCGAACTTGGCCGGTCGGAGCACGATCATAGGTACTGTCAAGAACGCTACGAAGAAGCACACTGCAGCTCCAATCAAGCACGCCCCAAAACCCAGTAACCTACACCCCGACAACGACGTAGGGTAGCAGTTGCGTGAGCACCCCCCGGAAGGGATATGGACCGCAGTAGCGCACGCACCTCTCCCACCGCGACAATGCAAAGTACGCCTCCTCCTCGTTGGACCTTTCGCTGGAGCGCAATGGTACGTAGCCATTACCAATGGCATTGTAAAATCGAGAGAAGGGATTGGAGCCGCCTGTTGAAGTGTTTTGTTGTGAGTCGTCATTATTGCCCCGCGACCAGCGAAATTGAGAGAGATTGTCACGGAACGACTGTTCTGTGGACTGTGCAGGCATCGCAAGAGATGTTGTAGTGGCCGAAGAGGCTGCCGAGCGAGAGTGAGGGAGGTTGGAGGAGACAGAAGACAAGGACGGTCACCGTGGAGGGGCAAGAGACGCGTTCACGCTCGGCCCGCCCGATCTTGTTTTGGTAGTCTAAGCGCCTGTGATGTTGCTGGGACTGTCCACGTTGCCAGTGATAGAAACGACACCCTTGCTGTGTAAATACCTACACGTACTCTCTGTAGTCTGGAGGCCGAGTCCATCCATTTCTGCAAATGGTTTTCTTTCCGCGGGATCTAGAAGGAGTAACGGTATATTGACTTTTCTCCCTAGCGAGCCGTCACTCTGTGCGGTCGCTCCTCTCCGATCACTCCTATGGTCTGACCAGACAAGATGATTGACCGACTGTACTTCATGTAGCTGTACCCCATGCTCCAGTAGTATACTGGTAGCATATTTCGCTTTGTTACGACATCTCAGCACAAGAGACAGCCGAATTAAGACTTCCTGATGACTGAGACGACAGATTGCTCACTGGCAAGCTGATCTTACGCTGTGGAAGAGCGGTGCTCCGATGTGTAGGTCCCCCCAGGAAAAGCAACACGCGGCCTCGGGAAATACATGTGACACGCACTTCGAGCACAGGATGCCTGTCTAATATATCGTCCATTGACTCCATCTCCCACACTCAACGACACGTACATACTGGGATGATATTACAGTCTATATGATTTTTGGTCGACCCTCCCTGCTAGTCATACGAGACTCAAACGCGGCCCTTGCGGATGTTCGCCTGTGCCCACCTGCGAGCCCAAAAATCAGCACACACCGCCTAGCACGGTCCGCACACCCACGCGTCCACTCACTTTTTGATCCGGATCGACTCGATCGCGATGAAGCCCGTCGTGTCCGTGGGCTCGAACCCGCCCAGCTCGTCCATCGAGCTCTCCTTCTCGTCGTACAGGCCCTCGTCCGAGACGCGCCCCTCGACGACCACGTTCCCCTTGTACAGCTTCAGCCTGACGACGCCGTTCACCGTGCGCTGGCTCGCGGGGATCGCGCTCGCGACGAACTCGCGCTCGGGCGTGAACCAGTGCCCGTTGTACAGTATCCGGCTCAGCTCGATCGTGACGAACTGGTCGCGCAGCGCGCGCACGTTGCGGTCGAGCGTGAGGCCCTCGAGGTCGACGTGCGCCGCGCGCAGGATCGTCGCGCCCGGGGACTCGTAGCACCCGCGCGACTTGACGCCGATGAACCGGTTCTCGACGATGTCGATCCGCCCGATCCCGTGCTTGCGCGCGAGCGCGTTCAGCGCGAGGAAGATCTCCACGCCGTCCGTGTACGTCTTGCCCTCGTCCGGCACCTCGACCTTCACGGGCAGGCCCTGCGCGAACTCGATCGAGATCCGCTGCGGCGTCTGCGGCGCGAGCTCGGGGTCGACCGTGAGCTTCCACATGTCCGCGGGGGGCGTCGTGTTGGGGTCCTCGAGGATGCCGGCCTCGTACGAGATGTGGAAGAGGTTCTCGTCCGTCGACCAGGGCTTCGCCGCGGTCTGCTGGACGGGGATGTTTTTCTCGGCGGCGTAGGCGAGGAGCGCCTGGCGGCCGGCGAAGCGGCGGTAGAACTCGGGGATGCGCCAGGGGGCGATGACCTTGATGTCGGGCTTGAGGCCGTAGAAGGCGAGCTCAAAGCGGACCTGGTCGTTGCCCTTGCCGGTGCAGCCGTGCGAGACGTAGTCGCAGCCCTCCTTCTCGGCGACAGACATCATGCCGCGGGCAATGATGGGGCGCGCGAGGGAAGTGCCGAGCAGGTAGACATTCTGGGGATATGCGATGATTGATGCATATGCGTATACTGAAAGGCAAGGTGCGCACCTCGTAGATGCAGTTCGCCTGGAGTGCGGGGTAGATTAGCTCAGTAACGAACTCGCGCTTCAAGTCCTACTCAAACGCCGAGCAGGCGGGATCAGTCAAAATCATTCCGGGTTGCACGACTGCTATGGACGCGCACCTCGAGGTAGAACTTCTTCGCACCAACAGCGAGAGCCTTCTTGCGCGCAGCCTCGAAGTCCTATAATGGAGATCGGATGAGTTCAGGGTCCTTCGCAATCACGCCATCCCTCATGTCCCAATCAGTAACCGTACCTCCTCCTGACCGACATCGGCCATGAACGCGATGACTTCATAGCCCTGTTCGATGAGCCAAGCGAGGATACATGAGGTGTCTGAACGAGCGCGAGGGAGATTATCAGTCGGTCGGCTGAGATCATGCTCCGCCAGATGCGAAAGCGATGGGAGGGTTTGAAGACTGACCAAGACCTCCGGAGTAGGCGAGGAGAACGCGGCCCTTGGACTCTGGCATGTCGGATTGGCCGATGAGGTGAAGACGAGAGGATGAGAGCGAGAGATTTGAAGGGAGCTGAGGGGGGAATGACTCGGTCGCGCGCGAGCCTCGACTGCCACCTTCGCTGGATTTTCTTGACACGCCCCCGAAAAGGAAACGCGTCGATCTACTTAATACTTGCACGCGTCCTGTCGCGTTCATCACGCCTCCATTAGGTCACACACTGCTACTACTAGTACGTCACGACCCGTCGGTGCGGCAAGCATAAAATAAATGTGGGACGCGGGCAGACATGGCTCTCTCAACGTGACCCAGCTCACGATGCCCCTACGATGGGACACTTCGTCTTATAGGTCAATGCCCCCAGTGTGAGCAGGCAGGAAACGGTGGGCATCACATCTAGCCTCCCGCTTGCTACCCTCGGAAGCCAGCGGAAGAACAGGAGGTCACAAGGTTAACCATTACGAGGCCAGAAGGCCGGGATAAAGTTACATCGACATGTGCTGCTGCCATCGTTCGACAAGGTCCGTTGCGAGATGGATGGATGGACGGATGGATGAGTGATAGATAGAGGACAGGAACGGAACGCTCTGAGCGAAGAAAAATTCGTGATCATGTCGGGCATCACAAGAACGTAAGAACTGCACAAGTCAAGGGGAGCGCACAGAACAGGATGGAAGGGAGGGGCAAGAAAACGGGGGCATACACATGTGTTGACGGACACAGTGCGAAGTGTGCGGTATCTTGACAACAGACAGCGACGCAGTTGGAATCGTGACGGTCATAAGGTCGTACGGATAGTGATAAGTAATTGCAGAAGTAGTTCATTTGCCGAACATGCCCAACCCGACCATGTTGAAACCTATTGAATCGGTTAACGAGGCGAGGAGTTCTTTCCGTTGAGCTTGGGCAACTTCGCAGGCGGCGAAGTCGGCGGGGTCACGGTCTGCGCGTGGTCCACATTCCGCATGCGAAGACCGCAATCCGCGGGAGCAAGGTCGCCGCACTTGATGTGGGTCCTAAAAGGAAATTATTAGCATCATCACCAACATAGCGACCGGACAAAATCGGTGACGTACTTCATGCCACAGTCGTCGCACTCCAGAACAGGCTTCCACCCGAGCCGCTTCGCACAAACGTCGCACTTAGCGCTCAGCAATGTGCTCGAGAAGAACAACTCCAATGGGCTCCAAATTGCCTCCGTCGAGCGAGACGGAGACGTGCTCCTGCCGTGCGGTTCATGCTGCGTGTCTTTCCCGTTCGAGTTGCGCTTCGAGCCGGGCTTGATGAGTGTGAACCTGTGGACCATGGGTACCGTCGCGGACCCACGAATAGTCGATCCGCCCTCTGTGGCGGCTGCGATCGAGGGCGTAATGATGGACGAGGAAGATGCGGTGTGGTATGACTCGATGGAGAGCATCGAATCTGTCGTGGTAGGGGTAGGTGCATGCGCACCGACCGCAAGGGGGTGGTCCGTGAGATCGTCAGAGCCATTCGGATTAGGAGAAGGCCGGATGGTGAGAATGGAAGACAATGAGGGTGGCGCGGCATCGGTGTACGTTGGTGAGTGCCCCCGAACGACAGTCGTGCTGTAGTCCGAGTACGAGCTCGACGTGCTGTCGATGAGAGGCTGTGCGCTGTTGTGACTCGAATTACCTGTTTTGGTCAGCATCCAACAGGTGAGCAACAAGAGTGGAGAAACTCACCATCCGTGTTGTCGCTCCAGGCACTGTGCAAGTCGAGCTTGCTCAGGCCTTCAACTGCAGCCGCGAACTCATCGTCGCTATCGTCGCTATCCGCGGTCGCGAGTTTCGAGTTGGCTTGTGGGCCGACACCCATGCCAAAGCTCGGGATGCGAGGAGCGGCGCCGGGTCTACGCATCCCGCTCATAAACTTGACAGTACCCAGATGGATGTCGTCTTCGGATGGCCGTGCAAGCACCTCGGCCTCGATCCCCCGCAGCCGGTCAAGAATCTCCCGAGTCGTTGGCCGCTGGCTTGGAACCTGTACCAGACAGTCCAGAGCGAGCTGGATGAAAGGAGGGGGGCATCCCGGACTAGCTAATCTCCGGACCTCGTCCTCATCGATGTTAAACAACGGTGGTGTCCGGCGGAAGGTGTGATCGTCCGCAAGCTTGCGCGCAAGGATCTCGCAGAAAATGACTCCCAGCGAGAAGATGTCGGTGGGCAGGTCGAACTCGTTCCCGAGAAGGATCTCGGGGGACATGTATGAATCCGTACCACAGAAGGTAAGACGCTTGCTTTCTTCCTCGTTCCGAGCCGCGATCCGCGCGAAGCCAAAGTCCGTGATCTTCAGCCGGCAGTTGGCTGTCACGAGTAGGTTTTCGCCCTTGAGGTCCCGGTGTATGCACTTCCGTGCGTGAAGGTAAGCAAGCGCACGGGCAATGTCCGTCGCAAAGGACATGCGGAGGCGCCAGGGAAAGGGCTTGGTCTTGTCATGGATGTACATGCGGAGGTTTCCGTTCTCGATGAACTCGGATATGATGAAGATGCGCCCGTCTGGTGCACGGGAGAGACCAAGGTAGAGCACGACGTTCGGATGGCGTGCCTCCCTAAAAGATGCTGTTTTGTCGGCATGCTCGACCACATGTGAAATGAAGGGGCAGGCACTCACTTCATGAGCCGCCATTCTCGCTCGAAGTACTTCGCGACGTCATAGTCATTTGAGGGCAAGACTTCCTTGATCGCAACATCAATGCCCAGGTAGTTCCCTACAAAACCGCATATTGATGTGAGCAAGCGGCCCTTGCGCCTCGAGACCACAGTTGCCGCGTCCCACCAGCGGTCCGATGGGACGCGAGGGCACTTACCCTTATAGACATTGCCAAACGAGCCCGAGCCAAGCTTCTTCCAATCTCCCTTTATGTCCTAGAACGCCTCATGGGTATGGGCTCAGGCAGGTAGGCAGGGGAGACACACACCTCGAAAGGAATAACATCAAAGGCATCGGAGTGCATCTTGATTGAGTTCTAGTGCCCTTGCAAGCGGTGGCTGGGGCGCGAGAGGCGTAGACAATGTACGGAAGGCAGCCGGAGTTTACGGGTCAGGTCTGAGGCGTACTGCAGCGGCTCCTGGCCGTCGTTGCGGGGGAAAGCGGGGGCAGTGGTGGGTGTGGACGAAGCAAGGATGAGCTGAGGCTGCAGCCCGACGGGCCTCGGGCAGGAGTGACCCAATCCGTCACGCTTGCGTCACCAAACGCCCGTCCGTCTCCCGGCCCGGCTCGAGGCGCTCCCCTTCTAGCAGGCCGCAGTCAGCCACCAGAGCTCAAACGTTGGTGTCGTCAGCCATCACGGTCACCCAGGTCATGACGAAGCCACATGTCTCACTCCATAAGCAGCGGAAATTGAGGTAAATTCAATTGCGAAGGAGGCTGTCAACACATGAAACGCTGTGCATTAGTAGTACTAACCTCTTCCGTTCCTCCTAGGCCTGCAGCCGTGCCGGCAGATGCGTCGCCATGTCTCATGTGCATTTTTCAGTGCTGTACTCGAACTAGCTGACAGGGCTGATATGAAGGCGTCGGTGTATACTACAAGTGGGGAGATAATGCCGGACGACGTCCTTCAACAAGACAAAGCAAGAAATATGTTACAACGCCCATGTACTACGTCAAGCAGACGTGCATATATCTCCGAGTTGCTTATACATCCTGCTGGTTGACCGCTACACGATTCTTCCTCTCCTCTAAAGAGATGGAGGTCGACGGCCTCTCTGATCCCTCCGGCGTGTCCTTCGAGACTGTCCGCACGGGCCCAGTAAACCAATGAACCCCTCCGTACACAGGGAAGTAGTACCACACAAGGGACAGGAATAGTACGCCTCCTAACACAACCTTAGGAGTAATACATTCGTCAGAGTTGTGAAGCAAGCCATAATATTTGCTGAGCGCTCACAACGGTGTAGTTCATATCGGCGACCGCTGGTCCTGGGGTTGTTGGGAACAAGAACACAGTACCCATGAATGTCATCCAAAGGACAGCGATGACCGCCACTGGCAGACCGAAACGGCCTAGATTGAACGGCCCAGGAGTGAAGTCATTCTCACCTAGGAACCGCGCAGCAATTGGAATGGAGTAAGCTATCCAGGAGAAATGGAGCACAACGTCAGCCGATCGGCTACTATCTAGGTTACCCTTGCATATTGTAGGTTACCCACCGACGTAAAGCGCAGTCACTGATAGCGCGAAGACGGCGTTGATAGCGGACGTGCCGGCGAAGGCGAGTAGTCCTAAGAGCATAGCGAGGACCGCAACGAACCAGACGGTATTGACGGGGGTTCTGGTGTAGCCGTTCATGCGGTATAGCCAGCCAGAGAAGGGGAGAGCGCCGTCCCGAGAGAACGCGAACGATTGACGGGATGCAGCGAGGAGCATACTGGAGCCCATCATGTACCTGGGCGTGAGACAGAATAAGCGATCAGCCTGTGTGAGGCCAGGGGGAAAGCAGGAAACGCATACTGCACAACGACTACAACCGCCCAAATCGCGAGCGTGCCATTCTGACCGAAGCTGTTGAAGAATATAGACGCCATGGGCTGTCCGATAGGACTGCTCAGAATTGCGTCTAGATCGGTGCCCATACAGAAGGCCAGCGCCATATTAATGGCTTCGAGCAACGTCAGTGATTTTGCATTTGGCCCGTATTATGACATGTCACTCACCCCAACCAAGCACGCCGGCGATCCCGATGGCGTAAACAATTGCCCATGGCACCGCTACTGCGGCATTTGATGCCTCCTCACTGATGTGAACACTGGAGTCGAAGGAGCCTGCAGTCATGATGAGACAGTAATTTCACCTGCTGACATCCAATTACTTACATATCGTCCACAACGGCGAAAGGAAGCTCAGTATGAAGGCGAAACCGTTGGGCCAGCCGCTCACTGTGGTATACGCCTGAGTAACGAGCGGAGCCTGGTGAGGGATACCCCACAAACCATTGGAGAAACCACCAAGTGCGAACGATGCGCTATTCCTAAACTCTTTGGGCGTTGCTGCAGGGAGTGCGATGATCACTGCTAGGCACAACCTGGGTAAATGTCGACATGAGTGTCTAGCTTACGCAACAAGCGAAGATTGGCTTCACGCACACGACGTTGAGAAACACGTAGACCGTCTGGAGTCGAGCCAGGATTCGCGTTCCGAAGCAGCAGAGAACGGCATGCGAAAGTACGACTGCGCAGTACACGCCACTATGTTCAGAATCGGAATTAGTTCGCAATAGCAGAGAAACAGATCGCGGGCGTACAAGGTTTGTGCATTCGTCCCAGAGAAGGTTTGGCCGGAACCGATACTCGCCGCGGCGATAATCTGGACGGCGCATCCCCAATCGATAGAGGCGACCGCGGCAACGGAACCAATCGTGTTCGCATCTGCAAGGACGGGAGAATAGTCGGTCAACTGAGGCGATGGGTAGTCGTTGCGGTGGGCTTCACGTACAACCTACAATCCAAGCGAGTAGATTGCGATATCTTGGAGATGACAACGAATGTGTCCAGAAGTATAGCTGGAGCGGAGGATTACGTCAAATGATGTAATGACAGCAGCCGAAGCCTCTCACTGACTCCTCCAGAAGTAGGTGCTGCTGAGGCTAATTCTGCCATGGCCATCCCGACAAGAAGAATGAAGATACTGGCGACTAGCCACTACATGAGTACGAGACACCGGTCAGCCGAACATGTCCCATAGGCAATTGTTAGACAGACTTACACCCCAAACCATCGCCGGAGGACCGCCGTTTGGTATCGAGTCTACGAGCACCGAGCTGAGAATGTTATTAGTACAGGCTATCCAAGATAGCCTATGAACCTACGCAATGGATGGTAGCAGACCAATGATACTGAATGCGATACCAAACGTCTGGCATGGTCAGTTAGAAGACTGTGAAAGGATAGGAGGTCGTGGGTAGGACGCCATCGATTAAGCGACTGGGGCATCGGAGTAGCACTCACCTCCAGTCCTGTGAAGGCTCTCTGAAACTCCTGCTTGTAGCCCAAGTTCGCGAGAAGCTCCTGGTCTGCGAGCTCAATCGCGGTCTTCTGTCGCTGCTTCCCCGTCTCGGACATCCCGGATGCGTAGCTCTGGGGATACAAGAGATGTCAAGTTGACACCGCTGAGAAAAGCGGGAGTAAAGGGTCTGGCCGAGGTCATGGGTTCGCGAAGTTTTTGAACTGCTTCGCAGGTAGGCGCGGGCTACCCCACACCGCCTTATCTCCAACCACGCGCCTGTGATACGCCAGTATTCACGTAAGTATTCTCGGGGCTGCGATAGTCTCTTATGATGTCCCGACACATGCGGCGATAGCACGTTGACGATCGGCAATTCAAGCGGTCTCGTGGGGGTCGTGCAGTTGACCATTTGGCGGAGTGATGGTACACCCTACGGACACCGATACTTTTGTCAGGACCGTCGTGGCGCTTCCGGAGGGGCCCAATGAACCCATACCTCCATACAGCTGTCGAAGTTGTGTGAACATCGTCACACATGCGGGGGACATAGAAAGTCGCAGTCTGATGCTAGGGCGGCTTAGGAGCCCTAGGCCAGGAAGAGTAGATTGTCCATGCCGTAATGGCCGCTGTCAACCCTACCGCGAATGATGCGAATGGTAACACAGGGAAAGCCTTTGAAAAACACTATACATACAAAGTCATTCGTCTTCATGGTCACAGGCTTGCGACAAACCACGAATTAGGCTAATCGTGTTCGCTAGCCGCCCACGCCGACCGGAGTTACGACTTGCGGTGCCCCAGGCTCCGGCCGGCGAGACGACGACCTTTGAACGTGACCTAAGGTTGTGTCTTTCCTGGGCAGTGCGATTGTTGAAAATGGGAGGGGTTTGCTCACTATTACAAAAAGTCATACACCACCAATAGTACATCACTCTGTGAAGTCCTCCGCATGCAGCTGAACATAGTTGAGGAAACCCCATGTCCTAACGTCGCCGCGTCAGCAGCTGTCATCAACACTGGATGATTATGACGACCCACATATCCAACGATGCGAAACATCGCACCACGCTAGGGTTCAGCTGAGGAGGTTTCTCGTTCGATGGGCGAGGCGTGTGCATCGGCGTCAGAGAGAAGTATGGCTCATGATCCTTTTTGCTGGACGTGAACAGATAGAAAATCTTGGGCGCTAGATCCTGCCCCGGGACGAGTCTCCGCGGGTCTCCTGCTTGGCTGCCGAAGGGCTGATGTCCAAATTGTCCATGTCCCCCGAAGCCCATTCCTTGGCCATGATGGAAATGGTGCCCGCCGAATTGTGGTTGGTGAAATCCGCGTATAGCGGGAGCGTGAGATGCCGACCAATATTGTACCTGGCGAAGGTCACGAATCTTGAATCGCTGATCCGTTCCGGCACGAGTGACTGCGCGAGGAATGGTCAGCACCTGATCAGGAGAATGTGTAAGTCGACCCGACGAACTGAGTATCAGGTCTTCGGGCTGAACACCATGTTTTTTCGCCAAATCCTTGCCGGCATCGAGGAGATATCTCCATGCGTCGGGGACACGTACAATCTCCGTCGAATGTACGACATCGACGGTGTAATCGGCCTCTGGCGGCACAACTATTGTCCAACTGCGGGAAACGAGGTGAGCCGGGTCGGTTATGAAAGTGTTCACCACACACACCCATGCACCCCGCCAGGCAGCTCGAATGATGCTAACTCGTCCCATTGGTGACGGCCGTTGTGCCATCCTCCTTGCTTTGCCCCTGCGACACTGGAGACCTCGAATTTGGCCGTGTCTTCGGTCAAAACATTGCAGATTGCGACGAAATTGCTCCAATCCATTTGCTCTCCATCACCCTTGGGTATGTACCCGAGGTCTCCCACGGAGAACTTATTCGGAGGGATACCGGTGTTCTCATGCCACGTTGCTTGATGAGCACCGATGGAGATTGCGGCGTGACGGATCTGCCGCAGGGACATAGGCTGAATCTCGAGGGGTTCTTCCTCGTCGTCGTACTCGTCGTGCATGTTGCCGAGCAGTTTGTGTAACCTTTCACGCACGATAGAGACGTTATCGAGACTCGGCAGAATCATGCGAGCGAGGACAGTGAGGTGGTTGAGTCTGCTTTGCATCTCGATTGATGCTGTATAGATGTCCATGAGAGTTCGAGATAGAAAAGTCGGGTGAACCTACTGCTCTCGTCGCTCGTGTCGACCGGTTGCTTTGGCAGTAGACCGTCATTAGGTAGGAGCTGGATGCGATAATCTCATTCCACGCGAGCATGATACGCCAATGGTATGACTGACCTTCAGGTAGATATTACGTATAGAATGGGCGACGCCATAGTTCCTCCATGACACCACTCCGTCAATCTCTGGAGGCGGGAGGCCCATGATGACTGACTGCTCCATGTCTATTCTATAGCTCGCAGTCTGTGAAAAAATTAGTCACATGGCGCACGTTATAGGTCATATCACGGAGAACACATACCTCGACATAGTCTTGCAATTTCGAATCGGATAGGTTTAGTTGCCGTTGGTAATAGAGCGCTGCATCCTGGACACACCCTGCGCATCAGACGACACGAGAATCAGACGGGGCAAATTGCATCGAGCGTACCAAAGTATCCCGATACTACTTGCACGTCAGCCGACAGATTGAGCACGAGACGCGTGGAACTTACAAATTGAAGCAAAAGTTGGGCGCATCTAGCAAGGCTAGCGTTTTTGAGAGAGTCGAGCAGCAGCGCTTGCGGTAAGCGGGTCTGTACTGGAAATGTCTAGGAGTCATTGCCCGGTACCTGGGCATCGGTATAGAAGACTACAAACCGTTGGCGAGCAATATGAACGGCGTGGGAGTCTCGTCATTCGAATAGCCTACGAGCTGTGGTAGATTCGGGTGGCTTCAAGAAGTTAGATCTGCACTGTAGCGTGCGAATGTCTGTCCGTCACTCACTATACGTTCTGAAGCACCTTGACATCCCTGATGAATCGCTGCAGGATAGTCAGCCGGGCCATGCGAGAGGATGTCGATTTCAATGGTGGCTAACCTTCACGGCACTCTTCCTTTCCCCTTCATAGCGTAACATGACCGACTTCTGGCCATTGATATCTCCTTCTAACGCGCCAGCCCACCACCCCTCTTTGATCGTTCGCGACTTTCCCTTCATACGGAACTGTGACTGATGATATCTATTGAACTGAGAGGTCGGGTGAGCTAGCGCGACGACTCCGAAGCGGTTGATGTGACTGACGCCATGATGCTCATTTATCACGGTTTCTTCTTCCCGATCTCCCTCGTCTATCGTTTCGAGGAGTTCCTCTTCAACCGATCCAAATGAGATGAGCATGCGCGGTGAATCAACTTCGGCGCAGTCGAAGTCAGTGCTCGCCGGGCTCGAGAGGTCGATGAGGTCAATCGAAGACAAAGGCGAAAGAGCGCTGCGTGTGGACTGTCCGCTCGAGTTAGAGCGTGAGGTAATGGCGACCGAGGTCGTCTGGGGCGTGTCAGCAGAACTCCGACATCAGTGTGCATACAGTTCGAGGGGAGCGCCAACCACGTACGGTCGCTGAGCGGGTCGGAGCTGGAGATGCAGTGAGCACTTGCACATCAGTCATGACTTCTGTCCTTGAAGAGGTGTATGGCGGGAGAGTTGCCGATTGTTGCACTACTTCTGTCCTGCGACTGCCAACGGAGACTGTAGTAGGTGCACTGACAGCCTCCCCTTTATTAGGCGTTGCATCTCCAACTGCCAGGTGAATATTGATAAGGGTAGCGATCTAGATGAATCTCAGCGTGAAATAAGCAGGCATGTCGCGTCGAGCTGAGCGCACCTGAAATGCTCGTGCCGCGTCGTCAAGCGCAGCATTATAGTCAGCTATAGCATTCTCGATGGTCGTTTTCCGCATGAAGCGTTTTCCCCACTTCTGCTCAGCTGCCAGCTTCATAAACTCGTAAATCTCCTGTAAAGTTCTGATATACCACTTCCGACGTTAGCGCTACCCAACACCGTCTAGAGAACCTGACGCTTACTCCTCGAACTTCTTCATTGCTTTGATCAACGAAGGGGGTGCCGCGTCCCAGTTGTCTGCGAGTTGGTCGCGCATGTCTACTAACAAGGATAGGCACCGACGTGCTAGGCGATGACAATCATGCTTGTTCGTCTGGATAGTCTGAAAGATGGGGAGAAGCCTCTTTAGTCGGCTACACTTTGAATGGGGAATAACATACCTGTATAGTCTGGAAGATCAGCAGCAGTACCGACGCTGCCGCTTTCGCAGGAGTGAACTGTAGCATATCTGACAGGTCCCGTGTTACAGAAGAGGCTGTGATTAGGGCACTAAGCGCGTCGTCTGTCGAGAGCCTCGAGCGGATTGAGATGTATCTGGTGAGCGGCATCTTGGCACTGGGGACCTGAACCCGGGGGGTGCAGGCACGAACAGGGTGTTCTGGCTAGAGGCTTATAAAGGATGGCTACATGATATAGGGTTCGGATCTGCCATCTGCCAGTCCCAGAGATTGTACAGACGAAAGACACGACTGTCAAGGAGGTGAGTGGTGACGGTATTCCCACGCCATCGCTCAATGTCATCGACGTCGATGCTACAGACATTCGTCTGTTACGCTTGCACACACACAAGTTAATGCTGATTCTGGTGCATGACCTATGAGCGAGCAGCGTTTGGAGAAGCTCAAGGACGACTTACCGCGCTGTACTGACGCAAGCGGACAGCCGTCCCCGCCAAGCCGGTATACGACAAAGCTGGGGTCGCTGAGATGGAAAAGAATGTCATGTTGATAGAAACTCTGCTTGATATCAGATCTGAAACTGAAGCCTTTTGGACGGTATAACATTCATGTTGGTGTTTCAACGTCTCAACGCTCGAGACTTGGTGTGTCTGCCCCTTGCAGAAGACCTGTTGGCGCCTACCGCAGCCAAATTCGGAACCTCAACCTCGATCTAGGGGCTCAATCCTTGGCTGAGCGAAGAAACTTTCGGTTCACTGTCCTAGCTCTGTCCCTCATCTCCCTTTCCTTGTTCCCGCTCCTTGGTGCTTCGAAACATGGGGAAAAAGGCTGTCAAATCTACGAGGAAGTTTGCTGCGAGCGGACAGCTGAAGAAAACCATCCAGGCCCGTCGGAAGCACCGGGACATCAAGAAAAAGGCGGAAAAGAGGCAAGCCACCAAGGGCAAGGGTAAACAAGTAGCCAAGGATTCAGATGTCAGTGAAGACAAAGAAGACGAGGCCGAAGGGCCTTCTGGAAAGTAAGAAATGTTTGACACGGTGTTGTAAATTTCGTTGACATGAATCGGAGTAGATTCAACAAAATGTCTGTGGATGACTTCCTTGGCGGCGGCTTCATGCAAGGAAGTAGTGATGATGACGATGAGGTCGTAAGTCAATACTCAACGTACGCGCTGTTTAGCCTGAAGCCAACTGTCTGGTGGATAGAGCGGACATGACGGCTTGGACGAGGATGAGGACGAGGATGATGCTGGCTCGGTTGACGCGGACGACAATGAGTCCTTCGCGGATGTAGACGACCTTGAAGGTATGCGCATTCACCGTTCACCTTCAAACGTCATTCAATCCAAATATGGCTGTTAGACGAAGGCGAGGCGCACCTTCTGGAGCTCTCAAAACTAGCCGAGAAGGATCCCGAGTTCTACAAATATCTCCAAGAGAACGACCAGGAGCTGTTGAACTTCAAGCTTAACGGTGAGGTGGAAGAGGGCGAGGAAGATGAAGACGTGATGGAAGAAGACAGAACCCCTGTGCTCACTAAAGAGGTGCTTCAGCGATGGCAGAAGGCATTACTCGACGTACGTACCGTCTTGCTTAATGCAGTGTATGGCCACCCCTCATTGTCTCCATTTTAGCATCGGTCCTTGAAGGCACTCAGGAAGCTGCTGATTGCTTTCCGGTCGGCAGTACATATGAGCGAGGAGGATCAAGTACTCTCTTGGAGGATAGACAACTCATCAGGTGAATTATGTTTTCTGGGATTCAATCGCAGACTTTGACTAACATCTTACAAGTCTATAACAAGCTCGTCACGACCGCCCTCCGCTATACACCAGTAGTGCTCGAGCACCAATGCCCTTCACGGACGTTACCAAACGGCAAATTGTACGGAATTATGTGTTCTCTTCAGCTTGCCTCATTTTGATGGTAGTATGCCTCTATAGCAAGGCTCCCACACAGACGAAAAAATGGAAGACCTTGCAAAAGCTCATCTTGTCTTACTTCCATAACGTTCTACACCTCATGAGCCAAATCTCCGATAATGACATGCTACGTCTGGCACTTAGCGAGACCGCAAAGCTAGTACCGTATGTGACGAGCAGTCGAAAAACGGTGAAGCTCTACCTTAAGGTGTGTTCGCTCTCAGTCCATTTGTTCGTACAGTTTTTGACTTGTTGCGTTGATTAGACTTGCCTAGACTACTGGGCGACCGCAGAAGATAGCGTGCGGATTTCCGCATTCCTGTCCGTGCGGCGGCTCGCAGCGGTAACAGATGAATCGGTTTTGGAAAGTGTACTTAAGGTAAGCAAGCATTGGGTTTACAGCTCGTCGTGGTCTCGGTCTCACAAGCGAATTACCTTGGTAGAGCACCTACCTGACATTGGTCCGGTCATGCAAGTCGACCAGTGCCCACACCCTTCCCTCGATAAACCTCATGAAGAATTCGGCAAGCGAGCTCTTCTGCGCGGACCACGCCGCGTCCTACCAACATGCGTTTGGATATATTCGTCAGCTCGCTGTCCACTTGAGGAATAGCATGAAGACGAAAACGAAGGAGGCGTACAAGCAAGTGTACAATTGGCAGTACGTCCACTGCATCGACTTCTGGGCTATTGTCATTGCACGCGCGTGCGGGAAAGGGACGCTTTTGGAGCGCGGCGGGCAGGAGAGCGAGCTGCAGGCGCTCATTTACCCTCTCGTGCAGGTTGCACTCGGAGCTGCCAGGTATGCCAGTGTCTTCACTCTAACTTGCCTCCAAGCTCACATCTGACCTTCTACCAGACTCATCCGCAACGCACGCTCGTTCCCCTTCCACCTCCACGTCGTTCGCTCCATTCTTCATCTCACGAGGCATACGCATACATACGTCCCCCTTGCTCCCTATCTTCTACCAATTCTTACATCCACACTGTCCGCCTCGTCGAAACCGAAGGCGTCGACGCTACGCCCATTCGATATCGAAACACACATTCGTGCTCCTCAGCAGTATCTCAAGACGCGCGTCTACAACGAAGGCCTCGCGGAGGAGAGTGCGTTCCTCCTCGCCGAGTACCTCGCAAGCCCACCCGTGCACGGAAGCATTGGCTTCCCTGAAGTGACTATACCCATCGTCCTGCTCCTTCGAAAGTCCATCAAAGGTTCCAAGAACGCCCTGGGCAAGGGTTCGAAGTCTAAAGAGGCCGGACTCGCAAAGACCCTCGTGGAGCGCGTGGAAGAGAGCGCGAAGTGGATTGAGCAGAGGCGTAAAGGCGTGCTCTTCGCTCCTGGTAAGCTCGGCGAGGTTGAGCGATGGGAGGACGACCTGAGAGGGAAGGTCGACGACACGCCCCTGGGGCGGTACGTAAAAGTGCAGCGTAAGGCTAGAGAGAAGCGCAGGAAGCTTGTCGAGAAGGTGCGTCTCATTTCCATGTTCGTCTCCGTACCTGTCGTCTCCGCACTCGCCGGCAGTCCCCGTGCGGCTCCGCTCCCGGACTAACTGTAGCGCACCGTTCACGGTTGGGTGGGTGGGCGGGCGCTGGGAAGAGGATGTATGGAGCAATGTGCTGACTCGCGTTGTCCACAGGCACGGGAAGGTGAAGACGAGATCCTGGATGACTGAACTCCGACGTTCTCTGCGTCCACGATTGTGTGAAGCTTCCATTGGGGTCGTTTCGGCATCCCCTCACCTGACGAGCTGAAGCTCTCTGTGGATGCCTAGATAGCCATTCCATTCGGTTCGAGTTCGTACCCAGATGCATTCCCTCGCAGTTGGTGGCAGCAACCTCTCTCTCTTCGGACTAGGGCGTGTGTTACGTCTACGGAGGGCCACGGCTCCGCTTTGTACTCACAGTGCCTTCTGACGCCGTGGCGTAGCACATTCACGGACGAATGCGCTCCCACCTACTACTGACCTTTCACCCGGGAAAGTTCCAGTGGAATCTTCTCCCGCGAAACTTTGCGTGCGTCTTGTCGACGGAACGAGCGAGGGTATCGATATCGTATCAAGATAAGGTCGGTTATTGGGGATGGTACGCAAAATTCCCATGCGAGTATGGTACGTGGTCAAAATCCACGTTAGGAAGAAAGCAACACCAACATGGGTCGAAGAGCTGGACGGTTCTCGGAACAGCAATCGACGCCGGACGCACTCATGTCCCACACACGTATCCCCCGTCCTCCGTGGTCCGGACATTGTGATAGCGCCGTGCACGCGGTCACGCTGTCTCTCCCGTGAGAACCCATACACGCATGTATAGACTGGGATCTTGGGTGCCTGTACCGGTCAAATAAGCCAACGAGAGCAGGAGCAGGTGAGGTAAGAAGCTCACTGTTCGGCGGTAGACTATGTACCACGGAATGGGCCGTCGGACGCTGTCCGGGGATTACCAGATGTTGAAAAAAATCTTCCACCAAGGCCGAGCGATACCCTGCGCGGCCTTCTCAAAGGCTTCAAGGAGGCGCGTGTAGTGATGAGGCATAGAAGCGGGCTTGAAGATTTTGTCTGACAGAGGATACTGAGTGATGATGATGCATCAGCGATCGCGCAAGGGTTGGAAGTAGAGCAATCAGAAAGAATAACTAGCAGCGAGTTTCGCAATTGCCCGATGAGCCGAGGGCACTGGAGTCCTCCGACGTCCGATGGGGGTGCTTGTTCACGGTCGATAGCGACAAGATTACTCAGTCAAGCAATCACATTCTTCGATGAACAGCTAGCTCCATGATACTAGGCCCCACCAGACGGTTCGGAAGAAAGCGTGGACAACACCAAGTTCCGACAACTCGGTGTCGCCACTTGTGAATGTCCGCCGATCAGTACGTTCATTGAGAAACGCAGTCGAGTGTGCCAAATGTATCTCAAGCCGCGCTGCTCGTTCGGTAGCAAGCTACCTTCCAGCCAGAAGCTCAGTGCGTCCATCAAGTTCCCATGTTCCCGAGAAACCAGAAGCCTGTTTCTCCCCAATGGATATATGCGATGAGCACATGTGCTCACCTTCTTCTTGAACTCGTCTTCCTCCAATGCACGTGTGGAGCATACCGCCGCAGGGGTGAGGTTCGGGTGCTCGGCGAGCGAAGCGAGGAAAGTCTTGAGCTGAACATTCGGCCGGAACGGGTCTTCGGCCCACCTCCCCGCTATCTTTTGTAGCTGGTGTTTGAGAGATGCAGGCGCAGCAGCCATGGTGCTTCCCAGTAATCAATCGTGCGAGACTAAGGACAAGGCGACCGCAGGCAGCTGTGTTGGTCGGTGGCAGAGGATGGACAACACGTTCAAGGTCGAAGCGAGCCACACGACGCGGGGCGAAGGCATTCGGCAATCGCCGGCCGCTGACTGCTTTTGGCAAGTCAAGTAGATCAAATATTCTCCCACGTCTTCACTGCGGTGACCTTGTTCTCGCCATGGCCAGACTTGCCTCTACCGGTGGATTTCCGAGATGATTGGTCCAACTTGGTATGCTTCTACTTAACGGAAGATTTTAGGATGTCCTGCTACGTCTCTCAGGTGATGGCAACTCCGCCTAGGACTGCCCGCATGGTCCAAAGCATCGTCATCAGTAAGTCCTACCCGGCTTTGATGTTTTTTTTTTCGCTGAGTACGCTTCATGTCACCTCTTAGGCCTTCTGGTCGAGGTATTCGAGGTCTCCTTATCCAGTATCTGTAGCCTTTCAAACGGCGCACGAACTCCCGAGACTGATCGTGTAGTCTCTCACCAGTGGAGCCCTGCGCCTTGTGAAACCTCTGTTGCTTGTTAGGCCACGAGGCCGCCACAAACGCGCACACGCCTTGTGTCTAGTCGGAACGAGTGTGCGTCAATTACTGCATCCACCAGTCATTCCGAGGAGCCAGCCGCACTAGTCCGGCTGTGGTCGTGAGTCCACCTGGATAACAGCATGGTTCACACTTGCCCGATAACACACGGACGCCTTGTAGTCTGATACCGTCAGCGCCGCAGATCTTCGTTCAGAATGCAATTCAACGCTGTTGCTGAGCAACCATACCGCTTGCCGATTCAATGACACGAAGTCCGGAAGCCGCTCCCGATCATTGTTTTAATCCAGAACTCCGCTCAGACAACTTCGCGCCTCATGTAGAGGTACGTCATATCTCGTACCGCGGCCGGAGGCTCTCCGATCGGAGCAGCTCTGGGAAATACTCCCGCAGATGTACGATGAGCGATGGTGGTTCCGATCCGGGATGAGTTCACGACGCTCCTCAACCCTGCAACAGAATGTGCGACCCCATGAATAACATGCGAGTGCGTGGGACTGGTCGCTGCATCGTGTCTTCTCATTGCGTACCCGTCACCTTCCTGCTCGTCTAACCTACAAACGGACACGGACCTCGGGACGACCCCGCTTCCAAGAGCCAAATGCGTCCGGATGACGGAGCACTGCATCTGCACCTATAAGAAGTGCCGGGTGCTATTTTATACGTTTCCGGGAGCCCGGCGCAAATGATAGGAAGGAATGCCCGCTCCTCGATGGGGAATGCGCCGTGCCGGGTCTAGTCGGTATGTCGCACAGACGTTCCATGTGAAGATAGCGGCCCTCGTAGCTCAGAACCATGTCGGTAGTATCACAACCTTCCGATGCTGTCCGTTATGACATTCCAAGTGCGACAGCCCACGAGAGTTTTCCGGTGCCATTTCCTCGTCTCGAGACGGTCTATATCACCACGCACGCTGCCTACACTTGAACACACGCTGATTGAATATGCGTAAGGATCAATGAATGTGACTTGCCCAGTTCAACCGTAGGTTATACTAGTACTGCTATACATAGCCTGGCGTATATGGTCTCAACATTGCCCCCAGGTCTCACAGATGTCTAGGGTATAGCTTCCCGGTCGTCAATTGGCTACGGTAGATCTGCCCAGAAAGAGACGCATGGACTCGCACCAGTTCTGGGCATGGGTGGTACTGAACGCGATTCTGATATACCAAGTTACGGCCGGCGAAGCGGCGGCGAGGGATCAACTCGACTCCACTTTATCGATTGAACTCTCCGCTGTCCCATCCCGAACTCATTTCCTGTAAGGTGCTGTACGATCTTGAGAGATCAACGTGAGAATAAGCATACTGTACTTGTCGCGGCCCGATGTATGCGTCCCTCGAATAAAATCTCGGACAATCACCAACGTTTTTGACGATTGACCTGCCAAACGGAAATGATCCCGACCGACGGGACTGACTAGAATAGGTATCATTAGGTCAACGAAGGAGTCGATGATGGTGGCGCTGAGTGCCAGACAAGCCGGGTGTCGGCACGTCGAAGGTCTACGTTCCGCGTGCTGTGCCACAAAGTTGTAAATTTTCTGTATAAAGAAGACTCATCCAAGTTTGCCTACAAGGACTTCCTGGATGTTGGGTGGGCAAAGTGATTAACGTTTGGTCGAGTTGTTTCCGGAAGCGGCTGAGTTAACGAGACTCCGACACAGCAAAGTAGTAGTAGCGCAGAGAACGCTCAGGCTCGAGGGGTAGCTGCCCCGACTACAACCTGAATGCTCTCTCCTTGGTGGCGATATATATGTATGCATGTGTTCAGTGCTTGCTCTCGAAGTGGGGTATAAGAAGAGCTTGCACAGAATTGAGACTCCATGACATGCGCCCGGCCTAGCCGGGCGCTCATGTAGCTAGCGCCAGGGACAGGAGGCGATCCATAGGCACGAAGCCGCGACGTTGGATAGCAGAAGCGGTGTACTTTATTGACACTTTGACGCTGCTAAGCCACGCCCGTCGACAGCCTCGAGATGGCCCCGTGCACGCCGGCGCGCCCTCGTTGCATTCCAACCACCAACTCTGCGCTGTACATTGACGATTCTCTCGAGACGACCTGACTGGCCATGAGCTGTTGCGGCGAGCCCACCGACAAGGCGGCGAACGCACAAACCGCGTATAATGTCACTCCATTCCAGCCGCAGCCGATCACCCAGCAGCCAGGTCCTCAGCCCGGCCTACAGTGGCAGCAGGGGAACGAGAAGGGCTTTCCACCTGCTGTAGGACCTACGCCCCCGCCCCAGGCTCATCAGGCGTATGGATCATGGGAGAAGTCGAGTCCGAACCAGCAGACCACATTTCAGCCATACCCTACCCAAGGGTCACCTCCGCCCGGTATGTACCCAAATGGTGCTATGCTACCTCATCAGTCCGGTTCTCCTCCCCCTGGGACGACTCCGAGTCCGTATAACCCATATGGAGGCCCGCTTCAAAGTCCGCCTCTTGCTCGCACCCCAGAGCGCAGTGTTCCGATGACGGTAACGTCACGTGGCTCGAGTCCTCCAGTAGCTCCCCAGCAGCTGTCGTTTGCCGACGAAGGCAAGCTCTCCGTCTCAATTGACTTTGGTACGTCGAACCCCTGTCGATCTCCGCTTTTCAGAGGCTCAACTCTCCGCATTCAGGTACAACCTTCTCGGGAGTTGTGAGTCTTCAAAGAGTACAGTTTCGCTTCTGTCCGTGGCTCAGCGGACATCTCAGGCGTATGGATCTTCCCGTATTGCCGCCGGCAAAGTGCAGCAGATACTCAACTGGCCGGGCTCCTTCGAGACGTTCAGGAAGATCCCGACATGCCTTCTGTACGACCAGTCGGGACAGATGATCGCCTGGGGCATTGAGGCAAAGAGCGCGGGCCCAATGCCGGGAGCAATCAAATGTGAATGGTATGTCGGACTTGAACCTGCCTTTGCGGCCATGAGTGTCACTTGTCTTCTAGGTTCAAGCTCTTCCTCGAGCCTCATGCCCTTCGAGACGCATCGAATGTCGATCCCCGCCTGCCATCCTTGCCGGTGAGTTACGCTTTCGAAGCTGATGCAGGATGATTTTTCGTGCGACCCATCTCCTCTCTTCTCTCTCTCGGCAGCCCGGCAAACGCGCCATCGATCTCATCGTCGACTTCTTGTCGTGTCTCTGGGACTACGCCAAGCAGCAGATCACCCGCGAAATAGGCGCCGTCGCCGACCTTGGTCTGTACCCACATGCTGTGGGAGCCTCCTTTGCGTATTCACATACATTTGCACTCTGTCAACACAATCAGATTCCGCGGATGTATGGCTCACGGTGCCGGCTGCATGGGACGCGAACGGGTGCCAGATGATGCGTGACGCTGCGATTGCGGCCGGGCTCGTTCGTTCCGCGAGGGCCGGTGATCACGAATGGAGGGATCGTCTGCATATCATCAGGTGAGCGGAGAGACGTCGAGCCTGCTTTCTGAAGCACTGTGTCTCACACGTCATATCCTATCTAGCGAACCGGAAGCCGCGGCGGTGCACTGTGCGAACTTGACCGAGGTGCACAGGCTCACTCCCAACAAGAACTTCATGATCTGCGACGCTGGCGGCGGTACTGTCGTACGTGCCCATCGCTGCTCCGCCGAGGCCGCCGCGGGTGTACTGACGGCCGTTCCCATAGGATCTTGCAGTGTACAAAATCATTGGGATGCTCTCGCAGCTCGAGATTGCGGAGATGTGCGCGCGTTCCGGCGCGAACTGTGGTTCCCTCTTCCTGGATCTGCGATTCCGGGAGCTGATGAGGACGCTCCTCGCCGACCACCCGGTGCACCTGGACCCCGTCAGCTTGGCCAACTTCATGGAGCACTTTAGCGAAACGGAGAAGCTGAGGTACGGCGGCGAGGAAGACGACGGTGAGCCGCACATTTCGCCCGTTCGTCACCGGTGCTGTTCCCGGCCGTCGCGCCTTGGCTGTTACGGCCGACGGCCGACAGACACCGGGGTGGTACGACTGCGTGCGCGCGCGGTGGACGAGCGTTTCTGACCCGGGAGCACACAGACAAGATGTTCCATTTCACCTGTTTCAACGTGGAGGATCCCGACGATCCGGCGGTCGGCCTCCTGAACGGCGAAGTGACGATCCCCGGCAACCTCCTCAGACGTGAGGTGTTCGACCCAGTGGTGAACCAGGTGCGTCTGGCCACCTTCTTAATAGCCGGCCGTCCGCTGGGGCCGCCTCCGCTCCTCTTTTCGTGCCCGGCAGGCACTGACTTACGGCACGGCACCGCCCCTGCCCGCGACAGGTTTTAGAGCTGATCGAAGCCCAGACGAAGAAGGTGGATCAGCGGCTCGACGCGCTCCTTCTCGTGGGAGGGTTCTCAGGTAGCGAGTACCTTTTCCGCAAGGTCCAGGTACGTGCTCCTTGTCTTCGCCGGTATACGCAGGCTCCTTTGGGTCGGCCCGCTCACATCGCGGGTGTGAACCGTCGTATTTTGGCTGCTTGCAGGAGACGTTCGGGTCCCGAATCCGGGTGATAGCTCGCCCGTCGGACTGCGACACGGCGACCGTGCGCGGCGCGGCGCAGTACGGGCTTGCCCGCCGGCCGCTCGTGTCCAGTGTGATTGCGCCACAATCATACATGCTGAAGGTGCGCTGTGATGTCCGAGGGCGTCGCGACGGCCAGCTTCCTGGACTGATCCCCTGTGCGCTATCTTGGTTTAGGTGAAATTGCCTGCGGAGCAAGAAGACTGGCTGAAGAGACCAGCCTATATCCGGGAGAACGACGCTGGCGTCTCGATATGCGAGAACAGGTAAGGCTCCGTCGGCTCCCAGCGGTTTTCCGCGGTGTCTGTCGGAGGCCGCAGCAGGTTAACTGATTCCGGTTTTTTCTGAATAGGGTGCAGTATATGGTCGCGAAGGGCGCGATTCTGCGGAAAGGGTGCGTCACGCTTCTGTGGCCCTCCGGATGGCTGCTGCATGGTTTGATCACCGTGTTTTGATGACGAGGACAGACAGCGGCTGAAGACGACCTTCTGGTGAGCCGGTTTCTATACGTCGTAGGCGCGGGTGGCCTGCTGACTGCGGATTTGCCGCCGGGCGAAAGCAAATTCTCACAAACGGCGAGCGGTGCGTGCGTCCTCGGGAGACTACGGCTGCGTGCCGGGCCTCGCTCGTGCTCATGTCCGCTGACGGTGCATTCGCGCAGACCGGACGTTCGTCGCGACGCTGTACACGTCGGACAGCGATAAGATCATGCGGTACACAGACGAGGTGAGCATGTTGGCGTGCGCGCCTCGACGAGAGCGGAGGAGGGAGCCCTGCTCGCTCGTCTCGTGCTTGCCCCGGCTCGCGTAGACGGAACGAATGCTGACGCCAAGCCCTCTGTGCGCCGCCTTCTTTGCTCGATCTCTGGTGCGGCGATGCCATGCATGTGACGTGCAGGGGGAGATCGTGGAGCTGTGCAAGTGGACGATCGATCTGGGTGCGCTTCCGAGCTTCCAGCAGAACGCGAGCGTGCCAAACTCGAATGGCTTCTACACCGGTGCGTCTCCGCACTATCTCGTCTTCCATTCACCACCCGCCGTGGGCGCGCTCGGCCGCAGGCTCCGTGCAGCGCGATAGCAGCCAGCGAGACTGGAGGTGCAAAGATCGGACGCCAGTGCGGTATCTTCCCCTCGGGCCCCCGTCCCGCATCTGCTCTCCGTCTACTGCCTCTTCTGTGCCGCGCTGCCCAGGCGAAGCGCTTGCTTTGGACCGCTGCGTCGGTGAACATATTCTGATGGTGCTATCTCTCCGTGGGCCTGCAGAATTCGAGCTCGGACTGGAACTTGACAGCGCCGAGGTCCGGGGCGTCCTGATCTACCAAGGCCAGGACTGGGGCCGTGTCGTCTTCGATTACCGCACATGAGGCCCTTGGGCGGCGGACTAGCTGATCAGTGTTAGTGATCGCAGGCGTGTACAGGGCGTCGACGCAAGACGGCACTTGGCCCCCCAGGACAGATTAGGGTAAGGACGGATCGCGGCCAAGGGCTCCCGCAGTTTGCTGGTTTCGTTTGATCGGTTCTTGGCGTCGTACATGTACACCACCGTGCCCCTTCTCTTCCCTTAACTTCTATTCTCATGCTCATCGCATTTCCGGGAGCTGGGCGACCGCCGAGCGTCAGTGCGTCACCGAGAAGGCGGCCAGTTGCAAGCTAGATGACCTACCCACAGGCACAGGTAAGTGTGGCCGCCTTGCCTCCTCGATTGCTGACCCCGTACGTCAACCGCACTCGCCCATTCGATTCCCTGCATCCAGGTTTACATCCGTACCCGCATCACCACCCGATCGGCCTGCGCCCCTGCCGGCCTCTCTCGCCAACCTGCCGGTCAGGCAGATGTCCCTCCGAGCGATTTGCAAGAATGTCGCGATGGCGCTGCCAGGCGCTGACGTCCGACCCTGACGAGCGCAATTATGGTGCGGCGTTACCGGGGCCTATCTGCTTGACGCATCGCGCACGGGAACACGGCATCGGTGCCTCGCTCGTCTGTGTGCCCCCTTTACTCGATGCGGCAGCGATCGTGTTTCGCGCGACGGGGGGCCGGCTTCGGGCCCGGTAGGCTGCTGCTGCTGCCGCCGCTGTTGTGCTAGTTCTGAACCTTCCCGTGTGGGCAGTGTTCAGTTGACGTTCAGCTGAGGTTGTGGAATATGGAAGTGAGGCCTCGGGGGCCGCCGCTAGACCGGTTCGGGACGCTGCACTGATCGACAGAATGCGCAGGTGTCATAGAACCCGTATACCCCTCTACGCGCTGCGCAGGTTGCATTCAGTGACATAGCAGTGATCGCGAGCGGCTGCGAAAGCACTTGGTGAGATCGACCCTGCATGTCGATGACGAACCTGGGGCAGGGTAGGCAGGGTGCAATGCGGCATAGACGGGATCCGGATGCTCGTGCCCCGCCCTATCTACTTATGTGTGTATATGGTAACGCGAGTTTAATGGCTTCGCAAGGACGGGGTCGCGTCCGGCTGGAAGTGGCGCCCGGCCAGCACGCCGGGGCCTGCTTGTCGCCTTGCCGTCTCTAGCTAGCTATGCCACATCCGCATATGTTCGTCTTCCCCGCTTCGAGCTCGTGGCATTCGGAGCCGTGGCGGACTCAGAAACTCTCCGGCGCCCGCTCTCGCCCTGTATTGGCCCCGGGACAGTGCGTCCATGCATCCATCTGGGTATACACCCGGCCGGACTGTTCGTCCTGGGAGGAGCAGCTCGCCCGGGGCCGTTCTCGCACGCCTCGCGCCCTTCCATCCTCTCCGCGCGCGAAAATTGACTCTCCTTCGGCGGCCCTGTGTGCACGGAAGCCTCTCCGGCTATGTACGTATAGCAGAGTAGCAGATCACTCAGCTGCGCACGCAGTGCCACGATCGCGGCTCGACGCCCGCCTGCGAGGAGGCGCGCACCACTGCATGTGGACGTCATCTGCGGTCGGCGACGACAGAGAACCACCTGGGGTCCTATAGCTATGGTGTCATGCTCCTATTGCTGGCCACACTAGAACGCCGCGAGCGGGTGCTAGGTACGCGTGGTGTGCATGGGCGTGGATGTGCACGCGGACGCGGACATGCACGGTGTTCTTTCTATTCTGCACGTAAGTTCAGGGACTCTGTCGTCATCCGGGAATCGCACATCCAGCTTGCGTCACACAGCCAGGGCCCTGATCCGCACTATCACTGGCCACCGTCGGCTCGGTTTCCATTTCCATTCCCACTGAACGTGCGTGGAAAATGTAATGCTAGCTCGACGTCGGGGAGGTGGGGGCGAATTACCGATCACGCAAACCGCCGTGGTTAGTATGTATGCATACTTATCTTAATAGTGCTCGCTCGGAGTGAGTCAACGGCCGGCCACGTCGCCACGTTCCGCGGTCGCGCAGATAACAACGAACACAAGAGCACTTCGGGCGGCGACCTTATCGATGCCGCACGCACGCCCCGGGGAGGCTGGCGGGGGCAGGGGGCGTGTAAGTACGGTAGCACATGGGCCAAGCACGCACGGCTGATGGGATTCGGGGATGGCGACGGGAGCCAAAGCTGGGAGAGCCTCCGGAAAGAACGAGCGCGAGAGACCACCGTGGGCGAGTGCTGACGACATCCGCGGCCTAGTTTAACTCAGGCGCACAGAGCCCAGGGCGCGACAGATGGGAGATGGGATTGGGGGTGCGAACGAACGAGCGTGGCATGCTCTCTCGATCCGATCCTAGAGTCCGAGCCTGAGTCTGTCGTTGTTTGAGGCCTCGGGCGCCTGTGCGGGAATGGCTGGCGCGCAGCCGAAAAAGCTGAAGCTGCAGCAGATACATGGATCGCACGCGCACACGCACGCAGGTCGAGGTGGGAGTGTCTGCCCGTGGTGTCGGGGGACGTGCCTTGCTGCACTTGTTCCGTTCAATCGGGGCGCTTGGGGTGCAGCGTGGGCGAGAGGGATCGTAACGGCACCACAGGCCCGGAGCAGAAACTCAAACTCAGAGAGGCGGGCGTCGCTGGTGGTGGGAGACGGACTCGCGGCTGCCAGTCAGTGTTAGTAGCTGGTGTCACTAAGTACTGGACGCGGCTTCCGTCACGGTCGTCTGGGCAAACCCAAAAAGCGATGAACCTGGGCAGCTCCGCCAGCGATCGTGCGTTCGGCGCTGCAGCCCTTCGAACGCGTTGCCGTTGCCGCGTCTGCAGCTGGGTGTGTGTGTGTGTAGTAATCCGACCCCGAGCCCGTGCTAGATCCCGGTGGGATTTATTTTTTCCCGACATACCCACCGGCGTTTGCCATGCATCTCAGACTGCTCGCCGCCCCTCGGGAGAGACCGACGTGATGTTTGCTCCGTCGCGCTGAGCAATCGATCGAAAGAGGCAAGCAGTCTCCCTGCAATCACAATCATGTCTGGCTAAAACTTATAAAGCCCTCGCGCTGCCTCACAACATGCTAGCCACACCTCGCCTCGCCCCTCGCCATCCATGCCTTCGCCTGTCCTGCCCGCGTCGCCCAGCAAGCTCGGGCAGCTTACCGTCCAACAGCTCTGGGAGCTCCTCGCCCCCGTGACCGCGCACCCACACTCCCCGCGCGGCGCGTTCACCAACTGGGGGCTGACGTTCGCCTGCAGACCGCTGTGCGTGTTCGAGCCGGAGACCGAGGCCCAGTGCGCGCTCGTGCTCGAGCTCGCGCGACGCGAGGGCAAGAAGGTGCGTGTCGCGGGCGTAGGCCACAGTCCGAGCGACCTCGCGTGCACGTCCGAGTACATGTTGCGCACGGAAAAGCTCGACGAGGTCATCGAGGTGAGTCCCATCGCTATCTCGTCTACGGTGGCCCAGCGCGCAATCTCTCGTCATCCGGGGATCTCCGGGTCCGGGATCGCGCTTGATCGGATACCGCTGTCATTCGCGATCGCGCGGCCACAGCTGCTGCTGCCACAGCCTGCCAGTGCCCGTGCCCGTGCCAGTGAGAGCGAGAGAATGCGGATGCGGCCCCCCTCGGCCTCGGGCACTCGCAGCAGCCCTCGCGCCGTCCGTCCGCCGTCTTCCGTGCTCATCGCATCGCACCCTCCAGGTCAGCCGCGAGAAACACTACATCATCGCCCAGGCCGGCATCACCCTCAACGCCCTCCACGACGTCCTCGCCCAGCATGGCCTCGCCATGAAGAACCTCGGCTCCATCTCAGACCAGACCCTCGGCGGCGTCGTCACCACCGCGACCCACGGCTCGGGCATCGACTATCCCGTCATCTCCATGGACGTCCGCGCGCTCGTCCTCCTCCTCGCCGACGGCTCGCGCGTCCGCTGCTCGCGGCAGGAGAACCCCGATCTCTTCATGGCGTCCATCTGCGGCCTGGGCAGCACCGGCCTCATCCTCGAGGTGACGCTCGACGTAGAACCCGCGTTCCGCCTCAAGGAGGTCCAAGAGACGCATCCGTTCGAAGATGTCGTAAGGGACCTGGATTCTGTCGCCCGGGCAGCAGAGCACGTCCGCCTCTGGTGGTTCCCCCACGCCGGCGTTATCCGGGTCAGCTCCTCGAACCGGACGCACGAGGTACGTCCGGCAGCGCTCTACGTGCGCCCTGTGCTGCTTCTGCGCGACGACCTTGTACTCACAACCTTGTTACTCATCGCAGCCTCGCCGACCGATCTACACCTGGCTGTGGCACTCGCTCGTGGGATACCACCTCCTCCAGTTCCTCTTCTTCCTCGGGCGTTACCTGCCGAATGTCAATAATTTCGTCGGCCGACTCGGAGCTTGGCTCGTTTCGGACAGAACGGTTGCTGTCGATGACAGCCATCGCATCTTCAACGTCGACTGCAAGGTACGCTCTCTCGGAACTTCCTTCTAGCCCCAGGGGCCGCCCACCCTCAATCTTCGCTGCTGATATCGTGCTGACTGCATCGGTCTTCTCCCGCGACATCTCTGTCAACAGTACCCTCAATACACCACAGAATGGGCGATACCTTACGATCACACTCAGGCCTGTCTCCGCGAACTGAGGGCGTGGCTCGACGAAGAGCTGGCTGCCCCCTCGGGGCTCCGGCCCCATTTCCCTGTCGAGATCAGGTTTTCGGATGCGGACGACATCTGGCTCAGTCCTAGCAACGGCCAGAAGACGACTTGGATAGGGCTCATTCAGTACAAGTGCGTCCATTTTCATTTCCGCGACGTCATGTCCCCCTATCTCATCTGTGCATCTTTCATTCCACGCCCCCTCCCGTGCCCCCGTCCGTCCGTTTGCCTCGCGAACGGTGCCTTGCGCCGCCTCCGTGCCGTTGCCCCGACGATCTCGCTTGCTGGCACATGTCCTCGGCGTCGCCCGTGCGTCATCTTTCACCCTTGGCACGCTTCCGCGGCTCCCGCGACTGCTCGCCTGCGTCCTTCCTCCGCCTTCCCATGTGCCCCGTGTTGTGTTTTCGTCTTTCTTTCGACCTTGGCCTTCTGCGCCACCGTCCGCCCTACGCTCGGCACCTGCCGCGCCACGCATCACATCACATCACATCACATCACATCACGTCGCTGCGCTGCGCGGACGTCGCCGTTCGCAGGCCGTACGGCACCAACGTCCCCTACCGGAAGCTCTTCGCCCGGTTCGAGCAATTCATGCTCCGGCACGCCGGGAGGCCGCACTGGGCCAAGACGCACCCGCTGCGGCCCGACGACCTGCGCGCGAGCTACCCGCGCTTCGACGACTTCGTTGCGCTCGTCGCCCGCGTCGACCCCCACGGCGTCTTCCGCAACCCGTACGTCGAACGCCACTTCTTTGGGAAGCAGGGCCCGCAGTACGACGCCCGCGTCTTCAAGGCTCGGGCCCTCTGAGTTGAGCGAGGGCTAGCTCGTTGTTGGGCGGTGCCGTGCATGCCCGTGCGCGCGTCTGGGGCTACCAGAAGGACGTTCGTGCACCGACGAGCTCGACGCCTGCGGTCGCTGCACCGGATCTCCTCTCCATCTTATCATATCAGTGAGCCAGTGCGGTCGTGTATCCTAAACATATCTTGATATCTTGCCTGCATATTTACCCGTATTTCCCTATCCCTATCGGCGAGTAATACCCCTTCGCTCCTCGATGCCTCTCACATACGTCTTGCGTCCCCCACATCTGCTCTCCACATACGCGGCCATCGTTCTCCATATACGTGTAGACCCCTAATGCGCGCGAATGCTGTAATAGTGCGTAGTCCCCCTTGCATAGCCCCCCTCGCGGCGCTGTCGCCCTCGCCGTCTTGCTCTTCTGTGTCTTTTTAGTTAGCCCCCCCACCCGCCCCGCGTCTTGTCACCCTGTGCCCTTGCAGGATTGCCCCGTTGTTGCTGTGTATGTATCCTAATCTTATGTCCCCCTACTATCTCTCACACAGCATGCGCCACAGCTATCCCACCTCCATCCTTGCCTCATACGGGATGTGAGGCCTTAAGCGGTGGCTGCCGGCCGTGTGCGGTGCGCTCTCTATCTCCGTAGTACATAGCACATAGCACGTCTCGCCTCCTGTAACGTAATCATAGCATGTATCGGAATTCGGGGTTTGCGGTTTCTACTATCGTATGAGCTGCTCGGGAGTCACTAGTCATCCCCGGCATCGGCGTCGGATAGCCCTGGAGATAGCAGCAGCAGTAGCGACATGTCGTAATTCCCCGGGTGGGATACATAGCCGGTCTGTAGGCACCTCTGCGACTTTTCGCAGGTCATGCTGTGCGACTACGCGTAGTGGTGGGGGGCTCGCGAACACGTTGCAGCCGCGCGCGCGAGATTCTGCTTCACATTGGCCCCCCTCCCCTCCCTCCCCCCCCACGGAGCCGCATCAGGATTCGCGGACGTGTCGGCCTGCGCTCGTCCTGGCTCCGTGGTGATAGCAGACGCAGTTCCGACCCAATCAACGCGCCCGTGTGCATGCTCGAACGATTTTGACACTGGCGGGCCACTCGGCGTCCTCCGGTGTTCGGGCACAGATGGGGTTGTGCTCCAGTTCAAGAACGAAACGCCCGACACTAGTCGGCCTAGACTTAGTACTTGAGCTTGAGCTTGAGCACTAGCCTCGAGGAGCACAGGGTCTCGGAGCGCAGATGGCCGTCGACTCTCAGGCGGAACAAGCCACGGTGTGGGTGGTCGTGCGACAGAGCCCCATTCTGCACGCCAATATTCGTCCACAGAGCAGCCACTCCGTGGTCCTAGTGCGGGCCACAGCGGTCACCGGTCGCGTCGTCGGCGGACGGAGGAGCGTCGCGGGACCCTCGTCGTCCGAGCGTGCACATGCATGGTGCGTACATGCCGACACCCTCCGCCGCCACATGGACCAGGGTGTCACGGACACCCCGCACTGCGACCACTGGAACCCACAGCGAGTATAACGAACGTTAGCGCATCTTGCCGCGAAGTCTCGCGAAGGACAGTCGCCCGCACCGCTGCGCGTGCACGTGTCGCCGCCGTCTGCAGCGTGACGCGACGGACGCGGAGGAGACGGGAGGGGTTTACGAGGAGGACGAGAGAAACGGCGCCCGATCGGGCAGAAACGCGCACCGAGTACGTATACCCCCAGGGCAGGGCACAAACTGCCAAGGCACTGCGCACCGCGAGCAACGTTAACGTGAACAGAGACATCCAAGCGGCCCCCGGTTACGTACCGCGAGGACGCGCATACGCAAGTGGCGGACCTGCAGGCAGGCGCGCTTGCCGCGTGGACGTGCCCGACAGAGTCGTCTACGCTGTTCGATGCTCAGACCACGGCGCCGCGGGGTTGCCGCTGATGCTAACGCCGATACTGAGACCTGCTGTCGCACTCAGACCATCTCTGGCACGGGTAATATTAGCGTTGGTGGTCACCAGACACTAGAGGGAACTGGACAGGGCGTCCCGGGAGACTGGGCTTTCATTTCGGGCTTCTAGCTTGCTGCCACATGGTCTGTGAGTTAGTCCACAGGGTTAGCGTAATCGTCAGTGGCACGAAGCAGCGAGTGTCCAGAAGAATGCCGCTGTCGCGCGTCCTGGTAAGATTTGTCCGACGGGATATGACCGGATGAGCATGGGTCGGACATTTGCAAGGCGTAGGCGGTAACACCTATAGTCCAGGGGACTTCTGTTCGGGAGCGGGCGCCGCGTCGATACGTGGGCACTGTGCCGGCATACTCTCCCAGCAGTTCGCGGCTCGCCAGACTGAAACGTTGTTGTGAGGGGGCCATGGCGTCTAGGAAGATCCACAGCGCCGTACGCGAGAGTCTCCAAGAGGGCTGAGTCGTGGGACGAACCTCGTGGAGCGAAGAGGCTAGATTGTCGATGCTCAGACTCACTGCAGATCGTCGGAGTGATGGAGTTGGCATGACAGGGTGGTTTCCTGATGTGAAGATACTGTTACATTGCAGTACTGTAGTCACCCTGCCAAGGGCCTCATAGAACATTGAATACGCATGTGGAGCCGTCGGAAAGACCACAGGAGACGCCAAAAGGTATCGGAAGATGCGCGCTGGAGTGATTGGGCGTCTGAGCCGCACTAATTACGCCCTTGGCGTGCTTGGTTCGAAGGACCGAAAGGTTTACTGCGTACGAGTAGGACGTTCGACATCGGATCATAACCCGAGTTGTTCGCGAATGGACTGTTTGACTATCCGTTCATATTCCTGGAAACGTATAATTGGTTACCACATTAGTCCAAGGCGCACCCCCAGATGCAGGAGTTCTTACAGCCCGGTTGTCGCGGTAGAGTTTGCAACAATCGATGTTCGCGCCGCTTTCCAAGTTTGGCTCTGAAGACCCGTGTTGCACAATGGTGTGCCGGATGCAGGCAAATCATAGACCCCAGGTGACAGTAAAATGATCTCTCAGCAGAATTCAGGGACGGATTGAAAAGTTATGGGCGCACCTGCAAGCATCGATATCACACTCAGAATGACTTTCTCTACACTCTGGACAGGACTCCAGCGCTCGGAGGCCTGCTCGTACATGGTAGGATCGTCTCCGGGCGTGTGCAAGATGGATATGCAAACTGTGCCATCTGGGTAAACTGCGAAGGCGGGACGTACGGTGAGAATGCCGTCTCAAGGAGAAAGGGCCAGAAGGCGCCGGAAAGCGGAGCGCGTGAGGTTTAACGATCGAGACAACTTGGGTTTTGGGATTGAGGACATCCCGGGTGGTGCGAGATGCCGATTGGCCAAAGTCACATCAGTCAGAAGCAGGGATGGTGGTGCGTCCATATCCCTGATGGAAGTATCGGTACCTCCCATGACTTACTGTTTGGATGGAACAACGGAGGGTCGAACTTCATCTTGAATGGAGATAGGGGATAATCGGAGGGCTGGCAGATGCAATAGGCAGTGTGTGGCGGTCAAATCAACGTCAACACGATTGCCGTCACAGGGACATGACACCGAAGGATGTGGGTAGGGATAGAACGCGAGCATGGTGCCGGATATCAGCAGTGTCTGGCGCGGGGTACATACGAAGTACGTACAAATGTCAAAATAGCAGGGAAAACGCCGCCTTCAAAAGGGGTGTCTTTTGGGCCCACTATCAGGGCCTCCCAGGTGAAGAAGTCAGACTCGGAGATGGGACCTTCCGGCGGGGTTGGTCAGTGGTGCGCTGATAGTCAGCGCTGTATTGAGTTTTGAAGCTTGGGAAGAGGGGACCATACCGGCAGTGAACATGCCATCCGGTGCACCTTCGGAGAGTGAAATTTGGGTGCCGTACGTGAGCAATTGTTGGAGATGGTTCCCGCTATGGCGGATGAGATACTTCGCCGCACAAACCTTGCGAGGTGAGTTGTTTGTACTCGGTCATAAGACGCCGCAGAGCGGTTGCGCTTCCACCCCGTGAGTTCATAATGAATCGGGCTTTGTGCAAGAGATTGAAGACGACAGCAGTAGACCGTAAAAGCAGCGAGAGCGGAGGAGAGCAAAGCGAGATGGGCGTTGCACAAGACGAGAAGGTTCCCGTCGGAGTCGCCGAGCGAAGCCGGACTGTGGCTACGGCCTGGTCCGGTCACTTACTCGTGGCCGGCCCGTAGATGCCGATGGCCGTCGGTGATGTGACGCCCGCCCATTCAAGATAAGCTGGCAAACACAGCCCGCGGCTGGACACATACACAACATGTACACTCCATGACCAGGGCACGCCTCTATCCAGGAGACTCCACGTCTGATCCCAATACACTCAATATGCGCTCATGAACATGTGGTATGCTCGACCGTGAACTTCCGAAGATACCCTGACACTCGGGCGGCCGAATTTGGCTGATTGCTCAAGGGACCCGGCTTGCGCCCGGACGTCAGACTGACACACATGCTGCGGCAGAAGAAATATTGGACCATTCTCGTCGGGCGTACCAACGATCATGGCACGGGCGGACCCTGACAGGCTCCGCCCAGCAGTGCTGCGATCTCAACTTCTATCCAAGGCTTCTTCCCCGCACATGCCCCGCTCTCAGGCTGCGGACCCCTCGAGGCATGCTCTTGATCTATTCTCAATGCCAGGGCTGTCTGTCGCCCGCCATCAGCGTCGACCTCGAGAGCGCTGGTGCATAACGTACGTACCTGCTTCCAGATGTCCATCGGCACTTCTTGCTGTCGAAGGTTCCTCGACGTCTTCTGTCTCTCATCGCTTGGCCTATGACGCAACTGACAGAGGGGGGACAGAAAACATTCGTGACGTTATCGATCATCCAGCCGGCAGACAGTGCGTAGGAGCGATCGTCTCAGTCAGCTGTAATGTCGGAGCGCTAACAAGTGAGAAATTTCAAGGGAGCAATAGTCATACAGCACTGTGGCAGAGAATACAGATGTGCAATACTACCTTGACACGACGTGTGGAACGGGGATAAGTTAACGGGGGAGCTTCTCCTGCTTCTATTTTTCCCATCATGCGTCATCCAGCACTAACCGCGGGACAACGTTCATCGCCATGAGCTAGAAGTACGTTGCGGGGCGTGTCGTTATGTTTCAGGGAGGGCCAGTGCGGGAAGATGAATAGCAGCAACGATGCAAACGGTCAGCCACCTTCGTTCGATCGCATGCCAAGCTGACACCACGCACCTCCTGGAAGAGCAGCTTTGCAGCATATGGAATCGTCAATTGCGCCATCTTCTTCGATGACTTGCAGTACGGGCACCACCCATTGTACCCAAGCAAGCCGCACTCCTCACACGCGTCCACCTGGAACTGGTCAGACGATATCATGAGCCGTTCCAGGAGCAGCTGCGTCGCGCCGTAGCCGATAAGACAATCGCGCTCCATCTCCCCAAGTCGGAGACCACCTTCACGCGATCGACCTTCTGTCGGCTGTCTTGTCAGCGTTGCGCGCGGGCCCCTGTGACAGGTTCGTCAATTGCAAGGTTCGGTGTCAATCGAGGCTAAGCCGCGCTATGCAGCCGCATCCAGGACGCACCTCGCCCTAGCATGCATCTTATCCATGACCATGTGTTCTATATCAAATAGTCATCAGTGCACCCGTCAACCTCGCCCGCAGTCCAGGTGCACTCACTCAGTTTCTGCGGATATTGGTGGGAGGTTAGCATGGGGAGACATAAACGACTAAGAGACACAAACTTGATAATAAATGGGTCCAAAGTAAACGTAAGCTTCTAGGGGCTCGCCGGTGATGCCGCTAGTGAGCATGTCCTTTCCAGCATAGCTGAATCCGTTCTCCACTAAAATGCGCGACATATCTTCGACCTGTGCATGATATACGCCCGTTAGTACTTCCCAGCGATCGGATGCAAGCTCAAAATAGATACCTTGGAGCCACCGAACGCGGTACCGTACTGCAACTTGCCTGCCAACACACCAGCCTAGTTGGCCCGAGTATAGTATGTTAGCAACAATGCAGTGGGACGATGGAGTCGCCTGAGAATTGCACCGAGTGCACGGGACATACCTTGCCAGCCAGAAGCTCAATCATCTTCCCTACCGTCATGCGGGACGGAAAACCGTGCGGGTTCATGATTGTGTCTAAGTGTGTGGAAGGAAGGAGAAAGTCAATCAATCACCGCCACCGTGCGTTTAACGGAAGTAATGTGGCCATGGGTATTGGGCGCAGGGCGAAAGGTCACGCACCAGGAACGATGCCTTGGTCGTTGAACGGCATGTCCTCCTGGTTGACAATCAGGCCACATACGCCCTTCTGCCCGTGCCTCGACGAAAACTTGTCGCCAAGCTCTGGCCGTCGCGTTTGCCGTATCAGCACCTTGATGAGCGTCTGATCGTTCTCGGTGTCAGTGACCATGACCTTATCAATCTGACCCGCAACAGGTGACTTGTAAGTCATGGGCGTGTTCTTATACGGGACCGTCGCTGCCTGACCGGTGAACGAGTTGTCGTTGGCATTTGTTGGTGTCTGCTTGTTGATATACACGTCCCCAGGATCGACACGCTCGCCAACGCCTGCGAGACCGTCCGTCTGGACGATGTCGTACTTTTTCTGCACCTGGCCGTTCTCGTCCAAGGGCGCATCGGCGAGGCGGTCGAACCTGCGCATGTAGGTTCAGCAGGCAAGCGGGATACAGCAAGCTAGACTCTACGCACGTTCCGTTGGGGTACTTGCGGATAAGGGTGGCGTTCTTGCGTAAGACTTGACATCGACCGTAGCCACGGTCGAGGCTAGCCTACACAGGGACGCGCACAATTAGCACAGGGACACGCGCCGGAACCTGAAGACTTAGGACGGACCTTATTCAAGATGAGCGCATCCTCGATATCATATCCGGAGTAACTCATGACCGCCACGGTAGCGTTCTGCCCGGCCGGCAAGCGGTCGTAGCCAATGAGCTCAATGGTCTTGGTCTTCACCATCGGCTGCTGTGGATAGACTGACAGATATAGCAGTGTGTCGATGCGGTTGAGTTGATTGTAGCCGATGGCGCCAATGGCTTGCTTGCCCATAGCGCATTGGTACGTGTTTCGGGGTGACTGATTGTGGTGTGGGTACGGAATCAGTCCGGCGACGGCTCCGAGCAACGTGAAGGGTTCGATCTCCAAGTGTGTCGTCCCAGGAACGATGTCTTTTTCGTATAGCGCGATGTAAGAGTCGTTCTCCTCGTTGACGTCCAGGTATTCCACGAGACCCTTCCGAAGGAAGTCGTCGAATGTCAGCTGGCCTTGCTTGAGTTGCTGAGCAGAAATACCGTGAGAACAACATAAAACTAATGTCTAAGGAGGGCGTACGGCGATATGCTCAGACGTGACCTTCGGCCTCCCATTCTCTACTATGATCATGGGTCGACATATACGGCCACCGTCGCTCGCAATGAGTACGGTCCGATGGTGATGGTTGATGTACACGCTGACGAATTCGCTGAATCTTCCTGCTCGCCGTAGTCTTCGGAAATTACTGACGAAGCGCGCGGGATACCGTGTTAGGCCGATGATGCTGCCGTTCACATTGACTACAAATGTGTGTGGGCCATAGATTTCTGCGCCGGTCGCTAAACTGATGTCTGCGATAGGGCGGGTGCGTTAGGAAGAGACAGCGGGACGCCGATGTCGCCGAGGAAAAACATACCTTCAACGCCCAGCATGAACGCTATCCTGATGATCGGCTCCTCCTCCACGTCCGTGGTGATGTGCGTCATCAACGCGAGGTTCTTGACCAGCCCACATGCCTCTCCTTCTGGCGTGTCGCTCGGACATAACATGCCCCATTGGCTGGGTTGCAGCGCTCGGGGGCCACTGACCTTGCGTGTCTTCTCAAACTGGGAAGATATCCGGGTCATCATCCCGAGAGCCGAGATGAACGACAGCCTGCTGAGGACGTGTGTCACGCCCGCCCGGTCCATCTTGAACCGTTTGAGAGACCAGTTCCCCGTGGATATCGCGCGCACAAAGCCCGCAGTGATGTGATCCCCTTGAAACTGCATCGTGTTGAACGCATCAAATTCGCTCGTCCGTGACGGCTTCTTCAAGACTTTGTCGATCGCAGCCTTCAAGTTGGCATTGAACGTCTTAAAGAGGTCCTCGAAGAGAAGCGCTAGAAGCTGCCCCGCCCTATGGGGAACGACAGATCGGTATCAGTGTGTAGTCAGGGACGAGGTGATCGAAGAACCACCGAGCCGCACAGTTCGAGCCGTTTGTTTCCGACGTAATCTCGGTCATCCACCATCTTTTCGTCGTCCATGGCCATTAGGACGCGACGGGTCATCGTCGCCACAAAGACGGCCTTAGGGCGGAAGTCGAGACCATGGACTGGCACATGAGCAAGGACGATCGTTGCGAGCGCCTCCAGTGCCTCCTCCCACGAGGGACGCCTCGGACCCACTACCCTCCGGTTGACCTTCACCCGAGAGCCTATCCACTCGAGAGCCTGGTGACGAGTGAAAACTCCAAGTTTCGCCGCTTCCTCGAGATTTGGCGAGAAGGCAGACTTGTACGCCTCGTGGTTCCCTGCGGTGAGGAGTAAAATTTCTTTGTCCGACTGGATGCCTAGGGCCTTGAGAGCGATAGCAATCGGAACGTCCTCGTGAATAGAGTTGTGGCGGAGGTAGATCTTGCCCTTCTTTGTGGCAACGTAAGTTTTTGACTTCAGACCACCATGCGTTGATCTAAATGAGGTCTGTTAATTATGCAGAAAAAAGCATCGAAGGAAACAAATTAGGATGACAAGGGAAGCTAGCGAAAGGAGATGCGCAACGTCTGACAGTAATTGAGAGATTCCACTTGTTTGGAAATGTTCAATGCCGTATGCATATCGGTAAAAGAGGCCTTGCAACCAGAGTGGTGCCTATTGCCGGCGATGGCAGGGACGTCACGATGGGTCATCAGCAGCAAGAACGGCGCACTTGCGATGCCGTTTTTCGGCGTTTCAATAGTCACGTAAAGCTGGACACAAGCGGAGTTGTGCTGGAAGACCATGCTTTGAACAACGGACGACGTGCGCGGAATGAAGGTTTCTGATACGTCGAGCTAAAGACCGAGAGACATGCCGAGAGGCACCAGGGCTGTGGACGGGGCTGTAGGCATGAAACTGCCGGCGAATCGAGAGCATTCCAAACGTGGCCCAAACCCAATTCCCCATACTCGCATAGTGTAAGAAGGAAGTGACTCACGATGTACATGAAGCCTGTACAACCCCCTTCGTTGGGTCAATCTCGACGATAATACGGTTTTTGCTCAGTTGCTCTTGAACGAGGATGACCTTCTCCGTTCCTTTGACGATGAAGTATCCTCCGGGATCCAGCGGACACTCCGTCATGCGAGCAAGCTGTGCTTCATTGCGGCCTGTGAGCACGCACTTGTTGCTTCGGAGCATGATAGGCAGTCGACCAATGTTCACGTTCGCTCGACGAACCACAGTCTTTCCTCTCGTGTATTGGATGGTCACTAAGATTGGTGCGCTGTATGTAGTATCGCGGAGTCGGCATTCATGAGGGGTGACGCTCTTGTCAATCGCGTCCGCGTCCGTCCTGTCGGGGAAGCCGACCACGATGTCCGTGTACTTCAGCCAGAAGCGGGGATCGACGTCCGACGTGACCTTGTTATTCGCCTTCAATATGTTCTTGATGTCCACATCGACAAAGTAGTTGAAGGAGTCGATATGTTGCTTTACTAGTCCTTTGACCTTGAGGAAGGCCGGAAGCAAAAGCCATTTGTCCTGGGTGAAACGTCGCGTTCGATAGCAGTGCAAAACAACAACAGACTTACTGACACACCTCTACACTTTTGATTGGGTCCGTGAGCCCAAGGCCTCTCCAGTGCGTTTGCGCAACCCTCCCCCAATCTTCTTCCTCCCCATATACAGCCATCGAAATAGCTCCGCGCTTCGTCCGAGATGCAGCGCTTCGAGATTACCCGTATCCCTACACGTAGGACTCACTATTCTCCAGGCGGCGACACAGGAGAGGGACAACTATGCCGACAAAGATGTGCGAAATCCTCAGGTGATGAATGCGGGACGGCGGAGGAGGCCCACAATAATTGTGGACATATTGTAGCCCCTAACCATACTATCGGGTTAGGGCTCTCCCGTCCTCGGGCCGCCCGGCCCCTGAGGCCCACAGGCCTTACTTACTCAACGCTTTCGATCTGTTCAACTCCCCACAAGACACAAGTTAACGCTAACGTGGGACGATTTGGGCTTGACTCAAGATTCCCGTAGGTGTAATATCTATAGTTCAGATAATCGCTAAACTTGGACTGTTCATACGCGCGCACTGAAGCAAAGTCAATTACTCATCACAATGGCCCACCAACTCTTGCGAACCTTGGAATCAGTTCCAGCCAACTCCGTTCTTCCTCCAGAGATCACAGACAAGGTCATAGACTACCTCCACGATCAGCCACGCGCCCTCTCCAGCTGCAGCCTGGTCTGCTCAGACTGGCTTCCGAGATCCCGACTCCACCGCTTTCGCGACGTTAGGTTCACGGATACCTCTGCCGTCGCTTGGTTTTGCGTCCTCCTTCCTGGAGCACCGGTGATTGGGGGCTACATCAGGACGTTGCAATTCGGCCCGGATTGTCGCGAGCATCGCGCAGTGCGGGGAGGACCGGACGACGGCGTTGCGCTGTGCTACTCGTACTGCTACCCAAAGATCCGTATCGTGCTCGCTGCAGCGAGGGAGCTCCGGGAGCTTCGGGTCGATGGGCTCCCCTTGACGTTCTTCTCTGGGGCGAGCAAGGGCGTGAGATTGGTGCATCTAACGTATGTCCATGTTGGTGTCATTGAAGACCTGACTTCCTGGATATGTTCCCTCACTGGTCTACGTTCGTTGTCTTTGGCGTTCCTGATCGAACGAGGAGGCACTCAGGGCAGGGATCCAGCTGATTCCCAGGAAGGAATTCTCACTCCACCTCCTCGTCTCGACGACGTACGGCTTTCGTTTCCGGCGGGCGAGACGTGGCCTTCTTCATTCAGCCAATGGCTGGTGTCTTTGGGTGTCTCAGGCGAGCTGCACGCAGTCCGGATATACTCGGTGACAGTGAGCGGGCCGATGGGGATTGTCAACGGGTCTGTCAAACAACTGTTACGGCAATTGGGCCCCTCTCTGGAGGTCTTGGAGCTTGGTCTCAATCCACAGGAACAAGGTCGGTGCCTCAAACATTGACGCTCTCAAACGACAACCTCACCCACTTTCACGACATCGGTAGACATGGAGGACTTAATGCAATGCACATTTGCCCACTGCATCAACCTACGCCAACTCCGTTTCGCTGAGCTCATGGTCGTCTCCCCCAGGTTGATATACAAATCACATGGGATGCACTTGGTGTCGAGAATGCTGGAGAAAGTGCAGACACCCAGCATCACCTCCTTGAACTTCGTCTTGGAGTGTTACGAGAGCGGCCGCCTGCTTGAAGCGTACGACTGGCTGGAGAGCGTTTTGGCCGCACTCTCTCGGGACGAATTTCGGAACGTCAGCCGCGTCGTTTTCGAGCTCTATACCTGGTTTTGGGGAGGAGAAAATATCTACGCCCATCAGTGGGAGGCTGTATGCGCTGCAGCCGAGCGACTTGCTGTCATTTGGGACGTGCATCGACGGCCTGGACTGGTGTTCGAGGTCAGACTCCACGATCCCGAAGTCGCGGATTCCTCTGCCCTGGAGATGATCGCTGTGAGTCGCGGGTTCGCTCAGCTCGATATAAACGGCTTATGAAGCGTGCTATTTGCTTAAAGGTATCTGGAGATGGAGACGAAGTCATCCAGCTATCCAAAAGTGCGACCCTCGGCCGACGAAACTGAGGTGTTCTACATGTGCGTTCCGTCATGCGCTTGCCGCACCCCAAGTCGTGGTCAGTTTTGCCTGCGACTAAAACGAGGTAGCGAGGGATTTTGCAGGATAGAACGGTCCAACTTCCTCACAAACACCCGCGCTAGGATATGCGTCCTTCCTTGAATCAGTTCGAACGCGAGCCATAACGCGGGGCCGCCATAATAGACTCGTCAGCTCGTTGCCTTATCTCAATGCATCTCCAATTTTCGGTACTGTCCGAAGATGGATGCCATCAATGTGTGTAACGGGCTATTCAACCTGCTGCGATTTCAGCGGAGGGGTGGGTGTTTGTGAAAGCGGGTTGGTCCGAGACGTCCGAGACTGTAGGTTTCAGAATATCTGTTGCAGTATGAGGTAGTAGCATGTCAAGAGTGCCACAAGACAACATGAGAGCCCTACTGAAGGGAAAGAGAGGTGAAGGTGGCGGGGCGCTCTACGATCGAATACCTTCCTCCCTCCTCCCTCCTCGCTCAGAGCTCGGGGATGATACTCGACGCCCTAGTCCAGGCGCATAGTGCACCCGCTCTCGGCGCGGACCGGAGATGCACCTGGTGGGGAGCCCACGAAGTCGCAGGGGTCGCCAGAGAAGCATCTGGGACTCTGACCCTTGGTATTGAGGCGAGCGCAAGTGGTCTCTCAGGTCAAGCCTGGTAAAGTCGGGCGGGGCTAAGGTGGTCTTTCAGAAAGTGCACTTGAGAGCGTGCCACAGTGGCAATCGGCGCTCAGATAGAGCATGGAGTCCAGCAAACTGGGCCATGGGGATCGCCACAAGCAGATCATTCTTTCTCGACTCCGTCCTGCTCTTCTGCCTCTTCCTCATCCTCGTCAAATTCTTCGCCCTCCTCTTCCAAGGCTGCTTCAGCCTCCGCTTGCGCTTGCGCTGCAGATGCAGCATGAGCGATCGCCTGCTCGAGCAACCTGGTTTGTTCTTCTGAGAGCCATGAGAGGGAAAGCGGGGGTGGAGTAGACTCCGTTACGCCCGCTGCGGAAGGCGTAGGCTCCGTGTGCGGAACATCTACCTCCATGGGCGTGTCTTCCGCGGGAGGCACGACGGAAGGAGAGTTCGGCTGGCCAACAGTGTCCGCGGGGACGGCCGACTGTTGTGCGCGGGCAATGATGCTCGCCAGCGTCGACTGGCTCACATGCGGAGGCGGCATCGGGGCAGGTGCAGCGGGAGTTCCCAGACCCTTTGCGACTTCCGCCTGTAGCAGCCCATGTATACCCAATACCATATGCTGCGCCTGATAGATGATCGCAGGGTCTACCTCACCCTCCTCTGGGCCCATATGTTCGGCCATGGTGCTCCCCGCCGAGGACGCGGCAATGCCATTCCACAACTTCGCCCGTCGGCTAATCTCCTCCTCACCCTCCATCTTATCCACTTCGACCTCCTCGATCTCCGCGTACGCGCATGCAGCATCGACCGTGGAGTCGGCCTCACCAGAACGACTCTTCCCTCCTGTGGCCGATGCGCGGCCTCGAGCGTCCTTGTGACGCTTGATCGCGTCGCGCCGCGAGAAGATCTTATTGCAGCCTGCGCAACGCCAAGCCTTCTTCTCGTGGAGGAGCGCGTGTCGCTTGAGGTCGTGGTTGCGCACGAAGGACGCCGGGCATTGCATGCAGCGGTATGGTCGGTGCTCGAGGGTGTGTAGGCGTTGGTGAGCGCGGAGGGAGTAGAGGCGGTGGAAGGTCTTGGGACAACCAGGTACAAGGCAAGGATAGACGGCCGTGCCGATATCGGGAGGCGGAGGAGGCAGAGGAGGAGCAGATCCCGGGGGTCCGTGCCATGGAGGTGGGGCGTTGCCTATGTGAATACCGCTGAGGACGCCGAGCATCTGTACGAGCCCCGCAAGCTCTTGCAGCGCCTGCATGCGCCCGTCTCCGGCGCGGGGGGCAGAGGTGACTGCGAAAAGGAAGAGCTGGTGGAGCTGTAGCTGAATAGACGAGATGACTGAGGAATTGATAGATTGTCCTTGGGCGGTATCAGAACGGTTCGTGAGCGAGTGGGTAACGACGCGGATAGCCTCCGCGATTTGGCTCAACAGGTCAGGTTGGTCGATAGGAACGGTGACCGTGATGCGTTTCTGAGGGTGTTCCGGAAAGCGGCCGCCTTCGTCTTCCTGGTCGCGTTTGCGCTTGCCCTTGTCCAGCTGTATTGATGGCGCATCGGAGTTACGGAGGGACCCAAAGAGAGCATCGGACTTGGCAAGGGCCAGAACAATTTCTGTGAGAGCGCGAGCAAGGGGCTTGGAAATGGTAGATGAAGATACGCAACGATTGAATACGTCCATCAAGTTGCCGCCCGCAGGACCAGTGAGATGTGTCGCAGACATGGTAGAACCAAGGATGGGATGTTTTGATGCGAATGCAAGGATGCCTTTGATAGTAAGTAGCGCAGCATCTTGCTTCTTCCTGAAGGATGTAGGTATTTCCGGAGATGCTACAGGCTCTTGTGGAGAAGCTGCCGATGCTCCAGTAGTTGCAGCTGCCGCTTCTGCTTGTGCCTTGGCAATGTCTGCGAGAAGTTGGTCTCCTAACCTGCGTGCCATAGCTTCGGCCTCCGCGTCAAGATCCCCAGCCTCCTCGTATTCCTCTCCCTCCGCATCCTCGTAGCCCTCCTCGTCGTATTCCTCGTCCTCGGGCACAGGAAATTCAAAGTCAGGTAAATTGATAGAGGACGCCATTGAGCAGAGGGATGATTAAGCAGACGACAGAACTGTCAGGACTCAGGTACTCCTTGCGAAAATCAGGGACAAATATCAGATCTAGCGGATGTTTACTCGTGTTAGGATTCAAAGCCATTGCCCCCATCAAACCATCCCGATTTGGATGCTCCATTAGTGCCCCGCTCGTCATTCACAGGGTCGATCTGTGACCACGACGGCCGCCTAACGGGCACGGACCTCCCCGCATCCCCTTCAGCCATGGCGAATCAGACAACACCCTCCCTCAATCTGCAGCCTTCGTCGTCCGTCGTTGACACGAGTGGCACAGTCACGCCGGTTTCCCAGACCTCCATTCCATTGCCGCCTTCTGTTGCCCCTTCGATACCCGACGCTGCTTCGCACAAGTCGAAAGATACCCAGAGTCTGTCTAACACGATAGCTGCTGTTCCCACTTCTCTCAGTAAAGGTGTTCAACCAAGACCGGACGACCCGTCACTCGCATTCAACAAGTTCATCCTCTACGAGAACCGCTTACGTTTCTTCATAGTCGCGTCAAACACTTCCGACTCTCGTCACCGCATGATCAAGATAGACAGGACGTTACAGGATGAGCTTTTCGTCCTCGAGGATGAGACCATCTATAGTGGTAAGCAGATGAGTGCGATGCTCAAGATGCTTGAAGACGGGAACAAGAGTTGTGGTGGCTTGGGTAAGGCGCGGGTGTTTTTCGGTGTTGCAGGTGCGCTCTGTGAATCTGTGTTCAGTACTGGGGTCAAGACGCAACACAGGCTTCATCAAGTTCACCGCGGGTTGGTACATGATCGTCATCTCGAAGCGATCCGTGGTCGCCCTAATCGGTGGTCATTATGTCTACCACTGCGAGAACACCGACATCATCCCAGTCACATTCCCTCACAAGGTAGACAAGGCCGCCGAGGAGCAACGCTTGATGAACGTCTTCAAGCAAGTGGACATGTCTAAGAACTTCTATTTCAGGTGGTTTGCTGCTTATTGTCCTCCTGTTGTAGTGATATGTAGCTAATATGTATCCATGACAAAACCCTCACAATAGTTATACCTATGACCTCACCTCGACCCTACAACACAATTTGACTCGCGAGGGACTCAGCCCTTCTCGTCGGTGGCTGATCAATGATCGATATGCTTGGAACCACCACCTTCTCACGTCTGCATTCGAGAACGGTAGCTCTCCATCTTCTAAGGCACACTGGCTTGTCCCCCTGATTCACGGTCATGTCGATCAAGCGAGTGAGTGTACTGGGCTCTATCCTTGACTTGAAACGTCTGACGCTCCCTAGAACTGACGGTGCTTGGTCGCGTTGTCTTCATCACCCTGATTGCGCGGAGATCCCGACATCATGCGGGGGCGCGGTATCTCAAACGTGGCGTGAACGACGAGGTAAGGTCCGCTATTGTCCCAGGTATCTAAAATCTCAATGTATGCAGGGCAACGTCGCGAACGAGGTCGAGACCGAGCAAATCGTCTCCGAGACGCTCACTACGCCGTTTTACTACCCTGCTCCGAAGGCCTCGCCGGACGGAAGGCAAGGACGGCGACCTAGTCCAAATTTTACTAGCTATGTGCAGGTACGAGGCGTCTTCAAATGCGCCGTATCCCGCCACTTACGGATTTGTGGAAGTTTCGAGGCAGCATACCAATTTTCTGGACTCAAGAAGTTACTGGCGTTGCACCCAAGCCTCCCATCGAGAGTACGTCGCGACAGAACATGGCTCAAATTCCTTAACTCACAGACATCATACCCAGTCCCTGTCATGGATCCATTCTACACTTCAGCCGCCCGGCACTTCGATGACCTATTCAAGCGATACGGCACCCCGGTTATGATTTTGAACCTGATCAAGAAGAAGGAGCCTCAGCCCCGCGAGTCGAAGCTGCTGGAAGAGTACACTCAATGCGTGCGGTACCTCAACCAATTCCTGCCGCAGGAGAAGAGGATGGTGTACCGTCCCTGGGATATGGCACGCGCGTACAAAGAGTGAGTCGTGTAGCAGCGCTGACATCCGTGGCCCAGCATGCTCAATTGCACCCAGGAAGAAGCAGGATGTCATCGGCATTCTGGAAGATATCGCGGAGGAGTCCATCCAGATGACGGGATTCTTCCATACTGGAGCGGAGCCTTTTTCGCATTATCTCCAGAATGAGTATGAGTGAGCATTTTGTTCCATGTATGGGGAGTACTCATAAGGCTGACGCTTAGTGCAGTGGCGAAGAGTACACTTGGCGCACGACGATGTCTGTGCAGAACGGGATTTGTCGAACGAACTGCGTGGACTGTCTCGATCGAACAAATGCGGCTCAGTTCGTGTTCGGTAAGCGTGCGCTGGGACACCAGCTGTATGCCCTTGGTGTTGTAGACACACCCAATCTTGCTTTCGACTCTGATGCGGTGAACATGCTCACCGAGATGTATCATGACCACGGAGACAGTACGTCCAGTTCATGTCGTTCCTCACGGATGTCTACTTACTACTATGCTCAGGTCTTGCACTCCAATATACAGGAAGTGCGCTTGTCAATCGGGTCGAGACGTACCGTCGTATGCCCCATTGGAACAGTCACTCCCGCGACATCATTGAGAACCTCCGTAGATTCTACGCGAACTCGCTCCTCGGTATGGCACCCTTCCGTATCATTCTCGTCCGACCTCTCACATCTACGCAGACAACGACAAACAAGCAGCCATCAACCTCTTCCTGGGGGTTCCCGCCGAAAAGACGAGCACGCGTGGACCTCCCCAGCGCGGCAACTATCAGAAGTGGTTCATAGACGAACACTTGGAAGCGGCGTATCCGCTCGAGGCGTGCCAGCTGGCGGTCGCACAGTTCGTCAATAGCCGCGCGGATTACTGGATCGAGTACTACCGGCCGCTGCTGTTCACATCGCTGGGGAAGCATTTTGCGTTCTCGATGAACAGTACTCTCAAGCTGCCCGGAAAGACGGCGAGGGACATTAATATGAGCCCTTTCTTACCCCACCATGCGCCTAGTCATCAGCATCCAAAGTGCGCTACGCCTTTTATTTCCTCAGACTTTCTGCTGACAGGTAAGATACAGGTTGATGGATGGCGTGCGACGATGGATGGGCCAGAACTCTTCCGGAGGATCACGCATATCTCGCATTGACCGCTCTCAAGACCCGAAGTCGAGATTGAAGAAGCCGAATGTCACGCCGGAAGATGTACCCGAGACACTTCCGGAGATTGTCCTGCGGCTGCTGGACCCTATTGTTAAGGAGGAGGAAGAGTATCAGGAGTACATCTTGCCCGCTCTCTTCGCCCTTGCCATCTAGTCTGACGGGCTGACTTGGTCGCGTAGGTACATCGAGCAGGGCCAGGAGCTCCTTGTGGCGTCGAGCGAAGAGGTGGACTACCGCAACCCTATATACATGAAGTACTGGGATGCGACGAAGCTCGGGCAGGGTCTGGCGGAGCCTTCAGAGCTGAATGAGAAGGACGAGAAGATCATCTCGGCGTACATGGATCGTGGGAGCGCGCAAGACTCGGAGGCGGGGTACACCGCAACGAATTACGAGAAGATCATCCAAGAGCTGACCATGGTAGATTAAACATCGGGTTTCGCGGATTACACTGTTGTATTCTTAGGTTCCGTACTCTAGTTGTCCATGTCTACGTACTAATGCTGGCCACATGTTGGTCGTGTCCTCTGTCTCCTATGGACCAGTCGGCGCCTGTAGGCTTCGCCAAGACTCAGATGTTCACGGTCCAATCCTTCTGACCCCCCTCCGTTTGCACGGCCGATGCAACACCGACTTTACACATTGCCTCTGCTCCGCGCCATGTCAGTCAGCAGGTCGGATCGTCCGAGGTTATGGTCCGAGGCCGCGGGAGAGCTCCGACTGTGATTGGCTGTCGGGGACGGCGCGGGTCGGAAGGGCAGACCGACGCAGGCGCTTAGAAAAGCGCAGAGGTCATTGCCAGACGTGCCTCCGTCAGTACCGTCACCACATCTCTCCTCCTACCTTCCGTCATGCTTCAGGTCCAGAAAGCTTCCTCTAGGGTATGTACTCGCGCTCCCCGTTCCGAGATGTGCATCGTCTCACTGGACTCTATAGGCTGCGGCTCGGCGGTTGCGTCAGTCAGCTAGCACCCAGGTCGGTCGCTGGCAGCAGCAGCGCGGGCTTGCCACCCCTTCGGAGCCTTACGATGCCATCATCATTGGTGGAGGTGCGCTGTATTCCCAATGTACTACGCTACGGCATAGCTAACATGTCACAGGCCCCGGTGGCTACGTCGCTGCAATCAAGGCGGCGCAACATGGTCTGCGGGTATGTTACCGTCTTCCTGTACTTGTCCAAGTGCGACGCGACTGCAGCCAGGAACACCGTCCTAGCAGTAGCTTCATGCTGGCTCCTGCCGGAGATGAGATCCTGAACTGTATCGCTGTGTTGTCGATAGACTACACCTTAATCTCTTGCATCCTCTGACGTCACGGACTTCGTAGACCGCATGCATAGAGAAGCGCGGCTCTCTCGGCGGAACTTGTCTCAACGTCGGGTGTATTCCTTCAAAAGCGATGCTTAACAACTCGCACATCTACCACCAAACGAAGCATGACATCCAGCGACGAGGAATCGACGTCTCCAATGTCTCCCTTAACCTCCCCGTCATGCTCAAGGCGAAGGAGGATGCCGTCACCGGCCTAACAAAGGGTATCGAGACGCTCTTCAAGCAGAACAAAGTGGACTACATCAAGGGCGCTGCGTCTTTCGTTTCCCCGACCAAGGTCTCCGTCAAGCTCAACGATGGTGGGGAGACTGAGGTCGAGGCGAAGAACATCATCATCGCGACCGGTTCTGAGGTCGCGCCCTTCCCTGGCGGCTCAATAACCATCGACGAGGAGCAGATCGTTTCATCCACGGGTGCGCTCGCCTTGAAGGAGGTCCCCGAGAAGTTGGTCGTCATTGGTGGCGGTATCATCGGCCTCGAGATGGGTAGCGTGTGGAGCCGTCTCGGCGCGCAGGTCACCGTGGTCGAGTTCTTGGGCGGCATTGGCGGTGCGGGTATTGACGAGGAAATTGCGTACGTTCTCATTGGTTCTTTCATCTCTTCGACGCGGTCATTGACAGGCAGTGCAGCAAGCAATTCCAGCGCTCGCTGACCAAGCAGGGCCTCAAGTTCTTGCTGAACACCAAGGTCATCTCCGCCGAGAAGAAGGACGGGAAGGTGTACATCAAGACTGAGAGCGCGAAGGGCGGCAAGGAGGAGACGCTCGACGCCGACGTCGTCCTCGTTGCCGTCGGCCGCCGCCCGTATACGGACGGCCTTAATCTCGAGGCCGCCGGTGTCGAGCTCGACAACAAGGGCCGTATCGTCATCGACGACCAGTTCAACACCTCCGTTAAGGGCATCAAGTGCATTGGTGACGTCACCTTCGGGCCCATGCTGGCTCACAAGGCCGAGGAGGAGGGCATTGCGGCCGTCGAGTACATCGCGAAGGGCCACGGGCATGTCAACTACCACGCGATCCCTTCGGTCGTATACACACATCCTGAGGTCGCGTGGGTCGGGAAGACGGAGCAGGAGCTCAAGGCGGCGGGCGTGAAGTACAAGGTCGGCAAGTTCCCCTTCGCGGCCAACTCCCGCGCGAAGACGAACCTCGATACCGAGGGCACCGTCAAGTTCCTTACGGAGGCTGAGACGGACCGCGTGCTCGGTGTGCACATCATTGGCCCTAACGCCGGTGAGATGATCGCGGAGGGCGTACTTGCAGTCGAGTATGGTGCGAGCGCGGAGGATATCGCGAGGACAACTCATGCTCACGTAAGTCTTCGCTTTATGCTCTGGCTGGAAAGGTGATACTAACGAATGCTGGACTGCACAGCCCACCCTCTCGGAGGCGTTCAAGGAGGCGGCGATGGCTGCCTATGACAAGCCCATCCACTTCTAGACCCCCATTGCACGTTCCCCATTGTTGTTTTTAGTTTAGGAGTTGCGAAAGCTGCTATACATATTCTAATTGCACCTTAGTCGCGTTCGTGGGACTTGATGTGTTGTGCGTTGTGATCGATGGCTGCGATTCAACATCAGAGGTGGAATAGTCAGCAAGCACTGGACAGCACCCAAGATTGATGCCTGGCAGCCGGCCACGCTGGCAAGGTGTGTTCTTGCTGCCGAAACACTGAACGAGGACGCTCATAATGTCCGACAGAATAGCGTTCGGCGCCTGTGAATGGACGCGGTCTTGTATGGGATACGCTTACGCAGCCAGAAAGCATCGCCAGCGGATCTGACACGGCCTCTGTGTGAAGTTGTTTCGGAGATAGGCACGAATTTGACTCCAGATCATTGAATGACCCGCTCGGGGTCAGCATTGCTATAGACGCTAGGCGCCTGAGCTCCTGGCTGCTAACCATGCAGATGCCCATCTGGCAGTCTTTGCAGATGCGCACCATGCGGACGATGTACGCTGCGCAGTCGCATCTCCGGAACAATTGTTTCGAACGTGGAGAGGTTCACGGGCATTGTAGCCGCAGCGGTTTAGGGCTTGGCATGGATGGGCGAGACACGAAGGCTGGGCAAGTGACCTTCGCACTGCGATACTTCTAGACGGCGTCGACCAAGTTGTGGTGAGGTATAAGAGGTCCTTTGAGCATCGGTATGTTCAGCATCGTTTCCGTTCCCTTCACTGATCGTTTCTATTCACTCTCGTTCGTACCGCTCGTACCACTTCAACCTTCATCGAATCGAAAGATGGTGCGCATGCTCAGCCTCGTTCTCGCTGCCCTTGTCAGCTACGGTCAGTATCAGCTGCCGCTTTACAGTTGAGCGACGTGAACGCTGATTTTATCCTAGGCTCTGCTTTCCCGGCCAAAGGCCCAGTCCCCGATGTTGTGACCACAATTACCATCACTGTCGGCGGCACGGTCACGACCGAGACGATTACTTCGGACCCGCCCACCCGGGCGATCGAGACGTCGGTGGTGCCCACGACCACCACGAGCGGCGGCGCCGTCACGACTATCATCTTTGGGTCGGGCAGCAGCGGCCTCGTGTCTACCGCTACTTTCGATCCTAGCAGCAGTTTCCTCACTGGCGGCATCAGCACGGTCACCTTCGATCCGAGCACTGCGTTCCCCTCGGGATCCGTGACCACCATCACTTTCGACCCCAGCACAGCGTTCCCGAGTGGTACCGTTACCACGGTTACCTTCGACCCGAGCGCGGCGTTCCCCAGTGGTACGGTCAGCTCGAGCTTCACCACCGTCACTGGTGGATCTGAGGCCTCCGGGTCGATCTCGTCCAGCTTCACTACCGTCACTGGCACGGCCGTGAGCTCGAGCTTCACTACCGTCACGGGAGTCGCGAGCAGCGCGTCTACTACCGCTGCACCGGGTACCACGACTGCTTGATCCGTTCACTGCTAGCTGGTTGACGAGGTTGCGTTCACAGTGAGTCCGCACAGTGGTTATTCGTCCTTTATTTAACCCACAATGATGTTGCATCGCACAGACTATCGGACTAGTTCATTGTTGCCGCTTATGTGCCTTGTTCTGAAGCACTTTGGCACAGGCTAGAGAAACGGGGGGTTATCTTCGGCGTCGTAGCATGTTGTTCAGGCGGACACTCGTAGTTTTATGCAATCAATGATATGGCTGTGGACCACAAGGGCGGGCCGTCTCGCATCGATCTACGGTTCGTAGAAGATTCCGGATCAGCACTTGGAAGCCGCTATCGAGCTTGAAGAATGTCAACCTATTCACATCTACATGTTCAGACGTTCGTGCAATTGCTACGGGTGTCATCGCCGGGGATAGTGAACATATCCCCCTCCCGTACGGCCACATATGTGGTCTATACATATCATACAGCGTGCAACGCGCTTGTTAGTGCTTGTTAGTGATTGTCGTGAACTATTTGCGCCCTGCCACCTTTTGTTCCTGCCAAGTACGACCTCTTATGTAATGTTATAGTACATGCTTCTTCATCGTGGCAGTACTGCGTAGCACCGGTCATTATGACACCAGTGGGATGCAAGTTGCGAACGAGGCAGGTAAGGAGCATCTTCTCACCAAGACTACTCATCATTGAAGAGAACAAGGAGAGGCCACGATAATAGACAACCATCGAACTAAACTAGAACTTAAGGAGGGAATTGACCGGCCGGTGCCGTATGATGAATATATATTATGGAAAGGTCAGTACTATGTGCTGACCCTGAGCCACAGTGCCTCCACTAATTCATATCCGCTTCAAACACTCTCAAGAAAGTCAAAGTCCCTGATCCTAGTGCGGTCAACAGATACGCCTACGATCTTAATCTTAATCCAATCAGATGTCTCATCCAGTCTCCCGAAGGAGCCTGTAAGACTTCTTAGAGTCTGCTCTCCATGACGACCATACTGCGCCTCCAGTTGAGGACGCCCTTGCCAAAGGCAGCCTCGAGCACCTCTTCCATCGTGCGCACGAACACGAACTGGATGTCCGCCCGCACCTCGAGCGGCACGTCGTGCTCGACGTCCTTGCGATTCGCCCATGGGAGGATGACTTTGTTTACTTGTGCACGGTGCGCCCCGAGGACCTTCTCCTTGATGCCACCAACTGGGCCGACGCGTCCGCGGAGGGTCACCTCGCCGGTCATGGCGACGTTGCTGGGCACACAGGCTCCCGTCAGGAGCGAGACGAAGGCGCAGGTCTGCGAAGATTAGAAGTGAGTGGACGAAGAACGTGGAACTAACATTCACGCATACCATGGCGATGCCGGCCGAAGGACCATCCTTCTTGACGGCGCCCGACGGCAAGTGGAGGTGAATGTCGATCGGGTCCGGGTGCTTAAGCGGGTCTTGCGATCGCAGCTTCGTGATGTACAAGTCGTAAGCATGACTCTTGACCCAGCTCAGCGCGAGCTCGCCGCTCTCTTTAATGACGTCTCCCAGGCTGCCGGTCAACTTCAAATTCCCGCTGCCCGGCACGGCCGACGTCTCGATGGGCAGCAGCCCGCCCTCGCCCATGCCGGTCACGACCAACCCATACACAAGTCCTCTCCTCTCCTCCCTATGCATCTCCTCCTCATCCCATCTCGCGATGCCGAGGATCTTCTCCAGCTCGTGCTCCTCCACGACCTTCCTGTACGTCCGCCCCTTCGTGTTCGCCCTCTCCGCCTCGCTCAGCTGCACCTCAATCGGCGGGAGCTGCGCGATGTCATGGATGCCCGCGCTATCCGAGTACTCCGCCCACTCGACGGCCTTATGGCGGACGACAGCGCCGATGGCGCGCTCAAGTGACCGCACACCAGCCTCACGCGTGTAGTGCGTCGCGATGTGTAGCAGCGCGGGCTGGGTGAGCGCGACGTGCTCGGGGGTGAGGCCATTGGCACGAAGTTGCTTGGGCAGGAGGAACTTGCGGGCAATGTGCATCTTCTCGTTGTAGGTGTAGCCTAGCAACTGGTGAGCAGACGCTGGTGGATAGATTGCATATGCATGTGTACCTGACAGCTGGACGATCTCGCAACGGTCGAGCAGCGGCGCGGAGATCGTGTCGAGCGAGTTTGATGTGCAGATGAAAAGCACTTGGCTCAGGTCAATAGGGACATTGATGTAATGATCCTATGCGAGTGCTCAGGTATGAACGCAGACTTCTGCAGATTGGAGCAAAGCTCAACTTACGTTAAACGAATGATTCTGTTCCGGGTCCAGGACCTCGAGCAACGCCGCCGCAGGATCGCCATGGAAGTTGCCCTGACCAATCTTGTCCACCTCGTCCCTTCACCAGCAGTCAGCGCTGCCACCCACGCGCCCGACATGATCAGCGGAGTCCGACTTACAAGAGGATGACAGGATCTGGCCGGCCGGCTTTCCTGAGCGCCTGGACAATAGACCCAGGGCCGCTCGCGACGTATGTCCGCCTGTGACCGCGGATTTCCGCCTCGTCTCGCACACCGCCCAGCGAGATGCGCTGGAACGGTCTATCGAGCGCTCGTGCGATCGACTGTCCGAGAGAGGTCTTCCCCGTCCCCGGCGGGCCGACGAACCTGACCCATGTATTCTACTCAGCGCGCTGCCGGGGAATCATGGAATGATTGGCTCACAGGAGGATGGGTCCTTTCACGGCCTTCGAGCTAAGACCCCTCCGCGGCGCCTCACCCGGGCCCGAGCCCGAGGGCTGGGGTGGTGCGTGCGCAGGAGCGTCCGGCTTCACCGACGCGTCCGTCACCTGAGCCTTTGCCTCTGCAGAATCACATTGCCCAAAGTTCAGCGCCTTCGATATTAGCGCCAATGCGCGCGAGGTCGCGTCACCTTCTGATCGGCGGGGAACTGCGGATGTCGCGTTCCCGCTATCGCCTCCGCCATTCGACGAGGATGTTCGGCTGGTGGATGTTAGGGCGGGCAGGTTGTGCTCGCGTTCGGCCTGAAGCTGCTTGAGGCGGACGACGGCGAGGTACTCGATAAGCCGCTTCTTGATCTTCTCGAGCCCGTAGTGGTCCTCATCGAGCTGCTTGCGGGCGTTGGTGAGGAAGGCACGGTCTTTGAGCTTGTCAGAGGACGTTATATTCGCATAGGCTGCAGATGAAGGCCAGGGGATCGAGGTCAGCCATTCGAGCTGTCAGGGAGGAAACAATCAGTATTTTGTCAGCAGCGAAGGGTAGCGAGACATCTCACGTAGTTTCGGATGACGCCATGCTCGACGCTGCCAGACGGTATGCGTTGAAGCCTCTTCCATTCCCTCACGGCCATCTTGCGCTCCTCACTATCCTTCGCCATAGCCTCGATCTTGTTCCGAATTTCGGCCATGTCTTCGGCCTCTGACTGCTCGTTGTCGTCCAGTTCAGAGCCGGACCGGGAACCGTTGGGGGCTTCAGAGCCTGTTCCGCCAGACGAAGAGCGGTTGAGGTTGTTGAGCTCGCGCTGGATGGCTGCGAGCTGCTGGCGGAGGAAGAATTCCTTCTGCTGCTTCGAGAGGGACTCGTCGATGGACTGCGCTATCTTCTTCGTGACTTCTGAAATGGAAGCCTGCTTCACGAAGAGCTCTGTCGCGCGTCGGAGGCGTTGGTCTGATCCGGCGGCAGACAAGTAGTCTGGAGTATGTGAATAGGCGAGTCAGCACATCGCGCCCGAGGAGTCAGCTATGTGTCTTCGCAACGTCAAGACTCTTCGGCAGAAGCGTGGGCCGCATGAGACCTGTCGTACGAGACGCCAGAGGAGGAGCATGAATGACAGCACTCAGATAGCATGCGTACACCTGCCGTTACCGCCCAGCAAACACTTCGACAGGCGGATAAGCGACGTCAAACAACCTCGACCCTCAATGCAACCCTGAAGCGTAGAGACAGAGTGACCTGGGCACTCTAGGAGATAACGGACTCGGCCACCCTAATGCCGCTCACACACTCGAGGAGGCACAGGATAGGCCCATAGAGCACACTCGGACTTGCTCGGGCATCGAGTGAAGGAACGGTAGACTCACCGAGCTTGTCCTCGTACTCTAGTTTGTTGATACTGGCAATAATGACGTCTGCCATCCATGGTGCACGATCATCGGAGACCTCCTCGATCATATGAGATATCTTGACGTACACGTCCCTCCGGGACTGCTGGGTCGCATCCTGGGCCAAGCTCTCGAGGAGCTTGGAGGCTGCTGCACGGAAGGGCATGATGATCTCCTGTGATGACGGGCCATCGGCCTTGGGGTACTCGGCCTTGAGCTCAATGAGCTCATTGGGACTGAACGGAGCTTGGGACTTGGTGTCCGGGAAGTGTATCCGTGAAAGGCCGTGAAGAGTAACATGGTACAGCCGCTTGGACGACTGAGAGATTGGCCTGACGATGCGCACAACGCGAGCTGCGGTGCCCCAGGAGTGAATGGTGGACGACGAAGTGCAAGGAACTGTGCCGACGACAGGTTGCACGTCGGAGCGTTGGACGAGCTCAATGAGTCGCGTGCCTGTGGCCTCGTCAAGCGGCAGCTGTATTCGTGCAGTGGGCAGGAGCACGACGGGATGTGGCAGAGTGAGGACGGGGATGAGAGTGGAGTGTGGCATGGTTGCGACGAGGGAGAGAGAGGAACAGAGGGCAAGCAGGTCGGGAAGGGTGCCCGACTGAGTTTCTTATCCGAGCGCGGAATGCGGGGGTGAGCGTCTATCGGGAATCACACGCGTCGAAGCTGGCGTCTGTGGGTGCCACGGCGAGGTTAACCGCCATGCCAAAGGAGATCCTCTACGTCCAGGCGGGAACGTTCGCGAATTTCGTCGGCACTCACTTCTGGAACGCACAAGAGGGCTACTTCACTTACTCCGATGACGAGGAGCCGGCCGTACACCACGATAGGTCCTTCAGGGAAGGCTTGAATAACAAGGTAAAACTCTGTTTGTCACAGATCACGGTTGCCGAGCGTCGCGTCTGAATCGACCGAAACGCCTCAAGGGAGAATCCACTTATTGTCCTAGGCTACTGCTCTTCGATCGCAAGTGTGCGTTGGGTCTGATTCATTGCCGTCAACATCTCATTCCAAAGAATAGCGCAGTTCGGGGCACTTTCCGATGAGCTCTATCGTAGCAACGACAGTTCAACCGCGGGTCAATGGTACGTATTCGCGTTGCCAGCAACACATCGTTAGGCGAACAAAGTTAATCACATCGGATGTTCCAGGGAAGGAGGCGTCATAGAGTATCGCCAAGAGCCGATACCTAAAAGCCAATATCAGACTCGCTTGGACCAAGGCGAACCAGAAGATGATGCACAGGTCAATGAGGATTTAGCACCAGATTCGCACCAAATTCGCTTCTGGTCCGATTATAGTCGTGTTTTTCTCCATCCGCGCACGCTTCAGAGGCTTCCTGACCTCGCTGACTGGGAAGCTGCCGATGGAGAGTGGATCAAGAGCAGAGAATCATTCCAGCAATATGATATTGTGCGCGATCTTTCTCGCTTATAGCTACTGCTCGCCTAAATTCATGACTTTGCCCAACTATAGGACCACGACTTGATGGAAAATGAGATGAGAAACTTTGTTGAAGAATGCGACGGTCTCCAGGTCGGTCTGAAATCTCCACGATCGTTGCGATCGTTTGACAATCCTCTTCAAACCTTCGCCTACAGGGTCTACAACTGTTCAGCGATTGCAATGCCTTCGGTGGCTTCACGGACGCTTTCCTCACGGCGTTCCTCGACGAGTTCCCCAAGCTCACATCTCTAGCGTTCTCGTTCCTATCTGATGCATCATCCAACGCGACGGTCACTGCGGAAGAGGTGAAGGTCCTTGTCTGGATTCACCGAAATTGGCATTACTCATTTATCGTGTCGGCCTCGGACTATCTCTCTATGCTTGGGTCATGCATATAGCCAGAAGCAACGAAGGCACTCAATGACGCGCTCTCTCTGCGTAGCCTGTACAGCTTGTCGACTCTGAATGTTCCCATCCAGCATCCCTCAGCGTGGGAGAGGGGAGATTGGCTCGACGATCTGCGTCTGGAGGTATGTCTTCGTTGTTCCTATCCCTGCATTGACGACGAAGACAGGACTTTACACAGATGCGGAGCCCGTACCATACCTCGGCCCTACTCTCCACCCACATCGAGAGCGCTACTCTGCCTTTTAGGCACGTGCACTTCGCACGTCTACCTCCCGCAGCGATCGGCTGACACCACACGACGCGCAGGTTGAAGGCATCCGAACACGACATGTCGTCCATCAGCGGACTGCTGAACATGTCTGGGACAACAGGAACCGCCCACATCGCAGGCACGTACCCGCTTTCGGCGGCGGCGTCGGACGCGCAAAAGAAGGTATACGACTTCTCTGCCGTCACCGAGTTCCGCGGGAAAAGTCGTTCGGTGAGCGCGTTCGTTGTGCGTCGATTGACTGGCTCAGGCTCATGGTGTATCTATCAGCAGAAGCTTGCGACGGAATACGGACGAGCGCAAGTCCTACGCGGAGACTTCTCGTCCACCGAATGGCTGAAAGTCAACGGGATGTTCCCCTCGAACACTCCGACATCAATCAGGTGATTCTAGGTCGCATAGTGAGATTTGTGCAAGATTAACATTGCTGCTATTAGTTTTCGTGCGCCTGCGTACCCCACGCCGACGTCCTTCCCGCGTATCGTCAAGGAGGCCTCAATGCTCAGCAGCAGCAGCAACAGAAGCAGTCAAAATGGCGTTTCAGATATCTATCACAACGTCTTCTCCGCGCTCACGACGTCGAGCGCGACATCGCGATTGTTCGCGTCGCATGCACGTCTTGCACAGGAGTGCGTGGACAAGCGGGCGGAGGTCGTCACGCGGATGGGGCTGGAGTTCGACGAGATCCGCGACCTCAAAGACGACCTGTGGGCGCTTTGCGACCAGTACGCGGATGACGGCGGAGAAGGGAGGGAAGACGCGGACGAGGAAATAGGCGAGGACGAGGAGTAAAGTAGGGTTCTCATTCGTTGAATTGTGATGCATGAGAGGAACACACTCGACGCTCGAAGATCACGGCTCAAACATTCATAACTATTTGTAGTAACAGGAAATCCTATGTACATGCGATGGATAGGATACAAGAAGCAGAAAACAAGACGACCATCCCGACACAATTTCGGCGCACGTTAGCTTCCCCGCCGAAGCGGGTACTAATCCCGAGGGCCACGTAGAGGCCTGCGCCACGAACGACCGCGCTGCACGAGCGACGATCGACCGTACCTCGGGTCCGGAGTCTTGAATCGCAGGGTTGGCGGTTGCGCGCGAGGCCCCCTGCGAAACCGGGCCTAACATTATTTAAATAATAATAAGTTATCTTGAAGTCACGCATTTCTATTTCTTGATGGCTGCAAGGCGCAAGTTAGTTAAGAGCAAGATGGTGACAAGTGGTAAGCGAGCCGTACGTTTTACTTGGTGCGACGCCCATCGAATTGATGGAGCGTCGCTGTTCGCCCCATTGGACTTGCGGGGCCTTTCGAGCTCTTGACGTGGGCCGTACAACCAACCCTGGCGCAGGACGCCCTTACGATGGGGTGGTCAACCGGGCATGAGCGGCGATGGCGTCTTGAAGTCGTGCCCAACGCTCGTTCACACAAATTTGGCATTTGGTAGTGCATAGGGTAGGGCGGGCATAGAGACATAATGGGAACATACCGAATCGACAGCCCCTCTTCTCGAGTTGCGGGGGCTATCGATGTCACTGTCGAATGGTTGAGGGAGTCGACCCGCCATCAAGCGGTGATGGTTGTCCAGCCCCCGAAGCGTAGGTTAGTGACCAAAGCACGTCGCCGTGAAGACGAACGTGAACCATGGCCGGGAGGCTGCCTGCGACCGTGACACTGAAACGAGTCATTATCGTGGAGGGAAAGGAAGTACAAACAAAGACGTACCATGTTGATGACAGCCTCCCGCTGACGACGCGACGCTTAGCGACTCATCAGGCGCGACTCGTGTGCCTAGGGACCACAGAGAAGCCGGGATGAGATGCGCATCGGCGCGTACGTCGTCGACCCATGCCACTTTCGTGGCACGTTCCAGGTTGCAGCGTCCGTGCGGTTCGCCGCCCGCCACACTGGCAGTGAGTGCTCAGTGGCGGGCAGGTACTCGTCCCGGTCGCACCCCGGCTGACACGGCAAGGCCGATGCGGGGCACCGACGCCAGGGTCGTGTATCCGCTCCGCCGTATCGGCACCTTAAACGCGATGCGCGCAGGTGGGCTGGGCGAAACAGACCTGATACGGCCCATACCGAGATGGTATGCCATCCACGCGACCTGAACGACCGTTAGGACATGTCCTGGACCCCGGGAGAGAAATTGAAACTTACGAGTTGACGTCGATGGCTACCGGGTGGGAATGTCGACGCTGTAGCGAGCGTTAGCGGGGCATCAGAGGTGGTTAGGGAACTGAGCATACGCGTGGCACGTCGCATCCCCGCTAGTCATAAGACGTCCCGTGCGGGAAGACCGCCGTGGGCTCGGTGTGATGAGGAGCCCGAGGGCGGTGCACGGCGGGCAAAGCGCCAGGCTCCAAGCAGGGAAATCTGTGCAGCATTTATAGGCAATGCAACCTGGCCCTAGCATTTCCAGTGGGCCTTTGTATCCCTCTTTGTCATTTGGGTAATCTTATGGGCACGTTGCATCGCCCGTATGTTCAGCGTAGATTTCCTCACCTGGACCATCGCGCTTTGCCTGCCGTGGTGTGTCGAGCTTACGGGGCCATATGGCAGTGGCTGAGGTGTTGGTTGTGGTGTGAGTGAGGAAAGCGATGAGCGAGCGACGTCTGCATTTATAGGTGGATAGGGCGTCAGTATACGGAGTACTCCGGGGCGACTGAGCTCCGGAATAGTCAAGCTGTGTGGAAAGGAAACTATTGTTTGTGTCTGAGCGGCGCGGCCATCATAGCGCGGAGTAGTGATTCGAATACTCGGATCACACGAGGCAGACGCGACTCTTGCCTTTCAGGGTAGCATGATTCATCTCAGTGCACCCTAGAAACAGCAAGAGACTCCTCCGTTGTTGGTTGGCCATAATCGTATCGCCTCCGTGTCCCCGATTGGAAAGATAATCAACGCAAGGGCCCATTATGGCGACCTGAGCCCCCACACTTCAGGTTTGGGGTGAACCATCGGCGTGCAATCGTCATCGATACCAAGTGTCACCGTCCCTGGCATGTCGAGACTTAGCTGTGGCACAAAGCATCACAGGATGGCGAGATGGGGCGAAAGTCTAGATGGACTGGGGCGAATGGCTGCCGCTCCACTGCCGTCGATCTTGATACGGTGTTTGCCAACGTTTGCCCGTGTAGGCGTTCTCGATGGGAATCCTTCCATTCTTGGACGCCTACGCTCTGGTTCTTGGGTGCATGCTTCATGCGGATGGAACCTCTTCCGCATCGCCGCCCTGCCTACGAGTACCCGTTTCAGATTCATTACTTTCGCCCATTCCATCCGAAACGAACGAGAAGGAGGGTCCAACCGGGGATGCACCTGTGGTCCTAGGCTTTCGGCCGCCACTATCAGAAGAACATCGTGACCATCGCGGCTGGTAGACGTTTGTCGCACAGTGTTTGCGTATTACCAGACGTAGGGAGTGATATTCGTGGTCCTGACCTTGATCGTGAATGGGTATGTTCTGATATTGTGCGTCCGACAGGTCCCACTGTATGCTGGATATCGAACAGAACGCCTTTCGAGGGTTTGCTTCTGCGCTGATCTGAGCCGGGTCATGAGACCTGAGCGCTGAGCGTTAGCATCATACGTTCTTTCCGTAACAAGAAACTGAGCCTCTCAGGCGCAACAATCATTATTACTGAATTTTTTGACGATTGTCTCGGAGGGCTTGCCGAATGCCATCTGCTCTTGTGGCTGGAAAGCACGTGGAATGATGGGCTATAGTCGTATTGCTATGTTCATGGTTACACAGGTGACAGGTTTTTCGCGCTTTCATCTGGACGTCTAGTCGGACCGAGACTGGAACAGCACCAGTGCATACCTGAAGAATCATGAGCACGTAGGTTCGACCGTCATCTGCTGATAAAGTGCAGCGGCACACGCACTTTCCGTTATACCTCCACTTTTCGCCACTCTTGTCCAATCTATCGGCGACTTCCTCATCAACAGCAACAATGACGTCTGCCTTGTTCGTGCGCAAGCTCAAAATGGGGAACGATCCAGCGAGCGGACCTATCCCCAGCGGTTAGGATGACTGGGAGCGCCCATGTACGATGCAACAACAATACCTATCGCTGTCTGGAACGGCGTAGACGGTGGCCATTGCACATCACCAGTCAGTCTGGTTTTGTGTCAGAATTTTACAGTAGAGCGGTCATTGAAGTGGAACACTCACTTGCGGAAGCTGATTGAGGAATAGCATAAGGCTTGAGTCAGGACATCTCCACAGAAATCAGATCACAAACGCAACGCACTTCAAGTCACCCTAGACAACGCCGGCGCGTCAGAAGCCGTGAAGCTCAGGGAGGCCTCACTCGAACCTTGAATATGACAAGACTGCTTTCACGCAAGTCCGCATAGAGTTCCGGGGCGAGTTCCTTCAAATTCCAGTACGGGTATGGCGAGGTCCAGAAGTTTGCCTAGGGGCCCTATGTAAACTTTATGTACCAACTCGAGTAGTTCGGCGTAACAGACCTTGGCATCTGAAGCACCCAGAGGATAGTCTATAGGTACCGACAGGGAGAACACACCAGATCGGATGTACGAGTCCCATCGCTTCACCATCGCAAGCAGATGTGCTCGCGACTCTTGCGAGACTGCACTAGCTTCTTCTGAAGTTGAGTCGTCCGAGAAGAACGTCGGGGACAGGAGAGATGCTGTTGTCGACTTGAAATCTGGAGGCGTTACATCCGACACGAACCACGGAATCAACTTGGGGCTAACAGATCCTCGCTGAATCAACAAGGTACGATTCAGTAAGTCCGCAGACAACGCACTGAAACACCACTTTTGAAACGTAAGGCGTGTATGTGACGAAGAAATCCGCGAAGACGAAATCCGTGAAAAGCTTTGATACGGTTCAGCGCTGTCAAACCTGTTTATACGGCACCGGCATACCTCAAACCCAGCTGGAGAACGTGAGTTAGAATACAAATTAGCATGAACGCTGCAGGCACGCTGACCGTTGTCAAGTACGAAGTCTATGCGGGAGTCTGTCTTGCCCGCAAGGCTCGTCAAGTGTTGCCAGACTTTTTCCTGATCGTCGTGTAGAATGTATTCTGCACGAGCCGCTTGGGCGTCGCGTCCGACTGATTGGAGATGCTGAATGTCTTCATGTGACAAGTGAGTCAGCATAGAGAGGTCCTGCGTGCAAACGTCAGCAGGGAGCACCAGTCGGCGCATAGCAAGAGACGAACGGTCGCATTCCCCCTGGATTGATGCATGAATATCTCAACACCCTCACAGACTACATGACGTACCATAAGCAAATCTGTATCATTTCCTTGAAGATGACCTTCAAGTTGTCGGGATCCGAGGCAAGCTTCGCCTTGTCTTGTTCGAGCTCGTGCATCGTGGTTGCCAACGCTGTTCGAAGGTTGGGATCCGGGAGGATACCTGAAGATCATTTCTGCCCACCATATATCGCTTTGGAGCTCTTCTGGAAGGTCGCTTCCTTCTGCTGCAAGAACGGGTCGTAGTCTTTCCAATACTTTGTTTGGACAAAAAACGAGCGAATGAGACGGTAACTGAATCCGGATCCTGTGTGAGAACATAACTGAACCTCGTCGGGCAATACAAGCTCACAGGTAGCATCTGAAATTGTCGTCAGTCAGCTGGTAACATAGAGGGCGGCAAGCGGGAACCTCCGTACTCGGAATAGAGCCAGGGCACTGTGAGCCAGGTGCCCCTGCCTTGCTCAGTAAGTTTCTCGAGTTCTGTGTTGTAGATATCGGCGAGTGCTTCCCCGTCGTCCGGGACACGCCTAGGCAAATCGTGTTCCGTGAGGTTGGACGGCCTATACGACCATGGGCAGAAAGCGTACGGTAGAGGACGGTCGCGGGCCATATCATACTTGATCTCGCCAATTTGACCAATGATTTTCTTGCCCTCCGCAATCTGCTCTTCTATTACCGCTGCTTCCTCCTGTGTCTCGCCAGGCAATGAGACCCCGAGGTCATGGTTGCGGCAGTATATATTGTCAATGATCCCAGTTAGGATGACTGGCCACCTTTTGATCACGGTTTCGAAGCTATGCAATGCGTGTCAGGTCCAGATCCCGATTGTCTCCCCAGGACGATATGAGATCATGGTCTCGGAGCGGCTGAGCACGTACGCGAAGCTAGATCAAGCAGGTGCAAGTTAGCATCCTTATGCTGTCCCCGAAGAACAGATCCTGTCACCTGTTCCTATCTGTGAAATCCCACGGAGGTACTGGTGCTTCATACATGATCTACAGTCTATGCTGAGGAGTGAATGTGAGATAACGTCGTGAAGGTCGTCTACAGAAGAAGAGATGCGCCGACTCCAATCATGGGAACCAGCGCGGTACGCGGCCCGGCATCCAACGCCGACGATGTACCAACCTGACCTCAACGATATCCGGAAGCGCGAACCCAAAACAAAGACTATACGAGCAGCGGCCAGAGTCATTGGAATAAATTAAGTGGGTGGTCTTCGAATTACCGATGTCCAGATATGCTTAGTGATAGTGTACACCTCCGACACGCTCCTATTGTGGTCGCTACGCCTCTACTCTCCTCGCGCATACATGATTCCCAACGATCCCACACAAGCATCGCCTCAGACGGCATATAAGTACTGTAAGTATGTAACACAACATGTCGACTCGAAGACCAAAAAACCCCTGTCCCTTAGAGCATGACGCATGAGGGCTAGCTATGTACAGTCATAATGACCGTTTAACAAATGCGAGATAGGAATCAGTGCACCCCACCAACGAGCGCGGCTGCCGCAAGGCGTCCTTCGCGAATGCGCTGCTGCGTCCGTTCTGCCGCTGCATCGTACACGTAGTGCACTGGACGATGCCAAGGATTCTTTGGATGGCCGTCTTCGGAGTCCGAGTCCTCCGAGGTGCGTATCGACTCGTTCACGCTCTGGTCATAGAACAGGTCGTCGGGATCAAACGGGCCTGCAACGCACATTCGACGTCAATGCTATTGCATATAGTGCAAGACTAGGACAGCAAAACTCACGTTCGCCTTCCGGTGGCTCGACGACCCTGCGCTTCCCGAGCGCTTTCGCGCTGGGCCGCACCGGCGTCTTGCAATCGTCATTGTCGTGGTCTACCTCCGACCACTCCTCGCTGCTGTTTTGCCTGAGCTTGCTTGGGGTGGGCGCTGTCGTGATGGAACCCCGCGTGCTATCAAGCGATGACCGCCCGGGCGCAGGGCCGCGATGAAGCGAGCCGCGCTCTGGTGATGGTGTGTTCGAACGTTGCGTCGGTAGGCGCGGGCCATGGGGCGCTGGGGGCGGCGGCGCAAGAGATTGGCCCGATCCTTGGGAGACCGGATGATGCGTGTGTGACTGGTGATGGTTGCGGTCAGTATGACCCTGGTTGCTATTAGGCTGTGGTCGGGTGGGTGCTGGCTGGCTGATGGTGCTGTGCGCGATGGAGGGAGTAATAACGAGCGATGGGGCGGGAGAAGGAGATGTCGATGGTGAGGGTGACGGACTACGCGACGACGACGCGCCGCCGTGGTTCGCTTGTCCGGGTTCGAGGAAGTGAGCCTCATTGTTCTCGTCGTAAACAAGCCGCTGTAGATTGGATCAGAGCGGGGTCCAGTAATTATTCGGCATGTGAACTCACCGAACGATCCATGCGGATGTCGCGCTTACTACGCTCTTCCGCGTCTCGCTCAATGCCAACTCGTTCAAGGTCGTCGTACAATCGGAGCGCCTCGAGCAGTTCTTCATTTGCCGCAAGGATCGCAGCAAGAAGCTTCTCCTCAGTTGTGAGGTGCTCATCCTTGTCTTTCTTGGGACTGGACGGGGGTTGATCCCGATCTCTGTCAACAGATGCACGAGTCTCTCTTGCTTTTGCAGCTTCAGTCGGCCTGCCCGCAGCCTCACGTGAGCGTTCTGCCTGAGCGAACGCCCATGGGATTTGTGCGGATATCAGCTCCTGAGAAGCTCGGCAGCGAGCATAGAACTCCTGAAAGATATAGAACAATTATGACCTGACCCACGAAGCACGGTTATGTTTCAGCTACAAACCTTGATGATATCCTTGCTCTTGAGGTCTTCTGGCTTCGCATAAGCGAGCGCCTCCGATAACAAATTCGCGTTTCCTCGTCCGACTTTACACTCTTGGAATAAGCGTCGAATGTCCTCCTCCGGAGGGATGATGCGAGTCCGTGAAGAATGTGATTTGGTTTTTCCTGGAGTAGTCTTTCATCGAAAGTATGTCAGCAAGAAGCGAGAGCAACTCCGAAAATAGCGCTCACCGTAGACGGAGGTCGTTGAGGCGTTTGTTGTTGTGAAGGAGGGTGGTGGTGGTTATGCTGAGGCTGCGACGAAGGACGTTGCTGTGAGGGCGGCTGGCCCGGTGTGAGAGACTGGGGGTGTAGTGGCTGTTCCACAACAGGCGGCGTTAAGGTATTTGGACCGACGGAATGTCGTGGCGTTGCTGGATAGAACATAGCATCGTCGGTATCGAATGGTACGCCCTGAAACAAGAGATGAGAACCATGATCCAAGTCAATCATCGTTAGCGCACCTCATCTGGCTGCTCGTCTCTCTTGTACTTCCGCCACAAATGCCTGAAGTTGGAATCTGACGTTTATACGCGTTGGTGGCGGTGGGGGGCCAAAGAAGCATAGAAGTACTTACCATTGTCGCTGGCATAAGAGGCAGCAGCAAGGACCTGAAGTAATCGTTCTCGGACCACAGGAGGTGTTGTCTTGGCCTTCAAGACCTCGTCGAGGGTATCAATGAACTTGCGCGATGCACAATGCTTCACGAACAGGATGGAGCAATTGCGAAGCATTATTGCCCATAGCCTGGCAGCAGCAAGCTGCGTGGACGGCTCTCCGCTCCTAGACGCGAATCCATGAGCATACATCAAGGGATGAGGTGGGTAGACACACTTGAACTCCTTCCTTAGCGCTTTTGCCGCCTCTTTCGCATTCTCCTCATTCGCTGAGGCTTTATCACAGACATCCAAGACCAGCATCCAGTCTTCCGAAGATGTTGCGAAGAGATATCCTAGGCACGGCGTAGGTCGCACCGAGGATTTGCAACGGAGCAGGGAATGGTTAGACGTACCTAGCATGCGTGTGATCTCCACTGGGGTGCCCTCTTCCTTCCTCTCTTTCTCTCGTTCCCTCCCTCGTAGAACATCCCGATCCCTGTCTCGTTCCCGTTCCCGTTCTCGCTCTCGCTCCCTCGCGCGCTCCTTGTCCTTGTCCTTTTCCTTGTCTCTGTGACCCGTCCGATCCCAGAACGGACGCTTCTCCTTCTTTTCCTTCTCTTCCTTATGGGAGGAGTCCGTGTAGCCATCATCCGACGTATCATGCGAGTTTACAGGTTCTGGTAGGGTGGGGTTTAGGGAGTTGAGGATGCCTACCGCCGCAAATGCATTCGGGGTCGATGGTGGTTTCTTCTTCAGCACCGTCCCGTCGCGCTCTTTGCTCGCTTTCGAGCTTGGTGGCGGTACTGCAGAGACTATGCTGAAGGGCGACGTGGATCGTGGTACTGGACTAGGGACAGGGGAGTTCATACTGTTCATGGACGCGAAAGAAAGTGTCTGGGACGGGGCATAATTTGGAGGGCGTAAGGGCTGCAGGGGTGGGTCCGTTTCTGACATAAGATCCCATTGCTCTTCCGTGCCGGAGTGCAGTCTGTCATGTCGGTGGGACGGGTACGTGTGGTTCTAGAGGCCAATGACAGGTCAGGGTGAGCGCAGGAGTCGGAGAAACGGGCGATGGGATCGTACTTCTCCGAGACCGGAGACGTCGACTGGACTGCTTGGAGTAACCTTGACCGCCTTGGGTTTGTCTCTTCCGAAGAGCTTCTTCATGGTGTTGGACGGCGGGGAGGTTCAAGAGTGGATCGTGGTGCACGATGAACAGATGGAGAGGCTGTGTGCCAGGGAGTGCGCCCCCACGTGGCCGGCGTCGGCAGCAGCGCCCAGGTTGTGAACGTCCGATCCCGCCTCGGCAATGGGCCCGCCCTCAGCCGTCCTCTCTCCGTACCCAACAACACTATACGGGTCTCATACACCGGTAACCTGTCTGCTACAAGGTTGCATGAACCCGTATCGGCACTGCGAAGCATGTCAAAACACACTCAGGCTCTGCTTCGTCCGGGCAAACTGCCGTTCGCGCCACAGACCACATGATAGAGGCTGATCACGACCTCCAGAACGTATCTGTTCTGACTCCTGTGCCGCCGCCACTCTCGTCCTCCGCTGTGCCAGGCCGCAACTGATACCAATCATCACCTCTCTGCTTTCTGTCTTTGTCTGCGTCATTCGACGTTGTTTCTCCTGTGCACACCATTGAGACGGTCGGTTTCTCGTATGTATGTCTAACTACGCCGCAGCTCATCGCAATTGGTTTCATGCTTGATGTGGAGATCACACCAATCCACATCCGATGCCAGGCGCCGTCATCAATTTACAACCCGCCATGGCGACATTAACAGAAGCCGAGAAGCGCGAAATCGGCCAGGTACCTTGAACCTTTCTTGTCCATGTACGTGTGCTCTGTGCAGCACTGACAATAAGTGCGACCTCATCTGTGCAGCATTTTGTCTTCGGGTTCCATGGCCACGAAGCCAGTGATGACATTAAGACGCTTATTAGGGATTACTACCTCGGGTATGTCCTCCTGTGTCGCGTTCATGTCGCGCGTAGTAACAAGCCACTTACTGAGACGCCCTCCTAATATGATAGGAATGTCATTCTCTTCAAGCGGAATGTTCAGAGTGAGTGCCTGTGTACGATAACGATCTGTTGTATCAGCAATGACGCAACAGCGCATCAGGCATGGCACAGGTCCATCACCTCACTGCTGAGCTTCAGACGCTTGCCAAGGAGGCGGGACATGGCCGACCCCTGTTGATTGGTATCGATCAGGAGAATGGTTCGTTGCATCAACGTCTTCACTGTTATACTAGTACTTGCGAAGCGACCTCTTCATGATTGAAACGTTCCTCCCATACAGGTCTGGTTTCGGCATTCAGTATCCCAGATGCCGGCACCCAGTTGTATGTTCCCAATCTCAGACACGAGCGACGCTGTGTTGATTGCAAGCATGTAGTCCGGGAGCTATGGCATTGGCTGCCACTGGTTCCCCTGAGATTGCTGGAGAAGTATCTACAGCCACTGGAAAGGAACTGAAAGCGGCTGGAATCAATTGGGTGTAAGCGTTCAGTGTGTTCGCTGACACTTGACTGTTTAAATGCTGTTGTGAACTTGTAGATATAGTCCTGTGGCGGACGTGAACTCTGATCCCAGGAACCCAGTCATTGGTATGTTATGGTTGCTCTTGGTAGCACTAGGCGAGGCCGTCTAACTGCTTGCATATAGGGGTACGCTCCTACAGTGATGGCAAGTCTGGCAGTACTGTTAGCCTTTGCCGAACAAGCTCTGACGGACATTGGTAGCTCCCGAGACTGCCTCCCGCTACGTCACTGCAGTGAGCAACGCATTCACTGCCCAAAATGTTGCGCCCTCCGCAAAGCATTTCCCAGGACATGGCAATACGCATGTCGACTCGCATTTAAGCCTCCCGCGCATACTCGTCGATAAAGCGTCATTATTTTCGACAGAACTCGTCCCCTTCAGGGCGCTCATACGGGACGACATTGGGAGCATCATGACGGGACACATGGCGTTGCCTAACATAACGGGCGACGACGTGCCGTGCTCCCTATCTCGTGCGATTACGACAGACCTCTTACGCGGCGAGCTCGGATACAATGGGGTAGTTGTGACGGACTGTCTGGAGATGGAGGCCGTCGCCGAGACGTACGGCTCTGAAGGTGGGGCGGTGCTCTCCCTCCAGGCGGGTGCGGACATCGTCATGATCTGCCACACCTACAATCGCCACGTCGGTGCGATCGAAGCAACGTACACTGCGGTGAAAGAGGGTAAGCTCGGCCTAGACGAGCTGAAAGCCAGCGGGAGGCGCATTGCGGCGCTCAAGGATAGAGTCGCGGGTTCTTGGGACGACGTCTTCACCTCTTTCCATGCCGAGCAGGTGAACGCACTGAAGAAGGAGCATCAACTGCTGAGCCTTCGCGCATATGCTGCATCGATCTCGCACATTCCCAATTCTAGGCCGTTCGTACCGCTGTCGACCGTTGGCACAGCGATCCTGTTCACCCCGCGGATGGAATCTCTGAACCGCGCGATTGACGATGCGGAGAGCCAGCTCCGGGATGCCTCAGGGCGCATCCGAAACACCGCAGGCCCCTCCTTCTCTGCGTTCGCAAAGTCCATCGCGGCACGCGTGACCGATGTCGAACATGTCGTTTACGCCCCGGACGACGAGATACCCCCACCTCTCGCAGGGAAACTGCGTGGGGCCGGGTCGATCATCTTCGCAACCCGCAATGGATACGAGAAAGGCGCGTGGCAGGTCGCCTTCTTTGCGAAGGTTCTGGAGGTCGCAGGGTCTGGCGAGCGTGGGTTAGGGAGGGTCGTTGCTGTGTCGACTTGCGGGCCGTACGACCTTCTGGCGCTAGGGCAGATCGCGGTGCCTGCTATTGCGACGTACGAGTTCACTGTGCCCGCGCTCGAGGCTGCTGCAGCTGCAATTTATGGAGAAAGCGCCGTCACGGGCAGGGTTCCTGTGAACATGGGCGCAGGGATTGCTGTTTGAGCAGATCGTCAGGAATGGAGAGCATCTACGATGCGAAGTGTTACGATACTTTAGAGGCAGCAGGAGTAACAGTAATTTCGTATCATATCAAATCCAGTTGAGACAGTGATGGACTACACTCATCATCGAACAGACGCAGGAGTGCTCTGAGTGTTCAAATGTCATGATTGACGGAGGATTGCCCGGCACGGACGTGCCTTAGACATACCTTATCAGGATAGGCTAGCTTATGTAAACGAGGGTAGTAAGTGAGGCGGGCGACAGTCGAGGACGAACTTCACCGCTCTTCGCTCGACGGTGAACATCAAAACCATGCCTGGCTCTCTCGACAGCGACCTTTACGACGGTTAGTACCTCAGGATGTCGCAGGAGTAAGGTACTGACTAGCCCTTGCAGACCTGTATGGGGACAACGACGACGCTCGCGAGGAGTCGGCGCCTCAAGCGGCGGCCGAGCCTGCCACGGAACAGAAGCCCTCAGTCCAAGAAGTGAAACGGGAGGAGAAACCAATTCTGCCAAAAGAGAGCTCCCTACCACCAAAGCCCTCAGCAGAGTTGTCATATTCGGCCCAGGTTGCAAAGCAATTTTCGGCATACAAGCAGACCCCTGCCCAGGAACGACAGCAGTACCAGGTGTCTCCCGCTACGAAGGCCAACGGCCATGCCGATGATTCAGCATTGCTAGACGAGAATGGACGCAGAGCCGTTCGGCCCTCGGAAATGAAGGATGAAGGGTGAGTGCATCCGCATCTCCGTCGGCTGGCATATTGCACGCAAGTCTTGTCCCACCACATGTACCGTTTCCGTGGCACTCGTCGCGGCATCACCGTGCTACGTACGACTCTGTCGATCGTTCGTCTCTATTCTCTTGACATATGCGCTACATCGCTTTATATGACCAGACAGACCGTACCTGCCACACATGTTGTGTTCGTGCTACCCTCTGGCTCTCCTCCACGTGTCGCGCTCTTTACCATCTACCCTCGGCTAGCTTCTTACGTTACGGATGCTAATCTTCTTTTACGCCTACCGGTATACGCCTCTCCTCCTCGGTATCCCTCGACCTAATTGTGACTCTGTTTACGGCATTGGCTATCTTGGACCTCTCCTCACCTACCGCCCCTACGCCTATGGTACCCCTACGACACTGCTACGGCACGGTCTACGGCACGGGCTATCTCTATCGCACAATACAACACGTTATACGACACCCGAATGTGCGATGCAAACGACTATAGCAAGATGTTTGTTGGCGGTCTCAGTTGGGACACAACAGATGGTACTCGTCTCTTCATGCCGTGAGGTCCAGAATGGGCGCTGATCGCACAGCAGATGGCTTGAGGAAGTACTTCTCTGAGTTCGGCGAAGTCGAGGATTGCACGATTCTGCGCGACCAGGACGGCCGCTCCCGTGGGTTTGCGTTCCTGACGTTCAAGGACCCGGCGTCCGTGAACGCGGTCATGTGTCGCGAACATATCCTCGACGGCAAGACTGTGCGCGGTGTTTTCCCTTCTCTTACGCAAGGAGTGTTCGACTGATGCGTGACTGTTGGGCGGTGATTTGCGCAGATCGACCCGAAGCGTGCTATTCCGCGCGAAGAGCACCTACGGAACACAAGATACTTCGTCGGCGGCCTGTCGCACTCGACGACGTCAGACTCGATGCGGGCGTTCTTCTCGCAGTACGGCAAGGTCGTTGACTGCACTGTCATGGTCGACCGCGAGTCGGGCCGCTCGAAGGGTTTCGGTTTCGTCACCTTCGAGGACGCCAGCAACACGGACCAGCTCGTTGGGCAGCCGAACCTGATCCTTGACGACAAGCAGGTGCGTAAAACTTCCCTTCTGTCGCGAAGTTATACTGTACGTAATGAGCTGATCGCCCTCTAGATTGAGGTCAAGGTCGCTCAGCCACGAAGCCAGCGCGACGCAGCACGCTCCACTGGTGGTAGTGGTGGTGTTGGTGGCAGCACCCGTGGCAATCGTGACGCAGCCTACGTGGGGGGCACGGACCTCACGAGCACCGGTGGCAACGCTGGCGGCGTGATGAGCTTCGGAGGTGGAGCCCAGAGCAGCGTCGGCCCCCAGCAGATGTCGATGCTCTACCAGCGCATGATGGGCCAAGCTTCGCCTATGATGGGTATGGGTATGGGTATGGGCATGGGTATGGGCGGTATGGGCGCGGGTGCGAGCGGGATGCCTGGCATGATGCCAATGGGCACCGCTGCCACCCCGATGGCCGGCGGGGACTTCGGCGGCATGGGCGGGGGCATGGGCGGAGGTATGGGCGGTGGCATGGGTGGCGGCATGGGGATGAACCCAACCATGGGCATGGGGGCCATGAACCCTGGCATGGGTGCTGGCATGAATGCTGGGATGGGGGGTGGGATGGGGGCTGGGATGGCCGGAATGGGCGGTGGAATGGGCGGCATGGGTCGGGGGATGGCCGGAGGGATGGGGAATATGGCGGCAGGAATGGGCAACATGGTTGCAGGAATGGGCGGCATGGCAGGTGCCGGCATGCGCATGGGTATGGGTCCGATGGCCATGGCTGGTATGGGCATGCAGCCGTTCATGAACAACGCAGCGGGTATGATGAATCGGGGAATGGGTATGATGGGCGGAGGGGGGATGCACCCCATGGGCCGCGCACGGGGAATGATGAATGCGGGCGTGGGCCCTGCTCGCAACATGGCCCGGGGACAGCATGGCTATCATCCGTATGCCCGGTAGCACGCACATAGTATACGTTTTGTTCACATGCAAATCGTCTTGTTACTGCTCTACTCTACATTAGGTGTCCGTGCTGATACGTAGTTCATATGTCGTTGTAATATACGCGAACATGACCATGTCTGTTTCAGATACATTAACCAGTTGATTGATACACTACCACAGACACATAGCATACATGCATTAGTTCTCAGTACACTCCAAGCCAAGCAGTGTCCTACTTGTGCATCCATCCAACGGACTATCTAGCTTAGAACGCACGGAGAGATATTTGGGGCTTGGCTGGTTCGGCCACCTGCGACTTGCTTCCAAGAGCTTGCCTCACAGAAGTCTCCAATGTTTCCTTCATCGATTGCTCTAGTCGCCCAGTTGCGTCCTTGAACGCAGCAGGCGAAGCGGCCGCCAGCGCCAAGAGCTGAGTGACGGCTTGTGTGTGTAGCGGCGTTGGCGGCTGTCGGGAAGGATCAAGGAACAGGACGAGGACCGGCATAATGACACCAAGCGCGCGAGGACCTAACAATATACGGGTCATTAGCGCTATCTCATGGAACAGCGACCACACATACGGAGTTCTTCTGATAACGAAAGGAGAAGAGCCGAAAGTGCCTTGTTGATCTCTCCTACTGTAGCCATGACACGATCTGGGGGAGAGGCTTCGTCACTAGAGGCTGCCGCTTTCGCTAGGCATTCCACAAGACCAGGTAGCAATAACCTCGTGCATTGCCGCAGAATAGGGTTGCCTGATGTGGAGGCCATGATGAGTGTTTTTGCGCAGTGTGCCGCTGTCAACGAGAGCTGGGAAACCAGAGAAGTCAACTTTTGAAGGGGTGCGATGGAGGCCCGCCTTACCTCGCTGCCTTCCACGAGTTTCTGAGAGATGATGGAACAGCAGTGCTCAATGATTGCTTTGCCGATAGCAACCGTCGTTGGTAATACGGTGAGAATGAGGACCGCTGCAAGGAGATTGCACTTGATCTTCTTATTGCACATGGGCCCTTCTCGGCCGCTGGATTCCATCTCAGCGTCCGTCCGCACAAAAACAGAGACGGCATACCTCATTGCACCGATGTTCACCAAGCACGCTGACAGCAAACCGTGCACTAGTCGTCCATACTTGTGATCCGGATCAGGAAGATTAGCAGGACGGTCGAGGAGCGCTTTCAATGCCGGCAGGGTTGGGCCAACGAAGTCGAGCTCTGATGATTCATCCTTCAGTAAATCTGCAAAAGTATCAGTATTAAATGATACGTGTGCCGCAAGACAAGGGTTTACCGCAATACAATGTGATTGCTAGTGCTCTGAAATCCTCTCTGTACGAGGGGCCGAATGACGCTGCAACAGCGGAGAACGCCTCAAAGGCGGCGATGATTAGCCTGACCTTCTCTGCAGGAGAGGCTGCATCGTCTGCTATGCAGTAAAGAGCTACGCTTGGCAGAGCGGGTTACTAGGTACTCACGGACAGCACCGGTCTTTGGGCCCGAGATAACTCTACGCAAGATATATGCGCAGACCCGTAGGCAGTGGGCTTGCGGTGATGATAAAACGTCCGTACCGGTGTGACCATTCCTGAAAGACATGAGCCAAAGGAAGACCAGGGGTCTCGGTCACATACGTAGTGCCAACCGACTTGATGCTATCCGCAAGACTTGCGATCGCTTCCACCAGGTGAATCTGGACGCCGGATGACTCCGTCAGAGCCATACGGTATAAGAGACTCAGTAGCTCCTCGAACAGAGGCTGATCATTGAACACTCTGCCACAGTACTTCCGTCGGACAAGGCATTTCAGCGCTTGAAGAGACACGATAGAGTTACGCTGCGCCTCGAGGCCAGAGTCGGGAGTCGACGTAGCCAGGGCCTCATAAACCAAGCCGAACACTACGAAGAAGAACGTCGTTGGTTCTTCGCGGGTACCCGACTGTATATCACTGGGTGGCCCGTCTGGCAATGCATCCTGCCCATCCATAGCAGCGAGAATGCTCGGATCGTCATTCTGCATAGCAATTGCCACGGCATTCAAGATGATCGGCCATGCTCTTATGTAGTACTGGAGGGACATCAGCGGAATGCAAGACTTCAATGCAGCATCACCTACTGGCAGTAAGACCTCCCGTCCAAGGCTAGAGTACGAAGAGTCCAATGCACCGGCCGGGGTATCATCCAGCGTTTCGGCGTCAATGCGGATGCTGGCGTAATCTCGCAGAGAGGAGATCCAAAGAGGTGCAAGTACAGCGCGGTGCGGCTTGACTACCTCGACGAGGTATGTCTGTTGCGCACTCGCAACTTGTAATTCTGCCCAGGCCGACAGTGTAGCGATCCGCAACATCACAGACGCGTTGGGGCTCAGCTCAGCTGCGTCTCCTAGGGTCAACATTCCGGATCCTGTCATAGCGATTAGCATCGTTCGAGGCATAGATTGATGTATGTGACCATCCTACCTTTCGATTGCTCAAGCGCCGATGTCAGGAGCTTCAAAATACGACCCATTCGACCAATGTCTTTGACCACACCGCAGCCCACGAAGATGGCACATGTCCCAATGGCAGAGGCTAAGATCTCCGGCGTAGAATCGGAGGAGAACGCAGGAGTTAACGCGGCAGTGATAGGGGCTTGATGCTGCTCCAGGAGCAAGTTCTCTTCGTAGTCCGGATCGGGGGTCTTAGCGAAAGTCTGCATCCCAGCTGTGAGCTTTCACCACACTTGGATCTCAAAAGAGCCAGAAACGAACCTCAATGACATCCGTCAGGACAGTCAGGCCTTCCAAGCGGATCTCCGTGACATGGGCTGCCGATGCTGTGAATGCGATCTTTATCAAGTCGGGGACACGCGAGACGAGGAGTCCGTGTATAGGGAGGCCCTGACTACGTGCGAACGCGATGTCGAGGTGCTCCCTTCTCCCGGACTGCCCAACGACTGCACAAATGCTATGCAAACACTGCAATGCGAAGAGCTGTGTCCGCCATCGTGATGTCTGGCGGCCAGCCGACGAGCTCGTACCGACACTGAGGGATTGCCCCTCGTCATCGACTACGGCAGCGTCAGCCGCCTGCTGAGATGCAGTCGTTCTAGACATGATGCGCTGACAAAGGTCGATCCATGCGGAAGGGTTGTAGATGACGGTCTGCTGTAACCAGCTGGCGATGACGTTCCGGACACCATCAACTGATGAATCGTCATCGAGCATCGCGAAAAGTTCCTCGACGAGCTTATCCCCTCCTAGCTTGGACATGCTCAGAGCGTCTCTCTGCACAAGCTGGTAGAGCGCATTGATGGACGCAAGCTTGAGCGGGCGACGCGAGGACGAGAGATAGCCGCGGAAACGCGCAACCAGCTCCGGGACGTTGACGTGGTCAGGAGCGAACATCAGGAAATGCTGGATGCACTTCATGGCCTCGACGCAGATCCCATCGTCCTCTTCGTCGATGAACTGGTAGACGAGATCGAGGACAAGCGTCCGAGTGCGAGTCGACTCTTGGATGTCAGGACCGAGGACGGTGATGACGGCGTCTATGTTTTGGCAGACAACCTGATACGTAGGGAGATCGCCACTGATGTTGACGTGGTTGAGCGAACCGCCGTCGGGCTCGTGGGACTCCATCATATATACCTTGAATAGCAGTCCGAGGGTGCTAGGCACAAATGGCGCATACGCGAGACTCGCAGCGTCAATTACACGAGCGAGAGCATTGAGCGCCCAGAAATGTACGACGGGATGAGGATCGTTAATGAGGGACATCAAGACATGGACGGTCGTCTTGAGCAAAGGTCCCGCGGCTAAACCTCCAACATGCGCGTGGATAGCCCCGAATGCTAATGCACATCCGGCTCGACCGTGAGGATCACGATTGCTGACCACTTGATCTACAAGCGTTTTCACCTGGCTGGTCAAGAAGTTTGTCCCGGCAACGCTTGCCAGGCGACCAATGGCTTCACTGCTCGCCCTGCGGAGGACAGGATCGCCATCGACGACCACATCTTTGAGGTATGTCGAGAGAGACGACGATACCTGTGCGTTCCCTAGGACCTGGCGAGCACTGTTCGTCGTCGCTTGGCGAAGGGCGAGGACGACGGCGAACGTAGTGTTCACAAGGGCGGCGGCCTTGCGTCCTGCATTCTTCTCAAGCTTTGCGGAGCCCGCAGATCCCAACAATTGTGTGACGACGCGGGTCGTCTGCGCGACATCTTGTAGGGGGAGTAGCTGAGCGAAGAGCTGAACGGCAGCGTCCACTGCTGCGGTAGCGGCCGGAGGCGGTTCCGGGACCCTCCGGCTGGTATCCACTGCTAGCGCCTGGCACAAATAGAGTGGGTCGTGCTCCAGTGCAGTCATGATGGGCTTCTGAGTCTGTTCAGCGGAATAAGTGAAGGTATACGTAGCAGCCACAGAAGGCATACCATCTCGTCAATAGCCATCTCAATACTGTCCCTGTTCATCCAGTCCTTGGGGCTGTCGTCCACTTGCAAACTCGTTAAACCGTACGCGTACCCATCCATACTCTGCCAGATCGACGTAAATGTCCCCGCGGACGAGGCGATTGCCGCCTGGACTGAAGAGCCAGCGTAGCCATCGGGGCTGGCAAACAGAGTGATCACAGACTGTAGCAGGGAGCTTTGTACAGACTCCGTGACGCCCCCAAAGCCAAGCAGCGAGAAGGACTGGAAGATGCGAGACCGGAGAAGAGCTTCGCGCCTATCAATACTGAAACCCTTGCCGTCCGCCGAGAGCTCCTCTTGGTTCAAGGTCGCTCGGCTTGTCAAGAATGTGTTAGCAAAAGCGAGGCCATTACTGAGTAAGGAGGATATGCGTCTCGTGACGTCGGCAGACACGAGCGTAGGCGAATTATGCTTGAGGAAACAATAGATAGCGCCAACGGTGCTCTCGCGGACATGAAGCAAGAACTCCCACTCTGCGACGCTTCTCCCAGCAGCTCCGTCCTTCATCGTCGGCTTGGGGAGCGCGTTGCGCCAGAGGACGAGCAGCTGCGGCAGGTGCGGACGGACGAAGTTGGGGCCAAGAGTCATGAGCGACGCGATGCACGTCCACGCGATCTCGATCTCGACCTGAGCAATCTTGACATCGTGCTCGCCGGCACGCTTGAGGACTTGCACGGCCATGTCGAACACTTTCGCGCTGATGTCGTACGAGACATAGAGGGGGCGATCGGGGATGACGGCAAGGAGCGCCGCGAGACCGTACGCATGGCCGAGCGCACGGAGGTGGATGTCGGAGGGTGCAGCGGGAGTCGTCAGAGCTGAGATATCGCGCTGCATCTTCTCCACGACGCTGATGAGTACTTTGGGCAGACGAAGTGGCGTCGAGTAGCAGAAACAGCGCAGTGTCCATGCGGTGTTGATCCGGACACTGTGGCTTGGGTGCGATAGAAGGTTAAGCAATGGGTCCAGCAGAGCGTCCTAAACTATTTCAGTTCAGGGAGCTCAGTCAGATAACTCATATGCGTACCTGGACTGGTCCGGGTGCGTTTCCGAGTTGCTGGACAAGCCCGCTCACTTCCCTCAAGGCGATGACTAGACACAATGGGCTAGGTGCAGACGACCCGGGCATCAACGCAGGCCAGCGTTTGAGGTATGTGTTAGAAAGCTCTTGAATTGCAGCGATCTGCGCTTGTTCACCGAGCATCCGCACGCCGATGAGGTCTCGAAGAACAACCTCGACCAGTGAGCGCACAAAGATTATCTCGTAGCGGCTTCCTGAGTTCCTTGGGTTAGAGACGATCTCCGTCATGAAATGTGTGACGATCAGCGCATAGTTGCTCTCGACAAAGCTAGAGCCCAGCAGAGAAAGCAAGGCAGAGTAGAAATCAAAGATCCCTACTCGTGTCCTACGGGATGCTTGAGGCTTGTTGAAATGTGTAGACAGTTGCTGGAGCATCTCGGTAGGCGTCATGACCGGTTTAGACTCCTCAGCAGCAACGTGCATTCCGGGCGTGGAATCCTCGTCTTCGTCCTCCTTCTGTGTCTTCTTTCCCTTCTTCGCTGTGTCAACGACAGGAATGACCTTCTCAACCTGTGTCGACGCCAGCATGTGCGCTGCAAGCTTAGCGAGAGCCCTGCGAGTTAGGTGATCGGCACCTTCAAGACTCTTCACGCAAATGCTCAGGACGCTCTCCACATCAGCCACAGACCGCGTGCCATCTCCAGAGGGATACATTAAGATGAGAACCTACACCAACATCAGACCTCACCGGATGAACATACCACGCGGAGACGCACCTCGCATGCTGCTCGCTGGACAGGAAGGGCCTTGTCGCTGAGCGCGTTCTTGCTGTGCTTGATAATATCCTTCGCGACGGAGTCCGCGACAGCTCGTTTTGCGGTACTCAATGCTCTCGCGAGTGTGTAGAGAGAATATGCCCGTAGGATGATGGGCTGTGTCGGCGCACATGAGCACTCTCCAGGAGTGGTTCAGAGTTAGGCATATGACCGACGTACGCTTGAGGAACGGTACAACTTGATAGTAACAGTTGCAACTTCGGCCATGAGGGACATAACCTATCCAGCTCTGAGTAAGTTGTTTTTGGGACAATGAGAGTAAGCGCGTACCTGGGACCCAAACGTGCCCATGAGCTCTCCGACGCAATACATGGCGGCACTGTATCGAGGTAAGACTGGCGAAGGGGAAGTCAGTAAACGAACCTACGTCCTGCTAGAATCCTTCGCCGGAGGCTTCGTTTCGGCAAGCAGTTTGAGAAATGCTTGGATTGTGTCGAAGAGTGACTTGGTCTCTCCACGCATGTAGAATGCCTTCAGACAACTTGCGACAAGCCTCCTAACGGGCCGGCCTGGAAGGGGGAACGGTTCCGGAGCTGTAATGACCTTGATCATGTCTGCTTCAAGGTCCGTTTGCACGACCTTGAGCTGCTCCTGAAAGCGACATGAGCCTACTGTCACAAGCGGAGAGCTTTGAACACACCGGAGTAGCCTTCTTGGCTAACCTCTCTGTCGACGACAGCCATTGGAAGAGGTAGATCTCCCCGTTCTCTCCAGAGACTTTCGACTGACACAAAATGAGTCTTCTACAATGCAACAAAATGATAGATTCGTACTTCGTCAAGCAGCTCTAAGGCGGAATCGCTTGCCGCCATAGCGTAGCCTGCGTTGCGGGGGGTGGTCTAAGAATGTTCCTGGCCTTGTGCTCGTATTGACAGGGTGAGGGAAGACGAAACGCTGTATACAAGACGGCGCGCTGTATACAATAGGACAGGTCCACGAAAGCAAGGGTATAGATCTCTGTAGAAGTGCACGCCGAGCGGTTTGGATGTCGAGCTCGGTCAAGCGGTCGTCTGATCGAGGAGGGCCAGACCACGTGACTTGCAATCTACTCGAGCGCCACAGCTCACCACATCAGCCACTCCGAGTTCTCTCTCCGGACATCCTTAGTTGTCTTTGAGCGCTGTTGCTGGGCTGATCCTTACTCATAAGAATACCTTGTCGCCTTTTGTGGATCAGAGCTATGTCCGAACACTCACAAACAGCGGACATCAACCATGTAAGGTAACGGTGACAGTGCTGCGATCGCGTGCGATACTGAGCATTAGCTTAATCTCAGGATCCTTCACCAGCCAAGAAACGCAAGATGATGTATGCTCCAGATGGCTTCGAAGGCCTCAAACCAAGTGGCGGAAAAGCTCCAGCTCGCAAGTTCGCCTCTGCGTTCCATGACCCAAAGCGATCGAGGTCGTCGCCAAAGGACACGCCGTTGGGTATGCCTGCACGTGCGAAACCTCCCCTGTCCCAGTCTCTGCTAGGCGGCCCTTCGGATGTGTTGCCTTTGCGCATTCAGCAACCCCCACTGCTTGCTCCCGATCCGCCGCAGGCAGGTCCCTTTAAGCATCCCGCCGGCCCTGCTTTTGCTGGGAAGACTGTGCCAGTGAGACTTCCGAAGCCACCATCGTTCGCTTCAGCCTCTGTATCCTCCTCCAAGTTCACTTTGAAGCGCCATATACCCGTGCTTCCGCCAGAGAGGAACATCTCATCTTCGAGAGCGAAACCTTTGGCGAAGGCGAGCATACAAGAGTTTCTACCTCCCCTTCCCGCACGGGAACCTGCTAAGCCTGCGCGTAGCATATATGCAATCCAGCCCCCTCTCCCTCCCCCACTTAGAAGAGGACCAGCTCTACCGGATGCTGCTAACTTGAAAACCATCTCGACGACGCGTGTAGCCATCGCCACAGATCCCCGCACGGAGAGCGGGGTAGATGAAATCATGGCACTGGGGTTGGGACAGACTGCTCCCACTTTTGTGCCCCCTGCCGAGCGAGAGCTCATCCGCGGGCTGAAACAGAGTCCGGAGAAGGCATCCAAATCCAAAGCTGCTAAGTATATCAGGTGTGTATCAGCGATCGCGGTCGGTGGAGAGATGCTGATCGTCGTCCTTCAGAGGAGGATTGGCCGATCGGGCTCAGCATCTATTCTCCAAACGGCATACTGCCCTGACTCTCTGGTCCAAAGATATGCAACTTCAGGCGCAGCGCTCGAAGGAACATCGGCCTGTGGCTCCAGATCTCGCCCTCCGCATCTTCGAAGTTGCCCACATAACATCCGTCGCTAGTCTACAACGGTCGCACAACGCACCGCGATTGGCTATCGTGAAGTGCGCGCACATCGTCAAAGGCAGGACAACCGGTGACGTGACTGTGCTCTTGGACTTCAGTAGTCCAGGGACCGCTGCAGGGAGAGCACATACGTTGGACGAGGTTAAGGAGGGGAAGGATTTGCATATATGGTGTCCGTACAACAGTTCGGATCTTAGTGCTGAGGAATTGCGACGCTTCGGAGCTTTACCAAGAGACGGTACTACTCTGTTCTGTACCCGATTCAGAATAGCATGAGGTTTGTCAAGGCTGGTCTTATCGGAAGCGCTACCTACCTCCCTTATACTTTGGCACGTGCGTCCTGGACTCATCAGTACGGACTCAAAGCGACAGTACTACATAGTGATTGACAGGAAGTGGGAACCTGTCAGAGATTTGCATTTGATGGTCTGCCTATACATAAGCACTGCGTCCCAACACGTCGCATCCCCATGCAGCATCAGCAGAAGATGATCATCTTGTCTGCGCTGTCCAATGTGCATTGTAGGCGATGATGTATCAAACCCGGCGCCCTTGACGGGATGGCAGGATGTTCGCTCGCTATCACATAAGCATCTGGGGTCGACTCATTGCTCGCGGGTGCAGCGAGTACATACATATCCACAATGTTGTTGCTCTCACCAATTCACAGCGCCTACCGGCGTCGTTCGCCCCTGCTGACCGTCTCTGACTAGTGTAACGAATCCCTGTTGGTTTCTGAACCTTGACCCAGCACGAGGAAGGGAATGTGAGGTCCATAGACAGTGTGACGCGCTCGTCTGGCGAATGATCCGGAAAATCCTGACATTTTGGGATTGGAACGGTGTGCACATTTCCCAGCAGGTGCGCGCCTCGGATAAGTAGCTTGAGGGGGAGAATCTCATGCCGTATGTCCGATAAGAACTCGGTCGAAGTTGCTTAACGGACGATGAGAAGGATGCCGACGGTTGGACAACGGAGTTGGAGGCACGACCAAAACGATACCCACGGGTGGCCTTCGGGCGCGGCACGGTGGTCACGGCTTGATGAGTATAAGAAACGCGACTTCTCGAGTCGAGGTAAATAGTAGGGCGGATAAGTGGAGGGCGCGTCGGTTCAGTGAGAGCCTATGTATGATACGGGGAGGGATAATCACGACCCGGATCATCGGTGGGCAGTCAGAATGCAAGGTCTCAGCGCCGTGGCCTATGTTCCCCATTGTCCGCCCGAACGGGAGCTGTATGGTGTGTACATGTCGGTCGGCATGGTGGTGGGTTGAGGGGGCACTCTGAGAGTCTATTTCGACTATATATTTAGAGGTGTATTTCGCACAACCTGCCGCCGCAGCCTGTGAGGGACGCTGAGTTAGCAATTGAAGAAGAGTGAGCGATCAGGGTTCTTGGCTGGTAGAACGGAAGGCTCACAATGACCTTGAAGTGTACCGACCGAGACGGTTGGAACAAGAAATGTGAGCCCAGGCGTAGTCGACGGGCGATAGAGGACGGGGCGGTCATCATGAGCGCTATTCATAGCCGAAGCGGAACGCATGAGGCACATTCCATAACAGGCTCAACAACGCCTGAGCCCAGGACAAGGCCCACCTCTGCCTCTTACCCCATACAACTCCCCCACCCGGCCTTCGACGACGAGCCCAGAACCGTTCGACGCATCCACCATCGTACTCGAATACTCGTCCCTTTTCAGTCTGCTGGTCGGATCGTCCGCTGCATCTACGCAGTCTCACCTATGGCGACTACCTTCGCCCCGTCCCCGCTCAACACCGCTCAGTCTACCTCTCGTCAGCAATTCTTAGCTCCGAATTCACCTCCTCAGCAACAACGGAGACTTATCTCGCGGCAGCGCTTCATCCAAGACTTCTCCCAATGTCTCTTCGAGTTCGTCGTTCAGCTCCTCCCAACCACAGAGGAGATGGCTGTCAAGGAGGACGTTCGCAAGCTCCTCGAACGCTTAATCCGCACAATCGAGCCCGATAGCAGGCTGCTCTCCTTTGGAAGCTCTGCCAATGGCTTCAGCCTCAAGAACTCTGGTGCGTCGCTCTCCCCAACCACGGGGAGCCTCGGACCCGCGGCTGATCGTCCCTTCTCTACAGACATGGACTTGTGCTGTCTCATTGATTCCGGGGAACGCCTGAGTGCGGCCGATCTCGTCACCATGGTTGGGGATCTTCTAGAACGAGGTGTGTGGTCTCCTCAGCCTGGACGATCGCCATACACATCGACGGTTCTTGCGCAGAGACCAAGTTTCATGTGAAGCCGCTCCCTCATGCACGAATACCGATCGTGAAGCTCAACCTCGACCCTTCGCCTGCATTACCCTTTGGCATCGCCTGCGATATTGGGTTCGAAAACAGGCTTGCGTTGGAGAACACGCGGCTATTGATGTGTTATGCATCCGTGGACCCCGCCCGAGTGCGGACAATGGTTCTATTCCGTAAGTGGAAGCGCAGTCAGGCTTCGATATTCGCTCAGTACTGATTCACGTTTCTCTTATTCCTACCTTGTCCCACAGTGAAAGTATGGAGCAAACGACGGTTAGTGGTTACACATATTGCTGCATCGTGTCCAGTTACTCATGTCTCCACAGCAAAATCAATTCCCCATATAAAGGCACCTTGTCTTCGTACGGCTATGTGCTCCTTGTAATCTACTTCCTTATGCATGTCAAGACCCCACCAGTACTTCCTAATCTACAGCAAATGCCGCCTCTGCGGCCTATATCAGAGGTGTGTTTCAAGTGCGCTAGTGTCGTTTCACAGGTCCTCTGAGCGGATCGGTATGATTGCAGGAAGAATCACATCTAAATGGATATAACATCTGGTGATTAACGCGCTACTTTGCTGCGCCTTGTCAAATTGCTGACTGTATGCAGGTTCTTTGACGACATAGAGCTCCTTCGGCAGCGATGGAAGTCAGCAAATACGGATACTGTCGCAGAACTGTTCGTCACTTCCTTGTTCAAGCGATTCCGATACTAAGCGGCCATCAGGTTGATTGACTTCTTCAAGTTCTATTCGCGCGACTTCGCGTATAACACTGCAGTGGCCTCCATTAGGGCAGGTCTGCTTAAGAAGGAGGACAAGGGGTGGGCAACTGAGGTACTTCCACAGTTCCCACTGACTCCGAATCCGTCACTCATGCTCGCTGTCAGCAATCCGACATCGGGACCTCCCGTGAACGGAACCGCCTGTGTATCGAGGTGAGCCTATCTTTACGTCTCGTACCATATGTTGCCTGACGTAGTTCAGGATCCTTTCGAGACCGACTTCAACGTGGCGCGGTGTGTTACTAAGGATGGCCTCTATACTGTGAGTATCGAGCAGGGCTTGTCGACCTGTGATTCCGAACTTAGCTTGCATACGCAGATCCGAGGAGAGTTCATGCGTGCGTCGCGAATATTGCAGAGCAGACCCGACCGCGCGATTCTCGCTCTTGCGCAATTGTGTGAAGAACGGAAGGACGAGAGTCTGGGTCCTCCCCCATCACAGCCACGGTCTGCCTTCGCACCGCCCCGTCTCAATTCTATCCCTCCTCAAACTCCGTACACTGTTGGCAGCAGCCCGATGCGCCCAAACGGCGTGCCCGTGCCGGTCCCTGCCCCTGAAGAGCTTGCTTCTCGGAAGTTCTCACAGATGTCATCCCCTGTTTCTCCCGTCCCTTCCTCGCCCGGTGACTCACCTAGCGCTCGTTCCGCTATCACGAAGGACACTCCTCTCCGTCTACCAGTAGACAAGCTCGACCACATGGCTCCGATACGGAGCAAGTGGACAAGCCCACCGCCCCCGGAAGCCACCGAAGAAGATCGCTCTGCGTTCGAGAGCCGCCTCGACCAAGGACTGGCGCTCGCAACGTTCTCAGCAGGACCTCACTTACGTGACCGTTCGTATGCATCCTCGAACAATAGCGAGACGCACACCGATGATGAGGCTCTGTCGATGGCCGAGTCAGACGACTTACGCTCCGTGAGGTCGTTCATCGAGGAGGGCGCAGTGCACTATAGCCGGGAATATCGGGAACGCGAGAGGCAGCTGGCCAGTCTCCATGCTCAGCAACAAGCCCTGCAACAGCGCCTACAGCAGCAGTACGGTATCGATTCTTCGTCATCTGGGCTGACTGGCGGCCCGCCGTTGAACTCGCGCTTGGAAGGCGGCGTGGACGTGAAGATGATCTCCAGGTTACGGGGACGACCTGCAGGGCGGGTTGACCAGCAGCCGTCGAGCCCGAGCCTCGCAAACTCGGGAGGCCGAATGACACCCGGCGACCGGAATGAAGGGTTCACCCCGCCGCCACGCATGGATACGCACACGCCCCGGCGATCCATGTCATTCCCTGTACGGAACCCCAACCGGTTCTCGCTTCCCGCCATTCCAGCGGGGCTTCCCAACCATCTGGCTGCTGCCTACCAAGCGCATATTTCCCCCACTCTAGGCCATCCCGCGCCACGCTATGTTCTTCAGGCTGCTGCTGAAGCGCACGCACAAGCACAGGCACACGGTAACGTGTACTATGAGGCTATGCCCGCCAGAGAACGGGTGTATCGCACCATGGCGGGTTTCAGCCCTCAGACGCAACATACGTCGCCACAGTCGCTCTACGATCAGGTTGGTTCCCATGTGCGTCAGTCTGACGAAAGTCGCAGTAGGAGTAGGAGTAGAAGCCGAAGTCGGTCGCGCTCCGAATCTCACCGCGACTCACCGATCATGATCCGTCGCGGTCTTTCAACGGATACCGAGGTGGAGGTACCTGTAGCAGGGCCCTCGCGGCTTCCCGCAGATGCGCCTGCGTCGTCGTCGCTACACAACGAGCAGGGGCGGAGCGAGCGCATGTACTCGCATCAGCACACGCATTCGAATGCCACGATCACGGCGCCTACGCCACCGGCGAACGTACACAACTTCCCCTCCTCTGTCTCTACTCCTCCCATCTCGTTGCCCGTGCCCACGGGGTCTACCCTCGGTCCAAGGCATTCGCAGTCAAGGTCGCGCTCACCGCCGTACCTTCCGACTCAGCGGAATCCGCTATACCCGTATCAGTCAACGTATCCCAGCCCCCGGTTGGGCGCGACGAATCTCCCGCCACGATTGCGCGCTGATCGCGAACGCAGCCTTAGTGCACAGGGAAGCCATACTGGACTGGCGCCCCTACCTGCCCAGCCAACAGTCTTCGACGCGCGGACGCTAGCCACGCCTGTGGTGCACCTCCGAACGGAGGAGCAAGAGCGGGCGCAGATGCGCTCGGCGTCTCCGTTCGCATCCAACTCGCATTCCTCGGGAAGCGCGTCGCCCCCCACGTCGTGCACGAGCTCCCAATATGCCGCGTCGTCGTCCCCGCTGTCGACGTCGCCGCCGTCCCCGGCGCGCAGCGAGCTGAAGGAAAGGGGAGAGGGCGAGGGCGGAGGTGTCGTGAGTCCTCTCCGGTCGCCGATACCTCTGTTGGATGAGCCTGCGCCGGAGGTGCGGGATGCGTTTGGGAAGGAGAACGGTTCGGGGACGCCAGTTCCTGTCTCTGTCTTCCCTGCTCCAGCTCCTGCCACTCCGGTCCCGGAACCCTCGGTGGAAGAGACCAAGCCGGTCGAAACACTGGTCGCGGGCTCCGAGGTGACCCCTGTTGATATGGACCATTCTGTGGCTGCCGTCGAGGAGAGTAGGGACTCGCCTCATCTTCCGACTCCGGGAGTTCTGATCACGGAGAGCAGTCCTGTCGTCGAGCGCCTGTCGCAATGTGCGATCGAGGGGCAAGGAGACAAGGATGTCTCGCGTGTCGTGCATCAAGCCCAAGACTCGACCGTGCGCTCATGACTCCTTGCGATGATGCTATCGCTTTTCCCAGCCTGGTTCACATCCCAGTTATACCCGCGGCTGAACTGAATCGACGGAACGGGCTTTTCCAGCACGCGCGCATCGCTCGCCCACGATCACCGCCGAACACCCTGTCATCGGCACAAGCCTTGGCTGCTCGCCTGCGGACGCGCGCATGTCTGCGTGCCACGCCAGCATCTTGTATATGCCCCCAGTCTCGAACGAATCTGTGTCCAATACTGTCTTGCCCGTCTCTCGTCCCTGTCTGAAGAAATCAAGGCTAATAGTTTTCCGCCTTTGATACATCATCGCCTCATCTGGATAGCATACACTCACTTGCTTGCACCAGCCGGATAATCCCACCAGTCAACACTCCATCGCATCATCATCGTCCAATCTTCGAGATGTCTAGTAACCCAGTGTATATGGCACTCAAACGCCTCGCCTCGCCTCGAACGACCGTCAATCCCTCTGTATACGTCGAATTGCTATTTGCTGCCGCTGCTATTGCCGCTTGCATTCGTACATGCCACACACAAATCCTGCCGCACATACCCTACTTCTCCCAGAGACCGTAATCTTCCATCTTTCCCCTCTCCCTGCCTCGGATCGCCTTTGACTTTTTCGAGAGTCTGTTCCTTGGTATGTACCCGTTGAGAGGAGGAGCCTGAGGCTCCCCTCTCTCCCTTGATTTGCTTCGTTTTGGACAGGTACGCTACGTATAGTCCTCGATTGTAGCGCGCTTGGATCGAAGGGGGTCCGGCGTGTGGGCTGCGCTACGCTTCGCCTTCGCGCGCACACGGTGCGGTTGTGCGTCGTGCCCTGCATTGGACCATGTCGTCGTCGTCGTAGTCCAAAGTCTTGCATACCATGTATCGGTGTAGTATACTTGTCGTGTATGCATCCACTATGCTTGTCCCCTCGGAGCTATCGGATGGCGGGCCGTGCTTACGGCAGGACGCGTCGCGACGCGAGTGTTACGTTGAGACACGAACCAAGGCCCTCAGGCGCCGACCAAGTACTGCGGACGCTTGGCTGTCACTGGCTTGGCGGCCATCCTTGTCACAGTCAGCCTATATCGCCCCACATCACACAGCTCTATTGAACTTCCACGATGGGTGTGCCAGGACTTTGGGATGTCAGTCTCTCTTTACTTGCATACATCTCAGTGTTAAAATGCTCAAGTTTGCTCCTGCGCCACATAGGTCCTGCGCCCAGCAGGGAAGATGCGCTCGCTCACACACCTATCGGTCAAGGACGGTTTCGAGGCAAACCCAGACGGCAAGCGCGGCTTTCGCGTCGGCATCGATGCCAGCATATGGTTCTACCACGCAACATACGGCCGCGAGGGCGAGAACCCCGAGCTCCGCACCCTCTTCTTCCGCTGCACCCGACTCATGGGCATGCCCTTCCTGCCCCTCTTCGTCTTCGATGGCCCCAAGCGGCCCGAGATCAAGAGAGGCAAGCGCATCAGCGGCAAGAACCACTGGATGGTCCAGGGCATGCAGGAGATCATCTCGGCGTTTGGCTTCGAGTGGAGGATGGCGAGTGGCTCTGTCGTTTGCTCGAACAATACGCTGACTCGTTGTGTACTTTGCAGGCTCCCGGTGAGGCCGAGGCCGAGCTAGCATACCTCAACCGCATAGGGGTCATCGACGCCGTTCTCTCCGACGATGTCGACACCTTCCTCTTCGGTGCCAAGTTGGTCGTCCGCAAGTGAGTCCCCGTCCTCTACCCACACAACGCTCGACCACATTCACCGACCCCGCCCCCTCCCCCCCCCAGCCCGAGCGCGACTCTATCCGGGAACCGCACCAACCCCATGAAGAACGCCGCGGGCAAGGACGACGGGAACCACGTCATGACCTACGCCGCCGCCGACCTCCGCGCGCACCCCGACATCCAGCTCACCCAGGGCGGCCTCGTCCTCGTCGGCGTCCTCCGCGGCGGCGACTACTCGGACGGCCTGCACGGCTGCGGCGTCCAGACCGCCCACGGGCTCGCCCGCGCCGGCTTCGGCGACGCCCTCCTCGACGCCGCGCGCACCCTCCCGCGCGACGCGCTCGCAGCGTTCCTCGCGCGCTGGCGCGAGGACGTCCGCGTGGAGCTCAGGACGAACGCACGCGGGTGCCTCCCGCGCAAGTGCGCCGCCCTCGCGCGGGCCGTGCCCGAGGACTTCCCGAGCGTAGACGTCGTGCTCGCGTACGCGCGCCCGGTCACGTCCGAGGCGAAGGGCGCCGCGCACCGGAACGCGAACGTCGCGTGGGACAGGGACCCGGACCTGGGGCGCATCGCGGGCTTGTGCGAGATGTACTTCGAGTGGGGGGTGAAGGAGATCATCGTGAAGCGGTTCAGTACCGTGCTGTGGCCCGCGGCCGTCCTGCGCATCTTGAGGCGCGCGGCGATCTTGAGGGACGGGGAGGCGGGGGCCGGGCGTGGGGCGGGAGCGCTGGGCGAGCGGGGGGAGGAGGGAGAGGAGCCGGGCACCCCTCCGAGGAAGGGCGGGAGTGGGCGAGGTGCGCTGCCGGGCACGCCTTCGAGCGTGATCGCGAAGCACTTTTCGACCATGGCGCTGGGCGGTCCATCACGCGGCGCCGGGAGGACACAGGACAGCGACGGGGAAGAGGAAGAGGAAGGGGAGCGGCTTATCGTGAAGATCCACTCCGCGCGCGAGCACCCCTCCACGGACCGCATCCGCGAGTACCGTCTCGAGGTCGCGCCCGCGCAGCTCGTCCGCCTGTGCGAGGCCGGGGTCAGGGGGCTGCGCACGGCGCTCCCCCCGGACCTGTCCGACGACGATGAGGAGGAAGAGGTCGACGACGACGACGAGGGCGGGGGGAAGAGGAAGGGCAGGAGAGGGAAGAAGGCGCCCCCGGACCCGGAGAGCCATCTGAGGATGTGGCTGCCGGCGTGCATGGTCGAGATGGTCGAGCCGGAGATGGTCGACGAGTTCGAGGGCGTGCAGCGGTGGAAGGCGGAGAAGAAGGCGGGGAAGGGCGGGAAGGCGGCGGGGCAGGGTAAGGAGGCGGCTACGGTGGCGAAGAAGACGAAGGCTGGGGCAGAGCTCGCGGCAGCCGTTGCGGAGGAAGAGGAGGAGGATTCTGCGGAGGAAGAGGAGCCTCCGACAGCCCCGAAGGCCAGGGCAACGAAGGCAAAGGCGAAGGCTGGCGCAAGTGCGGAGGCCGTTCCGAAGAACAGTCGGAGCAAGACTTCGAGCAGCGTTGAAGCGGGCAAACGGGCAGAACCCCCCAAGATCGATAACTTCTTCAAAGCGAAAAAACCCACGAAGACGGCGGCAGCAGGCAAACCAGCCAAGACGACGACCTCTCGGGTGGCCGACCTGTTCAAAGCCCTTTCGTCCGACAGCGACGGTAATGAGGAGCGAAGCGTCCCCCGGCGACCACGCCCTCCTTCCCAGAAGTCCCCCTCGACTTGCTTGGCAGCCCAGCCGCCCTCTTCGCAGGTCTCAGCGAGATCCGGGTCCAGCTCTAGTCGCATCCTGAGCTTGCTCGACTCCCAACCGCTCTCCTCTCCCTCCCCCGCCCCAAGTCCACCGAAGGCGACCGCGTCCTCCCCGCCCAAAGCCCGTGCTCTCCAGCCTTTCCCGATGGACTTCGACGCGTATCCGCTCAACACGCCTCCAACCGCCGACGAAGATCCGTTCACCCCGGGCGCAGGCCCGTCGTCCCTGCCGACCTCGCGGGCGCGAGCGCGGTCCAGCCTGTCGACGTCCGAGTCCGACTCGCACAGTCCTTCGGCGTCCGCGGCGCACAAGTCCCCTCGCAAGTCCGAGAAGCACTCGTCCCCAAGAAGCACGCCGCACAAGGACGGAAGACCGCAGCGGACCGCCCTCCGTAGAGAGGAGGACGAGGAATCGTCTGACTCTGATTTCGAGCGGAGGCCGCCTTCGCCCTCGCCTCTCAAGGGCCGGCTAGCGACGGCCTTGGGGAGCGGGAGACGCGCGTTGGCGAGACGAGAGGAGGAAGAGGAGTCCGACGGGGCGTCTTCACGCTCCTTGGTGCGACCGAGGAAACTCGTAACTGCGCCCGCATCGAGCAGACTCGTGGCACGGTCAATTGCCGTGCGCAAGCCTGTCCGGCCGTTACCTGCGGATCTGACCATCATCTCGATATCTAGCGACTCCGAGTCAGATCCTCCGCCACCGAAGCTGACTGCGAGGGCTGCTGCTCCCCTGCAAATTGCGAAGGCACGGCTCAATACCGAGAGCGCGGGAGGCAAACCCGCGCGCAGAGCCTACGACCCGGACGACGTCATTGATCTGACCTGATTTGATTACCCTGACTTGTTGTATTTTGAATACAGTGTTGTGCTACTATCCGACAATCGGCGAGAAAGCTACTAATGATGGAAACATGATGAGATCGGAGAATGTGGTGCTGAATGCTACAGTGTGTAGAGAGACCAAGAACGATGCGAGTGTGAATGCAGATAACACTGGGAAACAAGGGTGGGTAGAAGAAGAGCAAGAGTGTCATGACATGAAGGCGTCCATCTCGTCAGACCGTCGTACGTTTGTGGGGAGGATCGTGCATCGTGATTAGTAGTACGCAGTGAAGTCGCGCAACCGCTGCTGGCCAGTCAGGGTGTCGTCAGGTTCTAGGGGAGGTTCGGCGGGGAAGACCTGGTCGCGGAACCGCTGGATGGCGGCGAGACGCGAGCCCCAATTCGTGACGACCTCATCGCGCTTTGTGTCTCCGCCGGTGCTTTGCCAGACGGAGCTGAACCAGTCTGCAAGGAGACTGAGCTGTCGAACGAGGTGCGGAAGGTTCGTAGCAGAGATAAGCTTGAAGTCGCCGATGGGTGTGAACTCCACCATGTTGGGGGCGCGCTGCACAGTCACCTTGAAGTACTCGTGCTCATGGATGTTGTTAGAGAAAGCCGCGATCGCACCGCGCGAGTGTGGCTCGATAACAATGTTCACAAACTGGAACTGCGTGGCGAGCGTGTCGAACCGATATGGCTTGCCCGAATCGTTCCAGACAATCCGGACATAGTCATTCCCGATGTGGGCCTTTTTGCTAGTGCAGTTCGGGTCATCGCCTGTGGGCATGAGTGTTGCAGTGTGGAAGAGGATCTGGCCTATGTCGTCCCACCATGCGTAGGCGTACTCGCCATCGACGTCAGGATCCAGTCCGCCATCGTAAACGTCGACTTGACCACGCAAGTAGATAAGTCGCCCAAGACCTTCGAGGAAACGAGTGTATGCCGGGGAGCCATGAGTGTTCCGTAGAATTTCTGTCTCGTGTTCTTGGCCGGGTGCAACATACATGACACCAACCTTGTGCGTGTCGATCACAGGCATCCTGTCGAAGGTGCGGAAGAAGCTGGCGAGCTTGGACCGTTCCGTCACTAGACGTCCTCGATTGACAGGCTGCTTGTCTGGGTACGCAGATAGCTGAAGCGCGAAGTAGCTGGGCTCGACGGACACCTCTTTTCGCCTTTGGGAGGGGGCGCTGCGACTCCAGACGTAGCCTGTGATGGGATCTGGTGGCGGGATACTGTGTGATCCTTGCGCCGACTTGGCGAGTGCGAGTTTCACATCGTCCTGTAGGAGGACCAAAGCATCAAACGACATTCTGATGAATGTAGATCTTACACACCAAATTCGGTTGGCCGTGTCCATTGAGCTCGTGAGGCGTCTCATCGCCAGCAACCTCCCCGTCGTTCTCTCTGTCCATCATGAGCATAGCAGATACGGAGACGAGGTCAGGGTCGACGTCGCCCAAAGGTATCATCGGAACGTTCTCTGCGCGAACTAAGAACTTCGTCAATCCCGAGGCTCTCCTGGAAAGCACCTCGATCCACCCCCGCCGTTCCAGTACACGAATAGTGACGACAGAGTTGCCTAGTACCCACGTCTTCTCGCTGGTCGCGGGTTCACTACTCCTTGAATGGAGCGTGGGGTTCATCACTATCTCGCAGAGCGTCGATTTGGCAGGTCGCGGATCCGCGCTGGCATAGGTGTACCTGGCAAGCCAGTCGAATGCAACCTCCGTAGGAGCATCTACTTCGACCTTCCCGCCGTTGGCGAGGAGCAGCTGCCGAATGATGTAGCTGACATGCTTCTGACGATCGGGTATGTCGATGGCGAGGAACCACACGTACATGATATAGTACGACATGATTCGAACATGCTGAGAGAGCGCCCATGAGATGGCGAGCGAACCGTCCCTGCGATTGTGGTGCTCGAGGTACTTGAGTGCAACGGCGAACACCATCTTGTAGTCGTTTTCGGTGAAGTTCACGAACAAGCTGGGTCGCGAGCCGACGATCGCAAGGAAGTCAATGATGTGGACTGCCATGGCAGGGTTCGACATGATCTGGGATAGCTTCTCCATGATGCGGGAAAGGTACTTCGCCATGGACGACTGCAGCTCGAAGGCCGAGAGAGAAAGGGCGTTCAAGCAGCACTTCTGCGTGGACGGCTGGCCACTGAGCCCGAGGAGGAATACTTCAACAAGCTGATGGAGAGGCTGCGGCGAGTCGAAACACCGCTGGTAGCTGATGAGCACCGTGAGCGTGTGGAACGCGAGCCCCTGCGCATCGCGAGAGATGATACCGTCGGGCCAGCGCTCGATCTGCTTCGCGAGCGACCCCTCTGAAATGCCTGAACAAAGAGCTGCGAGAAGTTTTCCGATGAGCTTCTTGGACCGCGGGCCGCAGAAAAGGTGCTTGTTCGCGAGCTGCGTCGGGAGATGGCAGAGCACATAGGACAGAATTTCCCACTCCCTCTCGGTCTCGATGACCTCCACGAGCTTTGCGAGATAAAGCGATGACTGAAGGATCGAATCAACATGATCCGGACGAGAAGGGTCGTACGACATGAAACCTTCACTCGAGACGTCCGAAGCGGCCACAGTGAACGAGAGCGTCTCTGGAATTGACCACATCGGGTCGCGTGCCCTCAGCTTGAGCATCGGCGTCGGGATGGGACGCGTAGGCACCCGTGAACGGCTCCTACTCGCCTCCATGCGTGGCTGGCCGCGACCCCTGGAAAGTCGGCGTCCATCGCGCTCCTGTGGCACGCGGGCACGGGCGCGCCTAAGATCATCGTCACGGAGTAGGTCTTCCACTGTCCCAGGCCCAGTCTCCGCACGACTGATCAGTGCAGCAAGGGAGGCGATGTTCCCATCCTTGTCATACTCGGCCTTTGCGAAGTACACTCTGTGATCACGGTCCGCACGCAAACGCACGAGGAATTGGAGCGCCGTTAGTCGCGCGCGGATGCACCCTGCGGCCGTGACGAGCTCCACGAGCTGCCGGAATACGCGCCTTGCGTGCCATAGTATATGAGCGGAGTGGGCGAGAGGGGTGAAGACGAGCTGGCTGAAGACAGAGATCAGGGCAATGACGGCGCCCACGGACCTGGGCGTCGAAGGGGCAACGTCGACAGCAGTAAGGGCGGGGGACGGCATTTCGACTGGGGTGGGCATGTCGTTGGTAGCTCGACGAGTCTTAGAATGGGAACGCGTGCCCGACGTGAACTGTGATAGGAGATTGGAGAAGGATGGCAATGCGCCGGCTTCTTTTTCCCGCTGCGGAGAAGGGTAGTCGGAGGACATCCGAGACAAGATGGGTGAGGTGGTCGCGATATTCGTCGGCCCAGGTATTGCAGGTGGAGATGCCGCAGAGGACTCCATCGTCAGTATCGACGCTGCATCATCTTCGTCGTCCAGCCTGAGCTCGTGCGCCATCGTGAGGAAGAAATCGAGAATCTCTTCGCAAACCTGTTCTTCCTCCTCGCATGCTTCGACACTGGAGTCTTCTGCATGTTTTTCGACGAGACGGAGAACGGCCTCGTCAGCAAGGACGTTCCAAACGACCAAAGCGGGGTTATCCTCGAGCTCGTCGCCCGTATGCTGCTTCCATATCTCAAAAACCAATGATGCGAGTGGTTTCCGATACGCAGGGATATCCTTGACGAATTGCCAGACGGCCTGAAGATGCCCCATGGCGTGCTGACGCGTCGATGACCGAGAAGATGCGAAGAGATCAGGCATCGTCAGGATACTCCTCCAATGCTCGAGCCATGTAAGTGCTGTAGGCGATAAGCACTGGCGGTCTGCCATGGTCACGAGTAGATGAGAGAGATCGCGATCAGGAAGGTGGTCGGCAATTGATAGAATGATGGACGGAAGTACGGGGAACAGAAGTGTAGTCTTGAGGTCCTGCGCGAGGATGGTGGACATCGTAGAGAGGAAGGATATTGAGCGATCCGGGTTGTCCAGTGAGATTTGCGCAGGGGACCCATCGGGTTGCCTTCCGCGGAAAGTCAATGCGCCATCGATTGCACAGAATTGGGACGAAATGTACATACTTGAGCGACCGAATGTACACGACCAGCTCTCGGGTGATTCTGCCTACCGCCTCGATCTCTTCGTCGTCGACGTCTACGTTGCCGCCACGCTCGTCCATTTCTTGGTGCAGGGCGATGGTCTGTATGGTGTCTTTGATGATAGCAGCAATCTCATGCAGAACGGCCTCCTTCTGCTGCTGTGACCTATCTGCGGAACTCGGGTCGGGCAGTTGAGCTATCCATGCTCTTGACGCGCGCGAAAGCACATTCGCGAAGCGGATGAGCTCCCAAGCCTCGGAGTCGTCCTTTCCCCAGGCACGCTCCATTATCGTTCGCTCTACCGCGAGATGCGTTGGGGCGCCTGCAGGAGAGTAGTCCATCGACGTGGTGAGGGTAATCAAGGCGCGCGCCAGGCGACTCTGGAGCGCTTCCCTGATGCACATCCGGATAGCGCGGAGCGCACCCAACGACACTTGGGCGGAAGCATGAAAGTCTAGCTCAGGAGACGGGAATAGATGACGCTTCAATAGCTGTCTACTTGACGAGGCGTAGGGTCCCGTAACCAGCTGGTTCAAGAGAGTCCAGACTTGTTGCTCGAGGGTGTGTTGATGAGGAGCACCGGCCTCCAGAGAAACGCGAGGTAATGGTGACATGTAGAAAGCAAGTGAACGGAGAAGAAGGGGTAGGATTCTGGATAGATAGATAGGCCCAAGGGCAACAAGTCGCTCCGAAAGATAGGTCATGTAGGCGTCCACGATGATGTCAGCAGGCTGCTTCAGGAGCGAAAGTTTAGGGAGGGAGGTAGAGGAATGATGCCGCCGGTGCGAGAGAGGCAGCTTCGGCGGTGTGATCGTTTTGGAAGACTGGGGTTCAAGAAGAGGGGAAGCAGAGGGCGTACCGAGCGTGAAGTCAGGAGGGATAGATAGAGCCTTGTCCAAAAGCCTCTCCCAGAGCTCCACGATTGTCCGAGTGTCGTCCTCGGTGATCCGTGATACCACCTCTGGCTTGCTGACGAGGCGGATAAGGAGCGCGGTAAGGGTCTCGACGCTACGCTGACGGGCAAGTCTGTCCTCGTGCGTGTTGGTGTCGGATCTCGTGAGCGCGAAGCCGTCGAAGGCACGCTCTATCCAGCTCGCGAGCAGGCACAGTATCTGACTCTCCATTCCGATCGTCTGGGAGCCGGAGTTTACAAGCGCGCCCAACGCTTTTGTGCGAGAATCCCAAAGCTCTTGTGACCATGGTACATCCACAAATAAAGCGAGACAAGAAAGGCGGTCTGCGGTAGAGACGAGGGACGCACCGGGTCCATCGAGGAAGGCAGAGAGGATCTCGAATCCGGCTGCCTGCAATGGTGCGGGGGACTCGGACGAGCATAGAGTTGCAAGGATAGGCTGGAGTGTAGCAAGACGAGGGAGAGGGGCATGCGCACCGAGGGTGCCAAGTGCACTGGCGAGAGACTTTGCGTAACTGAGGGAGGGGACAGCAGGAGGAGTGAGAGCCTCGATCAATGCGTCGTATTGTAGAGGCGGGGAAACCGTGGACGGAGCGGGTGTCGGGACATTCTCTGTCCTGCCCCGGCGTACCCAGGGACTAAATGAGAAAGTGCTGGTATTCGCTCTCTGTCTCGCAGGTCTTTGTGTGGCGTCATTCTGCGGAGGCATTCAGCGCAGTCCTGGATGCAGAGTCAATGTGGCGGGCTGAAGACAATGCAGGCAATGCGGAGCTTACGGTCGTGCCGGTGAATGACTCGTGTAATAACAATTGAGCAGTAGAAGTGTGGTACTAGGAAGCAAAACGGTATCAATGTGAACGAAAGGAAAGCGGAGGACAATCGGGGAGTCGCATGTATGTCGAGGTCGAGGAGGAGGAGCTTGAGGGGACCGTTCTGCGGGCGCTAGCGCTTGTCGTCGATCGCCTTACGTACCTTCCGGCGCCTCCCGACCCCGCTGTCGGTCCAAACGTTACGCTTCTAGTAAGTAGTACTAGATCCCCACTGTCTGTCTAGCAGTTCTCCTTCTTATCATGGAACTCTAGTCACAGACTACAGAACTTAAGTGATAGCAAATTCGGATAGGTGAAAGTCCAGTAGCAGCGCATCCTTATGCCGTTGACGACTTGCCGCCGCCGTGTCGGTTTAAATATATCAGGAGTCCGAGAGCCATCGCATCATCCATGGTTTCGTTAGAATAGTGCTTATCATCTCTGCAAATTCCGCAGAATCGTGTAGCGAGCAACATCTCTTTCTCTCCAACGATACTCCATACTCATGTAGTCAGTCGCAGACACTATTCTCCTCGAGCTTTCAGAAACGCTCCACGAAGTCGTCGAAGTAACCGATTCGTGACGCAGTAGAACATGGATTCAAACGTCTTCAAGAGAAGATATCACTGCAGAGAAGTCTTCAAGGGTTGCGAATCAGCCGGCCGGTGCATCGCAGGACCGTATCTGCCCTTTACAGCTTACCTTGAACTGCTTTCTTGGCCATGGCCATTCCCTTTACTTGCCCCTTCTCCCGCTCTCCTTCCCGTGCTACGGCGAGCTTGTGCCTCTTCTCCGACGTTACCTGCTCGAAAATCCATAGGAATTAGGCTGTCGTAATAGCAAAGACTGATGCGCACCAAGAGCGCCTGTTGTTCCTGTTGTAGCTCGAGCCACAATTTGCGAATGTGGTCTTCAACCTGAGCATACTCGAACACGAACTTGTCGTATGCGCCATTTCTGTACAAGGTTTGCGTGTTGTTTGACGGATGTGCTTTATGTCTACCCACATTTCGGTAACAGCAGCAGTGTACTCCTCGATTCTCGCCAAGAGCTGCCATCCATTAAGAAGCACGTCAGAAAACGATATGCGTGCAACAGGTAAGTACTCACGCATTTATCAAGCTCTTCTTTGGCGTGACGGACAAACTTGGATTCTTTCTCTCTTCGCTTTTTCTCCCATGAGGCTGCGCGACCGCGACCCTCAGTCTCACGATCCCAAATTTCCTGATATATGCGCTTACATTGCATCTGTGCTGCCACCGCTGCCATAAATCTACACGTGCAGGACATTGATTAGAGAATGACAGCAGTTTGAACACCGAGTCTTGCCCTGTATCATCGGCGTTGTGCTTCGCGTTGAGAAATCGGTTGAGTTTCGGCTGATCGTGTTAGACGAGCGTATAGAAAGCATACCGGTTCACTGCGCTGTGCAGGCATATTAACTGTTCGTTCGAAATATGAACAAAAGACGAAGAGGAGAGTTGAAGGCGCAAGAGAGCCCTTGAGTGGGATGGAGGCCGCTTCCACTCAATCCGGCCCGAAGGTCTCGGTACAAGGAGCGCTCTGCGATCGTTCGCGGGAGAGATCTGAGATAAGGAGTGCCCGCCAAGACAGGATGTCTGTCTGATCCGAGAAAATCGGTTATGGAGCGCAACAAGCGACCTGCGACTTGCCCAATTCTTCAACACAGCGTCTGCGACCAAACCGCTTGTGGCCTCCTTCCATCTTAAACCTCGCATTGATGTCAGACGTCCGAGGGTGAACATGAAGTTCTGCAGCCGTAGCGGCCGTGGTAAGGCGATTACTCTTCACGGAGACTTGTGTCTTCACGTGGAGGAAGAAGCGGGGATGTTGCCGAGGACGCCGTGAACGCAGCCAGAGCGGGCACCCGCTTTTGTATTCTCCTTCCCGCTTGCCCGGCGACTTTAACCTCCCAGGCGGGCATGAGCAGGTGTGTTGAGTCCCCCAATGCTCCCCCATCCATCCTGGATAATCTCAACGTCGTCCCGACATATTCCGGTTTGGCAATACCTGTCTAGCATTCCACCAGAGCCAACCCTGTCGCTGCCTTCGTCAGATATCGCAGCAAGCATGGCGGGCGTTCCTACACAGATACATACTCACTTGCAGGACGCAATCGACTCGTCTAACTCGCAACATATGAGGATATACCTCGCCATCCAGGCGCTCGTTCAAAACCAGGTCGACCTGATCTTGAAGGAGACGTACCAAACGCGCTTTACCAATTGGAAGCACGAGGATCATCGCAGTACTTGCACTACAGTGAGGTCCAAGCTCAACTTAAAGAAGAACCTCCTCAAGGAGTATCCTGGTCTCCTGTCCGGCCCACAGGCTGTATCCCTTCGCGACGACGACTGGACGCCCAGCTACATCATCTCCGCCTGCATCTTCTCCGTACAGCTTCAGGTAAAAGTCCACAACTCGAACCTGCGGGTATGCAACATTATTTGGCGGAACGAGACGTCCGGGGCCACCGCACTGACCTTTTACAACAACCATCTTGATCCCATGTCCTCGTTCCGGCATGTCATCACCAAGGGCCTATCGACCTACAGGACTTCCAAGTGGACTCTGGGCAGGCGAGGGCTGGGCTTCATCAGGGCAGCTCATCATCTCATGGGAGTCCTCAAAGAAGGCCTGCCAATTTCGGAGGCACGAAAGTCTCATGGGATGGACCTCCGGGTGGGTCACACAGTGGGCGAGTTCTATTGGCAGGGAGGCCTGAACACGGGGTGCGCAGAGAGTCTTGTCCTCAAGGAGGAGGATCTCACACCCTTGAGCCTCAAGAACGTGGAAGGCCGCCCAGGTATGTCTGTCGTCTCAGAGCAGTCAGAGGGCTCATGGTGATCGTTCTAGATTTCCAATTCGCCTACGACACAAAGGTCGATAGGACTCTCGGCGCATCTAAGCATACTAGAGTACAGGCCATTTACTCGACCCGCCACCGGTACAAGCTCTCTGAAAAGCGCAAACAGGCTGACACCCGAGCGACGGAGCCGACTGATGAACGCTCCTTCGTAGAGGCCGACGAAGTCGTGGTCACTGTCCGCGGTCTCAGTGGTGCTCTAACTCCTGAGTATCTCTTCTCTGGGATCTACAGTATATTTCCTCCTGAGAAGCAATGGCCAATATGTCTGTCCCCTTCCGCACAACCCATCATCTCGTTCTTCACCCCTTCCGTCGTCAACGCAGGTCTTGGGGTCGCTAGTGTTCCTCAGTCTACGCAGGGACGATTCTACTATCGGGATCATCTAGTCGCCAATGTCCCTATTGGTTTCAGCAAGATTGGCATCAACTATTTCGGTATCCTCGACGCATCTTCTAGCGGCCTTGAAGGACTAGTCCCTGGTAACTTCTCGACGGAATTCCAGCAGCATTTGTTCGAGGCGACTGATACGGCAATTCGCACCCACCCCGATCTTTCAGTGGGGCTCGCAGAGGAGTTCCTCGTTGACGCGTCGTCACTGCCCAACGACTGCGGAATGACACTCCGCACGGAAGGTAGAGACGCTTATCGGACGGCATTCGAGACAGCATGGCAGCGCCTCAACCCACAGCTCGCCAACCACCCAGGCGGTGTCTACCCATATGTAGCAAGTCTCGACACCGCCGAGGAGGACAAGGCCCTCATCGTAGAACTGAAGATGTATTCTATTCCCGTCCACCCCCGCATCCGACTGCTACTGATGAAATCTGGCGCGTACCCTCCGATCCGCGTATATGCTGAGTCTCTACTGCTTTCCGCTTATAGCGCCCCGCATCTTCAACAAGGGACGGACGTCCTGAGGGCTGCACTCCGGAAGCTGTTTCCTGAGTCGGATCTCGCAGCGGACCCGCTGTCTGTGCGCCAGTACACACACTCGTACCCTCGTGTGGTGTGGGACGAGGAAACGCGGATCTTCGTCATGGCTTCGTCGTTGGCCTCCCGATGTCCTGCACACCTGGGCGACGCATCTGACCATGAAGGTGACGTGGACCGCGACGAGCGGCCTGACTGTCTATGTTGGCTCCTCCTGGCCCTTTCAGCCGCGGTCGCGAGTTGGCAGTCCAAAAAGCAGGGGGCGGATCCGATGACGGTGTCTCCCTCGGACGAGCAGCTGGCCCATATCCTGCTGGACTGTTTCAAGACCGCCATGCCTGTGCTTCGCACCGTGCGGTCGACTCCGCGGGATGATGATGCATGGGAGAAGACCGCGCGTGATGAGGGCGGCGACGATGACGACGACGCGCTAAGCTACCTGAACGAATCCGAAGGCCAGGCTGCGCAGGTGGAACCTCCGACCCAGTCCGGCGACCCTGAGACTCCTACTGCCCCGCCGTCGCGGTCAACGTCGGCCGCTTATCCATCTCCAGTTTCCTTGGTGCTGCCCCGTACCTGGGCCCTGAGCGGTGCTCGGTACGTCCATCCATATAGTTCAGATACAAATTCTATTCCTGATCGCGCTGTCTGTAGGTCACTCAGCACAGCGCAATCTCGCCCCGGGAGCGTGATGGCGGGAGCAAACCGATCTCAGTCTGCGAAGAAAGCTTCCGAAAGAAACCCCAAGGATTCACCCGCAACTATCTATGCAGAGGCTCGCAAAACATTCAAGAAGATGACGAGCGTTGGGCGGCTTGGCGATGCTGCGATAATGAACGTAAAAGCGGCCTACGAGAAGGAATCGGCAGCGCTGCGAGAGGAGCTCGCTCAGGAGCGGGCACGAAGCGCTGCGCTCGGCGCCGACCTAGCGACGGTCAAAAAGGAGAGCAAGGCTGCGCTAGCGAGTAGGGATGAGACGATAAGTCAACGTGACGAGAGCGTACGAGCGCTCACGGCACGTCTCAAGGAGAAGACGGAGTTTGCAGAGACACAGACCTTGCTTGCTCAAGATCAAACCAGACGCATCCGGGAACTGGAAGACATGAACACAGAATGGACTTCGGATATGAAAGTCCTCAAGGCCATATCCGCGAAGTGGCTGCAAAGCCCTAGTCCTCGTTTGACTAATGACGCGCATATAGCAGAGGAAGAGAACGGGCCAAGGAAAAAGCCCAGACTCACTTTGTGACATTTACACTCGGGATCTATCGGCTCTGTAGTTGATATGTTCTTCCAGTCCCAGCTCTCGATGTTGTGATTCGCGATCGGTTGTTATTATTCCCTCGGCTCTCTTCACACGTACGTTTCGCTTTCGAGTCTGCAGTGATTGATGATGGTACGCCAACAGCGAGGAGTCGACTCGATCACATTGCGACTTATCACACGCCTAGCAGCAGAAATGTACGTGAGGACGAGTCAAGTTTTGTCTGTATTTTCCGCGTCTTTTTCAATTCTACATTTTCTGTACCGCTCAAGAGGTGGAAATCCAGAGTGCCGAGTCCGTCCACATGCCATCATCGTTGACCCAACGTCAGCCCCTCGACAACTCGCTGCAAATGCATTCGGTCAGTCATAGTAACCAAACACGCCGAAGATAGGCTCGCGAACCTGAAAGCCGACTCGATGCACGCCTTGACCTCCCGGTAGCTGACGACGAGACAGCTTTGCTCGTCGCGCGAGACGAGCATGATGCGCTCGTCCGTACCTGCGTCCAGCTTGTTGAGACACGTGAGGACGTGCGTAAGGTTCACGACCGGCCGACCGAGTTCGTCGACCTGGTGGAAGACATAGTCTCGGAAGAGCTTGACGATGTACCGGTCGCCTGTCTCAGACCATCGGGTCTCATGGTTGTGCCTGGGTGTTAGTTTCCAGTGAATAGATGCAAGACGAGAAGAGTTAGGGGCACACACTCAGGACGCTCATTGATGAATCCGAACTTGCAGAGCAGGCGGACGAGACGGCCGTTCTCGAGCTCGCTCATGAGCTCGTTCTCGAGGCGGTCGACGCCGCTGAGACGAATAAGGGACATCAGCGGGTGCTCACAACAGTCAACAAGCTTCTAGCACTCACTTCTGAGCTTCGTCGAGCTCGGTGAGTAGACGACTGCCAATCATATCGAATAGCTGTCCGATGTTCTGAATACTGTCGTCGTCAGGCTACACGCCCACAGACCACGCAGCGACCAAAGGCATTGGGAGACCACAAGGCGCACCTTGTGCGGACCACCTTTCGAGATGAGGAACAGCGCAACGCTCTTGAGGTCCGCGGAGTAGTACCGGCCGAGGTGGTCGATCGCCTTCTGGAGGTTGTTCATCGCGGCTAGGTTGCTGCAACACAGCATGAAGACGAGCGCGCCGAACATCGTCAAGTCGTCCTGCTGCATGAACGAGATGTCCGAGTGAAGGTCGTGCAAGAGCACGTCGACGATCCCGCACGACCCGATCCGGACCCTATCGGATGGAACGTCAAACACCGGGTCCGTTCAGGAGATAGGTGATTGAGAGCATGCCTGTTCTTCCCGGTGATGAGGATCTTAGTGGGGTCGATGAGACGCACCGCGAGACCAGCGTCGTGGACGGCCTTTATCGCGTTCGCAATCTGGATGACGTATGACCAGATGGTGCGCTCCGAGATTCGGTTGGACTGTGCTTGCAGCCGGCCGTTCTGGAACTGCGGCGCCTTGGGCTTGATGTGTGCCTCGTACAGCGTCTGCGCGTTCGGATGATCGTCGTAAACGACCACGAGCGCTGTATGCTCGTGAGGAAACGATGTAGGGATTGCCCGACGGGAGAAGCTCACAGTTGTCGTTGAATGCGCGGGTTGTGAAGGCTTCGTGGACGGAGACAATGTTAGGGTGCCTGAGGCGCGACCACGTCTCGATGGCGCCGAACGCAGACTGATTCATGAGACGGAAGTCTTTAGGAGAACGGACCCGTCAACAGACAATGTGATGGCTCATGCCAAGCAACTCACTCTCGACACGGCGCAGGATGTACGTAGACCCATCAGTAGAACTTGTTGCACGATATACCATTGAGTACCAGTTGCCAAACTTGCGACGGTCGGCGCCGATGGGTTCTAAAGGAACCAAGGTATGGTAACCTTGCATTTCCTCTGGTAGCCCGAGACCAGGAGGGGCCGTAGTGTGGATTGTTTCTGATCGCTTCTGCAGCTCTTCTCGGATGTCGTCCGAGACGAAGTATTTGTGTGCGAGAGCCTCAGGGCGGGGAAGGGTGTAGAGGTGGTAGTTGAGCTATGTGCAAGGTCAGTGGAGAGAAAGGTTGGAAAATTAGGTCCAATGTATACCGGTTGGCGGGTGTAGGTCAACGAGGCAGAGTAGTATGCATCGATAGCCGCTCCGTCGTAGCCTAGCATGTGTTCAGGTGGCATCTCATAAGGATTTGCGGAGGACTGTGGCACCGAAAAGCCTCAGAATGCGGACCATAACATCAAACACGCCAATGATTTACCATATGCGGATCCTCAGATGGGTGGCCGTTATGATCTGCATATGCGTAAGGGTTGTAAGGATCGTACTGTTCAGGGTCGGTCTGTGCTTCGTGCTCCGGTTCTTGCTCTGAGGCAATGGACGAAGGAGGTTCGGAAGAGGAATCGCTGAGAAACGATTCAGTATGGTACAAGCGCGTTGAGCGCGCGGGGGACCGCTCGAGAGGACGGAGAGGATGAGTCTGGTCCCAATACTCGGAAAACGTACGATGATACAGATGTTTTCTGCTGGATGGAAGCCGGCACTGCCTCTGAAAGAGAGGGACTTCCTGGGTGGCCTTTGGGGATGAATACAGGTGCGTTTACTGCTTGAGCAGGAAGAGCGGCGGCCGGAGTAGGAGAATCAGGCCTGGGCAACACTAAATGTCATGATGTATTACGAGGAGGAACATGACGTACGCGGAGAGTGGCTCGTCGCGCTAGAGGGAACATGAGAGCCGCCGATGATGTCCGGAATGGAGGATACGCACCGGAGGATGATAGTAGATACAGCCCTTGTCTTGAAATTTACACGATCTATACGATGTGAGGACGCGTCCAACGCGCCCAAAGGAGAGGAACGTACCCATAAATGAGAATATTCCTACACTGTCTTTGAGTGGAATCTGGAGGGGAAGATGAGATGGCCGGAGATGGCAGATAGGCGGGAGGACGGACCCTTCTTGGAAGGCTTCGGACTGTCTGGCTCGTCGGAAGTAGGGGCCGTGATCTTGACGGCGGAAGAAGAGGGGCGAGAAAAGAAGGACATGTCGCCGTGGGCCATCTTGGACGACGCGGAGGACGGCGACGGTGTCGACGAAGGGCTTTCCAAGCCGTCGTCGGTGCATGCGCAGAGATCAACACAGTCAGCTACTTCATCCCAGGCGCCTGTCCCAAACCCCGCCAAAACATACGCCCACACTCGCAGGCGCCCACGCTTATCCCGTGCCGCCGGCCCCGTGTACGGCGCTCACCGCAACCTCGCCTTGCTCTCCGACGGCCATCTCCCTCTCCATGGCTAGCCTTGCCCGCGATGCCGCAGCTTTCCAGACCGCTCTCAAACGACAGGACTACGCCTCATGGCGGTCCCAGCCTCCACCTCTGCAGCCTGGCAGCTCGTCGTCTGCAGCCGACGCCGATGGTGACTCGAAAAAGAAGAAGCGGCCAAAATCAAGCACGTCTCCTCTGCTCGACTCGTCTGCCCTTGGTGTGAGCCATGGCTGACCTGTCGTCCAGATGTTGTCTACTCCCAGCCCGCAGACACCGGCACAGGCACAAATGTCAACACCCAACTCGTATACCTCGTCAACCATCTCAAGGCCACAGGCAACCCCATGCGCCTCCAGGACCTCGCTATCTTCACCAACACCCCAGTCGACACAGACAAGGTGCTCTTGGAGAAATTCAAGGCTCATGACCGAGTCATCCATGATCCCAAGACTGATCTGTATTCCTACCGGGTGCGTATCTGCCACTATTCTTGTTCCACCGCATAGAATGCTCAAGACGCGTCTTTGAGTAGCATGACTTCAACGTGCGCAACAAGGCCGCCTTGTTGACCGAGATCCAACGTCAGACCCGCAAGGGTGGCGGCTTGTCTGTGCGCACTCTCAAGGAGAGCTGGAAGGAGGCGCCACAGGCGATCGAGGAGCTCGAGAAGGAGGGTGAGGTCTATGTCACGCGGACGTTGAAGGACGGCCAGATGCGTATGGTCTTTTGGAACGAGGTCAAGCCAAATGAGGAGCAGGGCGGTATGGCCGTCGAGAAAGGTACGTCTTTCACCATGCGCCTGTGTAGGCCGCGCGAGTTTATGTCGCAACAGAGTTCCATGACCTGTGGCATGGACTCGAGGTGCCAAACGACGTCGACCTCCTCAAGGCCCTCGCATCCGAGGGTCTCCAAGCCACCGCTTCTGCCGCCCCCGTACCGAGGGCTGGTGGGCAGAAAAAGAAGGGCAAGAAGGCTGCCCCTCGACAGCGGCCGGCTCGGATTACGAATACCCATCTGAAAGGCATCGTCGACCTGTCGCGCGACTATGTTGCCCCTGGTGCGACGCCGAAGTAGGGTAGTGTTTTATCTCGGACATTACATGCGGGCATGCCTTGTACATCATGTATACTTGACTCATGGTTTGTGCAATGAAGACCAGCCCTTCGTACGGAAGTGCCGTAGGTGTCGCGTACATTGGTCTTACTGCCAGTGAGAGGAATGTTAGATTAAGGCACCAGACCCTCTCCTTGGAACCAAATGAATATGTGGATGTGGTATGGGGAGAACGTTTACGATTTCACGCAACTGGCTACGTAGCAGGCTGCGTAACCACGTATTAACGCAGTCGATTGATGGCGAAGCTCGCCAAGCTCTGTGTGTATGCAGCCACGCAGTCGTGTAACTGCGCGTCTATTGTAAGTTGTACATGGAGCGCCCTCTGGCAGGAGTTCGGCGAAGGGCATGGCTCCAGTCTATACATCCTGCAAACCCCTTGAGTAGACTCATATTGAGCGCACTGAGAACTGGATAAATGGTAGAGAATATTTGGACTATAGTCGATCTACATCGCGCAAGGAAAGACCTTTGTTGCAGGGGCCACTGAGAACCAAGAATAGGATCCTTAGCATCGCTTACCCGACTCTGCGATTACACGACTGCACGCTTGTGTTGTAAATGCGAAAGCAAACGCGCGACTGCGTGCATGCGTGGCTACGTAGCCAGTTGCGTGGAATTGTAAACTCTCTGGGTGTGGGAGCCATTGGGTACATTTTCAAGTAACAGCAGAGTCCAGACGACGAATTCTGGCAGCTTTGACCTTCCTTTCTGTTACTATGAAGCAGCCCTCGCCCGATGGTTCCCAAATCCGATATGTGCATCGTCGTAACCTATTTGGATGATGCCAGGTGCTGCCGGAGGCAAAGAATCGCAGGGGACAAGCAAGCAAGGCGTTATCTAAGCGGTGCTGTCGGGATATTACTGTATATGGAATTCCATTCGTTGTGGCGATGTGTGCTGTGGGCGGCTGTAGTTAGGTTTGCTTGACCGACAGACACGATGAGTGCCAGCGACAAGAGGCCCGGACAGCGTGCGACGGCGCGTACACCTCGCGCGAATACCGACTCGAGTAACAAGCAAGTCATATACACCCTCTTCGCATCCGCAGCCGCGGGTACTGCTGCATGGTACTACTCATTCATCCACACACCGCCTTCGTTCACCGTTCTGCCGTCTTCATACGCGCTTTGCGCAGATGCTGGGAAAATATATACGGCTGATCCGGTGAAACCCAATGTCGACTGCATTGTTGTCGACAAGCAGACCATTTTGACCACGGGCGCCTTGCGTAGGTTGCCGTTCCGCGAATGTTCGTCTTATCCAACCTAGTACTCACAAGACATACTAGTGGAGGTCCAATCCTGGTGGGACGGCTATCAGAATGAGCTCATTGCGAAATGGTACGGCAATGAGCCATCTGCGAAGAAGCCTTTGCCCGTCATCAATCTTCGACCTGGTTTAATCGTTACCCCAGGGCTCGCAGGCATGTTTAGCTCACCTTGTCACCGACATCGCGTTGGACACTGACATTCATCCCTAGATGCGCATGCCCACATATTGCAGTATGGCTTCAAAATGCAACTTCGCCTCGATCAGGCACGGTCTCTCTCCGAGCTTTTGGACACGCTGGAAGATTATGTCCGCAAGCACCCGTCCGGTCCTGATACTTGGATCGAAGCCATGGGATGGGATCATACGAAATGGTCCGACACGGATGGCTCATTTCCCACCGCAGTATGATCGATCTTCGCGTGCTCTTGGTGTTCTCTTCTGACAATTGCTACCCAGGCCGACCTCGCATCTCGCCCAACCTTGGCCGCTCTCCCAATAGCGTTGCATCGAGTCGACGTGCATGCCTTATGGATTTCTCCGCGCGCTCTCGAGCTCACCAAGGCGCACAATGGTGGTGGTCTCCCGGTGTCTGTTCCCGGGGGCGAAATTCTCCGCGACTCTGCTGGCGAGCCCACAGGCATCTTCGTCGATGCCGCACAGAGCCTCGTGCCGGTGCCCAAGTGGTCAAGACAGCAGGTACGCGAGTATGCTGACCGCGCGATCAAGGATGCACTCGCTGTCGGCTTGACAAGCATTCATGACGCTGCGACGAGTGTTGAAGAGTTCGAACTCTTCAAACAGTAAGTCCCTCGGCCTCATTGGCTTTGAGTATACTGATATCCCGTTAGATTGGATACAGAACGCAAACTTCCCGTACGCGGTGCTTGTGTCTGTGACGTGTCCGTTCTACTGATAGAGTATGGCAGATCAGAGTGTATGCCATGGCCGATTCTGACCGGCTCACTCTAAAAGAAGCGAAACAACTCGAGATATACGATACAAGCCCTACAGCCCATGTCCGTATGCGCAGCGTGAAGCTATTCACTGACGGCGCTCTGGGCTCGTGGGGAGCGGCACTACTCTCTCCCTACTCGGACAAGCCGGACGCGCATGGCATTATGCGTCATCCCGAAGAGGAGCTTTTGAAGACCGCCCGTGAATGGTGGGAAAGGGGTTGGGGTGTCGTGAGTGTTGTCTTTGTCAAACCATCATTTGGCTGAGAGCTGATGTGGATGCTACTAGAACATCCACGCTATCGGAGATCGTGCCAACAAGGTCGTCCTAGATATCTTCGAGGAGATTGGCAACGACCCGGACGACAGCGATGCTATCGCGAAGAGGAGACCCCGTATCGAACACTCCCAAATCATGCGTCCGGAAGACCTGCAGCGATCTGGGAAATTGGGAGGTGCGTTCTGTTGAAGGGACAAGGAGTGCAGCTTATCAACCTCCCGCCGAATAGTCCTGACCAGCGTGCAACCGACCCATGCGTGAGTCTTGTTGGAGTTCTGCTTCTGTGTTTGGACATGAGCTTACAGTAGCACAGAACAAGCGATATGAACTACGCAGAAGCGCGACTTGTGAGTCATGCTATTGCCGGAAAGCACGTGGGTTTATTCATTGCCAACATAGGGACCCGAGCGTATCAAGGGTGCCTACGCGTACCAGACTCTGCTGCAGGCTTCGCGGAACCATGTCCTGCCTCTCGGCTCCGACTTCCCCGTCGAAAGCATCAATCCATTGTACGGATTTTATGCCGCTGTAGCAAGATTAGACAACGAGGGCAATAGCCCTCACGGCTCTGGAGGATGGTCGGTTATCTTCCTCTCCTGCGCGCAATTCCCCGTGCTCACCCCTACACAGGTATCCTGCAGAACGCTTGACGCGAGCCCAAGCCCTCAAGGGGATGACCCTCGACGCTGCCTATGCCGCGTTTGCGGAAGAAGTTCTCGGCTCGTTGTCTGCCAGCAAACGTGCAGACTACGTCATCTTCGACAGGGACATCATGGACGAGAGCCGGCCAGTGGGCGACATTCTTGAGGCGAAGGTGGAGGCAACCATCATCGATGGTAAGGTCGTTTATGGAGGAATTTCAGGCAATAGCATCCTATAGTGTGTTCGATAATCAATAGGTACGATTGCTACACGGGACTTTCTTGCTCTTGTTGCTCTCGTTCCATCGCGCCAGACGTACACACCTCCTAACGAAGGTGATAGCACTGATCGACGCCATAAAGTTCATCAGAAGAATATTTCGCCTTAAAAAACGGCGACGTGCTCAGAAAACTCGTTTCAAAGATGAGTAGCTCTGGAAGTACCAAAGCGCACAATGCCAACTAGTGAATCTGCGAAATGTTCATGAGCAACCTGGTAATGCTTGAGCCCAGCTATGTGACCCATCGCACAAGCTAAGCACAGTATACAGTGAATGCGATTTCTCAGTGCCGTGCGATGAAACGAGGGAACATTGCATGGTGCCAATGGCTAGCCAGAATGACATTCTGATGACGATGTCGTCGATTACGCAAGACGAAGGATACGATGTCTATACAGCGGATGAGATAAAGGGTAGCCCGTGAATTAGTTTCGTGTGCCCCGCGGACGGATAGAATTGCGGAAGAGAGCACATGAAATAATTACTGCGATTGCGCGTGGCGGTGATGAAGGGACATCAAGTGAATGAACACGGTCGGGCAGAAAGGACGAGATTGACGATTCAGAATATGACCCAGGGATACAAGGTGCGCGCCCCGACAGCGACAAACAGATCAACGATACGATATGGGCAACTGATTCAGAGAAACGTGAGAGGAGAGTGGGAGTGAAGCTGGAGCGGTGAAGATCAACACAGAAATAGTACGGTCCTATGGACGGCAGAGCGTGGTACAATGGTGGTGCGGGAGAGGAACTGCTGGGGCGGCTTCATTCTACTACATATGCGATGCGACATGCGTGTGGATCATAATGGATGCGTAAGATGCGACGTTGTCCTCCTTCAGAGGGCGAGTGATTGCTGGGTGCGGCGACAGTAGCGTTGAGTGAGTAGACATAAACGTAGAGATATATGGAAAGTAAGAGACTGTAAGTTTCACGAGACAAAGACAAGAGCTGTAAAGAAACGATTATCAGGCAAGGACCCTGACTGAGACTAGCTTCACGCCGTCGCGCGCTTGACCATCTGAGACCCACAAGGATTAGATCGATATAAGATCAGATAGGGATCGACGTACCTCGCGAGCCCATCGAAGCGTCTTCTTCGTTTCGGGTGCCATGCGGCCCTTCATGCGAAGCTCGTTTGCGAGCCACTCAGCAAGAAGGAACTGCTTGATCTGGCCGTTCGGGAAGGTGTCCGCGAGATCGCCAACCAAGCCAATCGTGAGCTTGATCGTGCTCTCAGTCCTCTCGGAGTCCCCGAGACACCGTTGTACGAGCTCCAAGATAGAAGGGACATGAGGCAAGAGAAGCTCCGCCTTGGGAGTGTTCTTGAAACCAGCGACGATACCCGTGTACGCCTCAAGAATGCCCTCGCGCAGTAGGCCGACATATTCAACGAGATCGATGTCAAGCTGTGAGCCGATGAGTTACGTCACGCCCGACAGCAAGAAGACGTAGCAGTACTTACAGGGTTCGGCTGGACGGCACCGGCTTGGCGAAGTACCTCCATGGTAGTCTGCAGATACGGCTCGAAGGCAGGACCGATCGCTATTGCGAGATCGCCGAAGCACGACAGGATGGAGATCTTCACATTGCGGTTCAGGACATCGCTCTGGAGGTTCTCGAAAAGCACGCTCATGAAAGCGCTGCAATACTGAGCGGTCTGGTCGCCAAGAGCCCTCGATATGTCACCAATGATACCAACGGCAACAGTGCAGAGCTGGGTGTCCTCATGCGCCTTGAGGGCTGGGTAAAGATGAGGGAGGAAGGCGGGGATGTAGGGAGCAAAACCCTGCTCGAGAGCAGCAGAGAGAGCCCCGACGACAAGGAAAGCGTCCTCGACGAGGGTAGAAGTCTTTCCCGCTGCGTTGATTAGTTGGAGGATGAGCGTCATGATACGGTCCGCAAGAGGTTGAACGCCGTCGTTGAGCTTCCGGATTACAGCCTATGCACACCGTCAGTCTGAGCCTGACTATCATGGAGGGAATCAGGACATACGGTAATGACGCCACAGAAGTTGGTCATCAAATCGCTCCAATTGTTGCGGTCATCGACGCCCACGATTTGGTTCTGCATCGTAGTGAGACAAATAGTTCTAAGGCGACTTTAAGACTGCGCACCTGCATAGCAAGCAGTTGTTCCATTCTCATGAGAATAGTCACCGCAGTATTCTGAACCACAGGGATAGTATCGGAGGTGGCGTGGGTTACGAAGGACGTGATAGCCTCATACGCTGCAGTCCTCTGTATACCTTCATTGGTGGCACTGAATTGGCGCGATGCGATGGTAAGGTGATGAACGCAGGGATTGAACAGCTAACTCACGTCTCCGTAACGCGCAGCAGTGCCTGAACGACCCCGTCGTAGTATGGCGAGAGAGGGCTAGGGTTGGTGAACGTATCAGTCTCATCCCCCTCGATGAACCCGAGTTGGTCAGCAAGGTTCATGAGCGCCCAGCAGCAGTTCGCAATAATGCGTGCATTGTCTTGAAGACCATTGACAAGGGCGGAGACGAGTGGGTGGAGGTGCACATCAGGACGGATCGAAGAGATCAACAAGTCGCAAATACGTCCAAGCGTCCAGGCGACGGTGTCCTTCACGTGAGTGTTCTGGTCTCCCATCATGTCAATGAGGATCGGCAAGGCTTGTTGAACGAGTGGATTGAGCACTGCGGGGTCGGGCCCGTCGAGAATGGAGCCAAACACCATCACAGCTGCCTCGCGCAAGTGCCAGTCAGTCGCGCGAATGTTGGCCTCGATGAACGGAATGACAGCTGGAACGATCGTATCTTGGACGGCAGTCGAGAGATAACCAAAACAGGTCGCGGCGGCTTTGGCGACGTTCCACTCATCCTCATCGTCGTCCTCATCTTGATGAGTAAGGAGATCCAGGAGCACGGGAACAATCTCGGGAAGTGCAACCTTTGCGAAGAACTTGCTCTCGTTCTCGGGGACCTCCCCGTATTCGTTCGCCTGATATGCTGGTGAGCTGAAGGGGATGTGAAAATATCATACAAGCGTACCTCCGATGCCTCCCAAGCAAGCTCGGTCTCGAGCTCACAAACTGTAGACCAAAATTCAATGGCTTGAAGGGCGATGTTCTCTTCACTGTGCTTCATGCCCATCACAGTGAGCTGTACAATGTCCATTAGTGTCGGCATCTATGTGCGAGGTATTTTTGACACTTGCCCCAAACAACGCGCGTTCCATGTAGTAGCCCATCTTGTCGTAGTACAATGACATGATCTTCACCAAGCACTCAAACGCTCCAACCTGAACAGCCGAGTTGGGGTTCTGAGTAGCCTCGCACACAACCTGCATGATGTAGTTGCGCTCTCCCTAATTTGACTTATGAGCTTGCTCGGGTCACGCAGGGAGAATGAGGTCTTACTTCACGCTCAAAATTGTCGCGGACAAACTCTAGTGAGTTAAGCAGAGCCTGAATGGCTGCGAGTTGAACATCCTGTGATGGCTCCTCTTTACGCGCGCCGTGAATGACAGCAGTGAGGATCTCATTCGAACGCAGGGACAAGATTTCCGGTTTCTACAGGATTGTGAGGTGATATCAAATACGAAGTGTGGACAGGGACGCACGCTTTGCAAGGACTCGCAGATGAAGCCGATCGCTTGGAGGGTAGCCACCCTGAGGTTCACATTTGAGGGGTCACTCACGAAGCCCAACAAGATCCCAACGACATCCATCCACTGCCCTTGCGGCAACTCCACGGACGCGATAGCGGAGACGAACTGCGCAGCCACCGTACCAACCTTGCCGTTGGGGGAGGCGAGGGCCATGAGCGCATCCTGTTTGACCTTGTTCTTCGTGTTCTCGTCAAGAGCAAGCCAGCGGTTGGCGTACTCGGCTTGCCGCGCGATTTCCTGTTTACAAAAGAGAAATAAGGATGTGGCGCCCGTGCAGCGAGCGAATTATGGAGTAACGCACTCGTGCCGATAGGGTATTTTTGAGGGCAAGGCCAGCAGCATTCCGAACGTGGACAGGTGAAGACTCGTTGACGAGCTCAGAGGAGAGCATCAGCATGTACGCCGGCTGGATGACGGGTATGGTTAGTGGTCTGGCGCGGATGTAGCGGGAATGGGACGGGGTTCACATAGTTCTCTCTAGATGCGCTCTCGAGCTTTTGGGTCGCATCTTCACGCGTGTGTGCATCTGGAGGTATAGTAGAGGATTGCTGTGAGCACACGAAATCAAGGAGGACGCGCCGTCTGGAGCGCGGCACCGGGATGGAAAGAAAATGGACGCACCGGCGGAGAGGGTATTTGCGAGTAGCTCAGTGGCATTCATGATCGTGGCCGAAAGTATTGTCAGTTTTTTCGGGTGTGGAGATGGACGTTGTACGAGCAGAAGAGAGTGGTGGTTGTCGTCGTAGATTGGGACGGGAGTGGCGGATGGGGGCAGAATCCAAGGAGGGCAGGAGCAGGGTCGAGGGAACGCTTTCCGTTTCGGCCCCGGCGTTTCTTTGCCATCCGCCTCGCGTCCGCCAGTCTCCCTTGTCTTTTGTCTCGACCACACTCATCAGCACCGCGAGCTGGCCATAGCAACTTCTGCGTATCTAACGGACTGTCAACGCTGGTCTTTGCTCAAGGCGATCCTGCTACTGTTCTGAACCACTCAGAACCACATACGTGCCCTTATGTCTGACAGAGTATGTTCCTTCACTTTCGTCCTCTGCTCACCAATGACCTCGAGTGCTGAAGGGTCGTGGTGGTAGCAGAGGAGGATTCCGAGGTGCTGCCGCCGCCTCAAGGGGCGGTAGAAATGGCCCGTACGTCCTCATCGTCGCATTGTTCTCGTTGCGTGTACAATCTAACCGCTTGTCCACATGCTAGTCCTCAGCCTACCATGGATAAACCGAAGCGTGAGGCCATCTTAGACCTCGCTAAATACGTGAACGAACGCATTCGGGTCAAGTTCACTGGCGGACGGGAAGGTCAGGCGATCCTGCGCCAGCTATCTGTGGCTTTGACTTGACGTTATTTGTCAAACTAGTGACCGGAGTGCTCAAGGGCTATGACCAGCTACTCAACCTCGTGCTTGATGAAGTACAAGAAAATTTGCAAGGCCGTGAGTGTGTCTCGAAGACGTAACATCGCGACGCGCGCTCATTAGCCACCTTAGTCCCTGAGGGCCAACCGACGACACGCAATCTAGGTCTCGTTGTCCTCAGAGGCCCAACGATCACGCTCTTGAGTCCTGTAGACGGCTATGAAGAAATCGCGAACCTAACGTGGAATTTGCGATTGACGACGGATGGAGTTCATGCGCATAATCGAACTGAGAGGGAGGTATTCATGTTGAGACTTGCATTGCGACCGATTCGAGATTAGTGTTGCCGCCAAGCCAGCTAAGCTAAGCTAAGCTGACGAGCTGGATCGCGCTGGATCACCAAGCCGGAGCAAGCTAAGCCGAGATCCGGCTAGCTGGGCGCCAACTCCCTGGCCAGGCCCCAGCCACAGCTTGACTTGCAAGCTCACATTCCAGATATGGCAAGACATTGCATGCGCCGACAGCGAACTGGGCATCATCGTTCCTAGTGTAGTAACAACATGGTATACATGCACAGAACATAACACCATGTATGCATAAGTTCAACATATCTCCCTGAGGAGGTGTGAGCTGCCAAAAAATGTCTGAAGGCCACAACGGAATCACTGAGTATGCATGTCAGAAATAGTCAACACCAGTAATCCAGTGTGAACCTGTAGGCTTATCTATTCGACTAAATAGAGCGACACATTGTTCAACAGTTCAGTAACTGTGTTGGATTACCTTGAAGACTGCATATGTGATGTGGTTCGAACACAGCTGCTAAAGCCATTAAGACAGAAAGCAGGATACACGAGAGTCTATAATCTTGCTCGCCAGCAGCATTGTAGCGCACATTCCCAGGCTGTTCTGTGCCGAGGGTGACTGCTGCCTTTGATATTATGAGGATTACCGCTGTGCTCAAGGCATGACTCGTGAGGAGTCAACACATCCATCCAGGAATTACCAGGCCATACCATGGCAGCCACGCATCTCGAAGTAATTGAAGTCGCGGCTGTCCCGGGACCTCCCGGTCCTACGAGATACCAACTTTGGTAATTATGACATCATCAATGGAGCTAGCCCGCGAGCTGGCTTGAAAACGAGCTGACGATCAGCTCGTTTCTAGGCGTTTCGGCTTAGCTTAGCTTCTTGCAACAAGCTGGGCGTCTAGTTGACAAGCTGAGCTAGCTGGATAAGCCGGCCCGGCTTGGCGGCAACACTAGATTCGAGATAGACCATCCACTAGAAATACACCAGTCACGAAGCAGGGTCATAACGTTGCGGTGTGAAGCATGAGGCTATTCGCATCACTCCTGAGCCACGAACGGCTTTCCAAGAGTTATTCATGAATCCTGGGACATACTACTACTACTACTACTCAACTACGACTCAAACTATATAGACTGGAGCCCGCGGAAACAACCGGTTTCCGGGACGCTGGTTCGATGCGGATCGATATCTCCGGCGGGTGATTATTGAACACCCTTCCTGGTGGGCTGTAACAAGCTGGACGGCCTCCAATCGTCCCCATTGAGTCGTTTCCCCTTGATATATTGAGATCAGATCAGAGTCTGAGGTATAGTATGCGTGTCGTGGTATGTACATGGTGTCAGGATGGCAGACGATATATACAGGACCTTCCTAGAACTATGTGCGGTTGCCAGAGACTGCGGGTAACTACTAGCGAGACGGACAAGCTGGAGTGATATGAACGGAAGGATGAGACAAAGAGAGGGGGCGTCGATGGATTAAAACACCGTGTACCAAGCCAGGTTGACAAAGGGACGAGCATATGCGCGAAAAAGACTGCCGAAGAGACGTGGAAGGGCCACTCAGAATAAGCACCCATAAGTACACCGAGAATGAACGACTTGGACTTAGCTAACTAGCTGCGGTAATCTGCCAGTAGGCATTATCGGGCGTAGGGCCGGTGTGCTCCGCGAAGACAAATTACTCGTCTTCGATCGAGGGGTCATACGTACGCTGCACTCTCTAGGCCCGCTTTACTGACACGGCGCATCGGCTGGAGGGTGGCTTCGTCGACAGGTGCGCGTCGTGCGTGGCGATAGCGTCCTGCCGCATCCTTGATCTCCACCTCCTGTGCAGCGTCTCCGATCTGTGCAGCGTCCAGGACCGGAGGTCCGCTGACACCTGCGAAGGAGTGAGGCAAAGAGAAGAGGGGTGGCAGACTCTCCCGAATGTGCTGCGGGCGACGCCCGCCCAATGCGACCTGGTAGTTTGTCCCACCGCCCGGGCCACTAGCGCCGTCTCCTTCGGCAGCTGCACCCTCACCCTCCCCACCGGACATCTTGACCACACCAATGGACTTCCCGCCGAGCTCCTGTTCCTCGAAGGTCATGAGTTCTGACACGAAGCCGATATTGGGTGATATGCCCTTGCGGCGCTCAAGCACAAAGGAGTACGCCCGTCCAAGCGTCCAGTGATTGGCATGGATAAGATACGCCATGACAGCGGTGACTGAACGCGACTTGCCCGCTTTGCAATGGACGTAGGTAGGGGAGGAATGAAGCCGCGCGTCATCTGCATGACATAAAGCGTCAGAACTATGGAGAGAGGGGGGGATCTGCGTAAGACCATTACTGACCGAGATGCTCGCACACATCACGAACACCACGCGTGATGTTATCCTCTTCAACCGTATCGCGCATCGGTATGCGAATGTATCGTTCAAAGCGCTCACGTAGGCGCAAGCCATGATCGTCGTCACATTCTGCTGCGATATTCAAGATACGCTTCACGCCTAGCGAGAGCAGCTCTTCGACATGCTCCTCAGTTGTCACCTCAGGGCCAAGGAAGAGGAAGTTTGGGAGGATGGTGGAGACACTAAAGACGGGGAATGGCTCTTCCGTGGTGGGAGGTTGTGATGATTCTGGGCGAGCGGTGGAGGGAGATCGTGATATGGGTGTTGATGGGGAGTGCAGCATGCGAGGCGTGCTTGGCTGACCCCATGAGGGTGATGGCGGCGGCAGGAATTCTGAAGAGTGATTTGGGGACACGGAGAGAAGCCGTGCGGATCCTGGCGGTGAAAGTGGAGGTAGGTCGAGGCGGAGGTGAGAGGGTGAGCGGGACCTCGAGCGGAGGCCATTCCCCGTTGGAGGTGCTGCGAGTGTGGCAGACTTGTGCGGCATCTGCAGCTTAGGGAGGTTGGCATTCAGACGCTCTGCAGACTTGGTGTCCAATTTGCGTAAGGTGGGAACGCTTGGGCGACGAGGGGGTGGCGGTCGCGAGAAGCTGAGCTGAGATGGCGCGGGGGATGGTGCAGTGTGGTCAGATGCATCATGCCAGGGGGTGATGGCTGCAGGCATCATAGGTTTTGGAGACACGGCGGATCGCTCGAGCTCGGGAAGATCGCGGGGACGAGTTGTGACTGAGATGTCCAGGTGGAAAAGACCGCCGCCAAGTTTACCATTGGCTTTCTGCGTTTTGGTGGACTGACGCTCCTCCTTGGTGCTGTCGGAGACTATGCGCTGCCTGAGGTACGGATGGCGCTGCGCGGTAGAGAAGCCACCCTGGAGGTAGTCGATCGTACCGTGCTCCAACAAAGGTTCTACCAAGCTGAGCAGGACCCACGCGGTAGCTTGTGGGTTTGTCCTGTCACGATCGTCCATGCGGTCGTCGTATACAATGACATCGCCATCCCAGTCACCGCTGCTCATGACTCCATCCCACAGTTGCTTGCCCTCGTCGGTCGTGATCCACTGGCGAAGAGCAGAGATGTCATGGAGGGCGCCATTAGGCTTCTTTGAACGTTTGAGAATGAGGGAGGGGATCGTGGGGATATTCACGCTGTGTTCGATACGGTTCGCCAGGTAGGCAGTCGTGGGACGGGTATCTATGAGTATCGGGCGCGTCGGGGAGGAGAGACGTGCAACGAGGAGGGCGGCGTCGATGCCATGATATGTTGACGAATCGGAAGACGAAGATCTCCAGTCGTCGGAATCGGCGTAGAGGGCGGAGGTAGGAGTATAGTAGACACTTGCCGGGCTCGCACTGGAGCTGGGGCTGGGTGATCGAGTATCCTTGACATCTTGCCAGGAAGAGCTGAAGGGAGAGGCGTCCTGGTTCTGAACGCGCAGACTGGAGTTGGAAGAACGTATGGGCCGTAGCTTCAAGTTCTTCTGTACGCTCCTCCGGAGCTTCTCGAGTATAGCGAGGTCCTTGGAGATGTCATCCGAGTTGGGGTCGGAGTCTTCCTCAAGTGTAGACTGATACTCTGTGGGAGAGTCAGAGGACTCGGTGGAAGGAGAGGAGAGTTGAAGGAGATCGTCCTCGTCTATCTGGTCGACCGGAGTCGCGAGCTCAATGATAGTATTGGACTGGGCGGGGTGCTTCTCGGCGTTTGTCTGTAAGCGAAGATTTGGCGGGCGGCCCTTAGAGGGAGGCATGCCTGCGGTGCAGAGAGGCTGGGAATGCTCTGCACGGCGAGAGGTAGGGTAGAGAACGGGGAGAGGGCTGGCGAGGACGGAGTCGGTGGAACTGGAGGGGCACTGGCAATTGATGCGACTGCGACCGACGCCCGAGGCAAGGCACAGCACTTTCCCTGGGACATTTGCGCAGACAAGTCCCCAGGAAGGGAAGGATAAGTCTGAATAGGGTCGGATAACGCCCTCCGAAAATGGCGCGGGCGCAGCCATTAGCGCACACACACCCTCACCGCGTTCCTTCCTCTTCGCCCTTTCAGTCTCGTTGCAGAAAAAAAGCGTTCCCGCCGACGTCTGCTCCGCTCACCATGTACAAGTCCTCCAACTTCCGCTCGGCGCAGCCCCAATCAGACTCGCCCTCAGACAGGTACCGTGCACAAGCAAAACAGCTCCAGGAAGCCTTTCCTTCATGGTCATACGACGGTACGTCACTTCTATACCTCATCATCTCCCATCGCTCATCTGGCCTTCTTAGATCTCCAGTCGCTTTTAGCTGAGGTTAGTGGAGATGTTGAGCTTGCGTCCACCAGGATCATCGAGGGTGCGTCTCCTTCCACGCGTCTCCTCTCGTCTGACGCCCACCTCATTCACCCTCGTCCAGGCCATGCGGTGCAGTGGGGCTCTGTGACTCGCAAGAAGGACAAAAAGCCCTCGTCAACCTCCTCCTACTCCAAGGAACCTGCTGGCAGAGAACGAGGCGAATTCCGTGGTGGTCGGGGTGGTCGTGCTGCTAGGGGCGGTCCCCGCGGCGGCGCCGCTCGGGGCGCAGGTGCGCGCGGTGCTCACCATGAGGTCAATGGTCATCGTGCCAAGGCCCCCGTCTCTGGCCAGAACCCCAAGGATGCAGCAGCTGCTGAACCTGCCAATCCCGTTCCTGTCAACGGAGACGCCACCGAGGCTGATCCTGAAGCGTCTGCATGGTCCTCCAGCACCCCTGCCACTTGGGGAGGCGATACTGCAGCCATCAACGGTACTGCACCAAGTGCTGCAGCTCCTCCTGCCGCGCACTCTATTGCCGTGCCTGCGCCCGCTCAAGCGCCTACACACAACACAGCGAAGGTAGTGAGCACTCCAGCCACATCGAAGCTTTCATGGGCGCAAATCGCACGGTAGGTTTCGCGGTCACTTCAACGTTGAGACACTGATGCCATATGCCGTCTCTAGGAAACAAGAGAAACCGACACCCCCCGCACCTGCTCCCCAGCCTGCGCCTGTCTCTGTTCCCAGTCCCCCTCCTGCGCCTGTGCAACAACCTGAGCCCACGCCTCCGCCAGAGGTCGAAGACCCTGTCGCTACCTCCACGGGATGGGAGGAGCCTACAACAGTACAGGCACCGACATGGGATGACGAGCCTCGTCCCGCACGGCAAGCCGAGTCTGTCTCCGCTCCTGCTGCTCCAGAGGAGGCCAAGCCTGCCCAGCCCGAGGCTATCTCCGAAGAGGAACCGGTGCCAGATCGTGTGTCTGCTGCAATTTCCCCGGGTGTCGTGCAACCTCCTGCGCCTGAATCGCCGGCTGCTCTCCCTCCCAAACCCCTCACTCCTTCCGTATCGACTAGGCCCACGCCTGCCCCGCACAGGGCGAATCCGAAATTCAAGACGACGGACCAGCCCGTTGTCCTCCCTGCCAGTTTCGGTTCGGGTGTTGAGAAGATCGGCATGCAGTTCGGAAGCTTAAGCCTTGGTGGTGAAGACTTCGATGCCCCCGCGTACGTCCCCACTCGTGCTTCATATTTGAAACTACTCACGGTGTAGATACAGACAGGAACCATCTCCGGCGGAGCAGAAGGCTCCTCAACCTGTTGCCCCCGAACCTGCACCCGCTCCCGTCGTGCAACCGCAGGAACCTGCTGCACCAATCACCTCGCCGCCATCGCAGACATCTCTTCCCTCCGCTCCCCTTTTCCAGTCGTCCATCTCCCAGCCATCGCAACAGTCTTCTCAGCCTCAGCAGGTATCACAGCTGCCTGCTGTATCCCAGCAGACGCAGCAATCCACTCTTCCCCCCTCCCTCACTCAGCCTTCCCTGACGACCCCCTCTTCGCTGCCTTCGAGCTCCGCCAACTCCGCCATTTCGCCCTACTCCCAGCAATCACAGCCTTCGCTTGCTAGTCACCAGACGCATCAGACACAAAGCCAAGCTCACCACTCATTCGGTCAGCACGTCTTGCCGACTCACCTTGATCAGGTCCAGTCTCAGCAGCAACACACTGCTCCGGCCCCTTCGCAGCAGCAGCAGCAACAGCCTACGGCCGTTGGACAGGGCCAGAACATTGGAGGACCCTCTTCGTACTTCCGTCAACCTGAAGCTCCGTACTTCCACTCCCCCACGCCTCCTGCTGGTCAGAGTCAGGACAGCCCATATGGCGCGTTCGGTCAGCTTGGTCAGCATCAAGGCCAAGGCTCCCATCTCGGCAACTTCGGTGGTGCCGATTATGGATACGGCGAGTCTCAGCGAAACTTCTACGACTCGTATTCTGGTCCTACGGGCTTTGGCAACCGGAGTGCCCTTGGGCACGACGATCTCGGCAAGACGCTGCCCGGCTCCCAGCAGCCTCACGCCGCACCCGGTCTTCCTCCCGCCAATGCCCAGAACTCGCAGCAGCACCCTGGTGCACCCTCGTCCCAGACGAGCTCGCAGGGACAGCCGAATGCTAGCCAGGGCCCGCAGCAGGGCTACCCGCCTCCGCTCCCTTACTACTACCCGCCGTACCCTCAAAGCCAGTACTACGGCTCGCCGTACAACTCTGGCTACACTGTCCCCCAACCATTCGTCAAGTACCCGACTGTCTTCCAGGGCCCCCCTGGACCTCAGTCTGCACCCAGCCCTGCTGCGAAGCAAGTGCAGGGCCCCAATTCTGTCCAGCCTCAGAGCCCCTATGGCCAGAGCCTGTACGGCCAACACCAGCAGCATCCCAGCAGCGCGTACGACGACATCGGCGGCTACCAGCCTCACCACGCCCAGCACCAGCACTCGGTCGGTCAGAACGTGAACGTCACCTCTGGGTTGCCGTCGAGCGAGTACGGCAAGCATCAGAGCCTGTACGGCTCTACCACGCAGGGCATGCAGGGCTTCATGGGTCTCGGCCAGTCCTCTGCGCCTTCGAGCGGTCCCCCAGGTGCGCTCGGCCAGCGCGCTGCCGCGGGCTCTCCCGAAAACGCGTACAAGCCGTACGGCGGTAACGTCGGTGTGAAGGATGTTGCTGGCGGCGTCGGCGTCGGTCAGGGCGGTGTCGGACAGGGCCCGCAGGGCGGACGGGGCGTCCAGCAGCCTGGCCAGGGCAGCTTTTACGCGCAGAGGTACGCCGCTAGCCAGGCCGCGGTCCCGCAGGGCCAGCAAGGCCAGCAGCCTCAGAGCCAAGGCCCCCAGGGCCATCTGGGCTACCCACAGGGCGGCTCGGACGGCAGCACGTTCTACTCGTACCAGCCTAGGCAGCAGCAGGGCTACTGGCAGTGAACGGCGCGTTTAATGCTGAATAGTCGCTGGTGGCGATAGTGTGGACGCTGGATACGGTGGTCGCTGCGTAGCCTACGGATGCTCTCGGGCTTGTTCCTCAAGTTTTCGCACTTGTCGCTTCCCTCTACCCTACCCCCTACCCCCGTGCCTCTCTCCTTCGTGTCCATTGTTTCATCTGTCTGTTCATGTTCATGTGCGTGCAGTTGTGCTAGTCATGTCTCTCGTCTCTTGTCACTGTCTCGTGTGCCTCACGTCTCTCTCTGTCTAGTCACTCTCATCTCAGTTTCTTTCTCCGAGTCCCTCGCTACTGCTAGTACCGTGTACATTTACGATCTAGTCGGCCCCGCCCAATTCTCAGCTCCCAACAATGATTCGGAAGCCGATGACTACGCCGCGTGAACCACATCTCTGCATTCGTGTGAGCTGGCCGTAGGACAGAGCCATAAGCTTGTCAGTCAAGGTCCAGAACGGCTTATGCCCTGTATGCGCGTACCCATGACGTCCGAGATTCCACTCGTAGCGAGGTGGACCACACTCCGTGTAGGCGACGCTGGTCTCCGGGTACATTGCGGTGACAATCGGGACGACGCCGCTGAGCTCTTGCACCAGTCTTTGCATCGCCTCGTAAGTCGGGAGCTGGAACCTCCCCTCGTAGTCCTCCACGATCGACGCGGTGTCCAGGCGAGACGACCTTTCTGAATGCCCGTTGATGACGAACAGCTGGAGCGCAAGCCGGAGCTCGCGATTCTCGGGGGGCCGTCAAGTCCGGAAGATCCCCGTCCCGCTGCGGGTGACGCATACGATCTACATAAGTACAGCCGTAGGATCTAGGCGAGATCCCTCGAGCGATGCGTTCTTCAGAGCGGTGATGACGTCCTTCAGAGCGTTGATGAGAGCCACAGCCTGTTTCGATGGCTCCGGTGTCGGCTCAGGCAGCGGCCCTGTGACGTCGTGGCTACGGTGGCCGTGTTCGGGCTCGTCGTCCGCCTGCGCCTCGCCGTCCGCCGGAGGCTGGTCATGAGCGGGAGGCTCGCTGGCGTCGGGCTCTGGCAAACGCGATTGTGGTGATCCCGGCGGAGCGTCCTGGAAACGGACAGGGATGGTTCTATGCGGGGGAGAACCACCACGGCTCGTCGGCCAATGTCGCAGGACGAAGCATGAAGAGAGGCCCCTTGCAATCGAGAACCGCACGCTCGCAGAGTGCAAGACTGCGTAGCATGCGCACATGAACCCGGCTGACGCATCGCAGATTGACGGCTTTACCACTGCGCTTCCGACGATCATGCGCCGGGCTAGTACGGCGCATATATGTATGTACATGCACCGTACAAGCTCGGCGCATATTATAGTCAGCGCGTTCGAGTTACCGCTACTCCCGTGTGTGTAAGTTGTGACACCTACCTCGGGCGACTCCTGCGCGTCTTCGCCCGAGTCGTATAGAGGCAGGGCATTGGATCCAAGTGCCCCCTGTAGAAGACGGGCCCCCGCCCTCACGCGGCGCCTGCTAGACGGATACGAGAGTCGGATGAGATGAGGAGATCAACGAGTTGTAAGGGCACCTACGTTTTCTTGCGTGCGTCGGCGCTGTCTCCTACGTCCCTTCGCGGACGGTTGGCCTGTCGTCTTCACGGAGCCACTGGCCGCGAGCGCGTGCCCTGACGGAGTGGTTCGTGCCGGGTCGAGGCGTGGCCGTCGTATGTTTTCCGCGAGACCTCCCGCCGCTGGCCTCTGCAGTGCTGCAGGCAATGGCAGTAGAATGGTCCTTTAGTGGAGTTGCGTGTAGGTGGCATTGCGAGGTTTTTGCGGGTCCAGTGATGATAAAATGGGGACGACCAGAGGGGTTGCCCAGCTTGCGATTTGGGGGGGGGGGATTGACCGCGCGCACAGAGAGCTTGCACGGCTTGCACGGCTTGCAGAAAAAAGACGTGTGCTGTTTCGACGACACAAAGAAATGTATTACATAGTAGGTAGAGACATGTGAGGACACGACAGAGACAAATCGACGTCACCGTCTCAGGACGTGCACGTCCGATCCGGCCACCGCAATGACAGTGAAAGACATGAATTGAGCGCTTGAAGTGGCCCGCCCAGTCCGAAAGCACGCCGCGTGAAGCACACCTCGTGTGCTGTGTGAGCTGGCCGTAGGACAGTTCTGTAAGCTCGTGAGCCGATGTCCAGGATGTCCAGAACGGCTTGCGCTGCGGATGCACGTACCCCTTGACGCGGACCAAGGCCGAGAGTCGACAACGTTGGCGGTTTGAGGAATGGCTCCTTTTGGCAAGCCGACTCTGTCCAAGCGACGCGCTAGTGCTCGTAGCGAGGTCGATGCCGGCAGCGTTAACGTGGCTTGCAATCGCACTGCGACCATTGCTGCCCGCTACCCTCATGTGAACAGGTCGGTTGGAAATGGCGAACGATGTGAGCATATCCGTGGGCGCGTGCAGGCACGCTCGCTGATCTCGTCTGGTAGGCGAACGTCGTTGGACTGCAAGACGTGGGCGATCCTGAGGCTGCGAACGCGGTGCCCCGATCGAGTTCTTCCAGCGCGGAAGCTTCGACTCGGGCTGCCCCGGCGTGGACGAGAGGTGCGCTGATGTTTCTTTGGCGCTCGTCGCACGCATGGAGAGCTCCATACTGAACTGTGTCTGCGCGATCCCTGACGCGAACGGAACGCAGACGGGGTGCTGCAGCTGGACACCGCCGTCAAGTGGAAAGGCGGCCGGAAGAAGACGGTGAGCTCTATGGAGTGCGCCCAGGCTTCATACGGCCCATGGGATCTGACGACGGGTTTGGCCCACCAGCACCGCGTGGCGGGCAGGCGCGGCCGTCCGCCAAAGGATCCGCGCAAGTCGGAAGAGGAGGGCCTCTAGTCCGGGAGAGGTGGCTCGACGTTCGGCCAGGCTCAGGGTCGAATGAACTCAGGAACCCGCGAGCGACTTGGAGATGAAGGCGCGTGGCGAACGGTCGTGGAGCGGAACGTCAGGCGACGACCGTTCGGTGTCTGAAGGTGCAGGATCGGTGATCTTTAGGCGCAGTGACTTGGCTCGCGAAAAGTGTTGTGCTACCAGCTTCATGAAGCCGAGGCTAGCGGCGAATATTTCTGAGGTAGACCACACGTTTTAATGTACATGATGCTTTTCGCAATGGATTGCGGGTGAACATCGTTCGTAGGAGCGACCATATCGGGTTCGGACTTGATACCCAGGAGACCAAGCACATGGTGCAAGAGGTCTGGTGGCGGGCGTTCTGTGAACAAGGTACAGACAAATGCTACTTCTTGGGAAAGAAGGACGTAATCTTGGCTGAAGACGTTTGCGGGTCCGCCACTTTGGGCTTCTGGTTCTAGACAGACAGTAAGGGAGCGGTGAAGAAAGGTAGTCAGGGGAGCTCGTTACCTTTGCTGGACTCTGGCGGGCACGTTTTGGGGTGGACGCGGACGACGGCAGGTCAGAGTCCGTTCTGGGATCGTGGACGTACTCGATCTCCGAGTCGTCCTCCCACGTGTTCAGCTTCTCCGCCTTGGCCTTCTTGCTTGCGGCTGCGACTGTCTGCTGCACGTCACTCGGCGATCGACTCCGCTTGGGCGCGCTTGGGCGGGAAGGCGTCGACGGTTCCTTTCGAAGCTGCTTGGCGAACATGGCCTCGATCCCGTCCTTGCGGGCGGCGATCGGCTGCACAAAGGTGGGCGAGTCGTTCCCGATCTTGCCCACTTCCTTGGGCACTGCGTAGCTGTCGTCACCAGCGGTGGTCAGCGTCGGACTTGTCGGCCCTCTCCACCGACGTCGGGGCGACTGACCATAGGAGGGGATGCTCTGCAGACGAGTACGGCGCACAGAGCCTGCTCAGCTCGCCCGTCCACCTGCCCCCCGACGTGTCCAGCCAGACGGACAGCGCGTGTTCGTCCGCCAGGATCACAGGCTGCCGCTCGTGCAGCCACCTCAACTCCTTGCTTGCCCCCGTCGTCACGATCGCGAACGTCCACAACGGCTCCGTGCTTCCTGTTCGTACTCACGTCAGCCTCTACGTCCCATCTGCACCGACGGCCCATACCTTCCAGCGTCACGCAATCCCACAGGCCAGCCAGCAGCATCAGCCTGTCCTCCTTTGCCTTCGTCAGATGCGGCAGCCGCTCCTTTCCCTTCTTCAGCCACTCGTAATATCTGCACATCGTGTCAGCTCGCACACACACAGAGCAGCATCTCCAGCCCACCCTTGGCACACCACCGCACACCGCTTCTTCCCCTTGATGCTCGCCCACATCCCTCGCCCCTCTCCCATCAGCGCCTCGCACCGCGCGTTGATCGTCTTCAGCGACCCGTCCTCGTGCTTGCTATAGTGCGGCACCAGCCCCCACCGCATCGTCTGCATCACCACCTGCACGGGCTCAGTCTCTCCCGCTGTTGCAACGGCTCCCGCATCCGTCTCCTTCCCTTCCAACGACGGCATGCGGCGTGCAGACGAGCTGCTCGCTGTGCCCTGTCCCGCGTCGTCCGCCCGCCTGATCACAGGTGCTTGCGACCGAGGTGCCACATTGTACCTGTATGTCCACGCTTATCCGAACACAATCCACTTCGAGCCATCAAACGCCTCACCTCGGTACGAATTGGTCCCGACCGACCCATTCCCCGACCTGGACATTGTAGCCGTGCATCTGCTGGATTTCATCGTGCTGCCCGCAGACGTCACGTCAGTCGCGACTCGGGGATATGCACCGCGCGTCCTTACAGGAATACCGAGCGCGAACCGTCCGCACATGATGGCGGTCCGCTGTCCCGTAGCGCCTCTTGAAACAACGAATGCTAGAATGTGCCCGGGAGACGTCAATTCTGTTTGTTAGACAATACGCCCGGCACAACGACAAGAACACCGCTGGGATGCAGAAGTTATGTGACCGAGCGGGTTCGCGTGCGAAACAGCGCAACAGACACTGTGTGGCGGTGCCCTGACATCACAGTATCCCACATCCGGCCCGCGACGACAGTCGTCTACAACGGTACAACAACCGCAAATCTCAACGTCCCTACTTACCTCAGAATGATGAACAGCGACAGGCACACTGACCGGACGCGCAGGGTCGACCACTCTTGTATTGTTCGGTATCCGCTCGTCTATTCGACAGCCGGGTAGTACATAGTCGATGCTCGAATAACAATACATTTGAGTCGCGTCAACAAGATGTTTCACCCCTCTTCTCTTCCACTTGACTCGTTGGCGTTAGATCAATTGAAGGTGAAGCAACGGACAGCACGAGGAGCTACGCGACGGCAGGGGACTGCTGCCGCCGCAGCGGCGACGCGCGCCCGGACGGCGGCCGGCTGTCGTCGTAGTCGCTCCCCTCCGCCATTAGCTCCGCGTGGCCCATCTTCGCGAGCTTCTTGTCGAAGATCCGGTGCCGGTACCCGCTCACGATCCGCTCGAGCAGCTCCGACGTCGACACGCCCGGCGTGCGGCGCGTCGGGAGGAACTTGCCTGCAGCGATGGTGAGATGGATGGGATGCACGGCGGGAGAGGGGGGGGGCGCACCTTGGTTCTTGACGAACGCGTAGACGTCGTCGTGGTTGCCGGACACGTACGGGTCCTCGTCGTGCGCGACGTAGTCGATTTGGTACTTCCGTGATGTCAGCAACGAGGGGTCGGGGCACAGAGCGGAGGTACCTTGTCCAGGAAGCTCTGGTCGATGACCCACGGCGCGTCCGGGATCACCTCGTCCACCCATCGACAATGCCGCACCGACTCGCACCTTGCGACCCGACCACACGCCGTGTTAGTCCACGCGGCTCGACCGGAGAACGCGCGCACGCACCTCTCGCCATGCCGCATGATCGGGACGTTCTTGTGCTCCATGCACTGCTCGTCCGAGTTCACCCCCACGAGCAGATGCACGCCCGACACCGCGCCCGCGCCCGCGCCCGCGCGCGGGGGAACGCGAGCTTCGCCTGCCGCAGCTGCAGCGCGTGCCCGAAGTGGAAGAGGTCGTACACCCCGTCCGCGTAGATGCGCACGGCGCGGTCCGCCGGCGGCGCGTTGATGCGGTACTGGCGCTGCGAGCCGTGCGGATCCGTCCCCGCGATGCACGCCCGCGCGTACTCCTGGATGTCCGCTGGGGTGAGGTTCGCCGGGTTGAAGGCCTGCACCGAGATCGGCGCGGGGGCGGGCTCGGTGGGGGCGAGCGTGAGCGCGAGCGCGGGCGCGGGCGCTGCTGGGGGGTCCTGCGCGTTGGGTTCCGCTGAGGCCGTCGCGGGGGCGACCGCGGGCCCTGCGGGTGCGTGGGCCTCCTCGCCGGCCGTCTCGGGCGGGTCGTCGCTCTCGGGCAGGACGGAGGAGGAGAGGAGGGGCGAGGTGAGGGTGGACGCGATGCTGGACGCGTACCGGGGGGTCTCGCGGCCGAGGAGCCCGCCGCGCGTGGTGATGATGCTCTCGACGTCGCCGTCGTAGGTGGGGGAGTCGACCCCGCCGTCGTCGGACGACACGACGGCCGCGGCGAGGGCGTGGCGCGGGCGCAGGCCGAGGCCGCGTGCGCTCAGGCCGTTGCGCGAGGAGGACGGCCCGGGGGGCGCGCGGCGGGCGGGGCGGAGACGTGCACGGAGATGGCGGAGGCGCCGTCGTCGGTGAGCGGGTCGTTGTCTTCCTCGGAGGCGTCGTAGGCGGGCGAGTCGAGCACGGGGCGGTTGTGGGCGAGGGAGTGTTTTGTGCCGAAGGATCGTTTGGAGTGCAGGACTTTGCGGGTGCCGGAGGCTGCTGTGGCGGGGCTGGCACCGACTAGAGCTGCGGTAGCTGCAGCTGCAGCGGCGGTGGGAGGGGTTGGGCTGGAGCTGGTAGCAGCCGAGACCTCCATTTGTCGAGGGATCTACTTGCGATGACTCGAAGAAAAATGGAGATGAAGACGAACGATGTAGGCTGTAGGCTTCGGGGAGGATAGCACAGAAGAGATGGTGGATACAGAGGGATAGTTACGGCGGGTAGGAGAGGATGGAGAGGAGGAGTAGCGGGGCGGATGGATCTGACGGGCGGGAGTCCGGTGTGTTACGCTGGCTTGGCTCGCGCCGGCTCCATCGACAGCGCAAAGCACGGGCAGCCCATCCTGCGCGATCGCGGAATTTTTTGGGCACGAACGTTCATCCTCACCATCACCTCTCTACATACCCTCGGTACATATCTGATCGACTGTGCGTCCTTGCGGATCCAATATTGCGCATGCAGAGCGCTTGTCCGTGATATTGTGCGCGCGACATGCACACTTGGCTCACGCTCGTCATGGAGCATCCCCTGCGCTCCTCACGCGGGCGGATGGCGTCGAGGGCCTCCTGCCCGTCCGCACGGTCCGTTCCTGATCGCCATCTCAGCGCCCTCGTCCCAGCCTCGTCGGAGTAGTCGGAGTATGTCGGAGTAGGGGTCGCCACGGCGTCTAGATTACAGCGGAGAACGAACGCGTTCCCGCTTCGCCGCCGCCGGACAGTTGCAGCACTCGACGTTTACACTACGGTCTTGACTTCAGTCTCGCCCTGCTGCCCCATACTCCTCTCTGCTTTACATGGACGCGAGCGCAAAGAAGATACTCGAGACTGTTGCTACCAAGACTCTTCACGCACATGGATTCTCAAAGTCATCCACACACGCCAACCTCGTACTCGCCGACGTTACTTCCCGCTACCTCGCCTTCCTCGCCCAGACCGTGGCCAAGTACGCAGAACATGCAGGCCGCCATCACATATCCGTTTGCGATGCAGTCGAGGCCATAGACGAGCTGGGAACGAGCGTCGATGAGTTGAAAGACTACTGTGCGACAGAGGGCAAGGATATGGCGCGTTACGCGACCCATTCCGCCAAGCGGCTCGAGGATCTTGCTGAACTCAAGGGTGCGTCGTGTACCCTTCGTACTACTAGCTCATTCTCTAAACTGTTGGCGCGAGCAGCGCAACTTGCTGTCGGACTCAGCCACGACGAAGATGATCTCATCCCTCTCGAATGGGGTCCAGTGCCAGACGACGCGCCCTCAGAGGAGGAGAGCAGCGAGTACGAAGACGAGATTGCCACCCCGTCTGACGAGGTCGCAAAGGCGGAGGTCATGATGGTCGACCCCCAGCACGCACATTCAGAGGACATCGCGATGGAAGGAGAGCCAGCAGTACCACTCAAACAACCACTGCCACGCCGCATACCAACTCCTCCCTTGCCTCCCTCTCCCATATCCAGGTCCCCCTCTCCCCCGCGAAAACGCCAGCGTACAGCCAGCTGGAACCACCCTGAGTATATACCCGATTTCCTTCCGCCATTCCCTACAGACGGCGAATCACAACGCGACGGTAGCCCACACCCTATCGCGCCTAGCGATTCAGCTAGTCTGCCCAACAACACAGGCGTGGTCAAGGACGAACGACCACCTACGCCACCGCTGCAGGCGCAGGTGTCGACGGCCTCTTCGTCAGCGGACTACCTTACACCAATACCTTACGAACAGTCCTCGCTCGCGTCGTTGCCAGCATGGCATCTGCCTGCACACCCTCCACAGGACGAACACGGACTCTCGACGAGGTCCCAGGCGCAAGCCGCGATTCCTCAGGTCCAGCCTGCACTTCTAGGAGCGTATCACCACATCCTCACGCATCCCCCGCCGACCAAAGTCGGCGCAGTCAACCCGGCGAGGTATCGCGTGGCGCTCGCACTTGTGGAGGAGAGCGAGAAGTGCAACAGGTGGGACGTCCCGACGACGTTGTTCGGCAGTACGGCTCCGAACCCACCACGCGTTGCGCCCATGCCGCCAAGTTACGCAATGCCGATTGGGAAGGGTCCGGCAGGGGGCAGCGGATCAGGTACGCCGGACGGGGATGCGAAGGATAAGGCAGGGAAGGAGGAGGAGAAGAGGCCGTTACCGGGCGCGCCTGCCCGGACTATCGCGCCTTCGGACAGGATTGTGGCGAGCCTGAGCAGGCAGGGCTCGAGGATCCCGAAGCTGGCACGGCATGTGCTCTCGGTATGTAACTGTCATCGTGAACGGCGGCGTGAGGCGGTTGCTGATCCCGTCCTTGTGGCGGTATCGCGTAGGGTCCTGTCTATGCACGCACAGTGCGACTTGCCCATCCTCCCGTCCTTTCGCGGGGTGCGCAGAAGCTCACGTACGGTCCTGGGGTATATGCCCCGTGGAACGCGAGCTTCTCGCCGATGCCGGCCACCGCACCTGCGCCGGGCAAGGGCAAAGAGGCGAACGGGATGCCAAATGGGAAGGACAAGGACAAGGAGAAAGACAAGGAGGCTCCTCGGCCGCTGCCGGATGCGCGGCTGTACGCGACGTGGAACTACGAGCAGAAGCGATTCGACGAGCCGCTCGCGATGCGTAGACGGATGGGGAGCATGGCCGGGAGCGTGGGTGGGGTTTCGATGGGGAGGACGAGGAGCGAGAGCACGAATGCGTGAATGCTGGGTGGACGATGGACGTGCATTGTCGTGCGCACCGCTCCCACGACGGCGCTCGATCTGGAGCGATGGCCATCTGCAGGGACGGCGTTGGAGATTGGCAGCGTTGACATCTGCGTTTGAGTGCACGCTCGCTGGCCTGCGCTCGCACAACGGACAGTGGCCGATGTTGGGGACTGTATTATTACTGGTATATTATCTGCTCTAGGAAGTCAGAATGCGTAATCGACGGACGAGCACTGGAGCACTTGCATTGCTCAACTACATATTCGCACATTGCGGGCGGCGGTCTCGGACTGATGTCGAGGTGATGATGGACTGGCCAGGGCCGGAATGGACCATCGCTATGGCACTGGCACTGACACCGGGCGCTCGCTGCCTTTCATTATCCTCCGCCCGCCACTCCCCCCCCCTCTGCCTTCATTCTCTTGCCCCGTCTCTTTGCATTTCCTTCTCCAGCCTCTGGCAGGCCAGCCCTCGTGCTTTCAGTCGTCTCATTCCAACGCCCATCGTCTCTCGTTCACCACAAGCCCTAGTCAACATGATGCGCTCTTCCTTCTCGCTTTTCGTCGCTGTCTTGGCCCTCTTTGCTGGTCATGGTCGGTCTTGCTCTAGCGTTTGCGTTCCGTGCGGCATCGAACTGAAGAGAATGTCCTAGTCCTTGCGCTGAACATCACCATCGGCGGGAGAAACATCACTGCGCCCCAGTTCCTGAACACCTCGGACATCGTCCTTCAAGACGTACGCACTCTGCTTGTACTCACCTGGTAGCGTTCTCCTCTTACTCCGCCAAATCTTGGCTGGACCGTAGTGCGCGGCTCAAAACTGCACTGCCGCTCAGAGTGCACTCAACGTACGTCTCGTACTCGTCTGCTTCGGGCCGGCCCTTTGTCCAGCCTCCCGTACTGAGAGTCTTGTCTGCTCCTGTGTTGACAACAGACATGCGGCGCGAACGACACCTGTGCCTGCGCCGCGTCCACGGTGTCGCTCGTCCTGGGCTGTCAGCAGTGCATGTTCAACCAGCTCATCGCGCGCAACAAGCAGCCGGTCGACCTCCTCGCGGGCCAGGCCTCCGCGCTGACCGGTACGTTCCCCCTCGCCCTCCCCTCCCATACACCGTCCGGCCTCTCGGCTCGAGCGCTGACCGCATCGTCTGCCATAGCGTACTCGACTGCATGCACGAACATCACTGCCGTTAACGCTAGCCAGGTCACGCTCACTCTTCCTCCCGATTGGGACGGTCCGTTCGGCCAGGGCCTCACCACCGGCACGACCGTCGTGGCCGTCATCGCAGCGTTCGTTCTCGGCCTGTGCTCTATCACTATCGTCAACACTATGTGAGATGGGTGGACCCCCAGTCCAGCGTAGTACGCTCGTGGACGAGCAGCGGTGAGATTGTGTGACGAGGCGCGGTGGTGATAATTTATGGCTTCTTGCCTGTACGCGTTCGGTCTGCTGTCCCTGATGCTAGGTAGTGCCTGCGCTCCGTTGATGGGAGACGTGAAGTGGACGGTGTAGGAATCTGATAGCGGTTTTTTTATACTCTTGATCGGATTGGTGAATCCTGGTGAAAATGGCTGTTCAAACCAACCGGGAAATCTGGTTTCTGAACTTGGTTGTGAGACGGTGGTCTGTCGATGTAGCGGCCAGATCAGACAGATATCGCTGTCAAGATGATGCTGATAGAATGGACCATGCGGCAATCCATTGTATGACACAAGGGACGGAGAGTGATACATGGCGCGCAAAGGGCGGTAGGAGTGGTACACATGCACAGTGAGGATGATACTGCTACGAGATACTGATGCTTAACGACTGAACACAACAGTGGGCGTGTGAATGGCACAAACACAACAATGACGAAAGACCGAGTAGAGAGAACTATCTGTGGTATACAGCCAGTCAGCATCGTTTGATCACGCGATTAACCTAGTCACGAGAGTAGGAAGTCCACGAAGCAAGCACATGAGAAACTCGTAACTGACCGAAGCGTGTCACTTAGGATCCCTTGGGAGCCTCCTTGAAGGAGATGGCCTGCTCCTCACCCATAGCAGAGACGATAGTAACAAGGAGATCCTTGCCGTCGTCAAAGTCGGCCTGGATCTGCTTGCCAATATCACCCTCAGGAAGCTTAACGTCATCCTTGGCGACACCATCCTGAGTCATGAGGTTAAGGAAGCCGTCGTCGATGTTGACCTTTACGCAGAACGTGGGCGGGTAAGGTACGGTACACATAGAAAAGTGAAAATGGCTTACGAGCTGGTATTCGTTACGAGTAACGTTGGGAACATCCATGTTGTGGGTGGAGGGGGAGATATCCTCCTGTAGAACGGAAACCGCACCAGTGGTGAACATTCAGACGCACCCACAACTGCATACAGGACACAAACCAGTTTTTTGCCGGTGAAGATCTGGAGAGAACGTGAGCGCGGGTTTCCTGGCTCGATGAGAACATGTAAACGCACATCGATACCAACCAGGTGGACCTTAGCGTGACCGTGCTTGCCCGTCTTGGAGGTGGACATGTCGACGATCTTGCACGGACGACCTGCAAGGTTCCGAGGGAGACGGAAAGTCCGCAGCACCAGATGAGCCTTCAGCAGAGCCCGGAAGACACTAAGAGCGAGAGACGTACCCTTGATGACGACATGGCCGTTCTTGCGGAGGGCCGAGCATTGCATGGGGAAGGTGGCCGAGGCCCCAGCGCTGGCCTAAGAAGAGAGGAAGGACGTCAGTATTATGGGACGGAGGAGATCTAGGCGAGAGATGGAAGATATAACAGATACTACGCACCTGCTCGAAGTTGTGGTTGTGCTGCTCGTCGTCAGACATGGTTGTGGGTCGTGTGAGGGGGCGTGTATAGAGAGAGTGGGAGAGAAGAAAGGAGGAAGAGATGGAGAGCGAACGTCTAGAGCAGGTGGAAGAGAACGAGCAGATAAATCCCGACCCACTCACCGTGAAAAATGCCATCTTCATCGATTTTCTATCTCCGCTCAACCCGGACGCCCGCTATCCGGACATCCCCGACACTCCTCCGCCCACGCTCCTTATGCGGTACTTCTCCGGCCGTTTTATGCCTATGGTCTCCGGACCCGGCCCCGGAGTCGGCATGACGGGATGCTGTGCGCTACATACCAGCTGCTGTATGACTTAAGTCCACCTCAGTCAGTATTCAAGGACCCCCTCTTCTCGCACACCCTCGCCGCAATGCATCCCTTCGGGGGCTCTCCGAAGTGTCCTAAATGCGGCACCTCCGTTTACGCTGCTGAACAGGTGTGTCCTGAACGCTGCACGAGCACTGCGGTCCCTGCTCATATATCGACACCTACTTCGGCTAGATTATGGGCCCCGGACGCAAGGTACGATCTACTAAATCTCTCCCGCCCGTCCCCGTACTGACGTCCGTCTAGTTATACCACAAGGTAGGCCTCTTCTCGCCCAGAGATCATGAGGTCCGCTGACCCTCGGGACCAGTCTTGTCTGAGGTGCACGTCGTGCGACAAGCGTCTGGACTCCTTCAGTTTGGTAGAGCATGACGAACAGGTGCGTGCCTCGTCAATCCCGTGTGAATATAGCTAACGAGTCATTATCGCTCCTTTGACCTGTTTCGCAGCCGTATTGGTACGTTTCGCACGATGTACGTCTCTTGGACTCTTCCTGAATTCTCCACAGCAAGCTGTGTCATGTAAAGCTCTTCGGCACACGGGACCTCCGCCACAGAAACCTCCCCCACCGCGATGAGCTTGTGCGCTCGCACACCACCGGAGGCAGCATTGGCACTACTATCAACCGTACCGCATCCCCTCCCGCACTCCCTTCTCGTTCCGCTACAAGTACGGCCATCACCCAGCCGCAGCCCGTCCGCGGTCATCAGACTGGCACCACTTTCAATGGAGGTGCAAACAAGTCACCGCCTCCTTTGCTCAAGCCAAACCGGGCGCTGAGCCCCAATAAGGGTTTGTCTGCCCTTCAAGCGTTGGACGACCTCATCGAAGATTTCGACGAGACGGAGGTCGTTACTCCGGCGCATGGCAATGAAGATAGGGAGTCAAATGGGATCTCCCAGAGTCTGGAGAACGTGAAGCTGAACGGGAACGGTGCAGGACAGAAATGGAACGGGGCGGGTGGAAGGACAGCGGGATTCGTACCCCTCATTGCCAATGGCAAAGCTCTGTCTACAGGTACTGTCCCTGTGCCCCTTGTTCCTTCCATGACAGGAACGCGGTACGGAGCGGCTCTCGGTGGTCCTACCGCTGCTCCGTTGGTTCCGACCATGACCGGTCGCCAGTGGGGAGTGGGTACGCCGAAGTGCCCCAGTTGCGGCAAGTCGGTGTACTTTGCAGAACAGGTCAAAGCTGTTGGCAAGACATGGCATAAGGCGTGCCTCAGGTGTATGGAATGTGGCAAGACGTTGGATAGCGGGCAGCTGGTGGACAAGGACAACGATCCGTATTGCAGACGATGTTATGGCAAGGTACGTCGATCGGCGTCTCGCTATCGCCCACATATTTTCTCATCGTGGTGCGCAGAACTTTGGGCCTCAAGGGAGCGGGTACGCCTTACTTGGAAAGCCCGGTGGTTGAGCAGGTGTTGCAAGTTTACCATGTTCCCGCGGACGTTCTGCATCTATACCTCTATCTTATGAATAGTCTATCTCTGACATGTATTTGTATGGTGGCGCCCTTGTTCAGACGACTGTCTATCTTTCCGCGATAGGGCCTCACTATTAGTTCGACGGACGACGCACACATTCTATTGCTATCGCTCAGAAGCGTATGGGCACAGGCCAGTGCCGCTTTGTGCAGGCGGCTTAGGATAAGTACGAGATGTACGACAAATTATGCATCCGCACGCGTAGTCTCTGACGCATGCCTATGCGTATATTACGAGCTTGCCTTCGGCAATCTGCCACTCTGCCCGCGCCCCATCGACGTCCAGGGCACGTTCTCGCTTCAGGCTTAGAGCTGCCCTCGCGCTCTCCTGACTGTTCGCATCGGTAAACACTTTCTGGATGGTGGCATCAGGCTGCGAAAGGTCTAGATCAAGAGTGTAAGGGACAGGTCGAGGAGCGGCGAAGATCAGACGGCGGGGCTCGAGGTCCAGGGTCGTTTCGGGTAACGAGGCTCGTGTCTGCAGGCAGGAAGCCCGTGGTGTCGGACAAGGTTAGGGACGCCGCCCCGCAAGCCGACGGAGACGAGGCAGACGTCAATTGCCGTGACGGATTCCAGGAAGTGCGACGACAGTTGTGAGTTATATGCAGGAACAAGTTTTGGCGACGAGAGTCCAAAGGGGTAAGACAACAGTCGGGTTTGGTAAATGATGCCAGACCGAGGAATTCGTAAGCCGCAACGGGTCAACGAGTTGAGAGAAATGGAAGGGACGCACGAGGCGGGGTACAGATAACGAGATGCGTAGGCGACCGTCGTCTGTTCGGGACCAGTTCAGCTCTGGGACACTTGTACCGACTGACGGTGCAGGGTCGGACTGAACGCGTGTCTGGGATGACGTCTTGGATGCGGTCTTGAGAATGCCTTTAGGCGGGGAGGGCTTCGTGGCGGAGGATGAAGCAGCCGACGGTGGAAGTTCTTCTATCAGTGGTTTCCCGACCTGTCTGGCATCGGAGGGAGCGTTCTTGTAGAGCGAGATGGGAATGAGGACGGAGCGGGGCTTAAGTCTACCCTTGGACGCGATGTTGGGCGTCCCGATTTGGCGCGAAAGGAGGACAGAGTACTGGGCCTCGATTCGCTGGAAGGCGAGTTCTGGAGAGACAAGAGGGGTGAGTGTGGCTAATCGCATTTGTGGGACATAGCATGTAGAGAACGTACCGATGAGGAGCGTCTTGAACTCGGTCGAGCGAAGAGCACGCGACTTGAGAGCAGAGTTAAATATGCAGTCAAACACGACAGAGGGTTTGCCGGCTGTCGAAGAACGGACAGTGAGTCAATAAGACTGCATGCGGGATAGACATACTGGAGTAAGAAATGAAGCGCAGGAAGACGTGAGATCAAGCGTACCTTTGTCGATGTCCGATCGAGGCTCTGTTACTATGACTGGGACAAACCATTCGGCAGCCTGATCGGGGTCGAGGGCAGCTTGTGCAGCCATGGCGCGCTCTATGGCGGCATCGCTGCCTTCCGGGGGAGGCGGGACATTCGAGTCCCAGGCGATGTTGACGAAGACCTTGAGACCGTTGGTTATGTTGATTGCAGTTGGCGAAGACACATCGGAGGAAGAGGATGAAGGAAGAGGGCAGGAGACGGAGTTGAGTGCGGTGGATTTGACGCAGAAACCAGAAGTAGGGGAGAGGGAGACTCGTTGAGTGACGGCCATGCGAGTAAGTGGGAGTCAGAATGTGAGGAACAGGAACGGTTGAGAGGCGATTGTGTGTATATGTATGTCGGGTTAGCGAGATCATAGAGCAGCGCAGATCTGTGGCGAGGGAGATGGGAGGTGGCTGTGCTGCTGAGAGAGATTAGATAATCTATGGCAGATCTGTGTGGTCTCCGAGTCGGTTTCGGTTTCTCCTCGGAGTGCTTGGTCGAGCAGTACTGTGTTTCTACTCGGCCAGAGCCAGCGAACGTGTGCTCTGACTCACCGCCCTTGCCGCCTCGTACCACTTCCCTGCCTCAGTTCTTGCCCCCACATCCACCATGGCCGCCTCTCAAAAGACCCCCTTTAGATTTGGTGCGTCTCTCCCTCTCCCGAGTCATTCTTTCCCGTACTGACCGACCTCCCCACCTTCCTCCGCCATCTCTCCCTGATAGCTCTTCCTGAGCACGACATGTACACCAGCAAGGACAACATCACCCCCCTTCCCGAGGATCAGCAGCATATCGAGGGTTACATTCAGGACCGCCGAGTCATTGGCGTGCGTCTTCGTCCCATCATCTCACAGACGTGCGCCTCCGATCTCACATCTTATCTTTACCTCGTCATTTTCCGCTTCCCCATCTCTAGTATGACCCGCTAGTCCAGCCCGCCCTTCTCCGACATGAGATCGTCTCTTCCCAGCAATCCCTCTCTACTATCGCCTCTGCACGCTTCTCTGCGGCTAGGATACTCGCCGGCCGCGATGATCGTCTTCTTGTCGTCGTCGGTCCCTGCTCCATTCACTCCCCTGCGCAGGCCATCGAATACGCCAAGCTTCTCAAGTCAAAAATCCCGGAGTGGAACAACCTCCTCATAATCATGCGGGCCTACTTGTACGTGCCATCTCCTGTTCCTCAACAATCTGCCGTTGTCCTGACATAACCATTCGCTCAGCGAAGTAATGATCTGCTTGCTACTTAGTTGCTCAATATCTTCTCATATAACACCACCTGTAGAAACCCAGGACTACCGTTGGCTGGAAGGGTCTCATCAACGACCCCGACATCGACGGCTCCTTCAAGATCAACAAAGGCCTCCGTTTAGCCCGACAACTCCTCTGTGACCTCACCGAACTTGGCGTCCCTGTCGGCTCCGAATTGCTCGACACCATCTCACCTCAATTCATCGCAGACCTCATCTCCTGGGGTGCAATTGGAGCTCGAACTACCGAGTCACAGTTGCATCGTGAGCTGGCCAGTGGTGTGTCGTTCCCTATTGGTTTCAAAAATGGCACAGATGGAAGCGTACGTACTCCCACGTTTCATTATATTCCCGCCAGAGTCTTACTTGCATGGGAATTGCGGCTTCCAAATACTGTACCGGATGCACATACTACACACGGCGTCATGATTGCAGATGACAGTTGCTGTCGATGCGATGCGTTCCGCCGAGAACCCACACGCGTTCATGGGCGTTACGGAGCACGGTCTAGCAGCAATCGTCAAGACCAGGGGTAATCAGGTACGTTCTCGCTCTATGTGTGTATTCACCCATGGTCGATTGTTGATGTATCGTTCCGATAGGATGTGCACGTCATTCTACGCGGTGGTACCAAGGGTCCCAACTACGCTGCGGAACACGTCAAGGCTGCCGCGTCCGCCATCGAGAAAGCGCGACCTCAACACCACCCGTCGATCATGATCGACTGCTCCCGTACGTCTGCTCTCCTTCAGATTCCATCACTTGATGTGAGGCTGATGCGCTGTCGCGCGGTGCCTGGCGATTCCTGCAGATGGGAACTCGCAAAAGAACCACAACAACCAGCCAAAAGTCCTCGCGGACATCTGCACCCAGCTCGAGGCGGGCGAGCGCCATATCACAGGCGTCATGATCGAGTCGCACATCAACGCAGGCAGGCAGGACGTCCCGCCCGAAGGTCCTACCGCCCTCAAGCACGGCGTGTCCATCACGGATGCTTGCGTCGATTGGGACACGACTGTTAAAATGCTTGACGAGCTCAACGCCGCCGTGGGCCGGAGAAGAGAAAAGCTGCTCGAGCAGGGGCTGAGCAAACCTGCGCTCAACGGGTCCGCGTAGATACGCAGATACCGATGTGTTAGTTGCTTGTGCCCTCGGGGGAGGGTTGTACGGCCTTCGTCGAGGACAAGGTTGTAGGATGACCGATGTTTGTGCTTACTCGTGAATGTACAAACTAGCGATCAGTTTCTTGGCGTGGGCGAGTGATCGCTGCGATCCCATCGCCACGCAAGCTTTCGCCAACGTCGGGCCTTTGAAATGACACAGAGTCGGTGCATGCTGTGCCGCCGCGACGTAAGTATTTTGCCCCTGGTGATGCTAGGTGATGCTAGGTGATGCTTCGGCTTCCGCACAGGACCCCCGATAATGACAAATGAGCGATCTATGGAATCCGGACAAGTTTTGGACCAAACCCGAGGATAGAAAGTGCGAGAACGTTTTTCAGTCCGGACAAGGTTGTTCAGATTGGAGAATCTTGAATCACTCACCTGGGAGAATAATCGGGGTCCTTTCAATGGAGGATTATGAAACGCCGGGCTCCAACCGGGATCGAGGAATGATGCGATGTCTTCCACATACGCTGGCCTGCATTCGATGCGAAAACTAGTATTCCATTCCTCATCCGCTGACGGATGTTGTACACTAGATATGTCGTACTTATACGCGTATATTCTATCTGTCTACAGAAGAGTTCCGTTTCTCATGACTACAACACCTTCGCGCACGACACCCTCTGGAAACGAAGCCTGCGCTAAGCCTGACTGACACGCGGTGCATGTCAGGACACAAAGGGGAGAATGCAAGTACACCAATACCAGAAGAAAAGGAAAGGAGAGTGTGTCCGTAGATCACGGGGACAGATAGAGCAAGATAGTAGATACAGGAGCGTCTATGCGTCACAAAGCGACGATAGAGGGAGGCAATAATGGGTACACGGCGTGCGGCGATTTTTCCTTCCTTGCTACTACACTGCAACAAGCTGTCAGACGTTGCCACCCAGAGCTGACGGGGAACACGTACTAGTCCAGATTAGATAGGATAGTGCATTTACGCGTACCGGGATGCGGCTTGCCAGAAGCCGCTGGTACCTTTTGGCGTGACACCGCTTTCGACGTCGGCGAAGGAGGCAGCGGCGGCGTGGTCGTTGGAGTTGACGTCACTTCGCACAGACGCCGCTTGGGCGTGATGGGTGGTCGGAGAAGTACGTGTCGAGGACGACGTCGAGTAGGTCTTGCTTTCTTCGCCGTCGAGCTTCCAGATGGAGCTGCCACTACTCCGTCCAAGGGAGCTGTATGACGACGAGCTGCTCTTCCGCGGACCAGGGTTGTACTGGCCCTGCCGGTTGGACGCGGCCGACATGACCGAACGGCTGGAGGTCCCTGGAGTGAGGATGTAATGCGCATCCTCCGAGGAACCGTCGTAGGAGAGGTCAGCCGAAGAAGACGACGTCGGCGACGAGGATTGCGAGGGCGAGTGTATGATGTCCTGCAGGAAGGATGGTAGGAGGTTGTGGGAGTCGCGTGAATCAGACATGAGACCGCCGCCGTAGGGCTGCAGCTCACGCGGCACGCGCTCAGGGTGGCCACCCGACGTCTGATAGATAGGCAAGAGACCTTTGTCCTGGTCCGAGAACGCGATTGGCGGAAGAAGAGGCGACCCGTGACGGCTGTTTCCCATGCTACGGCTCCTTCCGTTGGGGAAACGGAGCTGCTGAGGGGGGACACTGGCCAAGTCTCCCTGAGGCCGCTCAGGCTGTGCGGGAACACCGTTCAAGTCAAGAGCATTGAACTGGGTAGTGAGGACGTTTGCGAGGAGCGCGATACGTTCGGCCTGGACAGCCGCGGATATAGAGTCTCCGTTGCCCTCAGCGTCTGTGGGACATGTTAGTCTACGCGTGATGAGGTCAAAGCGAATAATATCTACTGACAGGGATAACACGTCTGGCAAACCTTTCGACGACGCCAGTTATGATAGTTGCACTTCCCACAAACCCAATCGCCTGGCTGCTTCTCCGCGGCGCCCTTGTTACCGGTATTGATGATGGGGGGATACTGTGGAAGGGCGTGAGGGGGCGACAGGAAAGCAGGTAACGTGCACCTACCGTCATCAGGGCGGTTTCAATCGGGCGGATTTGGCAGGGCTCTGGAAGCGGTTCGTTATCCGGCCAATACATGACGCAGGGGGAAAGTGGGTCCCGCGAGATGTTGCGCACTCTGCCGCCGACGCTGAGAGCACGTCCAGATGGAGTGAGCGGAGGATACTGTGGGGGTGGCGGCTTGTGTGACACGTTCATGGCCAGAGCGTTCGACGCAAGTTGAGCAGGATAGCCCGGGGTCACAGGGCCTGTAGGTGCCGATGGGGACACCGGAGAGACACCTTGCGCAGTATTATACATTCCCGCAAAGCGCGGCGAAGGGGCCGCGAGCGGCAATGGTGGAGACAGCGCCGTGTCTACCGAAAGTTCAGACGCGCCGCCAGTGCGCGGACGGGCGCAAGCTATGCATACGGTGTTTCTTCTACCGTAAGCGTAAGCGTTTAGTGGTGTTCAGCAAGATTACATAAAAGAACATAAGGGGACCTACTGAAAATTGTGGGCGCTGCAGTTCGAGGCGGAGCATCTAGGATCAAGCAAGGTTGAGCATGACGATAGACAGTGGGGTCTATATCACGTACATCCAATCGCCCAATCGGAAACTAGTCTTGGGATTCGGCGGATTGCTCGAAATGGTGTAGGTCGGAGCACCACCACCAGCAGAGTCGGTCTGGGCAGCTGCGCCGGCGGAGCGAAGTTGAGGTGGACGGTGGATACCAATGAAATGGCTCTCAGGGATCATGTGTGGCTGCGTCGACGCGCGCTGGGTGTTGAGCCGGAGTTGAGGCGACTGTCGAGAGAGATGTCAGGACAAGGCAGGACGAAGGAAGAACTGACTGACAAGTGGCTCTGAGGCGATTCTCCTTGTCGCCGGCAGGAATGCGAGTTCCGTTTCGAGGGCGGGGACTACGGTGAATAGATCGCAGGACAAGCCCAACGCAGCTCGCGCCTGTGGGTCGGTCAACAAGAGCGAGCTATGAAGACTGCATCGAAGGACATACTTCTGAGGGCGAGGGAAAGACAGCCCAGATATTGCCGGCGCTAGCGATACTCGTCTCCGGAGGAGCTTGGACAGGGGTAGGTGGAGGCAACGCGATCTGGTCGAGCGGGTAGTTAATATTCGGAATACAAACAAAGAGAAGAATGGCATACCTGCGAACAGCCGTGTGTAAAGAGCTTCCACAACAGGTCCTTCGGCGTTGACCGAAGGTTTACGAGCTATGATGGGCGCCGAAGCTATGTGAGCGGCGCGAATACGCGGTAGCATCGTATAACGTACCCGGACAACCGTCGATTGTGGTAAAATTTCCCGCATGCTTCGGCTCGGAGAAGCTGGGAGAGAAAGTACGCGGTGCTGGAGAGGGGAAGGATCGTGCCTAGTAAAGCCGCCCTGCTCGTGAAGCCGGGGATGCAAGGCTTGAGGGACGCCCAACTGCTGCAGGGGGTGCTGAGGGGGCATGCCTATGTACGCGGGGGAGTGACGGGTGGATGGAAGGGACGTGTAGCCAGATCGAAGGGAGCGGTTGGTTAAAAGAGCATAGAGTATGAAGGAAAGAGAGCTTGGCGGGCGTGGTGAGGGTCGTCGAGGGCGCGATGGAAGTGAAAGGAACGAGAAGAGGTTCGGACAGACGGATCGTCGTCGTCGCGCTCAGGGCCGAGGCAGGATTCTCTCCTGGATCGTGGCTGTCCCCACCCAATCTGAAAATCAGAGATGCAAAAATGCAGACTTGTATTTTTCTCCGACCCTCGCCCACGCTTCCTTCTCAGCAGCCCGTCTTCAATCACTCAACACGCCCCTCGAGCCCCCAAAATCGTTTCCAGATCTCCCCCGGATTCGTCGCAGCTGTCCTTGTCGCCCGCCACCGCCCCCCGTCGTCCTGCCCTCATCCGACCGGCCGACGTTCGGTCCCCCCGCCCCGACAGCCCTCCCGCTCGGGTCATCTCTTTTAGACATCATTTTCCTCTCCGTGCTGACGCACCTGAATCAGCGACCCTCGCCCCCCGATCGACTCCTCTCTTGACGCAGGCGGCTTATTGCTTCTTTCGGTACTCCATGCATTCCTGATCATCAGATGAAAGGGCTGTCATGCCGCGCTAATTTGCCGGCCTACAGTACACACCCTAATGACTCATAAGCCCCAGTGAGAACGTGCCCGATTCGGGTCGATTTGGGGCGAGTCCGGTCGTGTCCAGCTGTATGTACTTGTGTTGAGTCGAATTTGTTCGATTTGGCGGTCATAAGCGCCCATTTGACGTCCGTCTTAGCTTGATGGTCGCGAGATCGGACGTGCGTGTCTCTAACGACATGACGTCTACTACTGTCTCTACAGCTGCGGCGCCGTAATGTCTTAGCTTGTCGCTACCTAATGCTTTAGCATGTCGCTCCGTAATGCCTTAGCTTGAGTTGTGTTTTGACCTCTCTTCGCCATATAAGATTTGTGCTTGATGCTTGCTCCCATCACGCAACTGTGCCAGGGATCTAGTATAGTCGTTCTCGTACGATTTTGCTCACTATTGGACTATGTCGTGATGCCGCCTCCAAAATATATTTCAATTGTGATTGTCTCCAGTACTGCAAGATGCAGAGACACGAAGTTTCTGTTCTCTGGTAGTGGGAACCTGCCCTAAACAAAGTGACGTCAGTGCAGTGGAGTCACTGCTTGCACAGACCACCGCCGTCTTCCCCCTTGTTCCCTAACCCTTCTCTGTTCCTCTCTTCCTGACCGCCAGTACGGCATACATCCCTGCCTTGGTGATAACACAGTGCGCCTTTTTACAGTGTTAGGAAGGTACGTTAGACTTTGAGAGAACTTCAAGGCTGCATCATGGTCCAGAGGATAAGGTGAGTACTCGTGCATGGTGTCGCCGTTACAACATCATTCCATATGAGGTCTATCATGCATGTGCAACACACTTGAAGGTACATGTGTCACTTCAGTTACCCTTATCGTTTTCACTCTCTTCCCGAGGCATCCTTCCAAGTTCGCCTGGCGCACGCAGCCGCTTGAGGTGATGGCTGTGCCTCACGACTGCATATGTGTGCGCTGACACATTCTTATCTAGCTTTCGACTCTCCTTCCCCATTGCTTGGACATCTTCGTCTCCAACATTGCACCTCCCTCCCTGCCCTGTCTTCTCACCCTTCCCTGGTCTCCAACAAACCTGCAACAGCTCATGGTTCCAGCTTAAGTTTGCGATGCATGCGCGCCAGCAAAGTATCATCTGCACAGAATCCAAATGCGCCCAATAGTAGCTGTATTGTACCATGTAGTGTAACACGATCCTATATGACAGAATACAGTCATTTCCCCCATATTATCCAATGGTGTGGTCCGAATCTAATCAAATAAACCCGATGGCTAACGACTACCGTCGACCCAAATCGACTGAAGCTGTATTCTATCGATTCCTTAGACGGCATCATACCGCTGAATACGACAGCCGTCGTATATAGTCCGGATGGTCGTAAAATGTCAGGTTGCACGACTAGATACAATTGGATTCGACCGAAATTGACCCGAATCGGGCACGTTCTCACTGGGCATAAGCCTCGGCGTATGCAGATGATTGCATGTTATGGGCTATAAGAGGGATTGGTACCTAGTGCCCGTAGGCGGCTGGCGCGTTGAAGGTAAGCGCCCATAGGGTTTGTCCCACGATCGGCAAAAGCGCATCAATATAGCCACCACCAGTCAGGGAATTCCAAAATACAGCACCCGGACAGTGCGTCATCGGGCACACATCACTTTCGAGACTGGTACACCTAATACAGTGACCGCAAAAAATACTGCACCGGCGCTTAGCGCCGCCAAAATCGTCGTATAGCGGGCCACGCACAGCAGCTCCTGGCTCGAAACTAGGGGTCATTTGTAGCAATGCATGTCATGTATCACTTATAGAATGCTTGGTAATAAACAAGGCAGAAATGCCCACTCTATTGGAACAACAGGGGGCAGACCACCATATAGTGGCATATAAGCAGTGTGTAATGAATGACAAGAGTTGGCGAAAATTTGACAACGGTGCAGAGCTAAGCCTAGTAATGTGTATGTAGTTCATGAGCATCCCTAAGGGCCTGAACGCGATGGGGAAGTGAGCCATAAAGCTTCTGTATGTACTCAGGATCAAGTCCATACCACTCCTCCTCTAAAGCGGCCCATAGCTTGTTGGTGTTGTATGGGAGTGGGTTGCAACGGTGCACATGGCGATCTAGCTCGTCCCAGACATGCTCGATGATGTTCATATTGGGGGAGGATGAAGGCCAGGGGAGTAAAGTGATGTTATGGTCCTCAAACCAATGTGCGGCAAGGTGGGAAGTGTGTTTGCAATTGTTGTCTTGCTGGACGATGATGTGATGAGTGGGGATGTGGTGGTCATGAAGTGTACCCAGCAGTGACTCCTTGATAATGGCACAGTACTTCTTTGCATCCATGATGCCGTTGATGCGGTGAAGACGTCCAACTCTGTGCGATGTGATGCATCCCCAGACTATGACAGTTCCTCACCCATGCTTGACGGTCTTCTTCACGTTCCTGTCCAGAAAAGCCTCCCCATCCCTTCTCCAGCACCATTGCCTCCCATCTGAGCCAAAAAGGTTGAACCTAGACTCATCTGAGATAATCAAGCGCCAATGTTCAACATCCCATCCAGCAACTCCCTCCACCCACAACTTCCGCTGCACCACAGTGAAACGGCTCAGGTATGGCTTCTCCTGGCACACCCAGCCATGCAAGCCAATCTCACAGAGACTGTGCTGAATGGTTTGGGGGCTGACTGTGGGGAAGAGCTGTTGCTGGAGGTCAGTTGCATCTCAAGCAGCCCCCACGCTAAGGTGATCTCGGCATGACGGAGGTTGCGGGGAGAGAGTTTGCAAGGGCGGCCTGATTTTGAAGGGCGGTAGTAGATGTCACTGGTCTGCTGGACAATCTTGTAGTTGCGCTAGGCTGTAGAGGGATCAAGTCCCAGAAGAGACACAATCTCGTGGAAGGTCTTCAGCTTTTTAAAGTGAGGGTCACGGAAAGCAAGAATACGAGCACGTTTGCTGAGCGTGCAAACAGTCATGGCAGTAGGCTTGTAGAGTAAGCTCCAGAGAAGCGAGTATTAAAGGAATATAGTCATAAAAGTTCATGACAGCGTAGGTGTTGAGGGGAGGTTACAGTGGGCGTGCTGAGCTGGCAGATGTCAAATAGATGCCTAATCAGATTGTGGGTCAGTTGCACACTAGCAAAATGTGTATTCACCAGTCTCCTTCCGACAACATATTTTTAAAAAGTCTGGTTTGTCATTGAATGTACCAGGTTACAGATAGCCCAGGTTTCTGGTGAGCTAGTCCAAAAAACTATGTGTCGAGACCGCTGATGCAGTATTTTTTGCGGTCGCTGTATAAGTGAGTTATATGGTCTTGCAATATCATATTATATCACATCTGTACTTGTACTAACGGAAAGTGTTCGAACACCTGTCACAGCTAACGAGCTGTACCACCGAACAAACAAGGACAAGCTTACTAGTGCAAAGGTTGATGCTGAGGAGCAAAGCAACCAGAGGTGACACAGTAAAGAGATGTGAAGAAGTGTATTCCCTAGACTAGAAGGGGTGTTGAGAGGTAGGGCTGCTATAGAGGAGATGGGTGATCGACGAGAAGATCAGGTCTGAGGTTCCCTGCCTCAGACTTCCTACTATTTATACTAATACAATGGTGCACAGACCAGGTATCTATTGAAGATTGTTTGGTCAGAGTTCCTGCAGATCCATGTTCTGTCCCGTGACCTGCCTCGTGACTAATACCTGAGTCATCATAATATTACCGTCGGTACGCCCCACCCCCATCTTTTCGTTATTGAATCACTCCTTCTCATCGCCCTCGTGTACACTCAACCCCCTTCCTATCCCTGGCGACCTATGCTTACCTTTCCGGCTCTCCGTCGTCCACCTGTACACTATCATCCCCCACTCTGTCTCCTGACGACTACGTTTCTGGACTTGGCCCTTTTCCCTTAATGCCTTCCCCTTTCGTCTACATGACCGAACCCTGAGTCCGACCCTGACCCTTTCCCTTTTCGGCTACATTATTTTACCCTGACCCAGACCCGGACTGTCACAGTTTTCTCGTGCCACGTGACCTGGGGGTCATGTGTACTGGGACAGACGCTCACCTTGACCGCGGACAACTTGTACCGGAAAGTGGAGGGGCCAGGATCGAACCCCAGACCTCATAACGGCCAGGAGCGCCCATCCTCACTCACTGGCAGGTGACTGATGTGACAGCAGGAGCACTTACTCATTGGAAAGGGTCCAGACTCGGTACAACTCAGGTATTAGTTGTAAGGCCACTATGAGGCAGGTCAGAGGGTAGGACATGAGGCAGAGAACTCTGACCAAACGATGGTCGATAGGTACCTGGTCTGTGCACCGTTGTATTAGTATATATAGTAGGGAGTCTGAGGCAGGGAACCTCAGACTTGATCTTCTCGTCGATCACCCATCTCCTCTGTAGGTAGCTAGCAGCCCTACCTCCCACTGCCCCTTCTAGTCTAGGGAATCTACTTCTTTGCATCATCTCTTGCTGTGTCACTTGTGGTTGCTTCGCTCTCAGCACCAACCCCTTCACCAGTAAGCTTTGTCTTTGTTTGTCTGGTGGCACAGCTCGTTGGCTGTGACATTAGATCAAGTCTCTTACCCATCCCCTCTGTGGAGTGTCTCAACCACTTGCGGACCGGATCTCTTCCCCCAGGAGTTTTTTGAAACGTTTATCATCCCCCCCCACTATCCTTCCATCCGACTCGGACCTACCGGAGTTTACCTGTCGTCACTTCAAGAGACACGGTCACCTTGACGTTCAGTCCCAAATTGACTGTGCCCTTGCCGACGATACGTCAGATCGACTTCGTCATCGCCGTCAGTATCGGCATACCCCAATTGTCCCTCGTCGCAAGGCACTCCCACCTTCTGTACCCTCTACTCAGCCCCTTGACAGACCACTCGCTACGCGCCTCACCACACTGCCACCACCCTTTGTCCCGTCCACCCCTACAATCCCTCTCCAGTACCGCATCTCTGCACCACCTCTGCCCTCCTTCGCACATTGTGATCCCATCGACCTCCTCGCTATCATCGGTTCCAAGGTCAGCGCTGTCATCAAAAGACTGCAGGCCATCTTCGATCGCAAGGATCAATTGCTCGACATTCCCCACGATCATCGGCTCGCCCTTCAATGCATCAGTGACAAGCTTGAGTGGATCCTCGACAACATCGAAAACGGCTCTTCGTGGACATGCAATCAGCAGCAAAACATCGACTGGTTTTGCAAGGAGTTTGGAAAGGTCAAGTTCAGTGGACTTGGACAGAATTTTGAGCGCATTGTCAAGGCTTTAGTGGAGTTAGAACATTTCGGGTACTTAGATTGGATCGTCCTTTAGTTTTGTACATCGGATATCATTGCAATGGCTTCAGGCTCTCGTTACACCCCTCTGGCAGAGGATGACTTTGAGTCAGATGACCTGGGTCTACACACACACCCGGCTCCGTCACAGGCACACACCCGTCTAGCTTCGCCTACTGCTACGCTGCAAGCGTACCCAGAAATTCAATGGATCTACGCTGGCGTCGAGTATGGCTCGTTAGAAGACGCTATTCGTGCCTCGGCAAACAGTTTAGGGATCACCAACCAAGCTTACGTCGACTGGACCATCTCCGTAACAAGGGACATCACACGGCGTGAAGTAGTCAATGTCTACAACGTCCTCGGCGGCAAGCTATATGAACATCAGAACGACTTCCTCAATGAGTGTGACACCACCCACGCCACCTTCAAAGAGTTGGACACGTCTATGACAGGCCTTCACACCAAGGCTGACACTGCCAGGAACCTCGCTCTCAAAGCCGTCAAAGAGAACAAACAGCTGAAGGCGGAATTGGTCACTGTCCACGCGGATCTGGAAGTTCTCAACCGGAACAACACGGAGCTCGTCAAACAGTACAAGGAACTCGCGGCCAAGTTTACACAGTTGGAGCAAGGACTGTCAACCCGCACCACGCTCGGTATCATCACCGCCCCGGCTCCTGTCGTATCACAGACCTCACGTATCAAGGCATCAGAACCACCCAAGTACAAGGGCAACAAAGGCTCGGACATCACTCTCGAACAATGGTTACAGAAGATGGGCCTTTGGTTCTGTGTCCAGAACATCACCACGG